TCTATAATACAATAAAAAAAATGCCATATTATCTATGCTATGATATATACAATATATAGAGTATATATAAGTACACATAGTTTTCAACAACAATCAAAAAAGTTTGACCAAAATGTTAGCCCAAAATTTAATGTGTATTTTTCGCCTATCATTTCATTTATAATAATAATTATTATTATCGCGATTGATATGACCATCAAAATTATTATATGGTGTGATGTATATGACATCCATTGTCTAGAGAAAAAAAAATCTACCAGTGCACTGTGCTGTCATCATTATGGTCATACCATTTGACGGGACCATCGACGGTGTTGTCTTACTATATATATAAATGTGTGGACAAGTGATTGTAACCATGGATGAGTGTGGATCTAGTCATGAATTTGATGGTTCAACAGGACTAGAGGCACAACCATCCAAAGTCAAAGACAATCACATTATATCATAATAATTGATAATCACAGCAACAGTGGTGTTGTTGGTCCTGATGATGATCATCATCATCACCAGTGAAACACATTACACTGACTGAATCAAATGGCATTGCGATGGATGACCACCACTACTGACTACCAATACAAGCGACTAGTGGTGCACTGCCAGTGCTTTTTCACTGTAATAGCTCTCTCTCTCTCTCTTTATGAAAAACAGCCCAAACCTAACACAACGTTACACCAGTCAGTCTCTGGAGGTTCAGGTGTTGGCAACAAGTTTTTGTGTGCTTCAAACACACATATCGACGCACTCATTGGGCAGAGAGAGACTAACAGCCTAACCGCCAAAAAGGGTCCTTCAATAGAGACTACCAGTGCCTATGTGTATGGCTATGGCTATACCACCACCAAAAACAGGACTGGTATGTATGTATTGGAGAGAGAAAAGAGAGACAATTACAATACCATGAGATGAGAGAGAGAAATAAAGAGAGAGAGAGTAGAGTTGAGTTTAGTTGAGAGACTATCGCCAGTATGGGAACAGACAGCTAGTTTCGTGCCCAACAACCGGTTGCACCACTAATTCACACACCCATTACACATGCGTTTTAGGCATTGCGTGCCATTGCATTGGCATGGGGTGGGCACTGGTATGTTTGAAAATGTAAAAATGTAAGAGAGAGAGCAAAAAAAAGCTATGAGATGGGCATACATTGCTATACATACTGTACTTTACTACTGGTATAGGGCAGGCATACCATCTCTCTCTTTCATATGCAGTACAGTATACTCTGTATTTAACTCCTTGTGCTACTACTACTAGAGCTATGACATCATCACTGCAAGCAAACAACTAATCGGACAACTTTTAGTTTTTTTTTAATTTTTGTAATACAACAAAATACACATAACTTTTATATACATACATACAGTATAATTGAAATCTAATTTATATGTATATCTAAATATACTGTATTTCTATGCTTTTATTAACTACTAATAGCTATATATATATATATATATATATATAGTTATACTGTATATAAAATTCATAAATAATAATATTATGTGTGAGAGAAAAACATTTAGAGTTATATATATATATATAATAGGGCTATAGTTTTGCGCGCTTTTCATATAATAAAAAAAGTTAGTAATAATTATTTAGTAATAACTATTTCTCGGAAATTTACTTTATATATATATACAAATAAATAAATAGTAAACTAAAATAAAATTATTATTAAAATTAGTATTAAATATATGATTGCAAAAGTGTGAAACAACATCAACAACAGGTATACCTTTAAAAAAAATTATATTATTTTAATACATAATTATTGCACACTTTGTTTAACACACCATACAAATCACTGCTTATAATAATTTATATAAAGATATTATATATATATATATATTTAAACTTTAAAACTTTTTATTTGAAACACTACTTACAATGGGGAGAGTGAATGAATGAGAGGCACATGAAAATCATAAAAAACTTTTTGTTTCATTTATTTTTTTTCGGGTAAAACAAAACTTAAGCACAAAAAAAACTTTTTTAGTTTTTTTGGTTCAAAAAACTTTTAGCAAAATACTTGATTTATTATCATTATATATGACTGGTATGTGTAGAGACATAGAGAAAGAGAGATAGATAGAGATAATAACTAATTTAAATAATTTTTTCGTTAAAACAAAAGAGAAACAACAAAACAAAACAATTACTAACAAAAATATTACAATTAAAATAAATCAAAACGAAAATCACATATATATTTAAAAATTAGTCAAACAATGACAGCGTGTTTGTGTTGGACAGTAGTAATGTTTAATGATTTAAATGTATAGTTTATAAGTGATTGACATCACTATATATAGTGACCGATTGACCAGTTAGTATAATATAGTATATGTACTGTATGTATGTGTGTACACATGCACTCCAATGGCTATTATAAAAGTAAGGGTTGTAATGTGTATGTATGTACTGTATGTGTATGTGCGCTTATGTATGTATGTGTGTGTATGTGTGTGTCTATGTATTTGTAATCTCCCAGTGAGGCCAAACCATAAGAGTGACCGTTGGTTTTTCAGCCCAAAAACATTTTCCAAGGATAGGACTCTATATATATACTATATAGCTATGGATAGTAAGTAATAGCGTAGTGTTACTGTTGTTTGTATAGAGTATAGGGAATTGAAGGGTTGCCGCCAAATGAATGTGACCCCAAAAATATGCCCATTTTCTCTACCATTACTTGGAAATAGCCGTAGGTTTGCGCCAAAAATAGCTACACATTTAGCACTAAAAACTCTTTTTTTCGTTTTCACAAAAGTTTTGACCTCAAAAATGCTTTTATTTTATTTTACACAAACATTTTTCACATTTATATATATATATATATATTGCTCTCCCATTTCTACTGTCACTCCTCTATTTCTGGTACAGATAGAGATAGATAGATAGATAGATAGATAGATAGATAGAGAGAGAGAGAGAGAGAGAGAGAGAGAGAGAGAGAGTAGTTAGTTGTTGTAGTATTTAAGTAGTAGTGACGGACACTATGCGGTCATTTGGCGGCAAAACTATAATATCTTCAATATATGCCATACCTTTAGAGAGAGAGAGAGAGAGAGAGAGAGAGAGAGAGAGAGAGAATAGACTTATTAGAGGATCACATCCTTGAATATAATGCTCTGAAAAATTGTTTTACCATTGAATACACTCTCACTAAATAGGATCTGAATTTTGTCAGTGAAATATTGATGTCAATTGTCATCATATACTGTATGTGTGGAAAATTTTAGTGTCTAATTAAAAGCTGTGATTTTTCACAAAAAAAACTTAGGTATTAGCAAAACAATACATAAGTTTGAAATTATTATTAGTATTATTATAATGTAAATCTTTTTGACATTAGATTTTTGGTCAGTGAATTCAAAATACAATAATAATTATCATTTACTATGTATATTAAAAAATGCAATGCTATTAACCTTAGGTTTTATGATATATCCTTGAAATGAGTGCCATTTTTTCCCGACCTCTCTCTCTCTCTTTTGCATTCAACCAGTGCTTCACACCTACATTAATGGTTGTGTGTGAGAACAGACAGGCAAAGAGAGAGAGAGAGAGAGAGAGAGAGGCATCTTATATGTCGATTATGATGAAACAATTGGCTAAAGAAGTGAACTGTAGAGACATGAGAGAGATTAGAGAAAGAAAGAGAGAGAGAGAGAGAGAGAGAGAGAGAGAGTATGAGAGAACAAAACGAGAATATTTGCTTCAAACAGGTTTTCCAGCCATCAGTTCTCAACATTTTTATAAGACTTATAATACCTGTATATTATATACACATAGAGTATGTTTGAAGACTTTTTTTGAATTTTCAAAAAAATACCTGTAGTTATACTGTGTGTGTGTGTGTGTGTGTGTGTGTGTTGTCTATACGTTTAGTATATGTATAATGTCTATAAGGAGAGAGAGAGAGAGAGAGAGAGAGAAAGAAAAAAGTTTTTACATTTTTTCAAAATTATATTATTATTATTATAAGACGTTATATTACAGGTATATCTATGTGTATAATATACGCCAGTGATTGCAAATGTTTGCAAAACTGGTTTTTCATTTTATATTTTTTTTTATTTAATATATTTTTTTTGTTTCTCTTCAATGGTTTTGTGTCTTTAAGTGTCGACTACTTTCGCCATATTTTTCTCTTTTCGCGATTTTTATACATTCATTGACTCCCAATGTCTTCAACTCTTTTCTCTCGTTTTATTTTATTTTTTATTTTTATATAATAAATATTTAATTTTATAAATCGTTTCTTTCTTTCATTTCTCTCTCTCTCTCTCTCTCTCTCTCTCTCTCTCTCTCTCTCTTCTACTACACCTTTTTTCAATACTAATAATAATAATAGTGTATTATTTAAACATACATTTCAAATCAATGATTGAAAAATAATTCAAATGAATGATTATTGTAAAGGAAAAATTATTGGCATAAATATATATATATATATACAGACAATTGAAAAACACATTATTATTATTAATAATATATTTATACACTAAAAGACGGATCTATTTATAGAAAATTATTTTCAATTCAATACATTTAATAACTAATATTTAATATAACTTTAATCCAATTCATATTATAGAATTTTTTTAATTTTGGCTAAAGTTTTAATTTTAAAAAATATTTGTTTTAATGTTTTAATAATTTAAAAAATAAATATATATTTAATATATTACAGTAGGACTGACACCTATTACTTTAACTATCTATTTCAATATTTATTCAAATAAACAAATTTCAAAATTCAAAAAAAATTTGATTAAATTTTTTTTCATTTATTTATCAAATACACGATGAAATTATGCACATATTATCAATAATATATAGTCTTTTTTTGGATGAAAATATATGTAAAATGAGAAGAATTCACTTAAATTAAGTTTTTTTTAAATATAACGAAAAATAATTATTTAAGTTTTTTTGTTGTATTTTGTTTTTATAATTTATGAGAGATAATCATTCAATTATTATTATTATTATCTTCGGGCCATTTTCGCCGGCGGCGGCATTAGACTACTATCTGTACCGCTATTGGGTTTCTTGACTATAGCCGGACCGACACTCCGGTTATGGATAAACTCGAGTAGTATTTCTTTAGTTATTGGATTGCGTATTGAATTACAGACAGCTATAGCCGTTTTGAAACTATTCGGGAATGACTTATCGGTTCGCTCTCTCATAAAAAGCCACTGTTTACCAGTCATATCGTATGTACACTCGATAATCTTGTTGTCGTACTGTCGGAGATCTTTAGTGACCCTCATCTGGTCAAACGGCTGATCTTGACCGCCGACAAACAGATTACCGATAAACTTCCTCAACATACCAGGCCTATCATCCAAAACTATTTTCAATTTGAAATCAACTGAATTATGTGATGGAGGTTTCCATTTCAGAGTTACCACACATTGGCCAGCAATGTACGGATCGGGTACGGGTTGGAAAATTAGACCATCGATTTCATGGGATAAATTTTGCTGAAATTTTTGCTCAAATATCTTATAGGTATCGCGTATTTCCCAGAAATCTTTTTTCCGTATACCGAACGGCTCACGGGTCCGATCGATAATACCTTCACGTTTGGCCCGTTCTCGCGGCTCAATAATCTCTTTGTCAATACAGTAGATTCGCCGCCGGAAGTCACAACCGCCCACTTCGGCTGATTCATATGTTATGATATCATAGATGAGATAACGGGCCACTTTCTGGCCATTAACTTCGTCGACAATCATTTCCCCGTCCAATAGAGTATTTTCCAAATGCTGTGGAAAATCTTTGCGCTTAAAAAACTTGACGCCATCTATCTTGAAGACAGTATTGTCGCGATCGACAAAATAGCAGTCGTCTTCGCCATTAATTAGCAGCATATATCGGGTGCCGTCGGCCTTCCAGCTGACCATATATTCCTTAACCGACAATAACTGTATGTTTTGACAGTCCATCGATACGGGTTGAGAGCCGGGAAAGCCGCGCTGTTTGAATTTTGCCATTCGTTGACACTTTTGTTGTACTTCTCTGACTTTGTTACTGTCGGTAACAGTTGTGGCTCCGCCGACGCCCTCCATAAATGTCGACGTTTTCCATCTGTTGTTCACTGGTCGCGAGTGATTACCACCACCACCACTATTAGCAGCGGCTGCGGCAATAGGATTACCATCATCGTCGGTATCGTCAGCTTCGTAGCACCAATCGGGTCGCTGCGGGGCTGACGGTGCGTCTTCTTCGTCGCCGTAACGTCGGAACAGTTCTCTTAGATACGACTCCTTGTAGATACCGGGCGGTCGCGAGTTGGCAAACGCATTGACAGCCGCTTCGACACTCCAATCGAGTTTTTCGATCAGATAGGCGCAGATCAAGAAGCCGGTCCTATTGAAACCGTGCGTACAGTGAACAGCGATTACATCCAACGGATTTTTGGCAATATAGGCGTCACACGAACTGATGAATTGTCGAGTTTGGTCTTCAGTGGGACATTCGTCGTGGCTATCGATTGGTCGCCAAAAAAAAACAATGAAAATTAAAGGATAAAAATTTATTTATTTATTTTTTAAACCAATTAATCAATCAATTAGTCAATGTCTTTGAAAAAAATTCAAATACCCTCTGCACTGAAATTTACAGTATTGGATGTTCTTCTTCTCGACAATAGACTTGTCATAGAAACGCGAGGTATAGGTTAGATCTATCCAACGACCCAACTTCACCTAAAATTAAACAAACATTTAATGATAATTGAAGACAAACAATACACAGTCATATAATCAGTTAGTGATAATCAGGTGTCCACACAAATCTGGATATTACTTTGAAACTTCCGCTGACCAGCGCTATGAACATCTCTGGCGTAAATACATCGCTATCGGGTATCTTACTCTTGTATCGGTCGTCCAATGGTGTCTTGAATGGTATGAATTTGTCTGTTTGTTGTTTGTTGTGATAAATTGATACAAAATAGTTAAGACATAATAATCACCGATAGATCTAATATATATGTCAATTAACCCGATGAACCGATTCGGGTCATCACTGCTCTTACTAAACAATTGCTACTAACCGGCGATGATATTGCCTCTTCGCGGACATTTAAGCCAACGCGGCGGTATCGACAACACCTGGCCATTGGATCCGTTAGTTCGGGACGACGCCATCCAATCCGATTGTTGGCCAACCAATCGCTTTTCGGGTAATGTTTTAACCGTTTGTCTGTTTAACGTAATATCAATTGGTTGTCATTTATTATTAATCAATTGTTTTGATTATTATTATTATTATTATGTATTTAACACAACATTTAATATAAATATCAATACAGTCGTCAACATTGCTCTCATTTAAAGTCAGTTTAATATTGTATTTATTATAACATGTATTCAAACATTTCATATAAAACGTCTATTTATTGTTTGTTTTTTTTGGTTACAGTTTGTGGAGTATTAATAATAATAATAATAATACTGTAATAAATGATTACAATATTAATAATGATTTATTAAATAATTTTTTTATGTTATGTAATTTCAAACTTTTTTTTTATTGTTGTTATTACTTTTATTTGTTTTTAACTTTAATTTAATTTAAATATCAATATATATATATTGATATAATATATAATAGTTTAATATTAGTATACAACAAATTATTAAACTTATATTTTTTTAGTTAACTGTAAACTGTATACTTTAATAAATTATACTAGCTGACAATTAAATAATTAAAACTAACTATATATTTAATTATTGTATGAAATTGATTAAAAAAATTGACAAAAATAGATAAAATTGTTATAATTAAAATAAAAATAATATATTATTTGTAGAAATTTGTATATATATATATAACTTATGATACTAAATACAATTTAACTGTTATTATTTTTAAATTAAAGATTATTAATTAGAAATAAATTAATTAAAAAAGTGTCTAGGCATTTTGAATACGATTTTTAAATAATAATAATTATTATTATTAATATCCAATATAGTTAAACATAATCAATAAACAATATGAATAATCAGAATTAAATAATGTTTAATATTTGTGAATAATTATTATAATAAAATGATTTAATAATAATTATAGGCTTTAAAATATATTTTTTATAATTGTAATCAATATCAATAATATTTTAATTATAATAAAATTATTTTAACTTTTAAACTGGTTTATCAATAATTGCAATAATCAACATTGCTAATTAATATAGCAATAATAATAATAATAATAATTGAACTTGTTGAACTTCATACTAGAAACTTGTTAAAACTTACAAATTGATAAATAATAATTATTTTATATAATTTTAATTTAACAAGTGTGAGCTATTTATTTTATTTTATCTTTTTATTATATTTATTAAATTAAATGTTTCTCATATATCAAATATGTTTAGTGTTTTTTTAAAAAATATTAATGTTATTTCTAAGATAACTTTAAGTGTCTCATAATTATTAAATAATTGATTGTAGTTAAAATACATTATATATAATTTTATAGTTAATTGTTAACATATGTATCCAATTATAAGTTACTAATCTAATAATTATTGTGAATAATGTTTTATAATTATACTATTTATTAAATATAAATATTATAAATTTAAAAAAAATTGATTTTAGTAATATGATAGTAATCTTTATATTATTATTACTATCACTATATATATATATTTACTAATATATTATTATTATGATATATCATATACTAAATAACTAATTTTTTAAAAGGTTATTTCTATATGAGTTATAAAAAAAATAATATTATCAATGGATTATTTGTAATTAACTAGTATTATAACTACTATACAAAAAAATATTTTTGTATTTTTTTTTAATTTAATAGACACTAAGTTATACAATTATTATACATAGAGTAGTAGTAATAATAAAGTCCTGGAAAAGTCTATTAATAATTTATAATAATAATAATAAAATCGGTTATAAAAACTAATACTTTACTAATTGATAATTATATTTTGCTAATATGACAACTGCTATAATATATATCATTAATTATTTAATAATCTATTATAATATTTTGTAAGTGTATGTGTGTGTATTTGTTTGTATTAAATATCTAATATAAAATATAATATCAATGATTTTTTAAAAAAATACAAATTAAAGTCTAAAGTATTAGACGACCTAACAAATAAATAATATCAACAAAAAAGACAATGGCTTTTTCAATGTTAATTATAATTGCTATAAAAATTTACACAATTTTAGCAAATAGTATGCAATTTTAGTAAATTATTTTTTTTATTGAAATTTTATTAATAAATTAATAAACTTTTATTTTTTTTAAGACACCTCAATCAATATGACCCTGTTATCACCATCATTATCATCATCATCATCACAATCATCATCATTGACCACATTATTACCTACCAGTGCTATACCAATCATCGATACGTGTGGTTTTTCTTCGTTAACATTTTTTGCCGGCATATTAGTGGGTATTGTCCTAACAATTATCCTCTATTTTTTTGTTATATATTTGCATACAAGAAATTGAATTGATTTTCAAAATTTTTTTTAATGATAATAATATGTAATTCTGTAATTAATATGTATAACAAATAATATTAATTATTGATATTTAATGTCAAGAAATTTACATAGTATCATAATGCATTATTTTTTTTAAAAAAAATACTATCATGTAATCATAATATATTTTTAGATAAATTTAAAATTAAATAATTTATTTTTACAATTTAAATTAGTAATTTATTTTATTTATTAATTAACAATTAAATAATATATATATAAATTTATATATTATATATTATACTGTATATATAGCTGCTATTAGTTTTGTACTAATTGTAAATATATATTGTTATAAACCTAATAATACACATTGAGATTATATTATTTTCTAATTAATATGCTAACTATATTAATTTTTTAATTATAGACAAAAAAATAAATCTTTAAAAAAATTAATTTTCAACAAAATTAATTAACAATAAAATTTTTATATTCAACAACAACAACAAAAATAGTAAAATATGCTTTTATATTGATAATTGTGTCAATAATTGTATTAAATAAAAAAATCACAAAAAATCAGTCACTTTTATCTTTAGTTTCTCGTCTTAAGATAAACATATACACGGATCGGGCCATTAGTGAACCGATCAACGATCCGATCCAATAGACCGACAAGTGCTCGAAAAGTGTATTTCCCTTACAGTTCAGTGTTAGGGCCGACGCCAGTATTGGGTTGAAAAAGCCACCGGTTGTTGTCAAAGCTTTTTTTTATTGTATATAAAAATTATTATTATTATTTATTACACTATTATATCAATTGTCATAAAAATAATAATAATTTTTTTTTTGTCAACTGACCATACAATACGAGAGCGGTCGACGTAAATGAGTTGACATATTTGGATACCTGTTCCGACCAATTGCCCGATTCCAGTGCCACTAAACGACTAATGAAGGTCAGAGCAGCTTCAATGGCCATCCCGTAGACAACTGTTACCTGTAGTGAGGCCTCGCAGTGGTCGACATGAAGGTGCAAGTGTTCAGGTATCAGATGCCAACACCAAATGCATTTGATATATCTGTATGAAAATTATACAACAAAAAAGTTATTAAACCAAAATTTTCGGGTAAATAATTTCAATAATAACAAATATTACTTATCGGTAACTATTGCACCTAAAAGTTGACCTAAAAATTTTTGTAAAAATACATTTGATGTAAACGATTGTCCTAAGAGTAGACAATCTTCGATCGGACCGTTAGGACAGGCCTCGGCTTCGCCAAACACCTGTGCGTACCACAGGCACAACAAAAATAATGTAATACCGAAACCAATATTACCGTGCAGTTCCCAGACAACTCCTTTATAGTATTACATAAAAAATAAATTATTAGACTCGTTATCAAATGATTAAATAGTTTTTTATATATAGATAACTATTATGAATAAATATATACTGTATATATAATATTAAATTATATTTAAAAAAAATGTCAACTGTTTTTGAAGGCTAACCTAATTCCGCACAATCACTGCATAATTCAAGTGTCGATATAAACTCCGTTATTAGATAACCGATAGATTTTGGTGTTATAGTATGTGTTATCACTCGCAATGATTTAAATAATAGACAATTCAATAGTAAAACCAAATATGGATATACAAAGTGCGGTATTAGTGATGAATAAAACATGATTTTTTTGTCAGACAAACAAACAAACGTTATGTTTAATAATACAAATGAAATTTTCTAAAATAAATTTATGATGAAAACCTGTTAAACAAATATAACTTTTTTTTCTTTTATAATATATTTTAAACAATTATTATGCAAATAAAAGGGACAACTTTTTATTCAATGATTATTATGACATTGTAATCATATTATAAGTGTGTGTATGTGTGGTATTACTGTATAATGTATGTCTATTTTTAACAATCACTATAATCACATATATAATTTATATACATAGTTGGCACGACTCCAGTAATTTTTTTATTTAGATTTTAATATCAACTAATTATATCTTTTTTTTAAAAAATTGATAATATAAGACTCTTTTTTTTGTTATCATTGTTTATAAAGTCGTAAACCTCAGCACAAGTTCTAACCAAAAAAAAAAAAAATATCTATCAAACAGATAGTCTTATAAATATATATTTAAAAAAGGAGTAAACAAGGGGTACCCTGTTTGCTGACCGTTATATTTATTAGTAAAAAATTTGAGAATTTAAAAAATAATTTATTATAATTATGTATTTTTTTAAAATATAATTGTGAGATATACTAAAACTTATGATTTATTACAAACAATTTTTTTCATGCAAGTTATTATTAAAATTATAATAATTAATATTGTCAAGTAATGTTTTTTTATCGTTAAATTTAATTTTCAACTATTTTTTTGTATATACAGCATAATAATAATATTATTAATTAGCATATTTTAATATTAAATAAAATTATATTAAATTCTAACTATATTGAAAAATTCTTTAACTTAAATAATAAAAAATTATATTTTAACAAATTATTAAAATTGTAAAATATAACACTAAATAAAATTATATTATTCATAATTAGCGTTAAAATATTAATTTATTAACTAACTATTATAAACATTTAGATACAAAATTATATTTAAATATTTATATAAATATGTCATAATATAAATTACTGATAAAATTTACAAATTAAAATTTATTACAATTTGTATATAATTTACATGTATAAAGAATAAAATATTTAAATTAAAATAAATTATATAATTTTAAGTTTAAATTTATAATTAAAAATAATAATTATAATAACTTACAATATTTGTATAGTACTGAATAAAATAGTAACTGGAAATAGAGCTGAAAACTTTTGTAAATATAATTCAAAAACTAATAAAAATAAAAATTACTTTAATATCTGACTATTAATCGACGATATACTACAGTACTGTCTTATTATAAGATAATTATAGACACATAAAAATTTGTCTTAAAAAATGTTTAATATTTAATTTCAACACATGTTTTTCTGATATAAAATACAGTAAAATTATTTTCATTAGTCATGTTTTTTGGTTATTAAATTCATATTATATGTCATTTATATTATATTGTACTGTATAATAGCTTATTCATTCATTATGGACAACATTTTTTTAGTATTATTTTTTTTATTAATTAGTCTTTTTTGTTGATAAAAATCTATAAACAAATAAATTGTAAAACAATTATATATTAATCATTTTTTTTTAATACTCCCAAATACTAATGTATAAATGTTATTTTTTTTTAATAACTTTTGATAATTTACTAGTAAATTCTAAATTGTTGTTTTATTTTTAAAATAAATTATATTTAAATTTAATTTTATTATTGACATAAATTTATTTTTTAGTTTATATTGATATAAATATATAATTTTTTAGAAAATTTAATATATGTGTTTGGTTAAAAAAATTATTCTCTAAAATAAATTTCAATTAAATAAATTAAATACATGTATAATAATTATATTAATATATATTTATAATCTGAAAGATGCTTAACTTTATTAAATCATTGATATTGTTTATGTCATCAAATAATATAATAGTAAAATTTGCTATTTTTATTATATAAATAAATTTACAATACAATGTATAGTATTTATAATAAATAATTTATATTCTGCTATTTTTATAATGATCACAATTAATATAATTTCCGGTGACAATTTTATAATCATAAGTGTTATAATTATTATAAAATTAAATTTCTAAACAATTGAATAAAGCATTTTTATAAATAAACATAACTTTATATATAAGCTAATTTATATACCATATATACTATATATACATAGTTTATTCAATACTTAAAACCATATAAGTGTTAAATAATTTTCAATCAACTATAATAATTTTAAATCAATTATATATTAAATCAATGATAACCAAAATTAAATAACTTTAATCAATTTATAAATAAATTTATGTTAACATTTTTCTAACATTATGTGTTTTAGTGATATAATTACTTATAAATTATTAAATTACAACATTTTTATTAGATTAATCAGTAATCACGAGATAACAAACATAAAATATATATACAGTATATAAAATTTCCAATTTAAAAAAATATATATCAATTCAAATTCAAACTATCAATTAAATAATGAGAGAAATTAATAGTTTCAATAAATTTATATTATATTATAAAACTGACAGCAAATTTGTGAAACTCAAATAAAAATAAAAACGTTTAGTCAAAAATAGTATTGAAATTAATTGTATAATCAAATGTGTTATTAGTAATCAATTGGAAATTTTATTAGAAATCTAGTATTTATTTATTCATTCATTAAATAATAATAATTTTTGTCACCTAATAATCACTAATAATAAGAATAATAAGCAATTTTTTTTGACAAAAAACAATGCCTACATCTCCATCCCTAAAAAACTTGAATCAGTATAAAGCACCGGATGGTGGCTGGGGTTGGGTTATAGTTTTCGGCTCTTTTATGGTCAGTGTTATCGGCGATGGCTTCTCCTATACGACCGGTTTGTTTTACGCCGAGTTTCTTAGAGAGTACGGAGAGTCGGAAACGGTTACGTCGTTGTTTGACTCGATAATGACGGGAACAATATATTGCATCGGTATTTAAAACCCGAATTTTTATTTATATAAAAAACGGTTGTTTTTTAACCAACATTTTGCTACTATTTTTTTCTTCAACAACAAAAAACGACAGGTCCCGTAGCCAGTGGTCTGACCACAACATATGGTTGTCGCAAAATAGCCATTTTGGGCTCAATTTTGGCTACCGGCGGAATGGTGGCCAGTACTATTTTGGACAGTATTTATACACATTGTTTGACACTTGGTCTGATTACGGGTAATATATATATAAGCGGTATATTTTTAAAAAATTATTATAATTATCTATTTATTTGCTGAATATCCCTAATAGGTATGGGACTCGGGTTTCTCTATTTACCTCAAGTAATGATAGTAACCTATTGGTTTGACAAACACTTATCGCTGGCCACCGGCATCAGTGTCTGCGGTTCGGGTATCGGTATAGCCATATTTGCCTTATTGTCGGAGAAGCTGCTGAACGTATTCAATAGCTGGAAGAGTGCGATGCTATTGTTGGCCTCAATAATGTTTACTTGTGTCGGCTTTTCATCGTTGTTTCGTAAAGTCGATTATATGCAAGAAAAAAGTGATCTCAAGAGTGCCCTAAAAGAGACATTCAATTTCAAGATATTCAAAGACGGTGTGTTCATCTACTTCGCGATCGCCAACTTTCTCAATGGTAGCGTATTTTATGTGCCAATCATTTTCCTCAAAGACCATGTCGTGAAAACTCATATCGGAACCGATGCCGAAGCCGTACAACTGTTGGTCTATTTTGGTTTGTCCAATGCATTCGGGCGGGCATTTTTCGGCTACGTTGCCGACTTTCAATCACTGAATCGTATAGTAATGTACGGCCTGTCTATTATATCGTACGGTGTGGCCATTGCATTGATGGCCTCTTTTGGCACTCAATACATCTATATGATCGTATGGGTTGTCATGTTTGGTCTATCCGAAGGTGTGACGATTATGAAATTGATTGAAAAAATTCAGATTAAAAAAAATTTATCGGATTTTGTTTGTTTGATTTTATTTTTAAAGGAGCATTCATAACATTATCATCGGTAGTATTAGTAGACTTGTTTGGTATGGACAGAGTGACCAATGTGTTTGGCATAATCAATCTGATAGCGGGAATGGCATCTTTTATTGGTCCGCCACTTATTGGTAATTTTATATTATTAAAATTTTTAATATTATTTAATAATATTAATTAATTAATTATTATTTCTATCGATTAGCTAAAACCTTTGACAAAGTGACGGGTTATACAACGGGTTTCTATATAACATCGATGTTGACTATATTTAGCGGATTAATGCTATTAATGTTGCCATTGATTCACAAAAGTTTAGATAATGTTTGGACAAAAAAACAGACAGACATTGAAGAAAATGTGAAAAAATAATGAAAGATATTTTTTTTATAAAAAAAAACTAACAAATAATTATAATTAATTCAATATTTATTTATTTTTTTTTTATTAAACCCAAAGAATTTATGCCTATTTTATATAACAAACTAAAAGTTGTTGAAAACATAATAATGACCAAGGTGCTATTATATATATATATATGTACTGTACAGTAAAATATTTGTATATAATTGCCATTTAATCTATTAATTGATATATATATAATTTACATCATTATACTCATTTATTTCTATTATATTAAATACATGTCAATACATTTATTTCATAATAAAACATTACTTAAATAATAATAATAATTATAAAAATAAAATATACTTTTTAAATACAAGTATTAATTATAGTATAAATTAATTATTTATTTATAAATTTATTAAATAAATAAATATAATTGTCTAAAATTTTATATAAAAAGTTTTAAACATTTATTAAACTATTGTATAATAATAATTGTATTCAAACTGTAAATGCTATCCAATAGATGACTCGTTTGAAACTTTAAATACTAATAATATTGTATTTAAAAAACATTGATTGACTCTCACGTGTTGTAAGTTTTATATATGAATACAATAATACAAACACATGTGTTGTTGTCTAATACACTGTCAATGTATAACACATTCATCTGATCTGATCTCTCATCTGAAGACATCTCCTTTTTTATAAACTAATGGCCAAAAAACAACAGTTTAACAGATTTCGACAAAAGAAGAAGGGAAAGAACAATAGGAATCGGAAGTCGAAAGACAATAACAATAATGAAGACGAAAACGACATCGAAATGGTTGATAACAACAACCAAAAAGTGATTAGAAATTCGCGTAATTTTACCGCAGAGGACAACAACAACAACAATGCAGATGATGATGGAAATCAAAGTGATGGTGACTATCATGAGATGCGAATGAAAGCAAACAAGTCTAACAACAACAACAACAACAAAATGAAGAAGAATAAGAAAGGCGGCGGCTTTCAGGCCATGGGTTTCGGCTATAGTATACTGAAAGGTGTTCTTCGCAAAGGTTACCGAATACCGACACCAATCCAGCGAAAAGCCATACCATTGATAATGAGTGGCAAAGATGTGGTTGCAATGGCCCGAACGGGTAGCGGCAAAACGGCTGCCTTTTTGTTGCCAGTATTGGACAAACTCAAGTCCCATTCGGCCATAACCGGTGTCCGCGCATTGATCATATCGCCAACCCGTGAACTGGCCATTCAGACACATAAATTTACCAAAGAGTTGACCAGATTTACCGATTTGAAATCGACGTGTGTGTTGGGCGGCGATTCAATGGAAAAACAGTTTGCAGCCATTCATGAAAATCCCGATATTGTTGTCGCAACGCCCGGCCGTCTGATGCATATTGTTGTCGAAATGAATCTGAAACTGTCAACCGTCGAGTATATTGTCTTCGATGAAGCCGACAGACTATTCGAGATGGGATTCAGGGAACAACTAAACGAAATATTGAGTCGACTGCCTGAACAGCGCCAGACACTACTGTTTTCGGCAACACTACCGCAACTGATTGTCGACTTTACCAAAGCTGGACTCAACGATCCGGTTTTAGTCCGATTGGATACTGAATCCAAATTAAGCGACAACTTGAAGACAATTTACTTGACTCTGCGTAAAGAAGACAAAACAGCTGTTTTGTTGTATCTGTTAAAACATGTCATCAAAATCAGTGAATTAACTGTAATTTTTGTTGAGACCAGACATCACATTGAATACATTAAAGACATACTCAACAGTTCTGGTATCGAGTGTTCATTTCTGTACAGTTCAATGGATTTTGAGGCCCGAAAACTGAATGTCCAACGATTTCAAACGAGAAAAGTTCATGTCTTATTGGTTACCGATTTGGCCGCACGCGGTGTCGACATTCCACTGCTTGACAATGTTATTAACTATAATTTTCCGGCAAAATCCAAACTATTCGTCCATCGAGTAGGCCGTGTGGCCAGAGCTGGCCGATTCGGAACAGCTTATTCATTGGTAGCCACCGATGAGATGCCATACGTTCATAGTTTGAATCTATTTTTGAATCGAGAATTTAAATTAGCGAAACCCGAATCGAAAGTTACTGATGACGGCCTATTGGGTACAGTTCCTCAAGAGTTGATCGACGAAGAAACCGAAACATTGGATCAGATGCACTCATTGGACAGTGAATTGAGTTCAATGAAAATTGTTTGTCATAACGCTTACAAACAGTATCTAAAATCGCGACCGACGGCCGACAACGAATCGGTACGTATTGTCAAACAAATGGCCGAAAAAGATATCCAAACGCATCCCATATTTCGTAGTCGTAGTAATAATAAAAATAATAATAATAATAATGAAAGTGAAAAATTAAGAAACGATATGTTAAACTCGATTCGTGGTTATCGTCCGAATTCAACTATCTTTGAAACGGGAAAAACTAGAGGAAGTACTGGGTTTGAAGTTATGCAACAAAAGAGAAAATTGTTCGATAAATTAGTTGTTAAAAAATCTGATCGAAATCCAAATCAATTGGATTTTGATCAAAATAAAGACAAATTCAAAGACAATGAATTCTATGTTCGCTATCAGTCGGACCAACATTTCTCTGAAAAAGGTCTCGAAATGGATAAGCCGTTTAACGCACAGATGGCTTCGGCTGTACTCGACTTCAACGGTGATGAATCGCAATCTATGAACAGATCCAACAATGCGTTGAAATGGTTTGTAAATTAATTAATATTTATATATATTTATAAACCATTTAATTAATTAATTATTAAAGGGATCGAAAAAAGAAGAAGTTTTTGGCCGCCGGTAACACTGATAACTCGAAGAAAAAGAAAATCAAAACCGAAAGTGGAAATTGGATATCGGCTTCATATAAGTCAGACTTGTATAAGAAGTGGAAACAAAAATCCAAAACTGATCAACAAATTAGTGATGACGAAGGAGATGGAGGAGTCGGTGGAGAAGAAGAAGGAAGAGATATAGATCAGGAAAAGGCTAAACGAAATGAAAGTATTAGCAAATTGAGTAAAAAGATGATGAAAGACAATAATAAACAGTCATCGAGAAGACCGCCGAAAAGGGAGCTCAAGAATAGAGAAGAGATTTATAAAGAAAGACAACGATTGGAGAAAAAGAAATCCTTTCAAAAGTGGAGACAAAGCGAAAAAGCAAAACATAAGAATAATATTAATAAGAAATCATAATTTAATTTATAATATCCGACTATTGGTAATAATTAATAAATTGATTTTACGGTTTATTAGATTTTATTTTATTAAAGTTATATCAAATCAAAAAAAAAATTTATATATATATAACTTTTATAAAGTTTTATATCAAATCAAACAATTGTATAGAAATTTCCAAATCTTAAGCAGAAGTTTGCCTCCGGAGTGAAGTATTTAAATTATGACGAATTATTTCTACGGCTACCTTTGTTGGCCAACTGGTCGGCCTTTTCGTTGCCAGCATTTCCGCGATGGGCATCAACTTTATTATAGATGACATCCATGTTCTCGGCTGCGGCGTCCAGTCTCTTGAACTCCTCTTTGTTGACCACATCAGTTCCGTCACTCTTTTTCCAGCCGTTATTACGCCATCCGTAAGACCAGTCTGTGGCCGATCGTATAAGAAAATCGCTGTCCGTATTGACCTCAACACTATTATAGCCTCTTTGTTTAGCCAATTCTATGCCACGGGCGGCGGCCGTAATCTCGGCCCTGTTATTGGTTGGCCGGCCCGCCAACGGCTCACTAATATCGTACTCTGGATGATCGGGATAGTGGACACCGATTCCGGCCTGGGCTCCACTGTAGCCATTTCCATGACACGAACCGTCGGTATACATGCGTAGTCTTTGGGTTTGACCACCAGTTTGGGGACAACTAGTGGAGCGCCCATTAGTACTAGTAGTAGCAGTCCTGATTGGCGGTAAAGATCTAGAACTACTGGAACTACTGTAACTGTAACCACCACCACCACCACTACTACTACTACTACTACTACCTCCTCCTCCGCCACCATTCATGTATTGTTGAGCCTCCTGATGAGTATCGAAACTCTTGAACTCGCCTCCCGAATAGCCATTGGTCTGCGACCGACATTCACTCCACGTGCCGTAGATACCCGACTCGCGGCCCTCACGTACGGCGTAATACTTCTTTGACATTGTTTTTAAGCTGAAGTAGTATTAGTTTTTGAAAATTTTAAATTTTTTTTTGATGAACCACTTGAATGGTGTGATTCACTATAAATGAATCAGAAATTATCAAAACGTTTCTCTAAATATAGTAATGATTTTTTGGTGTTTTAAAGTATACGATAATTATGTGATAATTAAATGCTAATTAAAAACACAAAAAAAAGTCCAAACTATTAGTTTTCAACTACTAATACAATACTGTATTCAACAAAAATTTTGTCTAATATTTAAACTTAACAAACAAACAAAAATTCAAAATTAAAACCATTTGCTAATGTATTGAATTTAAATTGATGCAACTAAGGTGACCAAATCAAATCATCATTCAAAATGTTTAATTATTTTTTCCTATACATTACTAACTTTCTAATATACCAGTAATAAAGTTAAGTTTATTTTTTAAATTATTAGAAATAAATATTAATAAGTTTATATAAATTATAAGCATTTTAACTTTTGACTAATTTTACATTAAAATAAGCAATGATTACAAAAAAAAAGTTTATATTATTATAATTTTTAATAAAAAACAGTCGTCTATTAAAATCCATAGCATATTGAAAATTTAAATTTAAAAAAATACAGTATGACCATACAACCTAGTACAATTGTGACAAATTTGACTCATAATTTAACATTAAATAAGCTAGATAAGTTCACTATATGGAATATACTAATTTTTTATAAAAAAATATCTAGCTTATTTAATGTTAATATATTCATTTATGAATCAATTTCCACAATTATTGTACTGTTTGTATGATTTTAACTAAAGTTAACATATGTTAGTGTATAAGTGATTAATTTACATTAGTATTGCTTTTTTTATAAAAATAATTATTATTATAAATAAATAATAATTATTAATTACTTAATACAGTCATCTATAGTACAGAATCTATAGACTGTATAATATAGAGTAAAAATTATATTAGACATTAATATAGCATTTACTAAAACTTCATTCAAGTTTTATTATACTTATAAAATAGTTAATAATTATAATAATAATAATCACAATTTTATATTTAAATATCAGTAAATTATTTATTAAAATAAATTACAAAATGAAATATATATATCGATAATTGAGTCAAATACAGGACAACACATAACAGTATATAACAGTATATATGGCAAGTCTAGTGCTAACTGTTTATGCGAACCAATGATTGAAATGCAATTTTTTGATGACAACAACTCACTGTTTATATCATATAATTCACATAAAAAACACATAAATTGACTGTCAATTCAATAGCAATATTGACTGCAATTATACTATTAATTAATTAAACAAATGACTGACTGATTGACTGAACGGAAAACCCATCGATGGCTATACTGTCGACAGTTTTGACAAAATTGAAAAAATTGTTTATCTTGTTGTTTGCCATCATCAAGAAGACACTGTGCTGTTGCCGGCGACGGAGGCCATCGAAAAATGATGACAATCTGTTGCCGGTGACCGTACAGTCAACAATCGGCAGTGACCACAAACAACAACAACAATACTTCCCTAATTGGCCACAACATCAACAACAACAGCAGCAAAATCACCAACAATATCAACAACAACAACAACATAACCATTACCATCAACAACAACAACAGCAACAATACGCTTATAGTCAATCAGTTGGTAATTATAGTACCAATAATAGTGATAATAATGTCGCCATCGATGAGACACAAGATGGTGAAGAACAGGAGGAAGACTTTTTCAAAGATATGGTTCCCAAGTTTAAGAGGACTAAAAAAGTTAATATTATTTTGTGATTAATTAATTATATAGCGATATATTATATTATGTGATAATTTAAAAAACAAAACATTTAATTAATTATTTGAAATAATCTTTTTTTTAGATGTATGTCGGGAACAATCAGTCCAATAATGTTAGTGACAATAGTCAGACACAACATAATAATAACCGATTCGGTGTCGATATGAAGGCTACCATATTTCAGGTAAGGGTTTCAATATCAACAATAATCATAATATACGATATATATTCACAAATGTTATTTTGATTTTGTTTTTTTTTAAATATAATTATTTAGACACAAGAGTTGGGAACTATGGATCACTATGAAGATGTTGGCAACAGTTGGGAAGATAGTACAGCCAGCGATGATATCTGGGTATCGGATGAAAGTCTTCGTGAGCTAAGACAACAGGAAAGGGAGCGTAAGATTGCCGAACACAGGCGTATAAAATTGGAAAAAGAGCTGAAAAAAGCCAAACCTAAAAGCAATTTGTTGGCCACAAAAATCAGCTGAAATCACATTTAACACATGTTATCATCAGTTTTTTATTTTAAAAAATGTGGATAACGTGTTGTTGTTATTACTATTTATCATTCATTGATTGATTTATATAATTTTTCTTATCTAATAATTATATATATATATACAGTATATACAGGTAATAAATAATATTTAGTGTCAAATATAACTATACAGTATAGTACTGTAGATACTACTACTACTGTATATAGTTTTTACAACAACAACAAAAAGTAAACAGAAAGAGATATTTATTATTAAAATATTAATAAAAAAAATTTATTCAAGATTTTTTTTCAACAAAAAAATAACAAAAATTATTTTTTTTTAAATTTATTATGATACCCAATTACCCGTGCATTGGTAGTCAATGTGTGCCCACACATACACATTTAAACGGTGCGACAGAAATTAGGACAGGGAGGTGTTGGCACTATACGCCTGCTTGTTCTAATGGTTTCAATTTGGGAGACGGTTAGCTTTAATGGTGTGGACAATGATTTATATTCATCAGATCCATCGCAACAATCACAGATCCTATATATATAAATTACATTTAGGGGGGGATGGGATGGGGTGTAAATTCAAAATCAATTATTATTGTCATTTAAAACTAAATATTTGTTATATAAAAGTAATAATATATATAAATATATATACAAACCCATCGTTGACTTTAGCAGATGATATATATTGTTGTTGTTCACTATTAGCTGCTTTTGTTGTACAGTAAAATCTATTCAACAAAAAATAAATATCAAATTTACTGATAATTAAATACAAGTTTAAACAATATTCTAGTTAATTGTAGTTTTTTTTAAAAATAATAGTAAATCTTATAGCAATTGATAAAAAAATATTTTAAATTTAGTTAATAAATAGAGATTAGTTTTCAATTATTTTTATAATAATATTTCTAATCAAATAATCAATCAATCGATTGATGTTTTAAATAACTAACAGATTATGTGGACAGGCATTAGTCGATGGCTCGTCACTGCCATCAATACAATCACAGTAATCGTCGTTAAGATATTTATATTGAATTTGTTCACCGGATACGAGACACCGAAAGTATTGGCCACTGGTTTGCCGATAATAATGATCAGCATATTTGGCCAAAACGCCGACAATAATTGTCGACTTATTTTGATTATTAGCCAATGATTGTCTAATTATATCATTATCTATATTATCGACGTCTACAACATCAACGACAACAACACTGTCATCTGTCCTATGATTGACTATCACTTTGTGGTCAACATTATTATCTTTGGTCAACATCTGAAGCATTTGGACATTAAGTGCCTTCAGCGACAACAACTGATAGCTGAGGAATGCCAGACAAAGTAGACCACAGATGATGGCCAGAGTCCGCTTCTTCGGCAGCCATCGCATCCGCCAAAAGCTTGTCATCGATATTATAATGTCTTTTTGTTCAATCACTTAATTGGTCACCGGTTAAGACAATTTTTATTTTATTTTTTAAAGACACCACCATTTATATCATTTGAAAACTTAATGTCTAATTATTGCCTCATAAAACATATTGATATCAAAACTAATTTTTAGCTGACTTTTCAAATAATTAAAAACTTTTTTTTTCAACTAATGTTTGGTTTATTTAAAAATATTTTTTTTGTTTGTTTGAATCATATGTTTGTTTTGTTTGTTTGTTTTGTTTGTTTGGGTCTATGAATCATATGAAACCCCTGTATGAGTGGTGTCGTTCATAAATAACGTCCAAGTTTTGTGTGTGTGTGTTGTATAAATATAGTATTGCGCAACTGGTGCCATTTAAATAAAACTGTAGCTAGCTAATAATAATAATATAAATAATCATTATCATTGCATACACACACATATATATTTTATATACAATTTTCAATGTAAAACGTACGTACGTTAGAGTTTGAAAAAAATATATATAAAATAAAAAATCAATATTTGTTAGCTTATCTATCCTTATTTAGTTAATAATGTACAACATTGTAATGTTAATAGATTTCATAATAATTTAAGCAAGCAGCAATAAATAAAAAAAATTCCTATAGTATCATTAATATTAATTAATTGATTAACATTACACTTGAATTTATGAAAACATGAATCATTATTTTATTTATTTTTTAAAAATAATTTTTATTAGATTTTTTTTTTTAAAAACAAACTGACTTAACAAAAAATTTTAGTTTTTTTTCGTAATAAAAATTCCATATTGATAAATTAATTTCTATACCAACAAAATAATAATAATTATAATAATTAATTATAATTTTATAAAAAATTTATGTCTAAATTGAAAATGTCATGCATTGAAAATTGTTACTAAACTTATTTACATTATATATATTATAAATAATTATAATTATAGACTACACTTAAACAGTATATAATTTTTTTTAAATATAAATAAATAGACTATATATTTATATATACAGTGTATATATCTATATATTAACGATATTTGACTGTAGCAATTGTATTAGTACTACACCTACATTGAGCCCACACACATATACATACATTTAATATCACATAAGGTAACAGTGCAATAACTACAGTACATACATGATATAAAATACTTTATGAATACTGAGCTTTAATAATAATAATAATATACTGTATTGTACTGTAAATGTATTTGACTGTAGACTACAGTAGTGCGCAAATAGAGCATTGATTGCTAGTGTTTAATGTAATGGTGTTTCATATTATTATTAAAGCACTGTTAGGCAGATCTCAGTTATAATATTATAGTACAGTATTATTAGTAATAATAATACTGAAGTGCTATACCAGTGCTCCAAATATATAATGGCCGTACAGTTTAACTAATAATAATAATAATAATTATTATTATATATTGTGATTATTATTATTATTACTATTAGTTTATTATTATATTTTTATTTGTGTTTGAATTATATGTTTTGTTTTAACAAATAATTGATGGCTTGATTGAGGTCTGTCTTTAAACACGATTTCAAACACGACTTCATTGACACACATATTATATGAGAACTGAAGAGCTGTTGTTATGAGTCTTCTTCTGTGCTTTACTTTTGCTGTAATCATATGATTAGTAATTTTTTTTGTGAAGACATTATTAGTTTTTTATTGTTGTTGCCATCGACTACTCGACTGATGACCTGTTGGTGATAGTAGTAGTAGTAGTAGTAGTAGTAGTCGTCGTAGTGATTGGTTTGGTTTATCCATTGAGAGAGATTGACCACCGAGTGATGGACGTATCGATTACCGTAACGACGAATCAAATGAGTGCCACGAATAGCAATAGTAGCGGCGGCGGTGGCGGCAATACGGCCACCAATTCAACCAAAAAACATGGTTTCGGTTTCCGTCGATTTTCGCTGAGACGACTGTTCAATCAGTCGTCGATCGCCCGAACAGTTAGCACAAGACATTCAAAGAGTCCAAAAGAGAAACATTTGGACACTGGTTTGGCCACCGAAACAAAGGTATGTTATATTGATTGTCCACTATTAGCGATATATTGTATGATATATCATATATAAAGACATTTATAGGATAATATAATCAACTGATTTGATTTATAACTGCAGAGTGTCGGCCAAAGACCCACTTGTTCTACATATTCAGCCAACGCTATGGATGGAGAGTCTTACTCACTGTCCAGCGGTCGCAGCGATTGTCTTAACCATACGATGGCCGCCTCTGGCGCCGCTTATGACAACTCAAGCTGTAGTTCGGGCGCTATGGAGTGTCCACTTTGTCTATTGGAGCAGCCATACAGCCATTTTCCCGAATTATGTACCTGTTCCCATAGAGCTTGTCATCCCTGTCTTCAGCAGTACCTGAAGATCGAGATACTTGAGAGTCGCATAAATATCAATTGTCCCGAATGTACGGAACCATTGCATCCGAATGACATACAAAAGATACTTAACTTTGACGCCAATCTAATGGAAAAATACGAGACATTTATGTTGAGGAGAATACTAGTAACCGAACCGGATGCCCGATGGTGTCCAGCACCCGACTGTAGCTACTGTGTCATCGCTAGCGGTTGTGCCAGTTGTCCGAAATTGAAATGCGAACGACCCGGCTGTGAGACATCGTTTTGCTATCATTGCAAACAGGAATGGCATCCGAACCAGACCTGCGACGCTGCCCGCCAACAACGTGGCCAACGTTTCTCCCGACACGGAAAGTCATCGTCCGTTTCGTTTAGTCACGATTCGATTGTCCAACGAGACGACATCAAACCGTGTCCCTGTTGTAAGGTACTGATCATTAAGATGGACGACGGTTCCTGCAATCACATGACCTGTTCGGTCTGCGGCACAGAATTCTGTTGGCTCTGTATGAAAGAGATCTCCGATCTGCACTACTTGTCCCCATCGGGTTGTACTTTCTGGGGTAAAAAACCCTGGAGTCGCAAGAAAAAGATTATGTGGCAATTGGGTATGCTGGTCGGTGCACCCGTTGGTATCGCCCTAATTGCCGGTATTGCCGTTCCGGCCATTATTATCGGTATACCCGTATGGGTCGGACGAAAACTGCACGCCCGTTTCGAACGACACCAAATGCGACGCCACAAACGCAACATACTGGTCACGACCGGGGTTTTGACATCGATTTTTGTGTCGCCCATACTGGCCGCAGTAGCCGTCGGTATCGGTGTTCCCATACTGTTGGCCTATGTCTACGGTGTGGTTCCCATATCGTTGTGCCGTTCCGGCGGCTGCGGTGTTATTACGTCAGCTTCGGGCGTCCGAATCGAATTGGACGAAGAAAATGAAATCGCCATCGGATCCAATGTGGCCGCCGGTGAGTAAACAATCTAACAAATTGTTTTCCCGATAATTATTATTATTATTATTAACTATTGTAAGCAAATACATGACGAGATCTTAATTTTTTGATATTATATTTTACTATATAATTGACTATTGTTTTGATATGTCGTTTGAGATATGAAAAGAAATTTATATATATATTTAATTTATATATATATTATATTTGACATAATTATGTTAATTGTTTATTATTATTATTATTATTTATAAGTTTATCTATTGTTTATATATATTTATAAATATATATATATATATTGTTTTTTATAATTGAAAAATTTTATAATTTTTGATTATTTTTTATTGAAACGTATATCAAGAAATAAAAAGTAATTATTATTATTATTATTATTTAATAAAACGATTTTTTTGCTTATATTTTATTTTTCTTCAATTTATTTTATAAGAAATTTTTATTTATTTTTTTTTGTTGAAAAATAAAACAATGAATTGCTTTTTATTTGTTTTGCTGTATATCGCAGATGGTGTCAGCGTTGATACGGCACTCAGCAATCGCGGCGTCAATCCGAGTATCGGCGAAGTTTCATTAGGACTATCGACTAGCCTATCGATGGGCAGTGCCACTCATATTGATCGTATCGGCGGCGCGTGTGATCGGGAAAATGGTTCGACAGCTGCCTGTGCCGGCAGTATAGCCAGCGGTACACTGTCTACGGCTGCACACAATAAAGTTGAAATACAGGCCGACGTTTCATCAAACAAACGATTCAGTCTAAGCAGTCACTGCGAAACAGTTTCGGCTACACTAAGCTTCGGCGATCGGTCGACAAACATATCCTATATGGACGACAGTGCCAGCGTCAAAGCGCTGGCCGGTTCTATAGTTGGCTACTGTTCCAATTCGGTTACACCAGTCGAAGTACATACCGATCCGACTGTTAGACCTATCACTGCTACCGATACCAAAAGCTTGTGTTACACTGGCGGTTGTGAACAACAGCTATCGCCCGATAGTCGGGTCAGTATTGAAAACAATTACTCAATCAGTTCGCCATACGGTGACTATTCAGTCAATTATATCGATGACACGCCCAGTCCTCCATCAGATCAACTCAATAGTGATCAGGTATTCACCAGTCACTCATCAAACGGCTATTATTATTATTCGCAGACAAAACATCTGATCGGAAAGTTTGAGTCGCGATCATTGGAACAATTGACCAATTATTGTGAATTGTGTCACAAAAGCCATAAGCCTTGTTGTCCTAATTATAATATATCATCGCAAAAGTTGTCGCATAAGTCGGCCAACAAATCTAGTACTCAATCGATGACTCGGCGACAACAGTGTCGTTCTGTTGGCGGCGGCGGCGGTAACGATGAGAACAGTCGACCGGTGACGACAACAACAACAAAGTCTAAGTCACAGTCGTCATCGTCGTCGTCGTCATCATCGAGTAAAAGACGTACTTCGAGCACAAAATCTAGAAAGTCGTCAACTGCATCGTCAGTATCATCAGCATCGGGTGTTATAGTCACCGCCGCTGCCAACGACTACGCAGTGGCCAATAAAATGCACAGATCTGACTGCAATATAACCGAAAGTCCAGAGCAATATAACAAAAGAAATAACAGTAGTAGCGAACAAAACACCAACAAATTGTCGCTCATTTTCAATAATAATAATAGTATTCCGACCTCAACGGCCACTGTCAACGAGTTGCCGACCACTTCTTCGTCTTCATCGACAGCAGCAGCACATGACCACCAATACAACAACAGTACCACAAGAGCTTATACTAAAAACTCATTTTCTAATATTTTTATGCAAACTAAAGCCACGACTAGTAGTAGTAGTAGTAATAGTAGTAATCCTCAACAGATGCCTATTATCAAGACGTCAGATATTAAGACCAATTTCTGTGAAAACAATAATCACAAGTCGAGTGAAGTTTAAAAAAGATAAATAATATTTACCGTAAAAAACTGATAACTCGTTTATTAATATTAAAATTATATATTGAAATTAATTTACGATATTTTACTTACAAATTATCCGTACATTTGTTTTTAATATATCGTATATTTTGATATACAGAATATATATACATTATATATATATAGTCAATATTTTATCAATTTTTTGTGGTAAATAATTGTCAATTTAGATAAATCTATATAATCTATATTTAAACAAAAAAGCTATTATAATTGTAATTAATTTTCTTAACATTTTATTAATTACAACAAATAATCTATTATTGTCTTATATTTTATGTCTTTTACTTGAAATAATCTTTTATAATATGTATATGTGCTATAAATATATATTTAACAAAAATTGGTGATAATATATACAACACTAGATATTTATATATATTTTTGTTTTAATTTGCTGAAAATTTTAATAAGAAAAAAAAATCTCAAATTAATAGTTAATTAATAATAGTATTAATTTAATAAAACGTGTTTTTTGTTTAATAGATGTAAAATGTATTTCATGTATAAATGTTGTAAAAGTTGTATTCATACGATATATAAATATAGTATATATTATATACAGTATATAAATTTATATATATATATATATATTAATATAGATTACAATAAATAAATAAATAACAATAAATAAACAGTATCTAATAAAATTGTATGTTCAAACAAAAATTATATTGCTCATTTTTATTAATTAGACAACTATTTAAAATTTTTAATTTATTATTTAATATGCTTATAAATTATAAGATTTTATTTTCTATAACTAATTAAAAATTAATAATAATAATAAAGTAGTAACGGATCGGATATCACTCATATTAATAAATTCTATATAATTCTCTAATTAATAAAAATATTTTAGAAAATGTTTTAATTCAATATTATTGATAGTTTTAACAATGTTTTATTGGAAATTATTGTAAAAGTGTGATAAAAAATTGATTTAAATTTAAATCTATCAAAGCTATTAAATCGATTGTAATTATAGGAAATAAAATGAATTATTGTTTGATTAGATCGTGAAATTAATTCAATAATTTTATAATTTATTAACGTATAGTTTAAAACAAAAAATATTTTAAAAGAAGTTTCTGTTTATTCAAATACTCAAATACACAAAAAAACATTTGAATAAAAAAAGTTGTTGTTTGAAAATATTCAGTAAAAAATAACAATCAACTGTTCAAACAATGTGTTCGAGTAGTCCATCGAAGAATAAGATGGACAACAAAAAAGATAGTTCAGAGTCGACCGAAACCGAACCGCAATTGATTTTGCATAGAAAGACACAAAACAAGAATCAAAAGCCACAGATTAGTGAAGAAAAACTTAAGGAAATACAGAAAGTCTTTACTAATTGTAAAGACATTAAAGACAACAACAACAGACCAAATGCAGACAACGAGACATGCGATTCAATGATTAGACAAGAGTTGGGAAAGTCGACTGATTTTAATAAATCACATGATTTTGGTGTCAAATCCGGATCCGATAACAACAACAATGTGAAGAAATCATCGACGAATACGAAAAGCGAATCCAACGTACCATCCAATGGTTCACAACAAAAGTGATCTCTTAAAGTGATTACACCACTGATTGTGATCACAAAGAAAACTGTTTGATATTTCACAAAATGTTTTATAAATCTATTATTGTATTATTGAATGTTTCAAAATTATTATCAAATACTGTAATGTATTTAAAGTTAAATAAAACTCATTTAATTAATATCTTTTTTAATGAAATCAAAATTATTAATTGTTTTCTTATATTCACGAAATATAATGATTTTTAAAAATAATTAAATGTTTTTATTTATTTATATATATATACAGTATTACATAAATTAAATGAGTAAATTTTTTTTAATATATACCGTATTAGTAATAAATAATGAAATATTTAGCAAATGATTGATTAAAATTAATATTTATATATTTTCATTTAGCTGTCGCTTGAATGGTATAAAGTTCATAATAAACACCCCTTTTGGCTAACAATTGTTGATGAGTACCCTCTTCGACAACCTTTCCTTTAGCGACGACAACTATTTTATCGGCATTTTGTATGGTTGAGAGTCGGTGTGCGATCACTATACAGGTTCGGCCCTAAAATATTAATGAAATCCAATTTAATATTCTATAAAACTATTAGATTATTAAACTATTGATACCTCTCTGGCCTCGTCAAGTGCCTGTTGTACGACTTTTTCACTTTCCGAGTCCAGAGCACTGGTAGCCTCGTCCAGCAATAGTATCTGTGGATCTCTAATCAATGCTCTGGCGATGGCTATCCTCTGTTTCTGTCCACCACTCAGTTGTGTTCCCTTATCACCCACTGGTGTCTCGTAACCCATTGGTAATGATTTTATAAAACTATGAATATTAGCCTTTTCTGCGGCCCTAACGATCTCATCCATTGGCACAACACGACTATTGTCTCCATAAGCAATATTTTCAGCGATACTGTAACCAAAAAGTATCGGTTCTTGTGATACAATACCCAATTTATTTCTTAACCATTGAATATTTAAATTATTCAAACTTTTGTTATCTAATTTCTGTATTAAATTGAGAAAAAATAAATAAATAATAAATACTATAAATTTATTTCTAATATTATAAACTGAAATTTGAATGAAAATGCTTACAATTTCACCGGAATCTGTATCATAGAATCGTTGTATTAATTGAATTATAGTACTCTTTCCACAACCACTTGAACCTACCAGTGCTACAGTTTGTCCTTTCGATACTTCAAAAGACAATCCTTTCAATATTTTCTGGTCCGGACGGGTCGGATATGTAAACTGCAAATCTGAAAATTTGACTATTCCTTCACATTTATCCGGTTTTAATCCGCTAAACGGATTGACTATTATTTTGGGAACTCTATCTAATAATTTGAATATACGTCCCGCAGCTATCTTTCCTTTTTGATAGTCCGGTGTAAATGCTATTTAAACAAAAAGAAAAATATACACAAAAAAAATTAATAACCATTTTTTATTAATTTTCATTATTACTTGACTGACTAACCAACTGATTGGCCAACCATTCCTGTTCCCAAAATGACGGCTTCAACACATCTGTTAAGTGTATTAAAAAAAATTAAATTAAATAATACTATAATAATGTGTTTTTTCAAATACAATAACTTACTTAAACAGATCGCCATAACTAAGCTGTCCGTCCAGTACTAGTCTACTGCCGTAGAGCAGGGCTATGGCATAGGAAAAGTTTTCCACACTCTGAGCCATACCGAAAGTCGCACCCCGAAGATGTGCCCGAATTCTCGATCTCCTGATCTGAGTGGACAATGCTATCGTGTAGTTGTCAATGAATGCCGTCTCCCGATGCAATGAGGCCACTGTACGTATGCTGCCGATAGCTTCGACAGCAATCTGGTTGTATATACGGGTATATAAAAATCAATACAAACTCCTGTGAGAGCTATACAGTATACATACACGAGACGCTTCTTCCTGTGTTTGTTTATCGTCGGTAATCTGACCTTCGATTATTGTGGCCTGAAAATAGGTGGCCACCAATATTAGCGGTATGAAACAACTGATGACCAGTCCCAGTTTCCAACTGTACCACAATGCGATTCCAGAACCGGCTCCCAGTGTGACAATAGCGTTGCATAGTGTCGACAGACGAGCACCGGAAGCCTAAAAACCAATAATGGTGTATGAAATCAGTATTAAAAAAACATAAACAATAACTGTTTTTCTAAGTGTCGTACCCCTTGGACACTGGCCGTATCTGATGATAGTCGCGAACATAGAGCACCTGTACTATTATCCGGTTGGTCGTACCATCCGATCTCTTGTTGCAACATTGTCTTGAAGACAGTCTTTCTCAGTCTCATTGTTAGCCGTTCGCCACACATACCAAACATATACATCTTTTCAATCAAATCAATCAAATTAATATAATTTAGTTAAAAACTAATAATAACAATAAATACATTTAAAAAAGTGGTCAGTCCGGTGCCAATACCGAGCACTACAAATGCCAGGGCATACCAAACAGTGTCATCACTGAGTTTGTCGATATTTGATTGGGAAAGTATGGCTAAAAGTTCGCCAAAGATGATAGAAAAGATAGGATTTTGTAGACCACAGATTACGGCATTAACTAAACCAATAGTTGCCAACCATTTGTCCGGTTTTAATAACTTAATTAATCTCATCAAAGGTGCCGATTCGTCAGTCTTTTTCGACTTTTGGCTAACACTTCCGTTTCGTTGTCTAAGAGTTAAATCTCTGCCACTTTCCACACTAAATGCTCGTGAAATCAATAATTGTTTGCCATTTTTTTCCGGCAAATCTACCGTTGGTTTGTCATCCAAATCATTACTTCTTTGTTGACTTTTTACTAAATTATAATAAAGTCCTTCTTTTTGCATCAATTCTTCATGAGTGCCCACTTCTTCAACAATACCACTATTTATGGCAATTATTTTATCCGCTTGTCTTATCGTTGTTAATCTATGGGCCACAATAAAAGTGGTTCGTCCGACACTAGCCCTGTCCAGTGCCGCCTGAACTATGGACTCACTTTGATTATCCAAAGCACTGGTCGACTCATCCAACAAAAGAATCTTTGGTTTTCTAACTAAAGCTCTTGCAATGGCTATCCTCTGTTTCTGTCCGCCAGACAATTGTGAACCTCTTTCGCCAACCATAGTGTCAAACCGTTTCGGTAATTGCATTATAAAATCATAGGCATTGGCGTCTTTAGACGATGAATAGATATCTTTATCACCAGCTTTACTGTAACCAAGTTTGATATTTTCAGCTATTGAACAGTCAAACAATACCGGTTCCTGTCCAACGACACCGATCTGATCCCTAAGCCAACCGACATTCAAATCCTTAATATTTACGTTATCAATCAAAACCTGGCCATCGCTGACATCATAAAATCGTTGAATCAATTGAATGACAGTACTTTTGCCGCAACCACTGGGACCGACCAGTGCTACTGTCTGACCCGGTTCTGCCACTAGACTAAGTCCTTTCAATACGGGAACATCGGGTCGGGCCGGATAACTGAATTTAGCCGAACGTAATTCTACTCGTCCTTTAAAATCATCTAATTTGCTACCACTTTCAGAGCTGCTATCAATTTCAGGTACTCTTTTCATTACGTTAAATATCAGTGGCGCACAACCTCTGGCCATTGCAAAAGCGTCGACATAACCGCCAATTTGTGACAAATTTATTACACCCATAATTACATTGAAAAACACACTAATCATTGTACCCGAATCGTACAGATGGTTATTATCACGAATCGATCTAATAATTAGTCGGACGCCATACCAAAAGGCCAGTCCATCCGTACAGAACATACCGAGAAACATAACGGCCAAACCAATAGCTGTAAACATTTGCCGTCGGACAGCACTTTTCTTTGCCGGCTCTAAATTCTTGTCGTATCTATCAATCTCTTTGGTTTGGCCACCGAAAGCATACACTGTCCGAATGGCACCCAAAACTTCTTCAGCCACAGCCCCGGCTTTGCTATAGGAATCGGCTTCAGTGGTGGAAAACTTTCCCTGAAGCTAATGGTTCCGGAAAAGTGATAGCAATTGAATTATTTATTTAATTATTTTCAAACAACAACAACAAAAAATACATACTTTTCCAATGATTACAAATGTTATCAAAATGATGGGTACAGTCGATAACATAACTAAAGTCAATTCCCAGCCGTAATAGAAAGCGGTTCCCAATGAAAACAATACGGTTGATAATGAATATATACAAAGTGCCACCTAATTCAATGGGGGGAGGGGTGGGGTTAACTCATTAATTATTGTTTTTGTTTGTTAGAGTATAATTAAAATGCAAAAAAATATTTTTTTTATACAGTATATATATAAATAAATATAATTAATACCTTATCGCCAATCGCGTCGCGTATTTTATCCAAATCACTGTTTAACATAATTAATATAAAATAATTAAAATAATTATATATTTAATAAAACAAAAGAAAATCAATTCATACGCTGTAATCTTTGAGGCAAAATCACCGGAAGTTTTGGTGTCAAACCAAGTGATGTCTTGTTTGAGAATGGATTTGAAGAATAGGATACGCATTCTGTGTGTCTGATTGTCAGCGGCGGTACTAAAGGTGGCGATCTGTATATAACTGCAAACAAAAAACGCTACTCCGATGCCAATCATCAGAAAACTCCACAAATTGGCATCACTTTTGAACTGTTCCACATAGGCTTCGTCGCCGTGAAATGCCGTCCCATTGACCGCATCGACAAACGAATCATTGTTTTTCTTGAGTCTCACTTGAATGACATTCAAACCCATATCGGGATAGTCGGCCATCAATTGATCCAGAAATTTCTGTTTACTTGTTATGTTAATCAGTGTTGTATCGTAGTATTGTCGGGCATTTGGCCATCTGGCCAGACCCGTATAAATATCGTAAATGACAAATGTTTGTGTCATTTGTCCCACCAGTGACATAATTGCTGGAAATCCGGTGCCGATAGCTATCGAAACGATTGTTCCGATTAGTATCAATAGTTTGTCACATAATGATGAATAGGCAAACTATTATTAAATTATTAGATTAATTAATAATTTTGATAAAAAAACAATAAAATATTTTAATACTTTACAAACAAAAATTGAATTAACAAACAAACAAAAATAAATTCATTTTTTACTAACCAGTGATGCAAAAGATGCCGGTTTTTGTTTATCTTTTTTGTCATCTTTTTTCTTACTTTTCTTTTCGTCTCTATTTGAAGAAAAAAAATATAATATATATATATATATATATAATTTTATTAAATTTAAATTAGTTTTTAATCCGAAAAAAAAATAATTAGTTATACATACAAATTGATATTATTTTCGACACTTGAAGTTTCATCTATGAATTTGACTGACATTATGTTAATTATTTTTTTTAAATAGAAATAAATAAATAAAATTATTAATAATTTTTTACTCAAAAAAATTAACAAAATTTACACTATATTATGATTAAACAATGTATATAACATTAATTTTTATGTTTAATAGTTTGATATTTCTTTCTAAAATATTCAGTAAGTTTTAAATAAATGAAATTTTTTTAACAAAACTTTTTATTATATATATAAAAAATATTTATTATTTATGTGTTGTTTTATCATTTAGGTGTTAAATGAGTTCTCAAATCAAACACCTGATATATATAATGTATAATAAAATCTTAGGTAATATTTTTCATATAATAATCCATAATTAATAACAATTGTTTTAATAATTATCTATACTATACTAAATATAAGTAGTATAAAATTATACAATATATTATTTATAATATTAATGTACTGTTATCTAAACATATACTGATATCATAAAAATATCAAATAATTATTAAAACAATGAGTTCTCTTATCTATCAAAAAAAACAAACATTATTTTCTGTGTCTATTTCTGGTATATTTTTTATGTGTATTATTTTTCTTATATTATTATATTATCATAGATGATGAAACTTTCAATAGAAATTGAACAATTTTATTTTTATTTATTTGTTAAATATTGCTATAAATTTGAAATAAATTTCATTATGAAAATTATGATAAAGCCTATAAAATATAATTTCATCTATAATAATCATAATAATAATAATACCTTTTAATTTTGCTATTGAATTATTGATATGATATTAATGGTATTTAATTTATTTAAAAAAATATTTTTTTTTAAAATTAAAATCTGTAATATAATAATTGAATATTAATTTAAAGTGTTAAAAAACCAAAAAGTATATAATTAAAATTAAGACAATTGTTGAACATAATTTTGTTAATAAATAGTTATCTACTTATTATTAATTAACATATAGTTATTTAGATAATTACACAAAATGTAATTATTGCAATTATTCAGATACAATACAAGTATACTTATTGAACAATTTAAGTTAAAATTATTATTTTTTAAAAATTGTTATGTATTAAAAAAACAAAATAAATGATTAATAAATTAACTAACAAAAAAACATACTAACAATATTACTGTCCATTAGATATCCTCTTAAATATTTATACATATCCTCTATACCTTATTTTTGTGTCTATCATGGGATTTAAATTTGAAAGCATCGTAGGTTAAAAAATAAAACTGTTAGCCCATTAGTAAGGAATGGGATGTCATTTAACACTTGTGCACAAAAATTGATATATTAAGTAATATATTGAATTTTTTTCACAAATATCAATATTACTATTTTTTTTAAAACATTTACGGTAATAGTAATAATTTATTTAAAAAAAAACAATCACTCTTTTTGTTGTCAATTAACTTTATTATAATATCTGTTTAATTTCTATTTATTATATATGAATTAAAATTAACAAATAATTAACATTAAAATTTTTGTTGTGTGTCTTTTAAAATAACAATAATGCCATTAATTAATAATCACAAGAGATATCATATTGTGTTTACTTATTAACAATTTTTTATATATATCTTCAAATAACATTAAATTTAATAATTAACAATTTAGTTATATAACAATAATAATAATTTATGATTTAACCATTAACAACAATAATAATAATAATGCATTAAATTATTTAATATCACTCTAAGTTTATATGTATGTGTTTGTGACCATAAAATGGGCTAAAAATTTCAATATAATAATATTAATAATTATATTAATTAATTTAAAAACTCATTTAAATTATTTAACTTATTATGAAATAATTATCCATCACTTTGAATGTGAATATTATTTTTTTTTTAACAATTATGTCCTAAAATAACAATAAAACATTAGATAAAATTATATATAATAGATATCTGATTAAAATCTGTTAACATTTCATATATCATTTGCTTTAACAGAGACTAGAATTTTCCACAAAAAAAAAATCATTTAAAACTTTGAATAAAATCGTTTCATCAGTTTTTTTTTGAAAAAAAATCATGACTTCAATGTAACTTATAATTAGTATATAAGTATTGAAACATTGAGTGCATAACTTAACAATTAATTTAATATAAACATTTGTTATTATATTTAATAACAAATAATTAACAAATAATCTTTTGAATCGATTCAATGGCACTGAAGTTATTGACTTAGATTTTGTTTGATTTTTTTGTGACTAATTAATTAAAATGTGACTAAAATAGTTGAGGGAAAAAATAATTGACTTAATTATATATATATATATATATATAATTAATTGGTTTATGTGTTTGGTTTAATTTTTTTTTTCGGAGAAACCAGTGGCAGCACCGGTAGTTTTTTAGAGTGACTTCTCAATTTTGATGAGCTCAAGGATGCCGTCCTGCATCTCCCGGACCGCCTGATACTCGGTCAGACCCATACGTCTCTTGTTGGAGATATCATAGACGCCTCCCTCGCTTTCGGTGTGCTCGCCGCGGGTGCCGCGAACCTGTAGATTGTATTTGCCGGCCACTTCTTCCAACTTTTTCAGATCGGCCGCCAGCTTCGGTAGAGCAATGTGAACACTGGCCCGGATAGTGGTGCCCAAATTGGTCGGGCAAAAGGTCAAAAAGCCGAGACGATCGTCGCGCGAGAACGGAATCTTCTGTTCGATGGTTTTGACTGCTGTTACCAATCGGGTGAACACCTCCTTCAAGTTGCCTCCCTTTTGCATACTAATGATACGCAAGTGATCTGTTGTGATATTGAGACAATTAAATATTTTTTTTAATTAGCTATTATTTATAATCCAATTAATTGAAAATAAATTTATTTTTTTTAAAAAAAGCAAACCCTCTTCGTTGACCCAAACAAGGAAAGTCTTGGCGTCGTTGTGGTAAATGCCGCGACCAGTTGGCCAGTATCGGCAAGCGTTGGCAGCTTGCAGGAATCTATTTAAGTGGGGGGGGGGGTTAATAAGATTTTGGTGATTTAAGATGAAATGGTTTGGTGTAATACCTGTCACCCTCTTTGAACAGGAAGTGATCGTCGATGAGCTGCTGTTGAGTCTTCTTATCCATTCCTGTCAATGGAAAGTAAGTTCCCTTCAATTCTCCGTCCATTGAACTCAACTGTGCCTTAACTTTGTCCTCCATTTCTTGGTATTGCTATGAATAATAATAATAATAATAATAATAATAATAATAATAATAATAATAATAATAATAATAATAATAATAATAATTGATTTAATAGATAAAAAAATTAAATTAAAAAAAAGTCTAACCCCTTGAGTGAGACACGGGTTGAATGGATAACCCTTAAGACTGCGACCGCATCGGACACGAGTAGAGACGACAAATTCGTTGTTTGGATCGACATCGACAAGAGTGCTGAGGTCACCGAAATCGGATTGCGGGTGTTTGTCGGTCGGCTTAAAGCCCTGATGGTAGTCATCGATGACCGGATCAAACAACTCTTTGAACAGAGTGTACGACTCGGCGTCCTTTTTGTTGATAATAATAATAATAAAAAGTTGTTTTAAAAAAAATATTTGATTAAAATGTTTAAAGTATTACATACCGGTGCGTACAATCCTACTCCAGAGTCCAAGTTCTCAACGCCTTTTATTAAAAAAATAAAATAATTAATATTTAAAAAATACTATATAAATATAGATTAAAATACTATAAACTACCGGTAAATATTAAAAATAAATATATTACTTATTATTTTTATTATAGTATTACGATTTTTACGCTATGATATTGTTTGTATAATTAATATTAAAACTCATATTAATTTCTTTATTCAAAACTAACGATAAAAATAATTTTATTATTTCTATATCTTATTGACCGAAACTAAATTGTTTTCAACTATTATTTAAATTAACATTTAATATTGTATTATATATATATATATATATATAATTTTCTTTATGCTATAAAAATAAAGCTTATTTTTGTTTAATTACTTTAATTTGTTATACAGTACAGTACTTTACAATATAATCTATAGATTTAAAAATAAATAAAACAATTATTATAATTCCAACACATTTGCCAATTCTAACACTTGTTTTTGTTAAAAGAGAGAGAGAGAGAGAGAGAGAGAGAGAGAGAGAGAGAGAGTAGGAATCGTAAATAACTGGGACATTATCACTACCTCTACAAAACTACTACTACTAATTTTTGGCACTGTTTGCCAAAAATATTTGATTACTGTTGAGTTGCTTAGAGTAGTAGTCTATTTTTCATTGGCTTCTCCTATATTAAAAATAAAATAAATTTTAGACCTATTTTCTTCTAACATTACAATTATATATTGAGAATAATTTGCAAATATTCTTTAAATAAACTCATTAGTTATAAGCGTATTATAAATATATATTTAAATATATACAGAATTTTCAGAATAACTACTAGTAGTTTAGTTAATAGTTTGTACAATATTTATGTTCAATTGTAGTTATATATTAATAATTAGTTATAGCAAAAAAACTATTGATTAAATATTATGCTAATATATTGTAAAAATAAAATAAAATTAGATAAATCATGACTTATATAGTCATTTAAAAAAATTTGAAAAATAATATTCATGTAATATATTCATGTCTTAATATAAGATTGTCAAATATAATCATTAAAACAAATTACAAGTAAAAAACAAGTAAATAAAACATTTATGTTAAAAAATATACTACTGATATAAATATTATTTGTTTGTTAATATTAATATAATATATTAAAATTGTTTTTAATGTATAAATATACTTAAAAATTATTTTTATTATAAGGTTATAAATATTCAATACAGTTATACAGAGTAAAGGTTACTAAAAAATGGCAATTGTATGTATATGTAATATATTTTATAGTCAATTAAATTAATGTAATTATCTATTATATATTTTTTTAATCTATTTCTAGCATCATAAGTACTGTACAGTATATTATTACAATAAGTAGTATTTTCATTTCATTTCAATGAATATTTTATTGACATTATAATAAAACTTATTTATGATACTGTATATGAAAATATGTTATATAAAAATTTCCTACAATAAAAAAACTAGAGATAATAATTATTCAATCTAATACTTTACTTATATGTATAAAATTAAATAAAAAAATAGTGAGTAAATAACATAATTGTGATAATAATTGTAAAATAAAAATCATATCTATTTAGTGTCTCTGGGAGTCTATGTCTGCAAACAACTGTTATCTCAAAAAACTGTCTAAAGAGTTATAAATATAACCCTTTCCTCTCCAATGTCAAGGATTTTGAATTCAATACAATTGTATAAAAAAATAAAGTTATGTAAACTAAAGCTAAATTTTTTTAACTGATGTGAAACACAGAAAAAATTTAAAAAAGATTTAAAAACGATTTGCAAAAAATAATTTCAAAAATATCTTTTTGACAAAAATTTTTATTATTAGCGTTTAGTAATTGAAAAAAAATTCTCATTATATTTAAAAACACAATTTTTCTAAATTATTTTTTTAAATGTTTGTTTAAATATTGTATTATGTTTTTTAAATTACATTTTTTTAAACGTATAACCAAATACTAACTAAAAAATTGATAGAATAGAATAGATAGTAATTATTGATAAAAATAAAATAAAATAATAGATTTTAATCTAAAGAATATTCTTTAAAAAATAGTAATATATATTCATTAATAATAATAGAATTGTTATTATTTTTTTATATAATTATTCAGATATTTGAACAACAAATAAAACACACAAATTAAATATTAAAGCAAACATATCAGCAAATTATAATATTTATTTATATAAATATTAATATATATAATATTTAATTTAATATTTCTAAAAATTTATAATAAATATTTAAAAATCCTTAGTAACGGAGCAGAAACAAAAATTTTATTAATAAAAATAATAACAAATATTTTTTTAGATTAGTAGTGGTTTTGTTAAATATATATATAAATATACCAAAAATATATATACAATATAATGCTTTGAATGAATAAAATCAATAGTTTCGAGGCTATAGTGACTACTACTCAGTGGAAGTAATACTATAGAGAGAAATGGCATCTAATGGCTAACCCATTGATGTAATAATATTTAAGTAAAAGTAAATAATAACTTATATTATTATCTCTCAATAATGACTTTCAATATATTATATAAAACATGGCTTTAAATATATGTGTTGAATAGTATACAATAAAATTTTTTTTATAACTTATCATTAATCTTATCACTAAAAATATAACTGTATTACTTATAACCGTTTTTTGTTTTTCTTTTATAATTATATACTGGAAACTATTATTACATTTATTTGTTTCTTAAAAAATAATTTCTATGCTAATAAATATTGTTATAAAAAATTATATTCCAATATAATAAAAATAATATTAGCTGCTAATAATAATAAAAATAATTTTTTAATTATTAAATATAATATCAGTTGAGAAAATCTAAATTATAGACAATTTTTTCTAAAATAATAATTATTGTACTCTAGTATTGTATTCACAGATCAATTAGAGAAATAAAATCAATTTTTTCAAACAAAAATATGTAAAATATTTTTTTTTTTAAAAAGGATAACTGTAATACAATTTTTAATACTAGCCATAATTTTATATTAAATTGTTTTGCTAACCAATTGTTTTTGATAAATCAATTAAACAAATTTACTAATTAGTATCAATCATACAATTATTAATTTTATCATTTATTGTTATAATTATTTATATTAAAAAATTTAATTAATTAATTAAATAATTAGTTTTTCACACAATTGAATACCTGATTGAATAACATCCAGAAGTGTTGCTCCCATTGCTGTCTTACGTGTCTTCAACTGGTCGAAGACATCTTTGCTCAGATACTTCTTGAGCAGTGAATGGCAATTGTTGGCCTCCTGGAGCTTCTTGAAGCCGGCATCAAGTTTGTCGAGAACTGACTGATCAACCATTTTGTTTCGGTATCTAATCGGGAGGTGGTTTGGGATTTAATCAATCAATTAATTAATCAGATATCAAATCAAACAAAACAACAAATTCTTGTATTATAATATGTAAAAAATATAACCAGAATTTGATATAAATCGATAAATTAATAAATCAATAAAAATCAAGAGATATTTTTTTAAAATTATTATTAATATCAATATATTGATAGCAAATATGAGAGAAAATATATGTTGAGATAATTAGTTTTGTAATAAAATAAAATCAAATAAAAATGTGGTTTTTCGTTATTAACGATAAAAATTATAGCAATGGTTAAGTATCAGCAAAAAAAATTGTGAAAATGTGAAATGTCTTACAGTTTTAGAGGATTTTTTTTGTTGAAAGAAAGACAGACACAATAGGTCTACTATATTAGGGTAGCACTGGACGACTGGTAGCAGGACTGGCAGTGAAGTCAGATTTAAGATACCGTTTTTTTGGAAGAGGAGGTTCTCTCTCTCTAAATAAAACACACAACTGTTTTCTACAGTAGGTTGGCTTTTAAGACATGGAAATAGACAGATATTGTATATCAGAGATACATATAATATCATAGAGAAAGTGCACGTATTTATTGACTCCCGACGCGCGCGCATACATTCATTGGGAAAAATTCATAGATTCTTGTGTTTAGGCCTTTTAGGACATATATGTGCGCTTAGGTATAATCATTATCTCAGGGGGTTGTTATACAATATTGTATTTAATACTGTTTTTTTGTATTAAAATTTTTTTATTAATAAAAAAATGTTATATAATTGATATAAATAATATATAATACTAGTATGTATGTTATCCATGTCTTTTAACTTATATAATAGCGATAAACACCAACACAACTATTATATATAACTTATATACACTATAATGATATCATTGATTAATTGCAGAGACATTTCTACTAATACTAAACAGTAATTAACATTTTAATAAATTATCAGTAAAAAGTCCAAAGTTTTTATTATAAAAGTATTATATGTGTGTATAAACTGTGTGTATTGCAATTAATGGGGGTAAATTATTTTTTTTATCAATATATTATCAATATTAATACTTTATATACGCCTCTAGTTTTCTTATTGTTTTATATTTTATAGTTTATATTATTTTTAATCCTCATAATTATTTTTAAATATTTATTGTATATATTTTTAAAAAATTTAATTAACACTTAAATAAATATTATTTTAAAATAGTAAAATATTAAAATATGTTTCGATAAAAAAGTAAAAATAAAAATTTAATTACAATAACTACTTAAAAATAATTAATTTTCTAAAAAAAACAGTATATTAATTATTAACCATATATAATTACAGTATACAGTATATTCAAGCTATAAAAGTAATTTAAAACTTTTTGTATTAAATTAAAATCTCCTTAAGTTTAGAAATTGAGAACACATTTGATTGAAATACTAGAGATTTTGTTATGCAATCATTTCTAACAGTTACTAATAGTTAGATTAATTTTAATTTCTATTAATAATTGTAATACAATGATGAAAATCAGCAAAAATTATTTGTTACCAAAATTATAAGTACTTTTTTAATCAATATCATAGTCATACAGACAGACACACACACACACAACATAAATATAAAAATATAATAATAAGTAGTAGTTGTAGTAATACTATTAGTAGTCTATCGCCAGAATTAGAGGACAATTCAAGTTCACTCAAGAATTTCCTAACAAATGATTTTCAGAGAGAAAGCAGAATAAAGTCTTTTGGTTTGACGCATGTCTTCAGTCATTGAGAGAGAGAGAGAGAGAGAGAGAGAGAGAGAGAGAGAGAGATTCTGTACAAGAATAGCATCAATTGATTATAATGGGCTTAAAACACACTACTCTTTATATATGATATCTAAATCCGTGTAACTATTATCCTATTGATTGATAATAATCAATCAATTAATTTAAAAAGAAAGCAATTTAATATATTATTTATTTTAAAAATGTTTGTTTTTCTCCCCTAAAAATAATATTTATTTTTAATAAAAGACACTTTTATTTGTTACACTTTTGATTTGAAACTTTTTCTTTTACAAGTTTTATATTAAGATTAATAAATATATCGCAAAAAATACAAATAAAATAAAATTATTTAACAGATAACAGATTAAAAAAATTTCTATTTTATAAAACTATAATAACTTAGTAACAAATTAATTTGATGTAAGTTTGCCCTGATAACATGATAACTTAGTTAATAATTTTTATACTAAATTATACAGTAAAATATTATACTGTATCTTATTGCATGTAGTGGTACTTATGGTTTAAATATAATTTATATTAGATCTAATAATAAATTTGCTAAATTTTAATAACTAAATTAAATATTTATTATAAATAAATAAACTAAAAAAATAATTAAGTTATTTAAATTTTAGCAAATAATTTATATAAAAAAGATGTTGATTAATTACAATACATATTTTTATTTAAAATAATATAAATTATAAAAATTAAAGTTTAAATATTTTAATATATTTAGAATAGTTAGTAATAAAAAAATATGATAATAAAAAACTATTTGAAAAACTTTTATTAGTATTCATTTATTAATATTACAATTTATAATTTATACCGTATTTAAGTAATCTAATAAAAATAGAGATAAAAAATTAAAATAAACTAAATAGATAAACTTAATGGCTTATATATTTAAAATAATAATAATAAAGTTTATTATAATTATTAGTTGTCTATTAATTAATATAAATAAATTATTTTCGAATAATTTTAAATTCAATTAATTTTTCTTGATTAACAATTTATTTTTTAAAATAAATATATTAGAAACAATTAAGACATCAATTGTATGCACTGTATATTACAATCCAATGTTAGTCATACACACAAAAAAACTAAAAATATCTACAATATTATACAATATAAATGTCACATTGTATAACACAGTTAGCTTAATAAAAAAAATTGTCTAGGACGTTGACTAGGTTATTTATTTTAATACTACTAATAGTAAGCGGAAATGAGATTTAACCGTTATTATAATAATGATGCTGAATGGGGACAGTCATGTCCACATCATCATCAACAACAATGGGTCATACCTGGGACAGGAGGTACGATAGATCAAGTAGCCGGCGATGGCCGCCGCCGACGCTCCTATTAAGACCTTTTTGCTGGCAATTGATGTCATGTTTTTGGCACTGAATTTCTTTTATATAATGTTTTAATGTAAATTCTGCGGCAGTTATGCGCAAATAAACTGATACTGAAATTCTGGTATTACTGGTGTAGTCGTCTCCCAGAAATAAAAACCAAATAAACACACAATTCAATGCTCGTGTATATCAAGAAAATTAAAATGTGTATTACTGTATGTGTGTGTGTGTTTGCACTTCAAATTGTAGGTTATAATAATCAATCTATTTTTATAATAATATATATATATATATATATATATATATAAATATATTTATATTTAATTCAATTAATAATATAAAGCCTTCTATTGACTATTTTATTATTTAATTGATAAGAAATATTTTTTTATTAATTATTAATACTATATATATAATAAAAATATTCACTTATATTGCATTTACAGATTTGATAAGAAATATATATTTAATATATGATTACCGAAAAATATATATATTTAACAAAATAGTCGCTGTTTTTCAAACACACACACAGAGTATTGATGATATTGTTATATCAAATTTAATATTAATAAAATTTAATATTAATATTACAAACTCTCCCTTTTAATCAAATATAGTAATTTGATTTCAAACTTTCAAAATTAAAACTGTAATCAACGTTATGATAAAAAAATACTGTATTTATTACTTACTCTTTGACGAGTAAAGATATGCACCAAAATGAGATCATTTTATATCTTTCAAAAATAAGTCATAAAATTAATATAAATAAAAAAAATTAAACAAAAATTAAAAGCCAATCCCAGTGTCGGGCATTTGATGTCAATATATGATTCAATGCATTATTTTTTTGGTCAGATTCTGCGCTCCTATTGTTTTTTGAATACAGAATATACAGAATATACTGTTTATATATATAAGCTGTAATATAACCATATTGTTGTATACACTGGTTTCTAACATACCTCCATGTCCTCTACGGATGCGCTCAATAAACTGTATCTCATATATACAATATATAAAAATAATCTCATTTTATCCCTATTATATCAAATGTCCATTTTACAGTAGCATTTAGTGAATAATGTTAAATGATATTTATATATCGTATAAAATCTATAGTATCATATATTTATAATATTTTTTTATTTGATACTGTAATAGGTTTAGGTATTACTAGAAATTGGTATTTATATAGATTTTTATAATGATTTAATAAGTTTGAAAAAATATTTTTATTTAAATTTTATTTATTTTCAATTTTTAATTAAACAAAATAAAAACACATTTTAAATAAAGTATAATAATAATTGGTGGTATAAAAATGTGTGCAAACAACTAGTGTAGTAGAAATTATATATTATATATATTAATATAAATAAAATTAAAAAGAGTAAAATTTATATAATAATAATAAAAATTAAAAACTATTAGCTTAATTAGTAAGCTTACTAATTATAGTATTTTTTTAATAAATACTATATTTAATTATAATTAATAGTAACAATCATTTTATACAACAAATTATTCACACAATCATTCATTTCATTCATTCATTCATACAATTCATATACATTACGGTGTATTAGTATTATAATAATTATTATTATTAATCAATTTAGTTATTCAACTCTCGATGGCTTATAATAATCAAATAGATAGCCATTACATGTCTGGGATTTTCTGAACAAACTGTTCTCAAATGTTTGCAACTCTTGGATATCGGAAAAATCTGATACTTTTTTGTAGCCATAGTTCTGGCGATTTGTCATCAGATAGGACTCGCTGGACATGATTTCGTCAAACCATTGTTCACAGTTGATGGCACCCGATTGGCCACCAAATTCTTTGGGCAATATATCGGGTGCCAGTATTTGATGCAATTGTGTCAGATCTGAGCCGTGAAATGTTATCTTTTGGCGCAGTTCTTCGCTCAGAAATGGTTTCAATATTGTGAACGCAATGTCGGCGAGTGTCGACTCGTGGACAATGTGTATGGCTTTGAACCGAATTGGCAGACATTCGTCGATAATATGGACCATCTTTTTGGCCTGGGATGGCCCAAATCGGCGTAACTGTGACCAACCGAAATCGGTCATATCGATGACACACAACAGACCATTGATTTGGACGACCTCATCGATGGCCGCCTTTTCCAGTGTAACAATACTGGCCGCTACTAGCGAATCGAAATTAAATTTTCGGGGATTCCAACGTCCGGCCCGTATGGCGTAAACGGCTTCACCGGATCGACATTTTTTCGGTAAAACACACATCGTTTGCGAGTCGAACACACATTTCAATTGTTTCGGCGGTACAAACAGTTCGGGATTGTTGGCCATCAGATAGTAGTATTGTTTGATCAGATGCAGGGCTTTGTCGTAATCAAACATACGGGCCCTCAGATAACGTAATAGAAAAGCGTCGTCGCTCTGGGAGTTAAGCAACTCTTCATCTGTTTGTTTGATGAAACAGAATAATAATAATAATAATAATAATATTAAAATAAAAATTTAGTGATTAAAATAAACACAAATTTTTTTAAATGTTAAATCAGACGTCAAATTGTCTTTTAAAACAAAAATTATTTATAAATTTTAGGATAAATTATATTTAATTCATCTGTTTTTTGGCAAACAATCACATACTCTGTACGATCTCTCTCAAGGCCTGAATGTCCCGTTCCTTCCAATTCTCCTTTTCGTTGACCTCTACCTCAGCTCTATGTATGAGCTCTGGTGTCAGTTTGGATATCGCAATGTTCTGGTTGTCGCCAATCGGCGGTAAATCATTGCCCGACGATTCTGTGATATTTATATCATTCATATCATCATTAGTTATATCGTAGCACTCATTCATAATTTACTGTATTTTTTAATTTATTGTATATTAACCGCCAATTCTGCGTTTGCGTCAAAATTCTGTATATTTTCTGGTTTTGTTTGTTTGGTTGGTTTGGTTGGTTGGCTCGCATTTGACAACAATTTAAATATCATATTATTTACAGTAATAGTAATATAAAGTATTATCCTATGGTTTAAACTACAATCAAAAAATTGCCTAAAAGTTATTTATATATTTATATTTGAAAGACATTTATTTTTAATCTATTTTAAGTGACATTTATCCTAATTGTTTGCATATGTTATTATATTATTTAACAACTCATTTATTCAAACAAATATGATTTGATATTTAAAAAAAACAATGAAATTATTATTTTTTTATAATAAAATTATTTTATTGTGTAATTGATTAAAAAAATAATTTTTTAAAAATTAATTATTATTATCTAATAAAAAATAAGATACTAATCTGTATAATAATTTTTAGCTAATAATTTAGGCAATAATTAATTATTTTTAATCAATATCTTTAGCTAACCAGAAATGTTGATATACGGCACCAATTGTTACGATTGCATAAATAAAGCCATCGATCACTTGTATGTAATCTATGATATATGAATTTAAAAAAATACAAATTAAATATTTTTTATTATTAATTTATATAAAAAAAGGTAGTATTTATTTACTAAAATAGTTGACAATAAGCATAGCTATCCAAATGGTTGCCATTAGGCAACTGATGGCAAATGTTAGCCAAATTGCGATTTTATTAAAAACAAATAGTAATACAATCAGTGAAACAATTGCCGATACGGCCGATGAAATACAAACTATAAGATATATGAGATCTTTTTGTGGCAACGGATTGTCAATAGTTTGTATACATTGGTGAACAACCAGTGAAACAATAGCCGAGTTTAACATAAGTACCGGATTCTTGGTTATTGTCATTAGTTTTTTTAATTATTATAATTAGTTTTTTAAATTAAAAAATTAGTAATAACACACAATATATTTAGATTAGTTTAATTAATTTAGATTTTTGAAATTAGATTTTTAAAATTTTAATTATAAATTGATTTAATTAACTTATCACGCGGACAATCGCACAATTTATTATTAACTTTTTAAACATATAGTATATTGTATATCAATGAAAATGTGGAGTTAAAAAAACTATTTAAAAATATTACTTATTTTTATAGCAAAAATATTATATAATATTTAATATACTCTATATTTACATAAATTTATATAACTTACAATTAAGACTAGTGAAATATTTTTTATTTATTTTTTTAATATTTGCTATAATTTTTATGAATATTTCTTATAGTATACAGTATATCATTACTTTTTTATAACTATTTATTAATTATTATGTAAAAAAAATAATATTTATTACAATAAATGCACACTTTTGTATGCTTTAAACTTATATTTATATGAAAAAAATTTAAGATAATTTAATACAAGTGTGCATTTATTGTAATAAATAAAGTTATAATATCAACTATTATTACTTTTTATTAAATATTTACATATACAATAGTACTATTATGTTTACTTAGCATATTTGATGCATATTTTTTAAAAAAAATATTTAAATTAACTCAATTATATTATCTGTATTACAGTATTTAATCAATAAGTTAGCATAATTTTGTATATAAAATCTAATTAGCTAAATTGTAAATTATAATATTCAACTTAAATGCATAAATGATCATGGTAATTCAAACATGTTTATCATTGATTTTGTTGATTTAAAAACTGTTTTCATAGAAATAGTCCCAAATTGAAGGGTATATATGGGTTGTGGGGTCTGTTGACTATTGAACTGGTGATCCGATCATTCATGAGAACAGTGATAACAAATACACAAAACAAAAAGCAAACTCTAAAACCTAAACCTTATAAATAATGTGTGATATTATATATATAGTTGGCTTCAATCTCACAGATAGAGACTCATCCAATACTTTACGTTTATATATATATCTGAATGCATTTAAATACATATAAATATACTAAACTATATGGGATAAAAAGATTAGCCTAAAATGTCAATTTACCCGTAAGTTATAGGATATATATACATGTATATTAATGCTATAGATTTATAATAAAATGTTAAGTATGAGAGAGAGACTACCCTGAAGAACGAGTACACACTAATAATACATACACACATCTATTGTAAGAAACAGGTGGTCGACCAACTAAAAAGGGTCGACCACTTGCTATAACATAAGGTACTCTATGAGTGAATAATGATCATCAGTTTTTTTGTTTGTTTTTTTAAATTAGATTTTATATTAATTTAAACCCTTTAGTACTAATTAATATACATTAAAATTTTTAGTAATTTTTAAAAAAAATAGCATTTATAGTATAAAATTTATATCATTTCTAACTGTATATTTACTGTACAACTACAGTACTTACTTTATACTGATACTGTACTTACTTTATCAGTATATATATATAACTGTTAAAAAAGTTAGAAAATAAAAAATCTATTGAATAACCGGTAATTTAAAACAAAAAATTATTTATTACTTGTTGTTGTTATTCAGCCGACAATAGTATAGACATAGTGTTTGCGCCAATGGATGGCCAGAGTCTTGAAGAATCGATTCCATAGTAGAATACATGCTAAACAACAGTAAATTTGTGTCCAAATTTTTGAATAGAAAATCTCTGATTTGTTTAATGGTTTGAATCCAAACCATCGGACTCTAATGTGGTTACCCATCAGTGAACCGTAAGTCGTCAATAGATATTCTAGACAAACAACTACCAGTGTCTGGATTATGACAAAAACTATTGGTTTAGTATGACTTGCCATAAATCGGAACAGTTCGGGTGCCGTACGCCTGAACCGGCACCTGTAGATCGACCGACAAATATTGCACCGCAACCTACTGGTTGTATTCACCCATTGTTGTAGACACTGTTTGTGTATGTATTTCAATGTACCTGAACATCGACATGGATTTATCATTGATTCCCGGTTCTCATTGCTTAGACATATACGGCATTGATTCCTATTTGCCGGTTGAACTACCTGTCCTCTACCACCAGCTTTAGTCATGATGTCTATTATATAACATTTGGGATAAAAACTTTTCAAACTTTTGCAAAAAATTTCAAAAAAATTTTTAATTAAATGTTTTTTTTTAAAAAAAGTCTACTACAAATTGTTCAAAGTTTAATAAATAGACCTTGCCCAGATTTAACCGGCATCTATTGTAAACAATTTTAAAAATTACTATTTTTAAAAAAAATTGCATATCATAGGATATTTTTAAATGGGATATTTATGTAATAATTTTATTTATAATGTATATATACTATATATTATAATATATACTGTAGTAGTAATAGTAGTAGTAGTGAATAACACAAACAGGTTAATAATAATAATAATAATAACGATGACTACCAAAGCAGCGATTAGGCATAAAGTTTGGTCCTATTTGGAGGACAACGATTTAGCTCTACCTCCCAGACCCGTGTTTGACAGGATTCCCAACTTTAAGGTATTATTATTATTATAAATAATAATATTAGCATTTATTATACATTTTTTAAAAACATTAAACTATTATCACACAGAACTCTGACATAGCCTGCGATAGAGTTGTCAAACAAAAGGAGTTTATTAACGCACGGGTTGTCAAAATAAATCCCGACAGACCTCAGCTCAAGGCCCGGTATCGGACACTGGAGGCACTGAACCCATAAAAAATAACAACAAAAATTATTTAAACAATTAATTAGTTTTTTTTACAAAAAATATAGTCTAGAAAAACATTACTGGTTCCGACCCCTCGTCTCACTAGCGGTTTGTTCAATGAAATAATTGTCAGCGACTATAGTAAAGAAGCTCTCAGGACCTGTGCCTCATCGGAAGGGGTCAGAAATTTTAGTAAACCAATTGATTTGCAATCAAAAATCACTATCGATGTCATTATTGTCGGTTCGGTGGCTGTTTCTATGCAAGGTTTGGGCCAACCAATCAATATTGCTTAGTTGTGTCCAGTAATTAAAGTGACATTTATTGGTTACACCTATTTATTTTAGGTCACAGAATAGGCAAAGGCGAAGGTTTTGCCGATCTCGAGTATGCAATGATGGTCAGTCTGGGCGTAATAGATCCACTCAACACACCAGTCATCACAACAGTTGACGACTCGCAGGTCTTTGACAGTCTACCCGAGAATCTGTTTGGTGAACACGATCTGACTGTCGATATCATAGCAACGCCGACACGACTGATCCGCTGTGAGCCGCGACTATCGAAACCTAAAGGTATTATTTGGTCACTATTGACACCGCAAAGATTGGATGAAATGCCGATACTGAAGACATTCAAAGATTGGGAAAAAGATAACAAAAAGACGGGAAAAAATGTTCATTTAGTCTCAAATTAGGATCACTATTACAGTTACCCTAAATATATTGTAATTTTAATTGAGACAACAATTTTCTGATATAAAAAAATAAATAAATATATTTTTCCTAATGATATCAATTGTTATGTAATAATTAGTGAAATTAATTAATAAATAACTATTTATTTTATAAATAAACGAAAATATTGATTTATACTATTTTTTTTAAACAATGATTTGTGTTTTAATAACAAGATTAATGTGTCGATCCTTTAATCGGACAGTTAAACTCAACGACTGGTCAACTTCGAGAGCTTTGTAGATATCTTCGACAGATGTGATCGTCAGTCCATTGATTCGGGTAATGATATTTCCCGGTTGTATACCTCCACTAACAAAAAAATGATAAATATATATATATTTGAAAAAATCACTTCATATCATAGTTGTTAATAACAACTATGATATGACATTACAGATGAGCTGGTAATTCCATGACTACTTTACAGATATTATTTAAATTACCGTAAATTAAATTATATTATCTATATTACAGTATTTAATCAACAAATTAGCATTATTTTGTATATAAAATCTAATTAGCTAAATTGTAAATTATAATATCCAAATTCCTAAATGATCATGGTAATTCAAACATGGCTATCATCCCATTACTTGATTTAAAAACTGTTTTCATAGAAATAGTCCCAAATTGAAGGGTATATATAGATTGTGGAGTCTGTTGACTATTGAACTGGTGATCCGATCACTTATGAGAACAGTGACAACAAATACACACAAAAAAAAGTAAATACAATATCCAACTAATAAACCTTAAAAATAAAAACCTTATTTAAATATAACGTGTCATCATGTGTTTAATTACAAGTTAACGGTGTAGACACTTATATTGTAAGGAATAGGTGGTCGACTAACTACAAATAGGTCGACCACTTTCTATAACATAAGGTACTCTATGAGTGAATTAATGATTATCAGTTTTTTTTGTTGTTTGAATTACACTTTACATTATTATTACTAATATTTGATTATTACGGTAATTAATTATTAAACATTTTAAAATTTTTACCATATCCGACCTCTGGCTAACAAATTGAGTATAATGCCTATATCAATTTGATCTATCTCAATTTTGGGGTGGCGACTATACGGTAATTATAGAAATTTTATACCATATTCACAACATATAACAACTTATTGATAGATCACTATTTCACAGTTAAATATAGTCTAATTTTAATTAAAACAACGAATTTCTGATATAAAAATATATATATTTCCTAATGATTTCAATTGTTATGTAATATTAAGTGAAATTTACTAATAAATAATTATTTAATTAACAGTTTCTTTTTTTTATATAAATAAATACTATAAATAAACAAAATTATTGATTTATACTAATTTTTTTCGTTAAACAATGATTTGTGGTTTAATAACAAGATTAATGTGTCGATCCCTTCGTCGGACAGTTAAACTCAACGACTGGTCAACTTCGAGAGCTTTGTAAATATCTTCGACCGATTTGGCCGTCAGTCCATTGATTCGAGTAATGATATCTCCCGGTTGTATACCTCCACTAAATAAAAGATGATAATAACAAAAATATATATTAAAAAATCATTTGATAACAACAGAGACATGACATTGATATTACAGATGAGCTGGTGATCCCATAACTACTTTCCAGACTAATATCCCAGTACTAACATCGGGAAAGTCGGGTTCTCGTGTCCGCAATTCTTCGATAAGAGTCGGTGTCAGCGATAACATTGTTAGACCAATAAAACGATTCCGTTTCGACAACTTTTCCTCATTCTTGGCCGTCTGTGTCTTACGAGTGAATCGATTGGCTCTTTCGATAAATTCTTTGTTTTAAAATTTTCAATTATCGGTAATAATAATAAAATCAATTAAAATATCGAAAAATAGTATTTTTAGCAAACCTTTTGCATAATCACTAGGAATGGCAAACGATATGCCGGCCGTTACTTTCATTGTATTAATACCGATGGCCTGTCCATCGAGATTGACGAGCGGTCCACCACTGTTACCGATATTGATGGGCGCATCGGTTTGAATGTAATCGATTTCATTACTATTTAAGCCCAACTCATGCGACTTTCTCTTCAGCGAACTGATCACACCTACGGTTATGGTATTACTCAACGAGAAAGGGCTGCCCATAGCTATAACCCATTCGCCGGTTCTGGACTTATTTGAATCGCCTAACACTATGTACGGGAACTCATCGCGCGAGTCCAGTCTAATAGTGGCCAAATCGAGCCTATGATCGACATACTCGACACGTCCGGACATAAGTCGGCCATCGGGTAACTTAACCGAAACAGTCGATGCATTGGCCACAACGTGTGCGTTGGTCAGTATCTGACCGGACGGATGTACCAAAAATCCCGATCCACTACTAATCGAGACGTTTAGTTCAGAAAAGAACGGATGTCTTCCCTGAACTTCGATGAAGACCAGAGCCGACGATACAGTTTCGGTGACGTCGGCAATAAAGTTGAACCTCTTTGATAGTGGCAGTGATTTGTCGTCAATTTTATTGTCATTTTTTATGAATAATTGAACAGTTCTTAAGGGAACAAACTTTTGTATGAAATTTTGTATCCATTGTGAAGATTGTGACAGTGATTGATCTGATGGCACATAATTATCACCAATATTGTCACCGAAGCTGTTCTTTGATTTACTGAAATATTGTCTAATTAGATAATTTGATCCAAAGATGGACACAATTATGATGACGTAATCTTTAAACATAAGACTTCTTGGATGAATAAATCGGTGTTGAAATGGCTGAACAACTTGTGGACATTTGTTATGAAATGTCTGTCTCGTTGTCCGCAATGTGTCCACTGATGTCCGATTAGAAAAAAGTCTTAGCGACCAAAAACATTGGATCAGTCGAGCCATCAGTTTTTTTAAGACTTGAAACAACTGTTTGTTTACATCACAACACAAATGACACGTGACTTGAGGTTCAAAAATATATTGCAGTCATTGTACTCACAAATGATGTAATCAATCGTTTGGTCATCTCTTTGAATATCGATATGATAATCAAAGACTTGTATAATTTGATCCATTAATTGATTATTAATTTTTTTTGAATAAAATTTTTTTATTTTAAATAAAACAAATCAAAAAATTCATTAAACTTTTGTCTATTGGATGAATTAGACGGTACTAAATGTCCGCCGGAATGATAGACAATGTATGGATTCTTGAAAATGTTTGACAATTTGACGCTTTTTTCTTTGGCAATCACCTGATCTGATTCGCCGATTATATGAAGCGATGGAATATCGATAAGTTGACTGTCGAGTCGGTCAAAGAGTTTCAAATGAGATGCAGATAGACTTTGAAAGCCAGCGACCAATACGACAAACTTGAGGTCGTAATTGAATTCTAGTTTTTTTTAAAAAATGAGAGATAGTCTGATAGTTAACCCAATATATTATCATAAATAGATAAAAAAATACCTTTAAGTTGTTTAAGACAACAAATCAATGCCACCAAAGCTGATCCCTGACTAAAACCTAAGATACCATCGAATGGTCCCTAAAAATACAATGACTTTACGTTTTAAATATATTTAACGAAATTAAACCATTTAATAGATATCTATTATTTAAAAAAACCTGTGTTTCAAATGTATGCCTAATTAGATCTACTGACTGATCAAATCCTTTACATATATCCGACTCTTGTGCTGAACTAAAGTAATCGGGATCGACATCAGAGAACCACCAGCTTCTGGCTATTAATTAATATGAAAAGTGATATCAATTGGTAATTAATATGCAATCAATACATGATTAACAAATTGCTTAATAAATGACAAATTACAGTCATCTGTTCCGTCAGGATTTTGCGGACCCGTCGGCACCAAATGTGGGCCATCGATGAAAACTGTGTGTTAATTGTAGAGATAAAATACAGTATTAGTTTAGATCTAAACAATTGGATCAATTGTTGATTAATATATTCATATATAGATATATAAACCAAAGTCCAATTTGTTTTTCAAGAGTTTACGAAATCCTCCGCTTTTTGATTTGAATGCAACGCTTGTCTGTCGATATCCATGAAGACATAGGACCTGTTATTTTTGTGGCGATAATAATAATATGATAAGTGATTATAATAATAATAATAATAATAATAAAATACAGTATCTATAGTTCAATTAATCAGTTATTTATTTAATTAACTTATATTTCTTTAAGACTTACTTTAAGTGGTGGTAATTGTTGTCGACCTTTGCTTGAAGTCATGTCTCTCTCTCTCTCTTTCTCATCAAAAACACTACAAACTGTATGCAAACCATGTGATTGACTGATGGCTTCACTACTACTACTGTACTGTCAATGCATTACATCACACAACAGGTATTACAAAATAAATAAACAATTTTCCAACCAATCAGACAATCAATTTAATTGATATTATACTTGACTTTATTAATAGTAATAATTACGACTACAGTATATTGAATATAATAACCAAATTGTTTTAACTAAATTTGCATAATAACTCATATATATATTGTTATAAAAAAACTACATATAATAATTTCTATCAAAAATTGATTAAAACATATGCTAGGTGATAACATAAATTTATATTTAAAAATTATTATCAGTGTAAATATTTTAATGTATTATTTATTTTTAGTTAATTTGCAATTAAAATTTTTGTTGTCAAACAAGTAGTTGATTATCACCAATGAATAAGAAAAATTTATTTATTTTAAACAAAAAATATTATAATATTTATGTTATACTCTCTCATCACTTGATTATATAATAATAATAATACTGTAATAATAAACATTGACTAGAATTACAGCAAATTTTTGTTTAGTATCTCAATCTCGCTATTGGTTTTTGACATAAACTTGTATATCAAGTGTAGGATTTCGATAGCATAGGTGTCCGGTTTGAAAAAATAAAACTATATTATTGGGTCACAAATTCATATACAGGTAATATGATTGCAAACTTTTTTTTTATATGTTTTGTTGTTTTTTTAATTCAGTGATGACAAACAATTTTTTTGATTATAATTTTTATTTGTTATATTTTGATTATTAATAGTAATAAATTAGTAAAAGTGTGCAAAACTTGATATAAATTATTATATTATTAATCTAATACGATAAATGATTGATAGCATAGTTGGTCCACTAATACTACATCTGGTCATCACTTACTATACATTTAAGCAGAAGCATCAATGATAGGATTCATTGGCGCCGGAAAGATAGCCCAGTCTCTGATGAAGGGATTGGTAACAGCGGGTAGGGATGGGTTTGTCTAAATATGTGATATATTTTTAATTAATATGCGATGTTTGGGCATATATTTTTTTAAAAGGCATTTCTAGAGCTGATAGGATATTGGCCAGTGCTCCCAAAGCTGACTTCAAGTGCCATCAGGACACTCAGGTATGTTTGTGTGCATCCATATACAGTACATGTATAACTACCGGTACTTTAATTGTTAACTAAACTCAACATACATTTGCATTTCAGTCGTTGGGCTGCAGAACCACTTACGACAATAAAGATGTGGTAAACAATTCAGAAATAGTTATACTGGCAGTTAAGCCGCCTGTGATACCGGCGCTACTTCAAGAGATTCATTCAAATGTTTCGTCTAATCATTTATTAATATCAATAGCATTGGGAATACAGATAGAAACCTATGAAACGGTAAGATTTATAACAAAATTATTATTATTATTATTGATTTAATTATATACAGTATTCCTATATAATTATATTATGTGAAATGTCATTACAGTTTTATAACTTAATTATTCCGATTTATAGGCATTACCCGCCAATAGTCGAGTTGTTAGAGTAATGTCAAACACACCGGTTCTCATTAGAGAAGGGGCGTCAGTCTTCTCGTGCGGAACTAAAGCTACCAAAGCTGACGCACAGACAGTCAGAAAGTTGTTTACAAGTGTCGGTATGTGTGAAGAGATACCTGAATCGCTTATTGATGCGGTTACTGCACTGAGTGGTTCGGGACCAGCTTATGTATGATAAGTTTTTTTTTAATGACAATTTATGATTTTGTTTTAATTATTAATTATATATATATATATATATATATTTACACACAACTAGTTGTACACTTGTATGGAAGCACTGGCCGATGCCGGTGTCCTCCAAGGAATACCCAGAGATCTATCGCTAAAACTAGTGGCGCAAACACTAATTGGGTACGATTTTTGATATATAAATATACAGTACCTATACCTCTATATTCAATTAAGTAATACAAATAATAAATAATATTAATTGATTTGTTTTTATCATTTATCAAACAGAGCCGCCCGTATGGTTCTCGAGACAGATAAACATCCGGCAGCTCTTAGGGTATAATCTATTAGTACTACTTATCTATACTAATAGCTTATCGATTGACATTACAAATACAAATAATACTAATATAAAAATCAATAAATGTTTTTTTTAAACAAACAAACAAAAAAATATTAATAGGATGACGTGTGTTCACCGGCCGGCTGTACCATTCAGGCTATGTATCACTTGGAAAAACACGGTTTACGGCCACTGCTGATGGAGGCCGTGGCCAAAGCTACCGATGTTTGCAAATATAATACTAAAACTAATGGTTATAGTGTTGCTTAGTGGGGGGAAAAACAACACACAATCAATCGATCAATAATTATAACAACAAAAAACAACATTTTGATTGTTACCGGTAATGGTTTAACAAAAAAAAAATCATATTTAAAATATTGATGGACTTTAATATTGATAATTTCAATATTGCTTTTTTATATAACTTAACTATTGTGACATATTGTGATAAATGTTTATATTATGATATATATATATAATTAATATTTAAATTATTTACAGATACTATAATCTCGCATATAATTAAGATAAGATAATTATACAGTAGACTATATATATATATATATATATATATATATATTATGTAATGAATCCATATTTACTTAAATAACGTACCTGATTATATTTTGCAACCAAAAAAACAAACAATCTTATAATAAATAATTATTGTCATAATCTATATTTATCAAAAATAAATTATTATTAATTAATTAATATAGTCTAGTGTTGTTAAATTTCATGTGCAATTAAATTGTTGCAATTATTGTAAAAAATTAATTGAATAAATAAAAAAAACCAGTTGAGAATGCTATAAAGCATTCCCAGATACAAACTTTGATGGCATAAATTACATATTTTACATGTGTATACTAGACATCAAGTACTATCTGTCTATATCACACCCCCCCGCCTCCGGTGTGGACCAAATAGTAAAGTGTAACCAAAGTAATAAATATCTCATGATATTAAAAAAAATTGTAATTTTATTTTAATCATATCAAATATTAAATACAAAATTAATATTAATAAACAAATATTAAATATAATATATAAACAACTGATTTATAATATATAGTATATGTCTTGATTAGGATCAACACACTTTGTGCAAATAAAATTTATAAATTTTACCATGATCATTGGGTATTTTGATTCATCATTTTTACCTTAACATTATGTATATATTTATTCATTATTTTTACTCTAAAATTTATATCAAGTTTTGCAAACTTTTACTAATTTATTACTATTAATAATCAAAATATAACAAATAAAAATTATAATTAAAAAAATTGTTTGTCATCACTGAATAAAAAAAACAACAAAACATAAAAAAAGTTTGAAATCATATTAACTGTATATGAATTTGTGACCCAATAATATAGTTTTTTTTCAAACCGGACACCTATGCTATTGAAATACTACACTTGATATACAAGTTTATGTCAAAAAAAACCAATAGTGAGATTGAGATACTAAACAAAAAATTTGCTGTAATTCTAGTCAATGTTTATTATTAGAGTATTATTATTATTATATAATTAAGTGATGAGAGAGTATAACATAAATAATATTTTTTTAAATAAATAAATTTTTCTCATTCATTGGTGATATAATCAACTACTTGTTTGACAATAAAATTTTTAATTAACTAAAATTAAATAGTAATACATTAAAGTATTTACACTGATAAATTTTTTAAAAAAATATATTGAAATATATTTTAAGTGAATGACTTTTTACAATATTTAAAAATGACTTATTAATTATTAATATAATATTATTAATATAATATAATACAATACGATATCAATCGTAGAAATAATTATATTAAGTATGTGTCAGACAATTATCTCTAAAAAAAAATATTATTAAATATTATTAACAACTTTATCGACATTATATTCAGGGTTTTTAAAACGTTTTTCTTTATTAAACTGAATCGTCTCTTCACGAGATATACCCCATGTCTGCAACTCTGCCGATGCAAACACTATATAAACTAATGCACTGATAATATATATAACAGCGGATAAGTAAAAAACATACGACCAGTTGGTTAATGTGTGCTATTGTGACAAACAAATACAGTATATTATTATTATTTTTTAATTTAATAACTATATTATTAAATATATTTTTTTGATTACCCCTTTCTCATAGAAAGCTTCGGCAACCAACGGTGCTATAAAACCGGGAATGTTTCCAATACTGTTAGTAATACCCATTAAAGTGCCAGAATATTCTGGTGCCATATCAACGTGTGTTGAATTAAAGCCGGGATAATTGCAACCATTCAAACCCATTCCCAATATAAACAGTGATATACTAAGAGTTGTGTTGCATCGGGCAAATGCTACACCTATTAGACACAGAGCCGGACCCATGAATGCTATAAATAAGATTAAAACAAAAAGATTAATTGTTTGTTAATTTTTAAAAAATCTATTTTATGATTACATACCAATTGTATTGTTAGTCTTGCGGATGACATTAATACTAACGGTTCCTCTTTGTCTTAGTTTATCACTTATGAAGGATGCAATCCAAGCAACAATTGCCTGACAAAGATAGGGCAGTGCAGACATCAATGCATTCTATTCAATATATATATTCAATTTGTTTTAAACAAATTAATTAATATATTATTATTATTACTTCAGTTAAACCTAAGAAAAATTATTACATTTTTAACTTCAAGATTCAGCACTTTCTCGAAATATGTGGGCAATAATGTTAATATTGTTAAGAATCCCCAGTTCTGACCGAAATGTGTTATTATAAGTGCATAGACAGGAACTGACGTCCATATGTCCTTCCATGGGGTGACACTTCTCTAAATTTTTGTTTAATTTTTAATTATTTTTATTTAATTATGTTTAATAATATAGGTTTACTTATTTGTATAATTATTATACATAATAGTAAACAAACCTTTTTATTTCTATTCTGTTGTTGATCTGATATAATATATTCATACTCTTCAGTAGTGATGTACGGATGAGATTCAGGACTTTCATGTATGAGAAGTGCCCACAAAACAAACCAAACACAGCCTGCAATACCCAACACATAGAAAATGGATGGCCAGCCGTCTAAGAAATCACTGTCACAGAGAACTCCAGCCAATGGTAGAGTAATAACTGTTCCAATCGGTGATCCCGTGAATACAAGTGTTGATCCGCGACTTCTTTCCATTTTAGGCATCCATCGCGATATCATTGCATTAATACAGGGAAACAATACTCCCAGAGCTAATCCCTGACCAATTCTTACGGCAATAAATAGTACATAACTGACGCGTGCGGCCATTGGACTTAACAACGATAGTATAGCTGCAACTAAAATACTTCCGCCGAAAATCCATTTACCACCAAATTTTTCGGCCAAATTTCCGGCCGGCAGTTGTGTTATAATATAACCGTAAAAAAATGCGCCCAAAATGATGGCCTGTGTGTGATCATCCCATTGACTAAACTCTCCCACCTTATGATCACTTTTAGCTAGAGATGCACTGAAACTATCATTAGTCCAACACGTGTCGTCCAATCGGCTCCCATTTGTCTTCGGCTTTTCGCCGGCCATTGACACGATGGCCACACTCAGCACCACTTTGTAAGCATAAGCCAACACAAAGCCGAAGAAACTGAAAAATACAAATACAAATCGCGTCGGGATTTGACTGTATATCCAATGACTCTTTTTTATGTCCATTTCGATTGATGTCCTCTCGATAGAAGTCATCGCAAAAATCATTCACATTATACCTTATTATACACTTATATATATATATTTTTTATTATATGATATAATCTGATTAGTTTTAAAGATAATAATTATTTTCAACAATTCCCAACTTATTAAATAATGATTATATTACAAAAAAATATATTTTTTCAATTCATCACAATTATTAATTTAGCTAATTTAAACTAATAGTACACCAATTAAGTGTAAACGCAAAATTCACATTTCATTGTACTTTATTTCAATTTAAATCAATTGATTATTAAATAAACAATTACTTAATAGTGTACTTGAAATATACAGTACATGTACAATATATTCTGTACTTAAATAAGCCATTAAATATATTATCAATTGTTAATATTGTAATCAAATAATTAGATATTTGAAAAATGCGATTTTCATTAAAATATCTAAAATACTTGTAAATGATAAATACGCCTCATATACCGTATTACTAATATTTTTTTAATGTTTAAAAATTAACATCAATGATAATAATGTAATAGTGATAATTCATATGTAATGTAAATCATAATTTTAAAATGAAAAACTAATAAATTGTGATAAAAGTAGATTTTATAAGCAATGGTTTATGAAAAACTATATACAGTATTATTGACTAAATTTTTATAGTATTTATCAAATTTGGCAAATCATTCACTATTAAAATTGTGTACAATATATTCAATTAAATAATTTGTAACCTTAACATCAATTTATAAATAAATATTTAATAATAATAACATAAAAACATAAAATAGTATCATGGTAATAAAATAGTAAAATGTTTTTTAATTATTTTAATTAAAGAAAAATATATTGAATTAATAAGCACTCGTCTGTTTGAGTTAACACTTGTGATCAATAATTATTGTTTTTTATCAATAATGTGTAAAATGTATGCTTAGGTACAATAGGTTTGTATTAGTAATAATTTAATTAGTTTTGTAAATACAGTTAATTAATTAAAATTATCTACTTTTTAACGATAATTTTTTAATTAAAATACTGCAATTGATTTTCGGTAATATTAATGTACTGTACTGTAAATATTTTTATTTATACTATCATTTAGATGTCACTAAAAAATTATTTTTATTATAAATTAAATTTAAAGAATAAATTTAATATAAATATACAGTAATATTAGTATAAATAATGTAATTTAACGGTGATTTGTCAATATAAAGTCATCTATAGTTATGTGAGGTATCAAATCACTCAGTATGACAAAATAAATTCAACTATAGTCATGTTGGGTATCAAATAATTCAGTATGTCAAAATAAATTCAACTAGTCCTACTATTGCTGCCATTTTTTTGAAAAAATAATGTTTATCTATTATCTTATTTTTGATGCTCTATACAATTCTAAACGTTAAAATTTTTATCAATTTACTTTTGCCGCCATTTTCTAAGAGATATCAGAATTTTAATGCTAATCCCCTATACATTATTTTTAATGATATAACCGAATCTGAAATCATAATTTCGAAATTCGCAAAAATAAATGCTACAAACACACAGACAGACACACAAAAACGCTTGTATAGATTTCAGTAAACTAAACTTTTTCAAAGTTTGTTTGAAAATAGCAATTTCTTTATATTATTTTTTATCATCACATTTATTAAACTCATATATAATAACAGTAACACTTATCATCAAAATTAAATAAGTGATTCAACTTATGATATATTTAAATTTATTTAATAGTTATTTTTAAAAATTGTAATTTTATGCAATTGCAAATTAAACACAATAATTGCCAAAAACAATGAAATCAATTGCAAAATTAACAATTATTATTATATAACAACACTAACTAAATGCCAAATATTTTATATAAATTTATATATATATCGTGTTTGTAGTCATTATATAGATATACTGTATATATGATATTTTTAACATTAATATAGAAAATCAATATATTTGATTGCCCAGATAATTATTATAAAGTATAATTAGTAGTTACAAAATAGATACACGCACACATACACACACATACACATACACACACATACACACACATACACATACACACACATACACACACATACACATACACACACATACACACACATACACATACATACACATACACAAACACACATACACACACACACACACACACACACATACTGTACATATACACAATCAATATGTATCCATGTCAATTAAATGAGTTTTTATTTTATTTTTTTGACAAAACAAATTAATAATTATCGTGTAATACAATATTTAGTTTTTTAAATGTATTTAATAATTATCATTAATATAATGTACTTAAAAAATAATAATAATATACAGTATAATATAAATTATGACACAATGTATTTTTTTAAATTACAAAAATCACATTTTTTAAAAAAGTTAATATATATTTATAAAATGATAATGAATGGAAAAATGTTGTTTTATTTAATTTGTAAAAAATAAAAAATATCAAAAAACTGATTCTTTTTTTTAAAAAGTATTAATACTATTTTATTTTTAGAGATTCCTAAACATTTAAAATATCAATTTATTTAAGTGTATTTAAATAAAATAAAATCTTAAATCTAATTTATTATTTTATTTTATGAAATCAATAATAATTAATCATATTTATATAGATTTATAGATTATATATTTGTATAAACTAATCTTTCATACAATATATATATATATTTATTTATATATTTATAAAATAAAGATAACAAAAAAAAACAATTTTTGGGCACTTTTCCTAAATCTTAGCACAAACGAGTCAATTGAATTAATAGAGTATACAGTTTTTTTTGGCTCAGATTTTTTTTATAAATATTTATTTTTAATTATAGATAAGTATTCAATAGTTCATTCATTATACCTAAAAAAATCATATTCATATATATATAATACCATTTTGAAAGCCAATATATTATAGTACTATAAAGGGGTGGAAAAGAGAGAGATAGATATAGACATATATATATATATATCACAAATTGATTATCACTTCAAAAACTTTCAACCGATGGTCAGAAAGTCATCCATAAAAATATAGCTATTGTTTTGTTTGTTTGTTTGTGTCTTTGTTTTTTGATAGCATTGCTTAAATGCAAATTGTCTTGAAATGATTGTTGTTAAGTATTGTCAAGCAGTCATCAACAACAACAACAACAAAACCCAAACTAATCAAATCAATCAAATTTAGTAATCAATTAGTTATGGTTGGCGGCGGAGACGGCGACTCTTCAAGTCGATGATGAAAAATAGATCCAATTTTCCGATATCTTTTGCCGAGTCCACAAACCAAAGTCTGGCCAGTTATGGTAGACTAACATAATTGCTATTAATAGTAAAATGCTAGACACGATTCGTAATCTTAAAAAAATAATAAATTAAATAAAATGTTATTTTCATATACAGTATATAAAGATATATTATTTTTATGTCATTACCTGGTTTGTAGAAACGGTGATATTATGTTTGCTATGGTTGCCACCAATAATAAGACAACCTAAATGTATTTAATGAATTTAATTATTAATATAAATTATTATTAATAACAACAGTGTGAGTGTGTGTGTGTGTGTGTGTGTGTGTGTAGAGGACAAACCTGAAGTATAGTTAGCACAACGTTTATGAGCTTTAATACCAGTGCTCTGGCATTGGAGTTCTCTAGTGAATCGAGATTAACGAGTTGTTGTAGATGTTGGTGCTGTTGGTGTTCCATACGTGAGATCTAATGACATACATATATATATATATATATATAAAACATTTTAATTACCATTTCATGTCACACTAACTATGACAAGTAATAGACACACAAAATAAAGAAATAAATACTAATAATAAACATACCTTTGTTTGACAGCTCTCAAGCATTTCGTGTACATCCCGGAGCCGTTCCTCGCTCTGGTATTGGACCTTCTCCTCCATGTCGACCATATTTTGTTTAAGATTTTCAATTTCGTTTTGATGCAATTCAATTAAGTCATTCATCTGTTCCTCTAATCTCTGTGTGAAATAAATGACAATAAAAAAATAAATAAATAAAACTAACAAAAAAAAATATAATAAATAGCATACAATAAATTCAAAAGTTAACAAAAATAAAAATTCAAAAAAGTTTTTAAGTGTTGAGAAAGATTTTTTTTCTTTAAAATATTCATTATATATATGTGTGTGTGTGTTGTCTGTCATCTAATGATTATATATTTTTATTATATTTTTTTTGGTGCCTTTACTACAGTTTAATTACACGTTAAGTCCAATGTACTGTGAAATCGGGCGATAATATACCTCAAACCGATACCGTTCCTCTTGCAATGACTGGTGAAAGGCTGAACACTCGTTTTGCAATTGGCTTTTCATCGACTCGACCTCTTCAGCCAGACATCGACATTGTTCTCGGCGTTCTTTAAGCTCAATCACAATTTGTTCAAAATCAGCCATCGATGTCGGCGTAACAGCTGTCCTCTCGGACGACGCAGTCACTACCGGTATATGACTACTCTGATGAGCACCGGTACTGTGCAGTACGGTATTCTTGCGTAGCGGACTCGACGAACTGTCCAAACTGGCAGCGGCGGCCGCAATAATTTGTTGTCCTACACGACCAGATCCGCTGGTGATACTGGAACTATCGTCATCATCGGTAGTATATTTAGTACTATGGCTATGACTTTGACTATGACTGTGTGCTAAATGATGCTGAGCTGCTGCTGATGCCGTAGGCTGAGCTCCGCCCATACCATTCTTCACTACAATCACTTTGTGTATATTATCTCCGCATTCATTGTCAACAGTTGAAGTACCACTTGTTTCATCGTTAACTTCTTCAATGAAAGAAAAAAATAAAATAAATAAATAATTGGACCAAAAAATTATTTGTAAAGATTTTTTCTTTCTTTCTTTTGAATTAATACTAAATTATATATATATTTAAAAATAAAATAAAAACATTTTTCTATTGAAATAAAATGTGCAATATTTTCATGATTTAAATCATGAAATGAATGGAAACATACTTTCAGATGAGTTAACATTTTCAGAGCTCGTGAAGCGATTCTTGAAAAATTCTTTCGGTTTTGTCATAACAGTCCTGTAATATATAAAACATAACATTATATATAAGTTATATATAAATAATATTTTTTTAGTAAACTGTTTTGTGTGTGGATTAGCGGTTGAAATACTATATCATTGAACTGAAAACTATTTCATTCAATTTTCATTCATTCATATACTGGTGTACATACACTCTCTATACATGTATTTATTTATATATTTTGTATTTTTGAGATTTTTTGAAAACATCTTATTTTTTTGTTTTATTTGAGTGTATGTATTATATGACAAATATTTATAGCATTTTTGAAAGTCAAGTTGAGGGTCGAGTTGAAAGTCTACTTATATTTATAAAGTATTATAATAATAATAATGATGACTACAATTGCTATGAAAAAAAACTATTTATAATATCAGACACACAACTTATGCAGAAAATATGCAAATAATTTTAATTTTAATAATTAATTCTAATTAGTCATTAAATTGCAAAAGCAATAAAAAAATCAATTAACAAATTTATATACAGCATAGTTGTCTTAATACTACTTACTCTCCGGCTGAATGAATACTGGATTTGATACCACCGATGACACTGCCAGACACACCGGTCACTCCTTCCCTGATATTGACGCCGACATCCTTTAATCCCTGTCCAAAATCACGTATTATTTCTCGTGTCTGTTTGTGATGGTAACCAAATTTTTCAGTTTCCTTAATCTTTTTGCTATAATTGTCTAACTTTTTCTGCAAATGTGCGATAGTTTGGGCCGACTTTTGGTTCTTCTTTTCGAAAACACTCTTAATTCTTTGCAATTGATTTTTGTCGGCATTGGCCGCCAGCTTAAGATATTCGTTGACATTTTCGTCCCGCGAATTCTGTTCAGTTTTGATGGCCTCTTTGGTGCGAATTATCTTTGATTGGAAGTGCTCTAAAACGGCACGAGTTCTTTGGGTGGCATCGGATGAGTGGGGTATCAGTGAATCCAATTCGTCAGTTGAACTGAACTGCTGGAGATTCGACTGATTGGATGGGCCGCCGGCTTCGGCCCCACTGGAACTGCCATTGTTGTTGTTGTTGGCCAAGTGTGTGGTGTGTGCTGTTGTCGTCGTCGACGACTCTTTACCGGAATCATCGTTAAGATAATCTTCAGTGGAACTATTGGAAGTGTGGCCTACTATTGTTTTGGCGGCCGAAAACTCGTTGTTGTGTGCGCTGCTCTGTGTGGTGAAGGTGTATGAGCCCTGACTAAGGCCTCGGGAGTGTTGTTTGATTCTGGAGTTGTTCGCTAGTTGTTTCGGTTGTATATCATTACTACTGGAACCGCTTTCGTTGGACGATACGTAACCTCTCTGTGAAATACCAGGACTTTTGTTGTTTGGTTTCATTTCATATATATATATTTAGACTCTTTCACTTCAATAATAATAATAATATCAATAATGATTTTATGATGAATTTTATGAGAAAAAAAAACAAAAACGTATGAAATCTCTTAAATGCAGATATCAGTTGTTTATATCACAAATTCAAAACGTTTTGTTCATTCATCCAATCGGTGATAAATAAAAACTGAACTTTGATTTCATCAAAAAATCATATAAAATCCGCTTTTATGAAGAAAATTCATTCTTCATTATATATATGACTGAAATAATAATAATAAAAAAAAATCAAATGATAAAAATAAAATAAATTACTTTTTTCTTGTATATACTCTGTATATATTATATAATATATTTATATATCACTTTTGTCACTAAAATAACTCAAATATTAATGCCTATTGATTTTATTATATATATATAAATATCGCTAATGTTTAGCCAATATATAATATATAACATATTAAGTACAATAACTTTTGATATATAACTTATACTCAATGTGTGTGTATATATATATAACTATATTAAATACTATGTATAGAAAGATTATTTATAAATATATTATTATTATTATATTATATGATAGTTAATCATTGAAATACTTCACAAATATTAACAATAGCTTAGAGCTAATCGTAAGTGATTTTTTTTCAAATCATTATCTCATAACTCTACTCAAGGATATATAATTTGAAAATTAAAAAAATAATATTATTAGCAATAATTTCATACATAAATCTATAATCTAGGTGTAAAATAAATTATTTATGTAATTTTTATAATAATAAATATTAAATTATACATTAACATATTGGTTTGGATTTTTTTCTCTCTACCCTTATTTGTACTCAAAAACTATTATTTTTTTTGGCATCGTTTTTCATTAATTTCATTAATTACATTAAATTTTCATAAAAATTGAAATAAAATAAAAAGTAATAAATTTATATTTAGAAATATATATGTATATATATGAAGCATAACTTATAATAAAAAAATCGATTGCGAGCATTATATTATATTAAATACAATCGTGTATACAGTATTGTATTGTATAATATACAGTATATAGTATACAAATTGTATGTTACAAATTGAATGTATGTATAATTGATAGCATGTTTATAACAACTTTGTGTGTGTGTAAGCAATAGGTGTCATAAAAATTGTTTCAATTTAATATGTAGTCTAGCTAATACTTATAATAAAATATATACTCTCTATAATATAGTCTATAAATATATATATATATATATAAATTATAAATGCTAGATTTATAGACACAAAAAACAATTGAAAGCCCTATTAACAGCTGGCTATAAGATAATAAATATGTTTTTTAAATGTCATTTTAATTACATTGACAGCCAACATATAAATATATATCGTATATACAGTATATATAAATATGTGCTAAATTATAAATTGCTTAACTATACAAAATAATTTTATATATAATATAATAAAATTTATTACTACTATTATTATAATATAATTAGTAGAATATATATATAATGAGTAAATGAGTTTCAACTCAATTGTAAATAATTATATGAATAAATTAAAATAATAATAATACTTTATATTATATTATTTAAAAAAAACACTACAAATTTTCATGTAATCCAGGTCTATGTACTTTAGATTAATATAAATTTAAACTAATTTTTAAAAATAAAAAAAACTTAAAACTTGTCTAACTACTATTTTTATTATTATACAGTAATAATACTATTTTACTAAAATAAAAGTTACATTGATGACAAAAAATTATTTCCTCAAACCTCATCAAACAATCTTATATAAAGTATATATAATTACTTATTTTAATTTTTTTGTTGTTGAAAAATATCTATGACTAATAAATGTTGTAAACGATGACATTTGTTAATATATTATACAATTAAAAAAATTTGATTATTGTATTGATTTCATCAAATCCAGTTCAATAATACACAATGATATAAGCAAATTATATGTTTAATTATACAACAATTTATTATTAGTGTCTATACAACAACAATAACAAAAAATAGATACAATGATAATGTATGGGAACTAATTGGTGACTCATTTAATTGATTTTGTTATTATTTTTTTCATGTATTTATATTATATAGGATATCAAATATACATATAATGTAAATGACAAACATTTTTATTTATTGTTGACAAATATCAGATCATTCATTGATTCATTCAATTTGTAATTATAATATATTGTATACTTGTATTGTAATATTTAGCACATTACTAGTAATCACATTGTGATATATTATATTATAATATATCAATAATATTATAAGTTATGCTTAGAGTATATAAAAAAATAAATAAAATTTAAATATATTATACAATAAAAATATTATGATATTGTAAACAAAAATCAAAAAATCACATTTAAAATACATACGTGTTATTGATCGGCAATTATTTCGTTATTATTATTATTATTTATATTATTGATGTTAACATTATTTAACAATTAAAATCAAATGTCAATAAAATAAGACAATAACAACAACAAAAAAACTAAATTTAAAAAAAAATCAATAATAAATATAATATTAATAACTAATAATAATAATTATTATTTATAAAAAAAACAATAATAACTGAATTTTTGTAAACATTTTCATTTTGATTACAACAACAACAATAATAACAGCAATAAAAAAAACTTTTTGACAATCAATTTAGTGAATCAAAAAAATCATTGTTTGTTTATCACTATAATTGAGTCCATAAATGTATCACTCATTTGGTGTCCAATAATAATAATATTATTGTCTTTTTTGTCAATCAATTGTTGTCCACTAGAAAAACATTGCTAACCATTCATCACAACTGTTTCTATCGTATTGTAGTATTAGTTATAGTATTATATTATATACTGTAGTAGTGATCAAAATAACAACAATAATAATAATAATAATAATAGACTCAAAACCATAGGTTCACACATAAAATCTATGATTGAATTTGTGAGTCGAGAGTCTATGACTACAACACAACACACAACACACTAAACACAACAACAACTGCAACACCACTACTACTACTACTACAGTACTATCTAGTGTTTTGTATACACAAACAGTAGTAGTAGTAGTGCTAAATACAGTCAAATCAATCACTCACTCAGTGACTCACTTATGCAACACATATATAGTATTGTTAATCACTGCTCACACACTCACACACTCATACACACTGACTAAACAACGCATGCGTAACACAACCAAATAAGTGACTCAATCGATGCATACATACTGTACATACAGTCAATAACCGATATTATGGACTATATATACATATATACAGTACAGTATATACCGGTATATACAGTATATGTGTTGATAACGATATCAATATTAATAAACAATTAATATAATCGACGAAAAATGTTTTGTTTAATTGTTTTGTTATAATTATAATAAATTAATAGACATTTCTATATAAAGTATTTACTATTAAATCAATCCATATATGTATTCAACACTACTATAAATCTGAACTTCAATTAAAGGTAACGTTGTTTATGAATACAATTGTTGTCCTGTATTTCATCACAATTGACGGCTAATACTGTAATACACTGTAAATAAAGTGTGGTTTAAGTTATAAATGCCATTCATTTGATTGATTTAGTCATTGATTGAATACATTGTTATTAAAACAGTAAAACATAAACAATAAGTTGTTTGTTGTTATTATTATTGATTGATTGTATCATTTGGTCAGACATGGAGGACACGGTTATGTCAGACAACACAAACATACCAAACAGCCATCAAATCGACATTACTGTTACCGAAGAGGACACAACAGTTCCGCCCCAACAGTATGAATGTAAGGCCCAATCAATTGATATGTTGTTGTTGTTGAATAACTAACTAATCCCACAATTGTTTGTCTCTCTCTCTCTCTTTTGGTTGGTTTTTTGACTGCAGTCTTGGATCACACGGCAGATGTCCAGTAAGTGATTGTCAATGCTTTGCATATGATTTGATTGTTTGACATTTTTAAAAATCTAATGAATGACATCATCTTCTTCTTCATCTTTGATCACTGAACAGAATCCACGCCTGTATGTCTCACTCGCATCCAATCTGATCCGTGTAATCAGGTCTTGTAATCTGATCCGTACAGAAGTGGTAACCACTGGTTTTTTTCTGTTTATTTATTCCCATCGCATGTGTTATATATTTAGGGGGCGCCTCATTGGCTGAAGCGTTTGAACAGTCGGCAGTAGCAATGTTTGCTTATATGACCGAAATATCGACGGTCGACATGACGGACACGCACGACATCGAAGTCGCCGGCGATGACTTGGAGTCACTATTCTATCAGTTTTTGGATGAATTTTTGTTTGCCTTTTCAGCCGATCCCTTCTTCATTGGCAGAGTTAGTGTCAAAACATTTTATTTTTATAAATTGTGTTTTTATGGATCAACTTTTTAAAAAAAATTATTTATCAATTTGATTACTGAATTGATTTCAGAAAATAAAGATCACTGAATTTGACAGACAAAACAATAGGATCAAAGCCAAAGGCTATGGCGAGACGTTTAGTCTCGACAAACATCCACAGGTATTATGAAAAGTGATTTATTTGAATTTGATTTAAATTTAAAAAAAAGAAATGAAAAATAAGTGATTAATTTTATTTATAAATTTTTATGTAATTTTGTATAATATATATTAGGGAACTGAAGTAAAAGCCATAACTTATTCAAATATGCAAATCCATGAAAAGGTTGGCAGAAGCGATGTCTACGTTATTATCGATATTTGAGTCGATATTTAAATTTTTCCATATTATGGATATTATTGATAATAATTAATTCATATATATATTTTATTATCTTTTATTTTATTATTATTATTATTATTTTTTATAATGAACGAAAACAGATACCTATTATGTTTTAGATCGTTTATTTAAATATATATATAGACTTTATTATATAACAATTCATTATATATAATTGATAATCAATAAAATTGATAAAAATTGTTTATAAATATTTTATTTTCATTCATTAATTATCATAATAATATAGCATGTTATGCAAAAAATAATGATAAATACTTTATATAATAATTTATATAATTGTATGGTATTGTTGTTGTTGTTGTTATTGACAAGTTTGGTTGAAATTGTTTGATAAAAAATAAAAACAATTACTATTTGATAGAAAGGTAATCAACATTTACCGGTAAATTAATTTAAATTTGTAGAATCATTGTCAAATGTTTACAGTAAATCCTATTACCGGTATATGTTTTTTTTAGTACTATACTATAATTTTATAGTTTTTTTATATATAAAAATAATTGTTGATTGAAAAAATGTACCGGTACATTAAATAAAATTTATTCTTATAAAATTATATAAAACTTATTTTTAGTAGACATAGACTATAATAATCTGTATTCAGAATTGACGTCAATCTATACTGTCAAGCGTACAGTGATTAGTATAGTTTAGGAATATTTTTTGATTATATAATATATATATATATATTTACTTATAAATTATAAATTAAATTTTTAAATTAAATATTTTTCTAAATATATACCAATATATTCAGTAGTACTACAGTAATATATATTTATACAGTAAATACATTTTAATGAAAAATAACTAAAATTCACAGAATTATTGGCTAAATTAAATATTAATTTTATAGTAATAAAATTATATATATATATATATATATATATATATATATATATATATATATTAATATATAGATTCAGTAGATTGTTGTTAAGTAAAAGATTGAAAATAACTTATATTATACCTCTATATAAATTGTTAAATAAATTCTAATAAAAATATTGTAATAAAATATAATAATTTTAGTATACTTTTTTGTAAACAAAATTATATAAAATAATATTATATAAAGATTATTACTTAAAGTAATAATTTTAACTTTATAAACGTTATAATTATATTAAAGTAATATATATTTTATTCAATTATCAGATTATTAAGTTAAGTAAAAATTAGATTTTTCCATTATTATTATAGATAAATAAATAAATATTTAATTGACTTTTCTAATGACCTTTTGGTAAATATTTATCTAAAATCCAATGATTATCATTAAATTTATGTTTATTTTTACTAATAATTAAAGGATTAAATTAAAATATTTGAAAATAGAATAATTAGTTTAATATATACTGTATATATGTATGTATACAATTTTTGTTTTTATTTATTAACTTTGAATTATATAATTTATATATAATCCTTAATAGTATTATTTATGTAGTTGTTTATATAATCCACTCAAAATTCAATACATAATTAAATTATTTAATACACGTTTGTTATTAAACATTTAGTATTGATTAAATTACTGATTGACAAACAATAGACTTAAAAAAACAAAAATAATTTGAATCAATAGCATTTTTTTTTGTTAATAAAAATTTTTAAAAATTAATTTAAATTTAAATATTAATATCTTTATTAACTATGCCTAATGTATCAATTGTTTATACTGAATAAAGTTATAAACTAAAATTGTAGTTGATTGATTGATACTATGATATAATAATATTATTCAATATATGTTAAGTATAAATATTTAAATAAAAAATATTTTAATATTTAAACTTAAACTATATAATATATAATATATAGTTTTTATATTTTATAGATTAATAATTTTAAAAATGTATGACATTTTTTTAAAGTATAAAATTAGTTTTTCGTTTCTCAAAAGTCAAAAATGTTTTAAACCATTCAAATTCAATTGAAAGCAATAATAATAATAATAATAATTATAAAGTTGTTTAAATACCGGATGAAAGGTTGAAAATATAAGGTTTGAAAATTTATGTAATTTTTAAACAAATATTATTATTAATAATAATTTTAAAATTCTAGGCTAGAATTACCACACAATATTTTTTAATTGAAATTTTTTTAACTGCTATTTAGTATTTATTATTAGTATTTACTATACAGTGATAAATTATATAAACTTAAACTTAAAATATATTAAAATATAAAATAAATTATATATATATATAAATTTATTGATAATATGGTAATTAAAAAAATTCCAGTTCAATGCTATATAATATATTGATGATAGGATACCGTATACTCAATGACTCCCCGGTATGTAAATTGAGCCGTCAATGTGTGCATATGTGTGTGTGTGTGTGTGTGTGTGTGTGTGTCTTAATGTTTCAATGGGATCACCTGTTGGTTTGGGTTATTAGAGAAAGTGATTACTTATTATTATTTTTGAAACTTATTGAAGAAGAGCAGAGAGCAGACATTAGGGGAATGCGAGAGAGAGAGAGTGAGAGAGAGAGAGAGAGATACTGTTTTTGACTGGTTTTTCAAAATTGAAAGACGGATTGGCAGTGCCTTTGCTTATTATTATTAGTATACCTCTCCGTAAATGCCTTCTCTCTCTCTCTCTCTCTCTCTCTCTCTCTCTCTCTCTCTCTCTCTCTCTCTCTCTCTCTCTCTCTCTTAAGATAGACGTGTGTGGCTTCAAAAAGGACTGTTTATTAACGTAGAAGTACTACACTTATGAACAATCAGTTAGTTGGATGTATAGGAGCTGAAAGGGAAGCCTGTTTTGCAAGTTTTTTTTCTTTTGCTTATTTAGTGCGAAATATATTTTTGTGTAAAAGTAATACGGATTTTTGTGTGTGTTTTGTGTATATATAATATTATTATTTGGGATAATATTTTTTTTTGTTGGACAAACAGAGAGCACAATGGCTGCCAAAGCCATCATCGCTTGGTTTGTCTCTCTGCACATCATATTATTAATATTAGCCACCAATCTGTGCCAAACACTGTCGCCGCCGACGCTGGCCTACTATACGGATAACAACCAATTGGACCAAACCATTGCATACAAATATTTGCCGACAAAAGATAGGAACGAAATGCAAACCGAAATACTTAGTCTACTGGGTCTTCATCACCGGCCGAAGCCTAGACAACCCGGTTAGTCGCCCCCTACCCCCCTGACAACTATATGTAGTAATAGTAGATATCTATCTATGCTATTCTATGCTATACAGATAATAATCATTTTAAAAAATTTGTTTAATCCATTAATTAATTAATTATTATTGTTGTTTTAAAGTTAAAGACAATTCAGCGCCAAAATATCTGATAGACTTATATAAATCATTGCTGGATAAAGACAGCGGTAACTTAAAAATCGGTAACAATTATAAAGAGCCGGTAGTTCTCGAGGGAGAAATGCTAAGCAATAATAGTTTGCATGCAATCAACGATTCAGATATTATCATGAGTTTTATCAACCAAAGTAAGCCAATTATGAATCAATATTATATGACAGAAAATTTTTCATATTTGACTATTTAAAAAAAAAATTATTTGTATGTTTGTCTCGGTTGGGATCAGTTGACCGCAAGCTTCGCCACCACTCGTCTCGCCATCACTACAACAACAATAACAAGAACCGATACTTTTGGTTCGATCTGAGCCAAGTATCAGCTGGCGATGAAAGCCTATTGGATGCCGAGATGCGTGTGTTTCGGGATCTGTCCAAAAGTCGACTACCCGTTAACCAAACCTATCGATTGACTTTGTATGCTCTATCGTCCCGGTCTGATGATGACAACGACGACACACAGTTAGTATATTATTATTAATAGTATTTAATAGTTATTATTATTATTATTACAACAAATTTATAATTATTGCTCTCTTTTTTTCTTATGTTTGTTTATATTATCCGAAAAAATTTATTAATAGTAACTGTTTATTAAATTTTGATGCATATATACAATATTATATATAACTTTCAATGTACTGTACTTTAATATAGCATTTTTTTTCTTTTTGAAAATTCAGTACATTATTACAAACAAATCATAACATTTTAAGTTATCGCTAATATTGTACTTTTATTTTTTGGAAGTTTTATTTTTTATATATATTTTTAAAAACTAAAATTTTTCAACTAATTTCTATGATTTACTATTATCCACTTTTTATATGTTATATAGTTTTGAGTGTCAATTAATTATTTTTTAAAAATATTATATATAAGTTATTAAATTCTAGTCAACTTTATAAGCCATAAAGTTTTCTTTTTTTTAGTTATAATAATTATTATTTTACAGTAAAATAAATACTGGTAAAATAATATTTTGATATATAAAGTAATGATAATAATAATAATGACTTATTATAACCAAAAATTACTGGTACTTATTGTATTATAATATTGTATAACCACTAAAACTTTAATAAGGACTTAAAGGTTAAGTACTTATTTATTAAGGAATGTCTACTTTTTAATATTACCGTTAATAATATATATATATAAATACAGTATATATCTATATATTAATATAAGGTTAGTTTGACTTATAAAGTAATATTATGTGCTGTCTCTCAACAAAAAAAAATAAAAATAATAAATTATAGAAATGTCTGGAAGTATAATAATATGGCGCAATATATATTATTTTGATTAAAAATTTAACATAATCATGATATACAAAACTTTTTCAAATGAATCAATTTCTTTAACAACAACAAAACAAATATATAAATTTTAAAATTATATATTGTAAAGCTATATATGTTATTTGATATTATACTTTTGTATGGCTTATATACTGTAATATACAGTACTACTATATATATATATATTGTACACCAAAAAAAAATATTATTTTAGTATGAGCTCAGAATAAAATATATTTATTTATATCAAAATCACATATAAACATATATATAAATATTTTTCAAATATAATAACTTTCCAATCATAATAATAAAAAACATAATAATATATAAACAGTATATATTTATATATATAAAGCAAGTGTAGTATTTTATTATATAAATATATTGTTTATACTATCGATATATATATATTATAAATTCAAAAATGCTATTTGCAATGATCTTATTGTTTTTTTTATCAGTAAGTATTGTACTTTACTTTACTTTACACACATATATATAAAATTTAAACAACAATATAAATATTTGTCTATTATTGTCTATATATCTATAATATAAATATAAAATTTAAAAAAATTGGTTTTATATTTTGTTTTATAGAGATAGGCTATTAAATTACGTGAGCGATCAGTTGATCACGTTTGAAGACGGATGGATTACATTCAATGTTACCGATCCTATGATCACATGGATTGCATTTCCCAAACAAAATCTTGGACTGTATTTAAGGGTCACATCCGATCATTTGGGTATTTATTTTTTGATTTAAAAAAATAATAATTACTATTATTTTTGATTTTTAAAAAAAGTTGTATTTAGCTTTTTATAGTATATTTTTTTATATAGAATTTTATTATAATTTAAAATATCATACAATGTTAATAATAATATGCGCTAATATATACAGTATAATGAAAAGCTATTGTACTGTAAAAATATAATAATAATAATAATAATAATAATATAAATTTAAAATTTTTAATAATCATAATAATTTTATAGAGTCTAGACATAAAAAACTAAAAAAAGATACTATGGCAATTTATTTGATATGTTTACTATTTTATTTACAAAAAATATTAACTAATTTTACAGGGGATTAATCAACAAAAAATAATTATATATATATATATATATATATTGTATTAAAAAACTTTATTCTTTAAAAAATAATTATAATTTGATTTAAAAAAATACTATGTTTCCGCCCGGGATCGAACCGGGGACCTTGCGCGTGTGAGGCGCACGTGATAACCACTACACCACGGAAACCAGTTGAAAACATAGCTATTTATTAGTAACCTTAATGCTATACTGTCTACACAAACCAGTTATATGCTTGCTAATCAAAAAAAAAATAAAACTACAGTATAACTACATTATAAGTTTATTTAAAAAAAAAAACTAATTATCCAAAATTTTTTTTATTATTATTAAACAGATCGCGACATTGATCCCAATGAGATCGGCATAATCAGTGGTAAGTCAGCCAAACACGTACAGGCCTTTACCATTGCCTACTTCAAGAACTTGGCCGCAGTGTTCGGTTCGGTACGTAAACGTCGCGACACATCCACGACCTCCGACGCCAAACCTGTACTGCGAAGAACCAAAAAGAGAAGCGATGTGTCCTACTATGAACACGACGAATGGAATCCATATCTTAGTAAGTGATCCAATCGGTGATGTCTTAATCTTGAATTCTTCTGACAATTTATATTTTTATCATAAGATTTTGTTTTCTTTTTTTTTAATTTCTCTTTCAAACTGATTGATTGTCAGATCCCAGTGATCGATATGCTTCCGGAAGAAGTTGCCAAAAACGGACACTTTATGTATCGTTTCGAGACCTCGGATGGCAGGTTAGGCATTAGTTTTTTGTTGTTGATATATATATATGATATTTATATTTATATTACGGTATAGCATATCTGGGAAATGTTTTAGTCATTTATTTTTGTTGTCGGTGTTGTAATAGATATGAGTTATATATATATATATATATTTATTATATATATTGTTTCCTTATATTCTATCATTATTGAAGACATTTTTTATCATAGGTCATATATCATATATATTTATATTTATATATATACAGTATTTATTTATATATATATATAATATAGATTTAGTTGACTTCAGTTACAATTTATATGACTGTATTAATTATATATAAATATATTGATATATATATACACTGTATATATCTTATTGAAAACTTTCATTTCATTTGCTGTTTTTGTTTATTTGTTTTTAACTTAACAATTAATAATTGATTCCTAACTGATAGAAATTCAATTGAATTAATATTATCATTGAAATACATTATATATATATATTGAATAATTTATTTAAAAAAAAGGATTGGATTATAGCACCTGACGGTTACGCTGCCTTCTTCTGCGACGGTGAATGCAGTTTCCCATTGAATGCACACATGAATGCCACAAATCATGCCATTGTCCAGACTCTGGTCCATCTAATGAATCCATACAATGTTCCTAAGCCTTGCTGTGCGCCCACTAAACTGTCGGCAATTATGGTCTTATATTTTGACGACAACTCCAATGTTATACTGAAAAAGTACAAGAATATGGTCGTCAAGTCCTGTGGTTGTCATTAAGGCTGCGTTTATTGACAATCACTTTAAACAAACAACAAAAATGTTTTCATATATTTTATATATATATATATATATATATATCATATAAATATAAATCTCATTTCATTTTTTTAAAAATTTCATTTTTATTTTCATCTTTTATTTTGTTTGTTTGTCTGTCTGAGTGTGTGAACAAAAAAAATCACTATTTTTAAAGTATATGTTTATGATCTGAGGAGTAGTACTGAACTATACTGTTATTATTATTTTATTATTATTATTATTATATCAAACAATTTTAAATGAGATCATATAATTTATTGGATTTTATATATATTTTTTCAAAAAAAAATTGATAACCTAAAAGTCTAGCTATAGAGAAAGTTAAGTATAACTTTTCAACAAATAATAATAATAATAAATATGTCTTATATAATAAGTTTTATAATCAAGACTCACATAATTGAATGATATATATATATACCGTACAGTATATTATATAAGAAGCAAACTTTATATAATAATAATAATATTAAATTTAATCAAAAAAAAATTTTTTTTTATATAAAATGCCAAATCAATATACAGTATAGTATTATATATAAATTTTTTTTATAAAACTAGAATTTATTAAATTGATATAAAACTATACTATACTATACTATTTAGTGCCTTATATTTTTGTCAAAGTTATTATTTTATTTTGTATTTTATTTTGTATTTTTTAATCAAATGCCATAACATTACTGTTTTTTTATAAGACAATCTGTTAAACTATTTAAATAAGAGACCGATTAGTGACCGGTAATGATATTATTATGTAAATATAGATTCACTTAAATATATCGCCAAAAAAATCCTATTGATTTGAATCGGTAAACATTTATACATAAAAATATATAAATAATAATAAAAAAATTTGAAACTATAATACATTATTTGAACTCTAGTTGTTTAAAAAACATTATTAAAATCTTGTATTCAATTATATATGCAATTAAATTATATATATATATAAATATATTTAAAAATAACTCTCAAATGAATTGTAAGAATGAAATAAATGAATTCAAATATTTGTAAAAACAATTAAATAGATGTTTGAAATAAATTGAAAACAAAAAAACTTTAAATGTATTTTTGTTTTATTTATTTAAAAAAAAAATGATACAAACATTTTTGTTATATTATATTATATTATTATATGTTATTTTTCTACAACAAACAAATAATATAACATTTTTTTTGAAAATATAAATTTTAGATTAAATAATAAATAATAAATAAAATTTTTGACACATTAATTAAATTAGGGCTAAATATAGAATTTTTGATCTAGCTATTATTATTAAAAAAAATAGTTAATAGACAAAAAAAATTGTACCTGTACATATAAACAATAATTTTTAGAATTACCAAGTTAGAAATTCGATAATAAATTTTCTCAAAATAACATGTTTTTAAAAAATTTATAAATATTATAATGTTATATATTTTCAATAATTTAATTTAACTTTAATTAGAAAATATTTTAGGGAGGGGGTGGGGTGGATGGGGCGGGAAATACCAAAAAAAAAATTTATTTATATGAATTGACCTGGACCCAAATTAATGTACAGGTGAACTCTACTACAGTGTAGGCAAATTTGGTTACTATACTACACTTAAAAACTACATACAAATCTAGGTATTAGTACATATAAAGTATATTAACTATAATGTTATATCAAATTCATGTAATAAAATATATATAATATTTTTTAAGTAATAATTATACTATTATAGAGAGAGAGAGAGATATCAACTATTTTATTGAGAAAAACAAATAATTAATTCATTGGTTAAACATTTTTTTTCGATCAAATATTTGGATACCGATTGTCATTATTATTATAATTATTAGTCCATAATATCGGTTATCGACTGTATGTATGTATGCATCGATTGAGTCACTCATTTGGTTGTAACGCATGCGTTGTTCAGTCAGTCTATGTGTGTGAGTGTGTGAGCAGTGATTAACAATACTGTATATATGTTGCATAAGTGAGTCACTGAGTGATTGGAATGAGTGAGTGATTTGATTGTAATGTTTAGCGCTATTATACAACACTACTACTAGTGCTGTACTGTATTGTGTTGTGTAGTAGTAGTAGTGTTGCAGTTGTTGTTGTGTTTAGAGTGTTGTGTAGTAGTGATAGTCTTGACTCACAAATTCAATCATAGATTTTATGTGTAAACCTATGGTTTGAGTCTATTATTATTGTTATTATTATTATTATGACTACTAATAGACATAACATAGCATACGATAGTTTGGACGAAACGCCAGTGTTTTACTGGTCGGACAACCAATTGTTGTGACAATTAATATATATTTAATTATTTGGACAACAAATAAGTGATACATATTTTGTTTTTGAAGACAAATTGTGGACTTAATTAAAGAGACTTAAAAAATATATTCAATGAATTCAAAAACGATTGGATTCACTACTAATTGATTGTCATTTTAAAAACTAAATAATATTTTTTTTTTGTTGATTGCAATTAATATTATTATTATTTTAGTGTCAAAAAAAAGTTTTTTTTTCATCAATAAAATAAAATGTTTAAACAAATTCAACATTCATTTGATGTTTTTATTAATTATTATATCATATATACTATCGTTTAATCATTAAATAATAATAATTTTCTAACTATAGAAAAAAGTTTCATTTTTTAATATTAATTGTATATATATTTAAAAAAATAAAATAAATATTTTATTTAAATTGTCTGATGATTAACAACAACAACAACAAAATGTGTGACATTTTGCGGTAATTTTTATTTTATTTATACCAATCAATACACGTATGTATTATTTATTTATTTATTATTATTATTATTGAGTTACTATTAATAGTTAGTATTATTAATAGTAATAATATTCATTGAATTTCCATATCATTTGCTAAAATAGTAAATAGTATTAAATGGTATTAACAGTTAAAAAACATATGATTATATCATATATATATATATATATATATCTATATATATGGGTTTTACAATATCATTGATATAACTAATACACACAAATTAGTATTGGATGACAAACACATAGTATAACATTATATATATCATGTTTTTTTTTATTGTATTGTAATACTAATCCAAAAAAAGTCTATTTTAATTAATTTATATCATGTTTTATAATGTATGATATATGGTATATACACTATACCAGTATATATATAGTTATCTATGACTTGTATTAAGACTTATTGGCTTTTATTTGCTATATTTGCCGATAATATTGGCTATTAATGTGTACTGTAATTACAATACATTTTAGCAAATAGTTTCTAATATTAGATGCAATTAATTACATGAAACACATTTGACAATAGACACTGTATTTTAATTAATTTTTTTTGTTTAACTTAAAAACTATATAGTAATAAATACATTTGTCATCACTTTTTTGTTATTATACAGTATATACTATAGTAAAATGATATATAAATATATATTTAATTTATGTGTAAATATCGTAAACATATTTTATGGCATAAATTATTTTGCTATTAATATATATATATTATATTCTAATAATTTCTTAAATATAACTGTATTTTTTATTGCATTTGTTTTAAGCCATAAAAACACTGTATACTAATACAGTAGTGTAGTATAGTTATAGACAAACAAAATTGATGACAAGTTGTCTGGTAATAGCTATATTCAAAATGCAATTAATTTTTTTGTTGCTATATATTTAGTCATTTTAAGCTTATATTTTTAGATTTGGCCTTTAAATTTATATCAAATATATATATAAAATCTCAATACAATCTTTTTTTATATTAGTTTTTTTGTATGTGTATAAAATTCTGTGTTATATAGTATATAGAATAATATATATATACAGTATATTTGTAATAAAGAATATTCTTTATATACAGTATTATATATATATATATAGATTTTGAATATAATAAAAACTGCATTGAATTTGTAGCAGAAATGTATGAATTCATAACATATATTAAATTGAAAATTCTTGCATAACTCGAGTTTATAGCCGTATAATACATATATATATATACAGACACACAGAGAAAATTGTTTTATTATATATATATATTTTTTCTGTATTTCAAGTGATATATCGGTTTTGTGGAGATGATGGTAACTACTGTATAACACACACACACACACACACACACACACACACACACACTCAAAAATGTCTCATCATATTTGAGGGCACAAATTGTATGGTAATTGTTAGACCAGAGAGAGAGAGGAAAAAACTGTATTTAAAACTAATAGTTGTTGGCATTAATATCCATTGAAGTATATAATGCAATATTGAGTGTAGAGAGAGAATGAGAGAAAAAAAGAGAGAACTTATAGTTATATAAAGCAATAGTAATTGTGATTCTCTGTTAGTACCACTGAATGTGTGACTCAAATAGCAGTTAATATGACAGCAATCAAGCCGTTGGCAAATGCAATGCCTTATATAATATAATATAAAGTTATATATCTATATAATAAATATACTGTATATAAACTAATGTATAATGTGTGATATATATATATATATAAAATAGTATATTAAATTGTAAGTCAAATTCTTAGTTATATATAATTTTTTATGACTACAATTTTATTTACTGTATTTTGATTTTTACGACTTATGGCTCTTTTTTCTCTTTAATATTATTCAAATTAGTTTTTCTCTTTCAATCACTATCCTATCCATTGCTTTTAATTTATACTGTATTATACATGTATTGATTAGTCAGTCGCTTGTGTTTTTAATTATTTGCCTTTTAAGTTAGTAGTAGTAGTAGTTTAGTCGTTTAAATGCACTTTTAATGTTAGAAATGCTTTTAATAATGTATGTCTATGTGTGTCTGTATGTATGTGTTTGCCGTGTATTTAAATAATTATTTAATTACTAGACGTTATGTTCGGATAATTAATCGGTGAATTAAATAAAACAAAACAGTTTTTCAAAAATTACAAGTGTGTGTGTATGTATATATATATATATGTGTGTGTGTGTGTCTATGTGTGTGTGTCTATGTGTGTGTGTGTATATGTGTGTATTTGTCTGAATTATTACTGTATTATCATAAAAATATATGACAATAATTGTTGTTGTTGTTGTTGTTGTGTGTGTGTGTGTGGAGCCTTCAAAAAATTATAAGTCACTATTATAGTTGAATTACATGTCCAACTGTTTGTTGCAAATATTATCAGCAATTAATCACTGAAGCAATACAAGAGGACTAGTAGTAGTAGTCGTAGTAGTAATAGTAATACATTAGTGTTTAGTTTAGTATAACATGTCATCCAAATATTTGACTGGAAAGACACGAACACAACAACAATAATAGCAAAAACAACAACAACAACGACGACTATGAGGACTACCAAAAATCTAATACATGTTTTATATGCCTCTCTGTGTGTGTATATATGTAACACTCAAATCGTTTTTTTCTTTCATATGTTTCCATATTATTATTATTATATAATGAAATTATATTACCTAACTCTCACTATGTATAGACAGTATTAGACTCAAATATACACACACTCACATAAAAAACACAACTAACACACACACATATATATAAAATAATGATATAATGCTTTTTTATATGATGACCAAGTGATGATCATTTATTGATTAGTCGACCAAAAAAATGATAGTTTTATTATTAAAATAGTTTATTTATTTCTAATAATGTTCATATCTGACAATTTTATTTATATATATATTATCACATGAGATATTTTATTTTTAAAAAATCTATGCTATAAATTATATGATGTAAATTATTAATAAATAACTTAAAATAATTTATTTATTTAACATAGATTTAAAACATTTCTATGGCTATATTATGAAATATTTTGTTGTTATTGATGACAAACTTTATTATATTTAATGCTAAATTATAATCTCATTTGTAATAAATATACTAAATTGAAAATATATTATTATATTTATATTTAATATATATATATATATATATAGATTCTGTAATATATTTATAAATATGATGCCCTCATAATGTTTTAGTGTTAAATAAAATTATAGTTTTGCTCACAACATTATTATTATTATATTGATTTGATAAACCTATAAAAGTATAGCTATTTATAAAAGATGGTTTAAAAATTGTTAACAATGTTTGTACTATCCATAGATAGTATCCATAATAGTTATATAACAATTTTTGCATAATAAACATGATTGTACTGTATGTGAGAATATACAGTATATAAATGTAATGAATTTTTAATTAATATTTTTATGTCCATTATTTAAAAACAATAGACACATACATACATACATTATTGATCAATAGTCGCATAGACTCTAAAAAGTATTAAATATTAAAAATACAATATTATGTTTATAAAATTAAGTACATTATTATTCAAAAATGTATCTCTACGGTATAATACACAATGTTTTTAAAAATATTTTAGATTTCTAAAAGTATTTGTTTTATAAGTCAATTTTGAAAATATAATTTTCATTTTAATAAATATAAATGATTGTGTGTGTGTGTGTGTTTGTGTGTGTGTGTGTGTGTGTGTGTGTGTGTGTGTGTGTGTGTGTGTGTGTGTGTGTGTGTGTGTGTGTGTGTGTGTGTGTGTGTGTGTTGTACAGTACTTGATGTTTGCAAACTTTTTGAAATAAAGTTATTAAAAAACTAAAATATTGTATAGCATTAAAATGTTTGCTATTTATAGCACTCATACCTCTCTCTTGCTCTCTCTCTCTCTCTCTCTCTCTCTCTCTTCATATTATTAATAAAAGTATAGCGAATATTACAGTTAAGCATTTGTTAACATTGAAGCAATTCTGGTTTTTATATAATATTTCAATATATACCGTAATATTATTAATGCATACAATAATATAACACACAGAATAACATTAGATTTAAACTGTATATAACTATACAGTATACTGTATATACTATATAGTGTTGACTAATTTTATATAAGCAGTTATATTCAATACAATTATAGCTTTAGAAATAACACACACACACACACACACACACACACAATGTTTCAATGAATTCAATGTTTTTTTGTTTTTTTAACATTAAATTCTTGTATTTTCGCTATTCTTTTAATTTGTGCTGATTTTTGTTGGGCAACCATTTTATCGGTGTGTGTGTGTGTGTGTGTGTATGTGTGTGTGTTTTATTTTGTTTAGTTCACTTGATTTAATCAACAAAATTGACTAACACATTGACGGATATCAATTTTATTACTACTACTCTTATTATTATTATTATATAATGTTATACGATTGCCACACAATTTACAGTATATTTATATTACTGTAGTAGCCTACCCCCAAATAACATGTCATTAACATGTTTAAACACACACATACACACACACCAATAGTATTGCTAATTTGATACTAATTTTAAACATCATTTTTTTCAAATAAGTTATTTTTAAACAATTTATTTCTAACTAATATATATATATATATTTTTCTTGTAAATTAAATTTCTGCATAACTGTATTTGATTGTTTAATATTTACATTTGAAAAAAAATTAATATTGTTTGCAATAGAAATGTCATTCACAGTGCAATTATAGTGCACTTAAAATGAAAAGTCAAAACAGGTGTACTGTGTATACTCTAGTATTGAGAATTATATTTACACTGTTTTCATAAATAATATAACAAAAAATATATACAATATATATATATATAGTTATTTGAAATTTTTTTGTTTAAGTTTTCCAAATGTTTGTAATATCAACAATCGATTTGTTGAATTCATGACAAGTTAAGCAATGAGAGTATTTTGTATATAAATTTTTAAAATATTTTATATATAGATATACCATATATATACTATATACTGTATATATATATATATAATATTTTCTAAAAGTTATTTTTTAATAATTATATAAACAAACTGTCTCCGATATGTAATGATATGTATAAATTTAATTATATATTTTAAATGCCTGTTATCACACACACACGATAGTCAATTAATTAAAGCGATTTTTTGATAAAAATTTTAAACATATCGTTCAGCAAATAGTTTTTCGCCGACAAATAAAATAATTAAATTAAATTTATATGTTCTCTCTCTCTCTCTCTCTCTCTCTCTCTCTCTCTCTTATTGTTGTTGATGTGCTGCTACTAATAGACGAAATTGCCATTAGAGAGAAATATAATATTTGTACTGGTGATATATGATACAGCAATAATATAATTTATATAGTTGTTTGAAAAAATGTCAAAACTATAGATGATGTTGTTATAAATTGCTACTATATATATATATATATATATATATATATATATATATATATAAATTTATATATTGTATATACGGTATATATAATATACCATATACAATAGATACACATTTTTCAGGATATAATTAAATTAACCCAGTTAGAAAAATTATATAGTGTTATACTATGTGTATGTGTGTGTGTTTTGTAGTCTATATTGGCTCTCATGTAAGTGAAAAATGTGAACCCATAGTGTATATTATATAATATATATATATATACCTATTATAATTGAATTGAATTGATGTCTATGTATGTATGTATGTATGTGTGTTTACTTTGCGCAATTGACAAACGCCCAAAACAATATTGTTTTAATATTATAATCAATAATTGTGTTACAATATATAGATATATACGATATATATAGTCTAATTCAGAATATTCTATACATTTTCATAATATATGTATATATTTTTCTGTATAGAATTTTATGATTATATAATATTCTGTATGCATTACAAATGCGGCAAATGATTTGCATTGCAGTTATATTTATATATATATACAATAGATATATATATTAAATACAACAAAGTAAACAATAATTTGAACATTAAAATCCTTAATGTTTGTATCAATTTAGGATATATAAAAAAAATTATATTTATTTGAGCTATTTTTTCGGTACATTGAATGTAATTTATTTTATATCTCAGAAAATGTTTTATTGATATAAAATTGATTAGATTTTTGTGTTATTTGACAGAAATTGTTGGCATAACACACACATACAGTCAAACTAGAAATACTATAAAATAAATATATTTATCAAACATAGAAAAAATATGGATTGAAATCGATAATAAAGTTTTTTAAATAAAACAAAACAACACAACAAAAATGACAAAACGGACTATTGGTAGTAATGGTGTAAAAGAGTTGACCGCAATTGATGGCCAACAACAACCATACAGTGATGACCATAATGTCGACGACCAAGACATGGACGACAACGACATGGACGACAATGAACAGCTAAAGCCGATCAACGGTGACAACAATAATGCAGCCAAAAATCGGTTTAGGCCTCGAGTAAAACGCCAGTCACTGCTATTGAAAAGAGGTGACACCGAACTGAGTATCGATCACTCGGGTGTCCAACGATTTCTACCGAAGTGTATGCACTTTGCTTTTGCCGATAGAGACGCCGAACATCTATACCGTGAATACTATGAAAATGAAAAACGAAGTGACTTTAATACCCTAATAGTGATCGTCTTATTTGTTAATGTAGTACTGTTCCTATTGTACTCACTGTCCTATTCATCCCGACATTTACCTCAGATGGCTGTACTATTCGTAACATTTGCTTTGACATTGATATCATTAGTGCTATGCCTTCAGCGAAATAGTCGCAAATCGTCGCCAATGGCCACTAGATTGTGGACAACAATACCATTTGTAGTCTGGACGGTACAAATGGCTCAGATATTCTGTGATGCCTGGATGTTTCCCATACCCGCCCAACCCACCGATTCATTAGCTTTGATACTATTGTATACCTACTCATGCTATGTTATACTACCGTTACGGCTGGGCATATGCAGTACATTAGCAGTAACGATGGCGTTGATACACTTCGTGTTGATTACTTGTGTCAGCGGCAGCGGTAGTCACCGACAAGATCTGTTTGGCCATCAGTTGGCCGCCAATCTCATTATATTTACCGGTACTAATCTATTGGGTACAATGTCTTTCTTTTTCTATGAAAGACAACAGCGAAGAGCCTTTCTGGAGACTCGTCAGAGCCTTGAAGTCAAGTTAGTACTCGAAGAGGAATCGCAGGAACAGGTATGACGACATCCATCAGATATATATATATTTATATATATATTATATTTTTAGATTATTACTGTATTTATTGCTTAAAATATATACTCATATCTATATTTTTTTATCTTTGCTTATATTAATATATGATATATATATACAGTATATGTTTATAATTAGTAATTTTATTAATTACACCATTATTTGTAGTTTTATATAATCTCTATATATATATATATATATATATATATATATATATATAGAAATATTATCTCTTTTTTTTTCTCTCTCTATAATTAGTTTTAGGTTTTTAAAAAATAATATTTTAGTAATTATTAAATTTAAATTAAGTTTCTGTGTCATTGCAATAATATTTTAAAATTTGATATTTTTGAATATTTATTATTTCCAAAATAATTTATTTTTAGGAGCGCTTATTGCTGTCGGTACTGCCCAAACATGTGGCCGCAGAGATACGCCAAGATCTCGGCGCTGTAGTCGAGGGACAGTTCCATAAGATCTATATGAGCCGTCACGAGAATGTTAGCATTTTATTTGCTGATATCGTCGGTTTCACTGCCATATCATCGACATGTCCGGCACCAGAGCTCGTCAGGACTCTTAATGAACTATTTGCCAGATTTGATAAATTATCGGATGTAAGTCTCTCTTTCTCTCTTTTCATCCCCTTTACATCCCTATCCAACAATATAGTAATTTGATGCTATATTTATAATGTAACGAAATTTGAATATAATAGAAATTTGTTATAATAATATTATTAGTTGTTTATTTTTGCAACAAATTAATTGAATTTTTTCCTATGAAATGCCTCAGTATTTATCATTTTTACCGCTAATACCAGTGTTAGTGTAGATATATATATATATATATATATATATATAAGTACAGTACTTATATTATACAGTATAATAAAATGGTTTTATACCAGAATGTAGACCTCATTAAATGCTTGTTATAATTGGCTCCGACTGTGAGCCTCTCACTCCTATTAAAATTATTCCGTAATTTTTTTCTGGCATTTCATTACAATTTAATTATCTTATATTTAGCTTTATATAAATGCGATACTTTCATACAATTTTTCTTATATATAAAGAGTATACAGACTTTTAATGTTATAATTAAAAGTTTAATATATACTGTATATGTATATAAATTATTTTCGTTGCGATATAATTATCAGAAATATCATCAGTTGAGGATCAAAATCTTGGGCGACTGTTATTACTGTATAAGTGGCGCTCCGGAGGAACGATCAGATCATGCAGTACTGTGCGTTCATATGGGCCTATCGATGGTCGACGCCATCCGATCGGTTCGGGAGCAGACAAAATCGCCGGTCGACATGCGAGTGGGCGTCCACACGGGCGGCGTATTGGCCGGTGTGTTGGGCCAACGCCAGTGGCAGTTTGATGTCTACAGTCGCGATGTCGAGTTAGCCAATAAAATGGAGAGTGGCGGTTTGCCCGGGTAGGTTTTATTTTAAAATAAAAAAATTATTTTATTTATTTTAAATTAGTTACATATAATTTACATATAAAACAGATCTACTTAGATATACAGTATATATATTAATATATATATATATATATATATATACATTATCGTAATGTATGCCTAAATTACAACTACAAAAAAAAATTAATTTTCTTTTATTTTTTAAAAAAAGAGTTTATATTTAATTTAACTTTTATTTGTCTGAGTGTGTGTGATATCAACTTTTTTTTATATTATATTTTATTTTTAGAACATTAGGTTTTTTTTAGTATTATTATTATTTAACTCATATCGTATATAAATTTTATATATAAACTTTGTATATATATATATATATATACTGTATATGAAAGACAGTAATGGTTTCAACAACAAAAAACGATATAAATTTAAGAAAAATCAGACTCAGAGGCAATAAAAATAACGGTAAAGAAAAACGGTCGGTGCAATCAATATTGTTGTTGTTGTAGTAGTTATATATACATATAAATTGAATGCCAAAGTTATCTATAAAAAACGGAGGCGATCTTTGAGTTATGAAGTTTAATACGATAAAAACGATATATACAGTATATATATATATATATATATTTAAGGTAATGTCTATTGAATAATAACTCAGACATAGACATAGATAACCCATAATAATCTATACTAAAAATATAACCATAGAATTTTAAGTTAGAATTTATGCTAAAAATTTATGAATTATGTATATATATATATATATATATTTATATATATGATATTCTGTATATATATATATTTAGTATACATTTAAATACAATGTATCTCTGTGTGTGTGTGTGTGTGTGTGACCTAAAAAAAGTTAATTTTTTTAACTTATAATTTTTACAAGAATTGCTGATGATTTGCAGTGAATTTTATATGAAATGTTAGGCAAAAAAACTCTTTGTATTTTTTGTGATATATATACTGAATTATTTTTTTTTGGTTAGATATACAGAATATATCTTCAATTTTTTGTGTGTTGTGCTCTGATTCTGCAAAATAGATAGTCTTTTTTTGATATTGAAGACTTAAAGAATACTAAAGAGTGAGTGAGTGAGTGAGTGAGTGAGTGAGAGAGAGAGAGAGAGAGAGAGAGAGAGAGAGAGAGAAAGAAAGAAATTGAGAGGAAATAGTATTAAAAGCTTTTTTCATGAATTTTTATCTACAAAAAAATACTTGTGTTTATTAATAGCATTTAGCGTTTTGCGTTCAAGAATTTATTCATATATATATTTTTAACATATTTTCTTTTTTTTGAATTAAAATTACAGTATATTTATATTCGTTGAGAAAATTTGCAATCATAAAGAAAATATATAAAAGTTAGTGGAAATAAAAAAATGCTTGAGTGAAATATAAATATTACTAAATCTCTCTCTCTCTCTCTCTCTCTCTCTCTCTCTCACTTTCTTTCTTACTCACCCACTCACTCACTCTCGCCCCTTAGTGTCTCATAAAAAATAGTAGATTTATAAACAATATTTTAAACGATAAATTGATGCCATTAATAGTTTAGACACTGGATTTATTTAATGCCTGTATACACAGTGTGTTTATCTATATCTGTATATATATATATACCGTATATACTGTTATACTCATAGACTACCATTAGTATTACACATATTGTATATATATTATACAATTTATACGTAACTTACATATAATACTAGTATATAATAATAGTATATACCCACATATATCGTATATAAATGTATATACTGTATAAAAAATATATAATATATGTTTTGCTATTTATTTGCAACCATTCATTTGTTATATCTTATTTGCGTCAAGATTTATATAGACTTTTAATACTAATTTATATTAATATCAGGGTTAAGTAAGGGGGGGGGGGGGGTAAGGCCAAAATACCCCCCCCCCCCCCCCCCCCCCTAAGATCGAGAAATTGGGATTTTACCCCCCCAGACTTTTTGACCAAATTGAAAAAATTGTCGCTTAAAAACGAGGAGAAATGACCCCCCCCCCTAAAATTTCGGCGCCGAAGGCGCCGAAAATTTTTTTGAAATTTATAAAAATTTTAATTTTAGTTGATACTATTTTAGTAAGTGTTTTTATGTTTATAATATTTATAAAAATCTAATTATTGATTAAAAATAGTTAAAATAACGTTAAAAGTCATCAAAAAATAACATTATTTTAATTAAAATAAACTAAAAAATTAAAAATTACCTATTTGTTGAAAAGAGTAATCATATTACAATTTAAATATAAGTTTAAGAAGTTAATAAAACAATAAATACTTATGTTTTTATTAATAATTTTTAAATTTTAAATAAAAAATTTAAAAATATTTTCAATTTTGTACTTAATATAATTAAACTTTAACGAAATTTGAGTTAAATAAGTAGTATTCAGTCAGTATTTGTATAAAAATAAAAATATATAACAAACTATAAACATTAAGTATTGTTTAAAAAATTAATTATGTTAAAAGTTAAAAATTATTAAAATACTAAAAATAACTCATAGTGTATCATTAATGCTTTTATCAACTATTTTTAAATCTTAAATACATTATTTTATTTTTTTTGTTAAAATTTAAGTTTTTATTAATTTTAAAAAATTTTTTTAAAAAATATTTATTTTTTGTTAAAATTTAAATTTTTGTTAATTTTTAAGTTTTTTAAGTTTTTTTTTATATTTTTGGAAATTTTACCTATTTTCCCGGGAATTTATACGGGAACTTGTGGGAATTTTATTGAATTTACATGGGAATATTCGGGAACTTAAGGAATTTTTAGGGAATTTTCTCTAGACCCCCCCCCCCCCTGATTTTGGATTTTTGAAAAAATTGCCGTTTAAAAATGCAATAAAAATCTTACCCCACCCAATACCCCCCCCAAGATTTTTTGAGAATTTTGTAAATTTTACCCCGGTCTACCCCCCCCTAAAATCCAAAACCTTGCTTAACCCTGATTAATATATATATATAAATGTATGGATATTACGTAAATATATATTCATGACATGAATTAAATTGTCTCTCTCTTTCTCTCTATTATTATTATTTTTTGTCTATTTATTCATATTTATTAATACAAAGCTCCACTCATACTGTGATTTGCATAACTTTTATTTAGTGTTAGAAAAATAAAACTTAAAGATTTTTTTGTTCAAATATTTAATGACATATTTTTACCTTTTATTTGCACACAAAAGATCACCGAAAGAGAAAAAAATTGTTTGACTCTCTCTCTCTCTCTCTCTCTCTCTCTCTCTCTCTCTCTCTCTCACTCTCTCTCACACACACACACACTCACTCACTCACTCACTCACTCACTCACTCACTCACTCACTCACTCACTCACTCACTCACTCACTCACACACACACTTACTATCATTTTGTCACTCACTCTTTGGTTTATATATACTGTATTTATTTGCGAATCTATTAAATGTTAAGAGAAAATTGAATCTTATGTTAATAATGGCAAACCTTTGTTACCATTTAAATGGATAATACGATTCAATACTAACCCACAATATAACAGAATATAAATCTCCTTTTCTTTATTTACACAATAATAAACTGTACTATAGTTCAACCAATTGGGAAATTTTCCCGGAAAAAGTTGAAAATTAATTAATTAGTTAAAAGAATTTTGTTATTTTTGCAATTAATTAATTAATTTTTTGGTTTAAAAGTGAAAAATGGATTTTTATTAATAAAATCTAAACATAACATCTAATTACTACTGTATGTGTGTTTGTATGTAATTTTTGTTGTTGTATATAATATATTAAATGTCATCTTAATTGATGATATACTGTACACTATTTGTGATGTATTTTATAAATATATAATTTTTTTTGGTGATATATTATTACAGGAGAGTTCACATATCAGAAAAGACATTAAGTTTTTTGAACGGCGAGTTTGAAGTGGAAGACGGCGACGGCGCCTCCCGTGACGAGAACCTTCGTATGGCCGCAATTAAGACCTATTTAATTGTTCGGGTCATCAAACCATATCCTGAAGGAACGTTAGATATGGTTCAACCTGTCAGTACAGTCGCCGCCGTCGACAACAATATCGACGACCCGACATCAACTGACGAGTCGACCAAATTGCGGCAAAAATCGTACGACAGTGCGGCAGCTGTTGCGGTGGCGGCAGCGGCGGCGGCATCGACGACCATCAACTATTTGGACGAAGTAAAAGATCCCGAAGAATATAAGCGACGTCTCTATCAAGAGTTGTTGAGCCGAGACGGAGACAAGAATGTCTCTGAACACACCCAAACATTTTCATTGCACTTCAAAGACGACAACTTTGAGCACCAGTACCGCAACAGTCGTGATATAACCAGTTGTGTGTCATTAGTAGGCCTTCCGTTGACATTGTTTTGCTATTTGATAGCTTACTTACTCGTCGGCGCCCCGTAAGTGATACATCGGGTTTATATAATCAAAATATTGTATTTTATATTATATTTCATTATTATTTAGTATTAGTATTATTATTCTCTATTAAATATTTACATTTACTTAAGTTTCTCTAACTATACAAATAATTACTGTTTTCTCTCTCTCTCTTTCTCTAGTCTTTTTTAGTTTAGTTTTGCAGCTATCGATAATATAGTATCATATAATTGCAAATTAATATTAATTAGCAAATATTAACAAACATAACACTAATATAATATATAATATATATATATATATATAAAACACTATTTTATTATTTCAAGGGATAAGTAATTATTGATTAATTTTATTTATATATCAAATATAATTAGCTGCTAAAGCTATTTAGCAATAATAAAACATAAATACAGTATATATATACAGTATATGTTTTATACATGTATGACATAATGTAATATAATATAATTTATATAAATATTTTATTTATTAAACAGTAATCATTTTTTGTGTGTAAAATTTTGTGTTAAAAATAGTGTTTTAATTTTTACTAAATATTATCCTTTTTTAAAAAAGAAAACCCGTTAAACTAATTTATTTATCATAAACTTATTTTAATGTTTATATAATTTATATATATTTTTAGGCGATTATCGACTTATTTGGTATTATTTTTATGCGTAACTCTATTGATAGCCAAAGCTGTCGTTTGCACGGCTCCTATAATATGCAATGTAAGTGTAAATATTATATATAAATAATCATTAATTTTAGTTCAAATAGTTATATATATATATATAAATAATATAAATTTCTCTCTCTCTCTCTCTCTCTCTCTCTCTCTCTCTCTCTCTCAAGTATACCCGAGCTATAATAATATTATTAATGGCCAAAAATTTTTATATTATGCACACATTAATGCCATACTCTAAATGCTATGGTGTTTATCACAGACATGTTTTGTTGTTGTGTTTGAGAAAATAGTGTTGTTTTCAAGAGAGAGAGAAAAAAAAGTATTAATATATTATATCATTTATATAAATAAATATGTGATTATATTTTATATGTATTAGTATTATATATATATATTAATATTAATATTATTTTATTATTAATAATAATAATAATTCAAATCCCCACAAATGGTTTAGTCATTTCCAAAGCCAATCGCAACGCTGTCACAAGCAGTCCAAGAGAAGGCATGGATCAGATTAGTGATAGCCGGCAGTATGATTATCATATGGATTACGGCCCACATTCTCGTCAATGTAAGTAATGATTTTGTTTTATTTTATTACTTTTGTTTATTTTTCTTTTTTTTAACCACTTATTATAATAAAATGAAAAGTTTTTATATATCATTTATATTGCATATAAACTAAAACGTTATAGACTTTAACGATTGATGACTTTTAACAGACTCTCTCTCTAACTATTTTCTCACTAATTCTAGTGTTATGTCTATTGAATGATTATTTGTCTCTCTCTCTCTCTCTCTTTCACTCACTTTCTTTCTCTCTCTTACTCTCTCTCCTCTCAACTCTTTTTTTTGTCTCTCTATTTCTTCTGCAGGTATTCTATCAAAAGGATTCACTGACTGAACAAAACATTAATCGATCGATACATACACTACTATCCAAACAACCAGAACAGCCCTCAGAAACAGTTGAAGCGCTCGGCAACGGCTACGATGACTATCCATTGCCACACTTTCTCTGCTATTTTAGTATTTTAGGCCAATTAGGTGTGACAGCTCTAACCAGAATCAGCTATTTGGTCAAAATGTTTATAATCATTGCTCTAGTCATAGCCCAGTGCTGTCTAAACGTTTTTAAATTAGACCTATCGTTCAAAATGTATGATAGGATAACATATGACAATAGAAAATACTTTTTAGGCCACGAATACTATCTTTCAATTATCATAACAACTATTGCCATCGCTTTATTTATAATCAATAGACAGGTTTGTTTGATTGTCGTTTATATATTTATATATACTGTATATCTATTTTTCTCATTAAAATGTCACACAAAATTTCAAAGACAAACACAACATTTTTGAAAATACTTGTCTGTATATACTGTATGTGTGTTGTGTTTGTCTGTCTAATGCAAACATAAAATCAAATTAAATGTCAAATACTTATTTGATTTGCAAAGTTTGAACTCATGTCTCGGCGACTATTCCTCTGGCAAAAGGATGTCGAAGAGCAAAAGGAAAAGGTGGCTGACATGAGACGCAAAAACGAGGCACTGGTCTATAATATACTACCTCCTCATGTGGCCATCCATTTCCTGGGCAAACGCAAAAATGATGAGGTATTTCAATCAGAAACAAATTGAATGAATGAATAAATGAATGATTAAATAAACACTTGAATAATGCCTAAACAAATAGCAGACTAATTAAAAATCTGGAGAGAGAATGCACTTAAAAATCACTTTTTCATATCATTATTATTATTATTATTTTATAGGAATTGTATTCAAAAAGTTACGATTCTGTGGGCATATTGTTTGCCTCAATGCCTAACTTTGCCGACTTCTATACTGAAGAATCAGTCAATAATCAGGGCTTAGAGTGTATACGGTTTCTAAATGAAGTGATATCCGATTACGACGCCCTACTCGATCAAACCCGGTTCGCTAATATCATCAAAATTAAGACGATTAGCGCCACATATATGGCGGCCAGTGGTATCAATAGTGAAGAATCATTACCAGCCAATGCTAGCTTTAAGGAGCGATGGTCTCATTTGGCACAACTAACTGAGTTTGCATTGACTTTAAAGGATACGCTTAATATGATTAATAAAGAAAGTTTCAACAATTTTGTCTTAAGAATGGGTATAAAAAACATTTAATCATTTAATCATTATTTAATCATTACTATCGAGTTATTTCATACATTTTTTGTTGTTGTTTAAGATAACATTTTAATTATAACAAATAGTTTTATTTTTGTTAAAAACTATACTACCATTTACTTGTGTTTTTTTGTTTGATTATCTCCAACTAAATATAAATAGGCATAAATCATGGACCCATCACTGCGGGAGTTATCGGCGCTCGTAAGCCACACTATGATATGTAAGTTATCTATTAGTCTCTCTTTCTCTCTCTCTCTCTCTCTCTCTCTCTTGCTTTTGAACTCCCATTTCCCATACGTTAACACCACTCCAAACTAAACGCGCCTTAAATTACTTATCGATTATTAATTTATTTTTACTATATATATATCAATATATTACATATACAATATATATATTTAATGTACTCTTTTAGGTGGGGAAACTCGGTAAACGTTGCGTCCAGGTTTGTCTTGTATTTTGTTATTTATTATTATTTTATATATATATATATATCTATTAGAAAATAACCTTGGTATAATAGATAAAAATGATAATGTCTTTTTATTATTTTATTTTTGGGTATTGGTAATTATTCTAGAAAATTTGCAGACATTAAAGTTAATTACACGCATTTTTCATTTAGCTGTATTCATGTAAAAGTATTATTGTAGTATATGTTTGCCATTTAACCCATTATCTAATGATGATATTTAAGGGCCCCATTTGAAAGCAGTGTACTGTTAATAATAGTCATGAATTTTATTTTTCTAACCTATAGTTTAGACTTAAACTATGACATTACAACTATTATCTCTCACTATATATATATAATATATATTTTTGTAGATTCCTTATATTATTGACAATACAATACATTTTATTATTAGTAGTATTATTGTCAGTTATCGTCAACTTATTAATAATATATATTATAATATTAATATTATTATAGGCTTAAGTTTTATCTAAATAATTTATACTATAGTTTTTAATTATAATTTGTGTCTATGTGTGTGTGTGTGTGTTGATTGTGAAACAAATTTTTTTGATTAGTATAATGTAAATAATATATAAATAGTATGGCTCACTAATGCATTATTAATTATAACTTTATATATATATATATATATATATTGTATATTTTATTTTATATATCATAGGATGGAGAGTACAGGAAAAGCTGGTAGTATTCAAGTAAGTGTTAATTTAATATTTATTTTTTGATTTTTTGACAGCACTTGTCATCACACTTGTGGTTGACATCAATTCATACGAGAATATTCTTGAACTTAAATTCTATAAGTTTAAGTAAAACGAGTTTATAAGTCTAAAAAAACTTTTTCATAATATTATTATTAATATTAATAGTAGTGGTGGTAGTAGTAGTAGTAGTCGTATGCTAATTAGCAAACTATATCATACATTACTAATTAAATTATAAACAAATTCATTAAAATATGTTTACTAATATAACTTTAATTTAAATTATATTTATTTTACAAATAAAATAAATTATTTTACTCTACGTGTATGTATTAATAAAAATGTATAATTATAATTATGCAGTATTATATATAATTTATTAACTATTGTACAGTAAATATATATATATATATATTGAAATGATATAATAGATATAAAATTTGTTATTATACATTATATAGAGTCTATAATTTATAAGTAACATTATTATTATTATAGCAAGTAATTTATAGTAATTGAAATTTATGGTCATAAAATAAATAGGCGACTCATTAATGATCAATACATTCAATACAATAATTTAGATGTTTTTTTGTTGTTTGGTATCACTGCTCTATCCGTGAAAATTGTAGCCATTTTTATAGCTCAGAGAGAGAGAGAGAGAGAGAGAGAGAGAGAGAGAAAAATAGCTGTAAATAAAATATTAAATATATTTTTTTCAATAAATATAAAGTACAGATAATAAATTGTTGTTATAATTTTTAATGGATTTTTAATGTATGCTTTTCCACATATAAACTAAACTCTTAACACTAATGTAAACACAAAATATATATTTTTTAAAAATTATTGTTATGTTTGGATAATATGGTATTAATTTTTGTTTGTCTATCGTTTAATTTGATGGCCAGGTAGTCGAAGAGACAGCCCATATACTCGAAGAGTTTGGCTATACGTTTGAACAGAGAGGTCTGGTGACTGTTAAAGGAAAGGGTCAATTGAAAACATTTTACTTAAAATCGTCGCCAAACAGAAGGGATTCCTAATATTATATATAATTTAATGGAGTCGTTGACTAAAAAATATAATTTTTGTTTTTTGTTGTTGGATTCATTTGGTGATATATATATATATGATGTGTAATGCCATTGATTTATTAAATCAATTTACTAATTAACTGATTTATTTTGATCACTTCTACTACTACTACTACTACTACTACAACCTAACCACTCCAGTAGTAATAGTAGAGAAATAAAAGTCAAGTGATTTAATTATATACGAGTCTTGCAAACGAAAATCCTCTTTAGATCACTATCTCTCTCTCTCTCTCTCTCTCTCTCTCTCTCTCTCTCTCTCTCTTTCTTTCTTTCTTTCTTTCTTTCTGATCCGTGGATTAAAAACACAAAAATGTTTTCAATGAAATAAAAACAGCAAAAAATAAAAAAAGTCTCATTTTTGATGATCTCTTTTTTGTCTCTCTCTCTCTCTCTCTCTCTCTCTCTCTCTCTCTCTCTCTTCTTTATTAGACTTTTTTTTTGTTTTTTATTATTAAATAAGATTTTTTAATATTTTAGTGAATTTAAATGGGTTTTTTATAATTAAATAATATTAATAATAATTACGGCAAACAACAAATTATGATAATTACAACATTAATACTAATAATAATTTTATTAATGGAGACAATTTATAAGGATGATGATGTTGATGATAACGTTATTAAAAGTATAATAAATTTTAGACATAATTATATCATATTATAAAAAAATTAAAATATTAAAACAACAAAAAATTTATATATGAAATCTAATATAGAAATTCCTCAATCAATGAAAATCTAATATATAATTAAATTGTTAAATAAATTCTAAGTTTATTTCCTGCCAAACAATACACGTAAATAAATACCATAAATACCACCAAATCATTGTAATTAATATTTATTATATCTCATTATTTATAAATAATATAAATATATATGATTTTACTGATGATATTATATATATATATTAAAAAACATTGCATTTTTATTTTGCAAAATGCACACATCATTTCAAATCATGCATATTATCACTTATATATTATTGTTATTTTAATTGATTATTATATTATATATAATATGTTAAAATTGATATTTTATATTTATTGATATAAATTATATATATTTATCAAAGAGAATTTTATTATTTAATAATGTTATTTTAAAAAATTGATATTTTAATTGTATAAATTTATTGAATATTTAGTAAAATTTAAATAATAATATTAAATAAATAAATACCAATTGTTAAGGTGTTTTAAATAAATTGTTTAGCAATTATTATAAATAATTTTTTTTATAAAAATAATATTGTATAACAACTAACAACACTATTTGCCTATTTGTTAATTTAAGCAAATATTTAAATACATTATAATTATTAAAATATTGTAAATTATTTTTATGCCATAATTTATAGTTATAATGAATTAATAATTAATAAATTATAATAATAATTTAAGAAATTTGTTAATAACTCATAAACTTAATGATTATTACGTATGTGTGTGAGTGTATGTGTGTGAGTGTATGTGTGTGTGTGTGTGTGTGTGTGTGTGTGTGTGTGTGTGTGTGTGTGTGTGTGTGTGTGTGTGTGTGTGTGTGTGTGTGTGTGTGTGTGTGTGTGTGTGTGTGTGTGTTAGTGATTGAATACAAAGTGATTACAATAAATGGAGCAAAACTTTTTATAACTAATTTATATGTATATATCATATGATTGACTCATTTATTTCGATGACAATACATACATACCAATCAAGAGAGTAATTTATATTAAATATTTATAATTATAACTATAAAAAAATTATAAATATTTATAAAGGGTATAATTATATATATATATTTTTATTACAATATTATAATTAGACAATTACTTATTCTAACAATTTATTTATTTTAAATAAAATAAATTAATTCAAAATAAATTAATTTCTAGTCGTTTTTATTTATTTTTTTTTTAAATAATTATATTATTAAAAATCAATTAAATATCAACAAAAAATTATTATTATCATCATTATTAGAAAAATAATAAATGTATTCAAAAAATTATTTATTATTTTAAACCACATTTAACAAGTATTAACCCGTTTGAAAGTTTCTCGTAATATAATATCAAACCAATGACAGCCATTATCCAGCAATAAATCGGGATTTCATTTATTATTACATATGAATGAATGGTTATTATTATTATTATTATATATATGACTCATATATATATATATATATATATATATATATATATATATATATATATATATATATATATATATATATATATATAACATTATATTTATTTATAAGGATATGATTAGTTAAATAAGTAAAAAGTCACACATAACATTAATATTATAAATAATAATAATAATAATAATAATAATAATAATAATAATAATATACATAAAAATTTATACATGTATTTAATATTATACGCTGCATTAAATTACAGTACTATTAATATATTAAAAAAATTGTATTATATTTTCTGTATTGCATTTGTGCCGCAATAAAAAAAATAATATGAATAGTAATAATGAAATACACATTAAATTAGCCAAATACTCAATTTTATAACTATAATGATAATAATGCTAAAAATAAATTTTAATATATATATATATCCTATATTTATATTAATAATATTTTTTTAAATGATTGTCAATAATTTTATATATATTTATAATATAATATAATTTATATATTAATAATATATATAGTTTTATATAATGTATATACATATTATATATATAATTGTACATTAATTTGAATAATAATAATTATTTTTAAAAATTTATTTGAACTAGGTTACAATTATAAAATTACAATTTACAATTAAAAGTACAATTACTGTATTAAATAGATATTTTTAATATATATATATATATATATATTTAAAAAATATCTATTTAATACAATAATTTGTATATTTAAAAAAAATTAAATAAATAAATAATTTATTTTGTAAACCAATTTTGCACTTTTAATATATCATAATATCATAAAATAATAGGACAGCTCATATTGGTGTTTGATTATTGCAATTATTATTATTATTATTACATAAATATTAATAATATTTTTCACAATTACCGGTACTTTAAGTATATATTAAGTTATACTGACATCTAATGAGTGATAAAAGCGAATCAAAAAAATATATAAAAATATAAAACAATTTTCAAAAACAAAACAAACAAATCGTTAGATTAGATGATGAAGTGGTCGCTGAAGACTTGGTCTATCAAGTGATCAACAATTCAGTTCCCAAAAGAGTTCATACGTCTTGTTATTATCCATCCGATTGATTGACAGACCGATAGACAAACAATGGCCGACGCATTGAACCAATTGGTAGCGCCGACCGGTCAGCCATCGATGACCGGCGGCCCTCCGTCACAGCCATCGCCGCCGGCGGCCCCGAACATAGCCCTAGTTTGTCGATTGGGCGACGAAACCGTACAGGAAATTGTGGCCAAAACTGGCGAACTGTTTCAAGCGTTGCGGGCAATGCCGCCGCCGAGTGGACCGCAACAGCAGCTGATCAACGCTCAGGAACGACAGGTCCGGACCAAAGAACTGCTGAAGACTATCGAGTTTTTCTTTAAACGATTGAGAAAATCGTACGAAAAGTGTAACGAATGTTTGTCGGCCATGGATTTCATACAAATCGAATCCGTAGTACCGATGAAAGCCGACGGCCAGGACTGTGGTGGACACGGAAACATCAACAACAGCAACAAACTGGACGATAAAAAACAATCAAATCCTAAAGCCAAACAACTGGAGACCGAACACCAGGATCTGGTGGATCTGTTATTGTTGAAGAATAGGCAAATCAAAGAGATTATCGATAATCTTCGGGCAATTGTCTGGGAAATCAATACAATGCTTGCAATGAGACGGCCGTAATGTTTGTGGTGACCGATGAGGAAGACAATGAAGAGTTTACTGAATCATTGCTGTTGTTGTTGTTGTAATCAATCAATTGATCTAACATTTTATATACACATCACTATACAGTATTGTAAACTGTATATCATATAAATTAATTTATATATAAGTTTATATCACATTTTATATCATATTTTATAACTTACCGGTATATAAATGAGATAACAATTAATAACTGACAAAATTGTGGTTAAATTAAAGTTTTTTTTTTAATTATAATTATTTTTTTTTATATATATACTGTATAATTACTGTCTTAACATTGAGGTGTTTGGCACTGTTGACAATCGCTCATCTCTTCCCGGTATTCCTCCACTTGAATGGTCAGCTCATAGATACTAAATTGTTTCCTAATCTGTTGCGATGCCATACTTAAGATTTTTGTCGGATTTTGACCCTTGGCTATCAAATTTTATTTTCAAGATAATTGACATCAATTCAAGTTTTTATGTGTGTTTAATGGGAGAGGGGGTGGGGTTAACCTCCTCGATATGATTGGATTATTATTATTTTGTTTGTTAACTTACCAATGGCCAGATGTGTGGACAGTGCTGTCTTATCGAGACTGAGTGACCAGATTCGCAGATTATGGACCTTAAGTACTCCGGGAATGTCGAATAGGGTTCGCTGTACTTCTAGAAAGTCGACGCCACGGGGTTTGCCTGTAATTTTTTTAGAGAAACAGTCGATTTTTTAAATAAAAATTTTTTAAGTATGAATTTCGATTACAAAGTTTTACTGATAAAATCATAAAATAATAATTTCTAATTAATAAAAGCTAAAAACTTTTATAATAATAATAATATAATATCAATAGTATTATATTGTTTAATAACTTTTTATATATATATTAATAAATATATTATATTTTCGAGTATATATATTATCACAATTGATAACAACAACACACAAAAAATAGTCAAATATGTGATAATATATATTAATAATAATAACTTCAATTATAGATACATATTAATTGGTGATTACACTAAAAACCTAACCAAACAATTACTATAATATAATTTAATACTATATATAACTTGCCTTCCATTAGGACGTTGAGGACGTCTTTAATTATATTGAATGTTGTGATCAAAACCAGTGCCGAGAATAGGAACGTACAAATCGGGTCAACGATTCCGTACTCGGGTTTGAAATATATTATCAATGCGGCCACTAATACACCCAAACTTTGAAAAAAGTCGCCGATAACGTGTATAAATGCTGCCTATAATTAATATATAAATTTATTAATGTATTTATAATACCCGATATATTAACCGTTAACAACAAACAAAAAAAACGGTTATTAAGATATTATTGTTGTTTACTAGACATACCCTAACGTTAATATTTTGGCGTTTCTTGTGACTATTCTCGACATCGTCATCATCATGTGAACCATCTTTTTCGTGGTGATGATGGTGGTCGTGGTCATCATGACTATGACCACCACCAACACCACCGTGACTATGACCGTGAGGTACGCCTCCTATTTGTAGTGAAACTCCCATTCTATAGATTGAAATAGATTATTATTATTATTATTGTCGATCAAAGAAGTTGGGATCTAATGGGGTGTTATTATATACTGTACATAATATTGACGATAACACCGATGGCGGCCGTAATAAGCATAATGTCGGCCTCGATCTCATACTCTTTGCTGATAATACGTTGGACAGCCATAAAACAGAGTATACCAGTGACCACCCAAATCATTAATACCGATGTCAGTGCACCGATAACTTCGGCCCGATGCCAGCCAAAGCTCATACGACTGCTGGCCGGACGTGTCGCCACCCATAGAGAAAACAAACTGATCATAAAACTGGCAAAATCGGTCAACAAATGTGCCGCATCAGTGGCAATGGCTAAACTGTTGGCCAATAGTCCGCCAATTACTTCGATCAGCATAAATATCAGACACAAAATGCTTGCAACGATCAGCTTTCGACGGGCGCTGCGATCGACACCGGCATCGACGCTGCTGTCCATTGAGTGACAATGTGACCAATTGACCGGTTGTTCAACAGGTATGCCATCCTTTTTGCAGCAAATCTTTTCATTGTTGCCGTGACTGCAATAAACTATAGTCCCGTCGGCACCGGTCGTTGAATTTGCTATAATACTATCGTATGAGACAACTGTCTCTTTATTATTATCTCTTAATGAACTCAATCTAAAGAAAAATAATTTTTTAAAAATTTATTATTAGTAATCAATTATTACTTATTATTTGTTTTAGTATTTTAGTATATTTAGGATTTTTAAAACAATATAATATAGAAATATAAAGTAAACAAAATTATATAAAACTTTTTAGTAACTTTTTATTCACTTATTATTATTATTATTACTTACAATTGAGTTTTTTCATTTTGTACTCCTATTGAGGTCATTTTATATCTATAAATTTATAATATTATTATTAATAAATTAGTAATTATAAATTAATTAATAAATAATTATTTAGTAGTAAACTTGAGGATTAGTTTTGGTTATTAAAAATAAAACATTTATTTGTTGGAGATTTATAGGAAAAACTCCATAATATGACTTAAATTGTTATCACAATTTCATATACATATTATTTATTATAAAAATTATAAGTAAAAATTAAGTCGAAATAATCAATACTAAAAATAATATTCACATAAATATCTTTAATTAATTAATATATACTATCGTCTAATGCAATGCACACGTCTCTCAAATTTTTAATAAGTATTTCAATTTCAACAAACAATTTGTTGTATTATTTTTATTAATATTAATATTATTAGACAATTGGTATTTATTGCACTCAGTCCTAAAAGTTTGTAATAATTTTTGCGATAAATTTATGTGAAATAAATTTATATTATTTATATGTCTGAAAATTTCTAACCATTTTTCTTTTAACTATTTTGTTTCAAAGTAAATATTTATTATTTATAATTTATTAAAATTCATATTTACTGTATATATACTGTTAGAAAATTTCATTAAACTTATCAATGTCTACAAAAAAATATGATTCTCTGTGTTATGTAACATAAAACTTATGTTATATAAAAAATATTTTTATTTGTATAAACTTTTTAATAAATTAACATGCACACATTTTATAGTATTAATTATTATTAGAATTAATATATATATATATATATATATATATATATATATATATACATTGTATATATACATTATAAATTAGATATATATATATATGTATATATATATATATTTCTTATATTGGATTCACGTAAAATGTTTTATCAAATTTTAATTTTGAGATATATTTTTATCAATTGTTTACTTTAAGTCACTATAATAATGATAGGATAATAGTGTATATTAATTGTAAATTTTTATTTAAAAAATTATGATATAACACATACATACAAAGTACAGTACAGTTATAATTAGTTTACTTATTAATAAGTTATTTAATAGTATACAGATTATAATTTATATATAATATATTTTTTATATTGGATATAATTTTAAGATTAAAATTTCAAGACATCAAGTCTATGTATTTCTTTTAATTAAAAAAACTAAAATAAAATTAGTTTCACTAATCAGAGAGAGAGAGAGAGAGAGAGAGAGAGAGAGAGAGAGAGAGAGAGAGAGAGAGAGAGAGAGAGAGAGAGAGAGAGAGAGAGAGAGAGAGAGAAAGTTATATTTGAAATGTAAATTTAGATTTAATTTTTACATATGTTTTAAATAATCACACAAATATTTATTTACAAAAATAAATTTTGTTTTAAGATTTAGTGTCATAAATCTTAATTATATAAACTATTCATTCAATAATTTATAGCCAATATATTATTATTGTATAATAAAAATTTGTATGCATAAACAAATATTAGATTTACAATATATATTATATAATTTCTATAAAAATATTATCTATAATTTTAATGTACTATACAGTAAATAATATTATTAGTTATTTATATTAGGTTTTTACTATACGTAATATTGTAATAAAAATAATCATAAAAACAAAATTCCCAGTAATTTCCATTACATACTGTTTGTCTATTTTGTTGTCTATATATTTTTTAGCCACTTTTAAAGTTCAACTTATTTTGTTGTTTAAATTTTGTTTATCATTTTGTCTGTTTATACATGTAATACCGGTTAACCAGTAAATGCAGTTAATTTTAGTGTAATTATTAAATAAAACAAAAAATAATTCATAATTAAATGGTTGAATCCCATATATGGGCTTATCTTATAAGTCACACATACTTATAATATTAAGTTTTATTTTATTTTTTATTTTTGAAAACTAAATCATTGTTTAGTTTATTTCTATACAAGTTTTTTTCTGTGGCTAATATTGTTTTATTATATGATATATTACTTGAATGTTATAATGACATTAAAAAAGATTTTTTTAATGTTGAAGTTTATTAATAAACTTCTTTTAAAATATAAAATTTTTATTTTTAGGGAGTAATTGGGTCGACTTTAGTGGTTAATTTAGGTACACATTTGTTGTTTAGTTTATTTTAAATATACCAATTAATTATATATGGTATATGCAGTATATATGATATAAGCTACTTGTTCTCATACAATGATTTTCCAACTATAAAAAAATTATATAAAAATATCAAATCCTATACTAATAATAACTAATAAAATCTCTCTCTCTCTCTCTCTCTCTCTCTCTCTCTCTCTCTCTCTCTCTCTGAAAATTGCTTATAATTTTAAAAAGATTTTTTTTGGACAGAAATATTTTGATTGAATCTTTAAATTATTTTTTGTTGCATACATTGAATACATAATAATACAGCAAATAATACTTAATTTCATGGACAGTAAGTACTACACACACACACACACACACACACACACTACAAGTATTTTCTTACTGTATATCAAATTGCATTTCAATTGATAATAATAATAATAATAATAGTATAATAAATATAAAAAACCAGTTGATTATATAATACATCAATATATTCATGTATGGGATAACAACTACAACGAAAAAAAAATTGTATTATAATATTAACACCAATAATACCTGTAAACTGAGTGTCAATTATTTATATACATACATAACCACAACCATAGCAAAAAATTACTGCTATTATTATTATTACAATATTATGTAACTTATTATTTTGTATAGCATTTTATACATATATATATATATATATATATATATATATATATATATATACATACAGTACAAGTATAGTACTTATTATATTACAAGTTATATTAAATGGTTAAATAACATAACAATGTTGTTATGTAATGCATTGCATACGAGAGTATTGTATGAATGTATGTATGTATTAGAGACTACAGTGTATAGTATAGTGCTATTTGAAAGACTGGTATTTTGTATGTATGTATAGTCAGAGTCAGACAGTCAGTCAGTTTGTGTACTAAATAATACTAAACTCTAATAGCATTACAACCAAACACTTCCCCATCACTGGACTGACTGAATGAATGACAAGACATATATAATATTAATATATATATCCCGACAATAATAGCCAAATATGGTGGCCATCAATGAGTGTTGACACCCGACGGAAGCGATGATAATGATTGACAATAGATTTAAGACACCATTAGATGATAATATGAAAAGAAAAGACAATGCATTTCTCCATTAGTGACACTCAACTCATTAAAGAGCAAAACAATTCATATGTGGTAAGTGTTTGTTGTTGTTGTTGTTGTCGATGATTATCATAATCTGATCCCAATCTATGTTTTTATCCCAATATATATCATATATAGACATACAGTATTGCCATCAATGGTGTACATCACTGTTCGTTAAGATACAGACAATTGTTTAATTTTCACCAACAGGTATGAATCAGATGATGATTGATGTCTTGTTTGATAGTTTGATCATCAGATTTAAGTGATTTATATATTCATAAATGATTTAATATTAATTAACAATTATTGATAGCTGAAGAAGACATTCGGTACCAATAGTTTGCCATTGTTTCCGCCGAAAAGGTTTCTTCCGTTGACGGCATCGCAAACTGAAGAACGAAGGGCTCAGATCGAGAAATACATACAATTCGGTAATAATTTTTTGTATTATTCATCTATTGTTTGTGATGTTTATTATCACCTCAATTGGTTACCAACTAATATAATTAGACACCAATTAGACAATTAAAATATGAGACCAAATTTTTATTTTACTAAAATCTATATTTTTTGCGGTAATTATATTTACCGTTAATTATGTTATACTTAAAACAGTTAGTCAAGACCAGAGGATATCAAACAGTGAACTATTCAATGGATTCTTCCTAAATGGTCAACAAGAGAGCCAATCGGTGGCAATAGAGGAAGTGATTCTGGATGTATATCATCCGAATCTGCACTCCATTAAAGTGAAAGTGTATTCAACGGATCGGACGGATGTGGTCTTAGATGCTGTGGCAAAGTCTCTGGATTTGTCACCGCAATTGGTTCCCTATTTCAATCTATTTGTTGTCCAACGATTGGACAGCGATTGTATTCCCAAACGAAAACTTCATAACTTTGAGTCACCTTATCTAACGATGAAGACAATGAATTCCGTGGACAACAATCACGTTATTATCATTAGAAAGTCTTATTGGGATCCGGTTTTCGATGACGATCTCATCAGCGACAGGATTGCCATCAATGTTCTGTATTTGCAGACATTGTACGACATCGAGAAAGGCTTGATTGAGGCCAACAAAGATATCCGACGACAGTTGTCTTCACTTCACGCCAAAGGTTCCAAACAAGATGTAAGAATTTTTTTTAAAAAACAAAAATTGGATTTTATTTATCGAAAAATATTTTACCACTTCTTCTTAAAACTTATTATTATTCGTTTGTCGTTATTATGTCCAGTACTTGCAATTGGCGCGAACTCTCAAGTATTACGGATATATACACTTTCAGCCATGTTTTTGTGATTACCCGCAAAACAATACTCGAGTATTGATAGCGGGCGGCGGTAGAGAATTAAACCTAAGAGCTTATACACCATCGGTTAGTACCAAAAAAAAATTATTTCATTGATCTAAAGATTTCTAATGATTACCATAAGTATTGATTATTATTAACTTTTTTTTGATGAATTTAGGAACAAATGAAAGAATATAGTTTCCGAGTAACTCGTATCCGGTGTTGGCGATTGACCACTTCATTGCAGGACAATCTGAACGGCTGTGCGCTCAATGCCAACGGCAGCGACAGTAATGGTGTTGGCAGTAGTAGTAGTAGTAGTGGTGGCAGCAGTTGTCAAACAAATAGTAGTACATCCACTACAAGATATGAGCTTTCATTTGAATATCTTCTAAGTAAAGACCAATTACAGTGGATTACAATAATCAGTGATCAGGTATTTGATTAAAAACTAGTGTTATTTTTTTAACGATACTAACGATTTAAATCAATTTTATTAAAAGGCTATTTTAATGAGCGTTTGTCTACAAGGAATGGTCGAAGAGTTGCTAATGAAAAGAAATGGTAAGAAATTGTGTCGTCAGGATATGACACACAATAGTGGTTGCGTTAACGGGAATAATAATAATAGTCGAAGGGGTTCCTGGAGTTATATGAAACGAGACGGCAGTAGCCATCAAATATCGCTACCGAGAAGTGTGTCCACTGATACTGATCTGACAAACAATTCAAGTGCCGCCGACTTTCGTAGCCGAGTGAGTAAGTCGTTGTCTTCTTCTTCATCGACGGCTTCTTCTTCTACATCGCGTACCAACAGTTCGCACTCCAATGGTTTGCCTGTAAAGTCGCGACACTTTGTTGAAAACGATGCCTTCAATGGTATCGGTGATATCGGTGACGACGACTTATAAAAAATAAAGTCAAACCATTTGTTTTATATATTAACTAAATGATAATTTTTGCATTCAATAACTGTTGGTTTTAAAATAATGTAAGAGAGAAAAACAAAGTATTTTTTAAATTAATTTTTTAAAAATATAATTAGTAGGTATTTGCGGCCATACATTACATACAGATGCAGACACACACACACACACACACACACACATACGGTACATAAAATTATACATAATTTACTGTAAATTTTAAAGGTATTTACAGTAGTATATATCCTTGAAAAATATCGACAAAAATAATTTTAGTTTTTTTTTTTTAATAATTAGTTTAGATCTACTTATTTACACACAATCTTACAAAGATTTTTTAAAAATGTTTTTTATTTTGAATGAAAATTTGGTTCATAAAGAGAAAAAATAATGAGAATATATTTTATTTTCTGTGATTTATTATTATTATTTACATTACATTTTTTTAAACAATATTTGCCAAATCAAATAAGCGTAGCTTTTTAATTAATAAATAAGTAAAAAAACAAAAATGCTTGTAAAATACATTATATAATTTTATTTAATGTAAATTTCTTATACTGTATTTTTTTAGTTGAATTTTTTTATTTTATTTGTAAGCAATTCCTTTAATAATTTTTTTTCAAAAAATAAATATACATTTATATATTGACGATAATAATAATATATGTTGTATATATATATATATATTTAAAAAATGACATTAAATTATTTATACAAAACATTCAAAAATAATCGCATATTTAATATACGTAACAGTTTTTTTTAAAAACCGTCTTCAAACCGCTTCAAACGATACAGCCGTATCGTTGCCCATATAATAGGGGCCCTCCTTATAGAAAGCACGCAATTGGATGACCGCTTCTTTGGTAAACGATTCGCTTATGAACGGCGAACCAACCAATTGTTTGACAATCGAGTATTTGGCTTCTTTGCCGTGTTTGGTGGTCTCAGTTGATCTGTCCAATAGGTATTCAAGAAAGCCGGCCGTAGCGGCCAACTCTTTCTGTCCCCAACTAAATGTGGTCACCACTCGGATGCACTCCATAGCAGCCAAACGTAATTCAATGAACGGTTCTTTAGCTATATGAAGAAGTACTAATATTTTGTTGTCGTTCGGCGAAAACAATTGAAACCATTTATAGGAGAAATTGGTACTCAAATCGCTATTATAGTCGGACTCATTCAGTTTCAACAGATTTGACAATCCGTTCAATGCTCTCATCTTGTGTTCAGTACTTCCATTTGTCAAGAAATTATTGATTGTCGACATAAACACCTTCGATATATCGTTGTTCTTATCAACCATTTCTTTGCCGGTATTTCTATAGCACATAACAGCAATACCATCGATGGCACAAAACACTAGAGATGGATCCACATCAGTCAACAGTGCTTTTAATTTGGTCAATACTGAGGGATATTTGGCCAATATTTTCGGATCACTTGCAGCCAATGTTGCGACTATCTTGACATAACCCGGTATCAATAGATTAGCAAAGATATCGCTGTCACTGGTGTCCAAACAGCGTACAATTGTCTTCAATATCTCCGACGATTGAAGATAATCGTTGCCAAAAGTGGTTGCACCCAAATCTGTCAGTATTTGCAATATATTAAGCGTCAACAGAGGATCAGTTTTTGAGCAGACATTGAAATCGGTCAACAAGTTTGCCAAATGGCCGAAACCTTCGACTTTATAGAAATTGGTGTGCGATGTGCTGGCAATGGCCACCAATATATCATATACTCTCATCTGAACGATATCACTGACCGACTTTGTCACGACCAACAGTTCGTGAATGTCTTTCTCGAAAAATTTGTCGCCCAATGTATTAGATTTGGCAATATTCAGGACAATTGATCGGCAATGTTTGGCAATGGATGTCTGCTGTTTGGCAAACAATCGGATCACTTTTATGAGCACCAAATGAACATCGATTTCCGTATTTAAAGTATGGTTGAGAGCCAACTCGTGAGTTAGAGATCGGTCCAGAGTTCGGAGCCATAGTTCGACAAACGCATCATTTTTGGCGTCCAAACCGTTGACAATGTCTTTATGCAAATTGTTTAGTATGTACTGAGCAGACAGTGTCTCAAATACAATGTCAAAGACACCGGCAATCACATCGGTATTTGCATTGTTTTCGGCGTTATTCAGTTGTTGACAAATTTCGGTAACATTTACCTCACGAACAATGGTCTCCATCTGCGAGCTGTTAACCGACGCCAAGTATGTCTTCAACTGATGCAAAACAGCTTCGCTATCTTCATCCGAGGCATTGTTGTTGGCCATCAAATCGTTGACAAGTTTGGCCACATTTGGAGGCGATTGATCTGTCATTATTGCAGTCATAGTAAGCACACAATTATTATTAATACAAATCAATTCAACTTAGAGTACAAAAAAAGTTTTGAATGATTTGCAAAAAAATATATTCATTATAATAATCACAACAACAAAGTCAATGTTATGAATACACACACAGATATTGTGTTACAAATTTCACATAAAATATATAATCCCTATTGCTTTTGGGGGTCAATCCTATTGTTAAATCAATACGTTTTAATTCTAACTGAATCACTGCAGTGTGCGGTCCGTAACGTTGTTTATGACTAGTTATATATGTGAAAAAAATCACGTTATGTTTACTATTATTAATACTAAACTAAATCACTGACTGTTATATATGACTGACTACGAGATGTCTGTATTGTTTGCAATGTTATAGTAGTAGTAATACAGTACTGTATAGCAGTGTTGTTACCAATCAATGGGATGGTTAGCTTTAGGGAAGAGCTGTATATTCAGTGTTATTCTGTATGCCATTCACTGACTCAGTGCTCTCTTAGGACAACACATATTGCTATGAGAGTCGATATCTTTTATATTATTAATACCTAAACAGTGTTTTGTAAACTCACAGTACATAACATATCAACCATTTATTTAATGTCGTTGTCGTAGTTGTTATTGTGTTTGTAATGACCATCAAATGCCATACTATATATCATAGTCGCCGATCTGTCCACTAAAATAATATCGCCGGGTGTATAGTCTATCGGCGCGCGTTTCGTCTCTGATGGCCAAACATTGTCTGGTCAACTGATCCATTTTTTTTTAATAATTTTTCTTTTGGTGTCCACTTTGTTGTTGTTGTTGTTGTTTACACATACCGTACCAAAAAACAAGAGGACATTAACCAAAACCATACCATTTATCATATCGTCACACAAGTGTTGACTATAAAATTGATATCAAATTATGTATTATTGTAATCATTTGGTCGTACTATTGGTAGTCCTGAGCCTATTGTGGCCGACCATCAGTGCCCAACATAACAAGGTTTGTTGTCTGGATGTCCACCACTAATATATTGATAATATTATCATCAGTTTTATGATTATGATTATGACAACAGCGCCTCTCCTTTCTCTCTATAACTGTGTCTCTGATGTGATGTCAAGTGATCTCAAAGAGCATCTAATGATATGATTATCATTTTATTATTATTATTATTATCACATAATTATTATTATAGTAAATACTAGTTATTATTACAGTATTATTGATGAGATATGTTATTGAATGCAATGTCAGTGAGTATTACGCTATTAATACTAACAGATTGTATGATTTTTTCCTAATCATATGTATCGCTATTATCAAACAATTCATATCAATTGGTTGTATAGTTTGTTTTGATAGACTTTGAGATTTTATTAATATATCATATTATAATTAATTAATTATTGATAACATTATAATTATTTCAGAATCTGTATATTTTAAAAAAACTGAATATTTTTTTTTAATTATTAGTTTTCAAGTTTTTTTTTATTCAATGATATCATATTTATATATATTTAATTAATTAATACATTAGTTGATGAGTTATTATGATTTTTAGTCACCAGATTTATTTGCTAACAATAACAATTAAAAAAAATTGTTAGTTTAAAGTTGTTTAATGAGAAATTTATTATTACTATTAGTTATTTTTATGGTTATATAATATGTTGTTTGAATTGTGTGCACACAGAAAAAAACAAAACAAAAAAATGTTTGTCATTTGCATTATATACCAGTTTTTTAAAAATAATATTTTTTTTGTGTAGACATTTAAAAAAAAAGTTTTTTACCCTTATATGTGTACTGTTGCTGTTGTTATGTTTATTTTATGATTATTTAACTTTTTTTCTTTAATTTCAAACTAAAATATACTGATTAAAACTTTTTTAAAGTAATTATTGATTTTTTTTATTAAAAAAAATTATTTATCGAGAAACTGTGAATTTTATGTGTAATTTTTTGTTGTTGAGTTAAAATGTAAATGTATATAAAATTTTATGCTAATTTTATGAGTATATATATTGATTATATTATGTATTTGTGTTATAATTTATATACATTGACAAACATATATACTGTATATTTACAGTACAGTATAATTTTAAGCAAAATAGGTTTACATTGAAATTTTTAATGAAACAATTTTCGATACACACGATATTATTGCTGCAAATTCTGGGAAAAAGTAAAATAAAATAAAGTAAATGAAAATTTTTGTGCCGAGAGTTTTAGCTGTAATTAGTTGCTGTGAAAATGTTTGCCAATTTAATGAACAATACGTTTACTTTTGTTTAGTATAATAACTAAACATTTGAAGAGAGAGAGAGAGAGAGGTCTTAGTTTGTTTGGTGTATTTCACTTAAGACGACTGATAGAGGACAGGCAATAATGTCGATTACTTTTTGAGTTATGGTTCCCAATAAATGTCTTTATAATTATATTGAGCCCAATATTATTATACATCTCTCTCTCTCTCTCTCTCTCTCTCTCTCTCACACACACACACACACACACATTAACAATAGATATACCGATGCCTTTCCTAACAACCCAAGCAATACCTTTGGTTGTTTGTGTGTGTGTTGAGTGCCATAATCAAGGGCTAACTGTGTTTAATTGATACATGTCTTCAGGCAACTCCATACCATTGCCAACAATTTTTGAGTGAGTAAGTGATTGAAAGAAAAAGAAAGAGAGAGATGCCTTGTGGCACAAAAAGCGTCCTTTTGGTAGGAAACTCCACTGAAAAGGCACCGACCGTTTCAAAAGAGGCCTGAATTACCAGCTGAAGGAAATAGCAATCTCTCTCTCTCTCTCTCTTCATTGAAATTTCGCCAAAAAATTTTTAAGTCAATGGAAATGGCTGTAAGTGTGTGTGTGTGGTGTATGTGTATGTCAGATGTGATACAACTGGTGAACCATCTCTATGCCTTTAGCCGCAAGTCGGGACCCCCTCTGGTCCAGCTATCCTCAATGTCTGTCCCCCTCTCTATCATTCTCTCTCACACATACCAAACCCATGCCATACCATACCATACGTGTGATCCGCATTACTCTCTCGTGCACTTAATGTAGTGTTGAGTATGTATACACTGGTATAGCCATAGCATTGCATATGTCTATTGTTGTGTTGATCCCCACCCAATGGTAACTCTCTTGAGTACTACTCCTCCAGTACTCCTCCTTTCCTGTATTTTTATAGAGGCATTTGAAAAGCATTTTTCTGTCCAAAAACTCAATACTCTTAATACCGCTTTTATAATGTATATATAGTACAGTATAAAAGCTTTGTACACTAAAAACTGTACGTCGGGTCATAAACTGGTTCGTTGTACTATCGACTCGGTTAGAGAGAGAGAGAGAGAGCACATACGGTATAGTAATACCGGGTATACTCTCTCTCGATTGTCGACACACACAAACTTATGCTCCAAGTGCTGGCACACTGTAGTAGTAGTGGTGGTGGTGTCTTGCGATTAGTATGGAGATGGCAAATGCCTGTGCCGTTAATGTCTATTTAGACACTGGCAGGCAGTCCAACACTATAAATATATATCTGTATTCTGTATATCTATACACGACTAACAACACATTATATACTGGGGGTATATATAACTTATGTATGTGTTGTTATCATTGTGAATGTTGTCTAAAAATCTGACTGACATTTTAATTTTTAGGTTTATTGTATAGACATTAACACACAAAGAGCAAAGTCTCTCTCCTTTAACATAACAACACCATACATATCATTACATATACAGTACAGTACCAGACAGGCCTTCCGATTAAAAATAAGTAATAAAAATGTTTTCATATCAGCCCTCCTTTCATGTTATTATTGTTATAAACCAAAAACCATATACATATTCAAAGCGTGTATTAACTAAACATAACTTTTAGTTTTATATCATCTCATAGGATATGCTAAATATAAAAATTTTACGTTAAATACACTAACAAACATATATTGAACCACACATACACATCAATTACCCCAACATTTTTAGTCTAATTTGAAACCCATATTTGCCAATGGATTTTTGAATTTCTTTTATTTACTTTGAATTAGTTTTATTACTACTATTATATGACATTTAGTTTTATACACTAACACAACATATAACAGTATTTTACATACAAATTTTTTTTTCATTAATACCAGTTCAATGATTTATGAAACTAAAAGCAAGCAAATTAATGGTACGATTAGGATATACTAATATTTTGGGTGGTATTTGTGTTGAAGAAAAAAATATAGTAAAAATTTATGATTGATTTATATATATATATATATATATATATATATATAATATAATTTATCTTAAATACTGTAATTATTATAATATTAATTTGTTTATAAGTTATATTAAAACAGTATATTTATATATAATTTATCTTAAATACTGTAATAATTATAATATTAATTTGTTTATAAATTATATTATAACAGTATATTTATATTAATAATGATTTGTCTATTTGGAGGCGACATTCAAATTAATTAAAATAATCTGTCAGTTGATTAGTGACATCTAATTTTTTGTGACCTCAATTGTGAACATTTTATTTCTATGTATATGTTTTTAATTTATTATTTATCAAATGACATATATATATATAAAATAAAATTTCAAATTATAGAGAAAAAAATAATGTGAATTGAAGCAGCAATAATTTATAATGTGTAATTTATTTTATGTTATAATTTATAACTTATAAACGATAAAGTGATATAATATATTTATATACATTATATATATTTTCTCTATATTTAAAAAATAACTTTTATTTGTTAGATATATGAGCTATCGATACCAACAACAAAATACAATGTGTTAAATAAAAAATATATCGGCAAAAAAATAGTTAGAAAGTTATTTATATTATATATTATTTATATATCTTTTTATTTTGGCAATAATAAAAAAATTTTGAACGACTATATAATATGTTTGTAAACTATTTATGTTTTTTGTTGTTGTGTAGACTATTTTGTAGTAAAATAAAACCTAAAAGTAAAGGAATGCACGATTCCGGCTGTATATATGTATGTGTGTTTGAAACATACAATTACCGAAGCGTTCACTACTACTTTAGTATAATAATAATAATACCTACCATTCCTTATTTTACCATACCTTTCCCCAATAGCTAACACACACACACATTGTATATGATACTACTTGCAAATACCTACCTCAGTGTCTCTCATAAAATACTTGAGAGAGAGAGACGACGGCATATGTATTATATACTCAGTTTAGTAGTTATTTCTTGAAGAGAGAGAGAGAGACAGTGAAATTGTTTTCTTTAAGATTATCCCCCACTATATTCCGCTTTCTTTTATGTATTATATATTAGTAGCGTATATATGACCACAAATACCACAAATCCATTCACTTATTTTTTTTGAAGTAAAAATAAAGTAAAAACATTTCAAACAAAATATGTTTTCAAACAAACAATCATATATATTATGGTATAAATATTTTTTTGTCAGAGAGAGAGAGAGAGAGAGCCTTAAGCAATATATAGCTTATTAACTAAATATTTTTATTTTATTTTTGAAATAAAAGGCAAATACATATTGATTTTTTTTGCTATTGAATTTTATTTATTTATTTTTTAATGTTGAAATATTTTAATTGAGTCGGCTATACTTTGTTGTTGTTGATTTGTCTAGTGTGTGTAATTTTTTTGTAATTTATTATTTAAAATAAAAAAAAATTTAATAAAATAAATCAAAGTCTATGTGTATTTATGTAGAGAAACAGTAGTCTCTGTATAGTCTGTATTACATATAATATTAGTCAGAGTATCTTAATATAAATATTTTTAAAGAAAATTAATGATGAATTCAGATTTTTATATATACAGTAATCATATGGATATGCAGTATATATATATAACTACTGGTATTATCTATATATTACAGTATATCCTCAAATATAATTTATATATAAATTTAGTTTAACTATAATAAGTACACTAAATAAGCGCACATAAACTAAACTAAATATATAAAGTGTTTAAACACATGTTTAAACGGCATCCACTGTTGTTAAGACTCTACTACAGTACAGTACTGTATATAACATGAAAATGTAGTTTTTTTTTATTAATAGATTTAAAGTCTTAAATCTTTTTTTTCTGTCTCTAACCATATGTTTATTTTTATACACTTTTAATATATCCTATAGTTTGGTACACCAACGTCACCGAAAATCAAAAGTAATACACACATAACGCACACTAATAGTAGGGCAAACGGTAACAATAATAATGGGGGCATCTATTTCTCGGACATACCACTCAACGATGATGATGAGGGCAGTGCCGACGGTCCCGACGTCGACGACTTAGAGGAAAACGCCTCGGGAAAGGGCGAAGACGACGAAGACAGCAAACATAGTTTAGATAAGGAGGGCTCCGGAAGCAGACCCATCATCAGCGGTGGCAGCAGTGGTGTTGACAGCGATGATGACTCATCTGACGATGATGAAGATGATACGGATCTGGAGCTCGGCTCAGGAGGTAATCATCTTTTTTTGTGTTTATTATGACTAACAAATAATATGGTTAATAAAAAAATAACACTCAATATATATAAATGCTTTCTTTTTGTTTAGACGATACATCATTATTCATATCATCATCAACTGAGAGGCCAACAACGAGACCAGACGTTACCAAACCATTGGTGACGACGACACCGTTGCAAGACTTTAAGGTTTTTATTGATTTTATTAATCTTATATTTATTTGTTATTATCTTTAATTTAATTTTTTGAAAAAATTAATTGTTACAGCATAAACTTAAGGATCCAATTGAAGATCCGATTAACAATAGAGTGCCTACAATACCACCAGTAATGGTATCGCCAGTGGAGACGTCGACCAGATATACGGTGGTATCGTCGACACAATGGACACCGTCGGGTAAAGATCACGATAGTGATGGTGACGACGATGATGATGTCGATGATAATGATGGCGGCGACGATAATAATAGTTTAGGCAATGAAGTGTCGATTATGGGTCACAAACAGATGACGCCGGCCTCGTTCTTTGCCCGACCCGGTATTCTTGCAGGTAAATTGAAAATTAAAAAAAAATTGCTTATCGAGAGACTAATTGGATCTATTTCTTTGTTTTTTTTCTTGTCTCACATATAAACAGCTGTGATAGGAGGGGCTGTTGTCGGACTTCTTTGTGCCATTTTATTAGTTATGTTTATAGTGTACAGAATGAGAAAGAAAGACGAAGGCAGTTACGCTTTGGATGAACCCAAACGCCAAACAGTCAGCCCATACGCCAGGGGCGCCTCCAAAGAGTTTTATGCCTAGAAATAAACCCCAATATATATATATATCTAAAAAATTATTTAATTGGAAATTAATAATTTTCAACAACAAAAAACTAGACATTTAATTAAGTGGTGTTATTTTGATCCTACAATTAATGATAATAATAATAATTGAAGACATTGTTGGTGTTCAACTCAATTATACTGAAACAATACAATACAAACAAACAAACAAAATTAGACAATGATATGAACGACCAATTTTTTTAAAAAAGAAAAAATAATTATTTGTTAATGTGATTACAAATTGTGTTGAGACAAATGTCGTCAAAACTTTTTTTAAATTTTATTTTATATCAATGTATTCAACGTTTTGGGAGATATTTGTCGCTAATTATGTGTTTTTCGTCATCACTTATGGTTCACTATTATTACTACAACTACTACTACAACTGCTGCTAATACTACTACTATATATCAACATAATTACTAAATTGGATAACATATACATTGAAATATTATGATAATAATAGTAATAAATGGATTGTTTTTTTTTTTGTAATTTCATAAATGATGCAAAATCAGCCATAAAGATAATAAATTATAAATAGATGGAAATTATTAATTAATATATATATAAATATAATATTGTATAATATAATATTATTATATTATATATATTCAGCTAAACTTCTATTATCTATTATTTAAATCATTTTGAAACCACACACACACACACACAAACATTTAAGCCTCAAATATATATATATATAAATATATATCATTTTTATTGTCAAATACTTATAACTACTTTTTTTGTTGAAAAAAGACGTCAAGTGCCCATCGATGCAGCTATTGATCTATTGATTGATTGATTTTATATGTTTACTCTAATTGTATTATTATTATTACTATTTTTTTTTATTTTCAAACGTTTTATGATCTTTAGGGTTTTTTTAAAAAATAGCGAAAATATCAAATTTTTTATAACTAATAATTTATTTTCAAATTAACTAATAGAGATTATAGTTATTATTATTAGATTAATTAATGATAACACACTCGCAAACTTTCATATCGTATTGAAAAATATCAAATTAAAAAGCTAACAATTAGTCCAAACTTAATGAATTAAAAAGAAAAACTAAATCATGAAAACAATTATCAAATTTATTACTAATTATTTAAAAAAAACTACATATATTTGAAATACATTCCAAAAAATTATTAAAAAAAAAACATTTTTATATTAAAATAGTTTTTCATTATTTATATTTTAGAAATTTAGACATTTTTTCCAATCAAAATTAATTATACAATTATAATAATTGAAAAAATATGATTTTTTTCTAATTTTGAAATGTAATTTGTATGTAATTATGCAATATTTATAGAGTACAATATGTTTTATACAATTTTCACATAAAAACAATTTGAAACTCTGAAAACAAAATCACTTTGAGGTACCAAAAAAATTAGGTGCAAATTGTTTATACAAATAAATAAATGAATAATAGTTACTAATAATAAAGAAATTAAAAAGTAATAATTGAATCAATAAATTATAATTTGATTTAATTTTTTTTATTTAAAAACATAGACAAAAACTTGTTAAATATAAATAAATATATATAAAAATAATTTATATGATGTGATGTCTATACACAACAATAATTGCTATAAATATAATTATTATTAAAACTCCTTTTGTATTTATACTCCTGTTTTTCTCTTAACTTATGTTTTTTAAATTATTATTATTTACAACAATGTGTATAATAAATATTAGTTTTAATTATCAATAATAATTTAAAACAGCCATATTTTTAAAAAAAAAATTAAGTTGCAATTTATAATTAATTAAAAACAAATATTAATTTAATTCTAAGTTCTAGTCCTCAGAAAAAAATTATTAAATACTAAAATGTGGACTCAAATTATTTCATAACTTTTTTTTACAACAATTATTGATATATGACTTTTTATTTATCTTTATATGTAAATTATTATTATTATATAAAATATATTATTTGACTCAATTGTTTTTTTGTTTGTTTGCATATATTATAATTTATTTGAAACAAACTAAACTAAAAAAAAAGTAATAATTATTTTATTTATAATAATTTTGCAGCTTTTTATTATATAATATGACAAATTGTTTTTTGACACAGTTTTTATTTGTTACTTGGTAATAATAATAAAAAATTATTATTATTATTTAAAAAATCACAATTCAACAAAAAATAATAATAATAAATGTGTAAATAATGAAAATATTGTGTGAAAAAAATAAAAGTAAAAATTTTATAAAAATATTTTACCGAAAAAAATGTTTTGTTTGATTGAATGTTTTTTTATTGTCATTTATTTAAAATTTTATTGTTCATTGAATTTTGTTTGGGTATGAGATATTTACTCCTATTGTATTAATAATAATAATAATCAATTTATTATTATTATTACTAAATATTTGTTTAAAAATAACAGTCAAATAATAGAAGAGAGAGAAAAAAAAATACAATTGAAATCTAAAGCCCCAGAAAAACTGTTTGCTTATACAGAGTACTTACTGTCCATAAAAGGATTGCAATTATATAATATTGTATTACATTATTGAATGTTGTTTTTAAAAAGAGAGGAACGCCTATTATTTATTTTTTGTTGGCACTACAGGTACCGGTATTTCATATATATATTTATAATTTACATTATTTGATCATCAAAACTATTTTTAGGTAAATACAATATAATGTATTACAGTTAATGCATTATTGTTTAGTTATAAATGTGTAGTAATTTATTTTAATTTTATTTTTTTCAATATAATCTTTAATATACGGTAAGTATAGTCTCTCTCTCTACTAATAAACTGTACTTTTAATATGTCTAACAATACCGTTGAGTATGAAAATATATCATTAATAAAATTATTAGTTAATTTCATTATTATTTTTTATTATTAATAAAACAAAACAAAATATAGTAATATACATATTTTATCTATTATATAATTAACATATGATGATAGTATTGAGCAATGTTTTTATATACAGATATATAGTGAAAATTCAAACCCTTGTAGTATATTATATATTATATAATATATAATAATATTTTAATATATAATATATTTAATGCATAAATTTAATATTATTTAATATTAATATTTTTACAGTAATAATTAAATCAACTTGAATTGCTTTTATGGGTATATTATACCTGTACAGTACATTTAAAAGCAATTTAAAGTTTGATTTAATTAATATTACTAATGAATAATGTTATATAGGATACTATTAATATATTTACGGTATATATTATATTTTAATTCCCATTAAGTTCAAAGTTTCTATAGACTATCTTAAAGATTAATATTAAAGTAATAACTCATATATTAATTTTTATCTAAAAAAAGAGTTATTCATTTCATGGAAAAATTATTATTATTTTTGTCATTCAATAATAAAATTTCTTCATTGAACTAAATTTTCTATACATACACACATAAAGTTTTATATATAAATACTATACTGTTATAATATATTTTAAAAATCAATCAACATTTACTTTTTTAGATTTTTTGTTTTGTTTATTTTAGTTAACAATTTTTGAAGTTTGATATGTTTATTATTATTAATAATATAACAAATTGTGTATTAGTATTACCAATACTGTACAGTATTATTATTATTACTATTTCAAGTCATTTCTTAGTAATCCTAATTGATTGCTGGAAATAATTAATTAATAAAAACTAATAAAATTTTTCAAAAACATAATTTTTATGACCTTAAAAATTACACCAATTTTCTGTAGATAAACATTAATCGTAAATCTCAATTACTCAGATTGATTGCATATTTTTTAATTAAAATTAATCGATAAAATAATTATACTGTAATTAAATGATATAAACAGACATATCATAATCACGACAACAACGACAAAAAGTTTTAAAAATATTTTTCAATAATTAATTTATTTAAAAAAAAAAAATAAATTATGTGAATAAATAAAATTCACTATCATTATCGTTAGACTAAATAAATTACTAAATTAAATTAAATTATTAGGCATAGATAAAGATATATATATATATATATATTGTATAAAAATATATAAATTAATCTAAATTATTATTATTATTATTATTAGCGAAACTATTATTATTATTATTGAAAAGTGTATTAAGAAATGAGGCGCACGATAGCCGACAGAGACCAGACTGAGTGGTTGTCAATAACCAGAGACATGACGTCAGGTTTGGGTTCCAGAAGACCTAAATAATTATAATACAGAAGTCAACCGAAAGAGAGAGAGAGAGAGAGAGAGAGAGAGAGATTACATAACAAACATTTAATTAAATAGTTTAAGTGATGAGAGAAAAAAACGACAATTTTGTTTGTTTGTTAATATATAATATATTATATATCATTCACACCAAACAAACAAATTAATAATAATATACTGTAGTAGTAGTAGTAGTAGTAATACATACTCTATTGATCGATAGGATGGGATAGTCGCTGAGTCGCTGGTATTGCATATGTGTTGGCAAACGGATACGATTTATCTCTTCAATAGGTATGTCCTTCAAGTTTGACTAAATAATAATACCAAGAAAATGATAATAAATTATTTGATTTAATTAAATTAATGTTTATTTTTTTGTCTGTCATTAGAGATGTTTATATATCACATCATTAATAAAATGTGACATTAAATTTAAAATTAATTATCTAAATAAAAAAAAATAATACCAAATCATAGTCGTTGAATACGAGTCCGTATTTCATTGAGAAATCATTGTACGATCTGAGAGGTAATTCATCTTCAGCTATGCCGATGTCCGTCAAGATTTCATTTTGTTTATTATTAGATTTCTTTGATTTGGGACCACTTTTTTGTGATTTTCCTGTTGTCGTTGTTGTTGTCGTGGTTTGAGTCAATGGAAGAACAGTTATGTGATAGAGTGGCTAAAGAGTAATATTTATAAAATAAAAATTTAATTAACATTTTTGGTTACAATGTTCAACACAATTATTATTTTGTCTGATCTATCCGTACAATCCTATCGTAGGGTTTCCTTTTAGGATCGGCTTTTAGTTGAAAATCTGGGAAAATAGTGGCCTCGCCGGCCGCGTCAACACTAGCAGTGGCCAGTGTCCACTCTGATACTGATAAATCCTATAAATATAAATAAATTTCATGTAAATAAGATTTTTTTAAAAAAAACATTAATATTAATCATAATAACTGTTTTCAAATACAAACCCAAACACATGTTTTATGACAGTTCAGACCATTTGCACCGAAATTTTGATAACCAAAGTCTTTAAAAAAGACATTGTTTTGGAAACCTCTGGAGATTATAATTACCGGTAAAACAAAATAATAATAATAATAACGATTAGTATACTAAATATACTGTAATCTAATCTAAAAATATATCCCAAAAAATCGGACGGAAATAACATACAGATAACAGTCGTCGTTTGCTAAATACATTCCACTCCATTGCAAATGTGTGGCCACGGATGTAAACAATCCTTTCTTGACGTTTGTGATTGGAATCACTAATTTTTTTTAAATAACAATTGAAAAACAAAACAAATAAATCAATTGAATTCAATCAAAAAAATAATACAAATATGATTAGATTTTTCATCAAATACCAGTATCTTTGATATTCCACAGTTTGGCCGATCGATCAAAACTACATGAGATTAGAAATCGGTCGCTCGAATTGTCACACCATTTGATCCGATTGACAGCCGCGCTGTGAGCCAACCAACTGGTCAATGGTCTTAATATGGTTTGACTGGGATTTTGTTCGACTATTAGCAAGGATGAGACAGTAGTCAAATCCCAGATTGCTATTACTCCGCTACCATAGCCAGCGGCTACCAAACGTTGATCATTGGATTTGATCCATGAAACACATTTGCATATTGTTTCCTCATTGCCAACAGAACTACCGGTTCCAGGTGGATTCAATATGATAATTGGTTCGTTATAGTACAGTGTATAGTCATATGAATTGTCAAGCGATTGTGGATATGGTATACTATGTATTCGTACATAACCATCACCGCAAGCCACAGCTAACAGTCCCAGACGAGGCAATGAATCTAAATTAGTTAAATGATGGCCGGAAACTATTTCATCCCATGTAGTACCGCCGGGACACCATTCCATGTCCCAAACCATTCCGCAACAGTGAGCAATACTGAAGGCTAATCGTGGTTTGATTGACCCATCAAATTGTTTGACTAGTTTTCCGATATTCCAGATCTGAATTAGTCCGCTCTCGATATCAGTATCATTGAGTGTATGAGTTGTCTCCCAATTCATGTTCGATGCAATAGCCAGAAACTGGTCACTGTCGGTAACACTCAGGGGTACAGGGCACCAGGCGGCCGACCAAACGGGACCACCGGCGTAAAATGTTACGCTATGTTGACTGGCGTGCGAATCAAACAAGTTCAAGAGTTTCCATGACTCCTCATCATCGGTAGTTGTCTTGAATTGTGCCGACACTTTGGGGTTCGGTATGTAAGTAGAATGTTCCCTGAAAAAATTTTAATTAAAAGTTTTTTTTATCAAACATTGTAGTAGTAGTAGTAGTTATTGTTGTTGTTAAACAACAAATTACTTACTCTAAAGACAGGGGAGTCCAGGATTGCATTTGTGGCACATATGATGCAAATGACTTTTGTCTATAGAATCTCTCGTGGCTTTCAATATAATTGGGAAAATAAATTAAAAATAAATAAATTATAATATCAGATACGGTAATCAAAAAAAAAAAAAATACTAATCAGATTATTATTATTTTTATTATTATAAAAAAACATAACTTACAATTCAATGGCATAGCTAACGGTTCCGATTCTTTTAATCTCATTTTTAGCAAATCTTGTCGTTGCTATCTCTTTATAATTTTCAATATTTACGACAACAAACTCTTGTAAATCACTATCCAATTCAGTGGCGGAAGTCTATATAAATTTGTAATAATAATTGTTTTTGTTTTTTATAATTACAGATAATTAATACCTTATGATTGTTCCAAATGTGTTGAATAATGGTTTTATTTCCTTTTTGTGCTTCAAATCCGCATAATTTACATTTCCATAGAAATTTGAATTCAATTCCACACCTTTGATAGTGATACTTGAGTCCATCTCTTGTGGTAAACTCTTGATTACATCCCTTATTGAGATAAAAGAGATATATATATATATATATATACAATATTGATTCAATATTGATTGATTTTAAGAGAGTGTAACTAATGTTATTAAAATACATACTTTCAGTGGACACTTGACTTTACCAGCCTTAGCGACATCATAGGTCCACGTATTGTCTTTAGGCACTTGTCGTAGAAAATCTTTGACCGATAGCATCAAATCACTCCATGTGCTCAATATCTTTCTTAACATACTCTCGGCAGTCATTTTCGAATAATTAGTTTCTTTAGTGAGTTTTTCTTTAGGTCTTTTAGTTTTTATCTTTTGTTGGTTTTCCTCCTCTTCTCGGTTATCCTCTTCTTCTTGTTCGGTCTCTTCATCGTCAGTCTTACCATTCCATTCGTTGTCAGTATCGCTAAGACTGCCGCTTATGATAAGCTCTCCTTTTGTACTCTTTCTGATGGTTTTCGAGGCTCTGGAAATAAAAAACAAAATTCAATGATAACTACCGATAACTTTCAAGAGATATTTTATTTGTATATTCAATGAACTACTTTATAGCAGACTTTCTCTTTCGGCTGTCTATTATCTCATTGTCCGTATCGTCGTCACTATCTTCTGGTTTGTTGTGTGTCTTCATATGCGATACCAACGAATTCTTCTTGAGACGTCTGCCACAGATATCACAATCGGTTGTCAATTCGCTCTCCTAATAGAAAAAAGTCATATAAAGAGATCAATTAGATTTGGAAATCATTGATGATATTAGTATCAAATAAAAAGACTAACACTTTTGCCGCACAAATCCCAATGCATTTTCAATCCGAGACCACTCTTGAAAGTACGCGAACAGCCGGTGTTCTGACATTTTAAGACTTTCATCACTTTTTGGGCTTTGATCAGTGCTTTGATGATTTCGTTTTCGGTAAACGGTGTCCTCTTGTCGTCATTGATGCGGGCCTTTAAAAAGTCAAATATAAATACCGGGAACTGTTAAAAAGTGATGTCCTTTTTTTAAATATCATCTTTAATTATATTATATTACGAGTCCATAATGTATTTTGAAGATATGTTGATTGATGTCATCGTTAGTATCAAAACTGTCCGTACATTCGCTACATTTGAACAGACTTTTGGTCATCGATTCCTTCTTAATATTCTTCTTCTTCCTCGTCGTCGTTGTCGTCGTCGCTGTTTTCGTCGACCTCTTTGGCCGCTTGTTATCGTCGACAACACTGACATCGGTAGCCGTTGTCGTCGACTCTTTGTTTGGTCGCTTTCGTGGCATTTGTTATCTACTATAGTATATTATCACCAATTGATTTGATCCCAAACATTGACCACACATTCATAGCCTGTGTTTCAATAATAATATAAAAAAAACAAAACAAACATTTAGTTTGAAACACATTCACAAATAACGTAACAAATATTTATTTACTATTAATAATGTATAGAAATGTATAGAAATTTTGTTTTGTTTTTGTTTACATAACAAACATTACAATTAAAAAATTATTTATTTATTTGTTTACTTAAAATTGAATTTCAATAACAATGTTATTATTTGTGAGAAAATTATTGTCAATTATATTATTATTATTATTATTATTAATTAAATTCAATGATATAAGTTGTTTGGTGGCCATCGATGGTGATAATGATGTCAATGATTTTGGTGAAGACAACCGATTGTTGCCAACCATTCAATTGGTTTTATTAGTTCATCCGTTTAATAAAGCAAATTATTTGCCGCACACTTTGGGATCAATTGAACAACAATTATATCCGAAACATCGGATCAAACTATGGATTTCAACGGAACAGTTGCTGGAGTTGTCGTCGACCGATAAAATTACTGAAGACATGATTGATATGAATCAGTTGACAATCGATATGCTGAAGAAGTGGATTCATCACAACCGACGACATTATAGTGACATCGAGTTAGTATTGGGACGACGTTATCAACCCATTGATGAAGAAGTGTTACCCGAAGTCGATGGCTATAGATATTGGACTACTAGTCGTTTTAAACTATTAGTCCAATTGAAGACATTGGCAATGAAGACGGCCCGACAAAATTGGTCACAATATGTCCTATTCATTGATTCGGATGTTATCCTAACGAATCCAAATGTATTCATGACTTTATTGACCACTAATACGGATGATATGATAGCCGTGGCACCGATGCTCTACTCGTTAGGCACTTATAGCAACTTTTGGGCCGGAATTACCGATAAGGGTTACTATAAACGAACCGATGACTACATACCGATACTTGAAAGACAACGTATCGGACAGTTTGTCGTACCGATGATTCATTCGTGTCTTTTCATTAGTTTAGTACACAAGAAGTCAATGAATTTGACATTTGATTCCCGAAATATTATCAATGAGTCGTCGGTTATACCATTTGACGATATCATAGCATTTGGCAAATCGGCTCAACTAAACCATATAGATCTCTATGTCGACAATCAACAAGTCTGGGGTTATATACCACCGCCACTTGATTTAGTCAACCAATCGTTTGACTCATTAAAACAAGATCTGATTGATTTAGAATTAGAATCACTAATCGAAGGATCAGAGTTTCCCATTTCTTCAGCACTCATATCGTATGTCACTAATGAAGAAAATAGTGATACATTAAATGTGGATCAGATATATGTGATTAATTTAGTCAGAAGAACTGAGCGACGAAAACGAATGATAAAATGTTTAAAAATTTTAGGCATCAAAGCTAGCATTTGGGAGGCCATCGATGGCAAACAATTGACTGATGAGATTATTCAGGCTAAAGGTATTCATCTAATGGATGGTTATTTAGATCCGTATCACAAAAGGCCGATGACTTTCGGCGAAATCGCGTGTTTTCTATCGCATTATACCATTTGGGAGGATATGATTGGCAAGAATTTGTCGACAGTTATTGTTCTCGAAGATGACGTCCGATTTGAACGAAATTTCAAGAATCGTTTGAAACAACTGTTATCACAATTTGATTCAATTAGTTACGACTTTTTATATTTGGGTCGAAAAATACAACATAAAACTAATGAAACAGTTATTCAAAACGGTTTGTTTGTTGAGCCCACCTATTCTTACTGGACTATCGGCTATTTGATTACCAGATCGGGTGCACAAAAACTATTGGACACCAAACCATTGGAACAATTGATTCCCGTCGACGAGTTTTTGCCAATAATGTATGACAAACACACTGACCAGTCATTGAAACTACAGTTTCCGATACGTAATCTCAAGGCATTGAGTGTCAATCCATTGCTTATACATCCAACACATTATGTCGGAGACGATCAATACATTAGCGATACTGAAGATTCAAATCATATTAACAGTGGATTAAATACAAACCAATTTATTAATGGTTTTCATCCAAAACATACAGAATTATAGTTTAATTGTGTATTTCAATCATCAAAACCAGTCATAAATTTCTAATCATTTAGCTATTTATAAGTCAACTTTTTTTTAAAGAAAAATTTATTTAATTAAATACTCATATTTATTAAATGTTTTATGGGAAAAATATATTGTTTTTTTTTGACAATTTTTTATAGTATTTAGTCATATTGTACTTAACTAAGTTCTGGCTTGATTTACAAAAATATTTATATTAAAAAAATAATTAAAAACAATTTATTTACAAAACAAAATAATAAGTCATAAATAAAAACAACAACAAAAAAAGATTTTTATATTATATTAATATTATATGCAATATTTAAATATTAATAATTGTAAATTTGAATTGAAAAAATCAATTGAGATTTTTTTTTAAATAAAAAAATAATTAATGAAAATAAAATTTGAAATAAAATTAATAAATATAACTGAAAACAATAAAATAGAAAATAAATATATCATTAAATTGAAAACAATTAGGTTTTCTTTTTTTTGTTGATCAATCAATTTTAAACATCGATGCATTTTGAATTGGTTTGAATACATTTTTGTAGTGTTCATAGTTAATGTTACCTCCGGGCCAGTAGGTGCATATCATGGTAACACATTTGGTCGTATAGTTTTGAATGACAGAACATCCCAATTCAACAGATCCGAGCCAAACAACTTGAGTGAAATGGTTGATCAGTTTGTCTTTGAATTGTGGAAATGGGTTTTCAGTTTTGTAGTTATAATATTTCAATTCGTCATACCAGGCCCAGACAGCTGAATAACAGTGAACATTGTTAGCCATGAATTCAGGTGACAATATCTTTGAATTACAGAAAAACCATATATTATCTCCGGGTCGGTTCGGATGCCAGTTCGGGTGCTTTAATGAATTACATCCCTGTGCTCTCAATTCAAGCGCCCGTTTCCACGAATAGTCAATGAGCTGTAGAGTCATATAGATTCATACATATGTGTTGTTAATATACTGGTTAAAAAAAACATCAATTGTTTCATACAAACTGAGAGAGTGTCAGATTGGGAACCTTATGAAAGGACCGATAGTAGTTATGTGCCTTCAGACATGACCGACTAAATTTAGTCATATTATCGGGTGGGACGGGCAGTTTTTTATACCAATCACCAGGAGCTGTCATACCGTACGGTATTTCTGTGATTCTCTTACGAGTCGTACTGACAGTCAAAGCACGGTTGACATTAATGACAGCAGTTGTGGTACTGTTAGTCGACTTATTACTTGAGTCGGGTGTCAACCAAACTATTTGTTGCAAAAAAAATCAATTTATTATGAAAAAAATGCAAAAATATTTTTTTTGTCAAAACTTACTGAAATATACGCCCAATACTACAAGTCCACTGATGACCAGTACTGTCATAACTACAGCTGCGATTATGACTATTTTTAAGGCCATTATTTTATTATATAATGTATTGCAATGCAATTACTACCGAATGGAAACTTTTAAAAAAATATATTTATTTAATTTTTTTTTTTAATAATTGAATTCATTTCACGATCTAATCAAACAATTATTCGCTTAACTCTAGGATTATAATTCTCTACTGAAATACATTGTTGTAATTCATGCAATCAAATACAATGCAAACAATACATATTAGACACGAGACAATAATTGTTAACTAAAATATTAAATGTTTTTCAAATTTATTTTATTTATCTTTAGTTTAGGTTAGGTTAGTGGAAACGTTAAACTTAGAGAGCGTTTTTTTATATTGTTTGCGCGTGCATTACAACACTGTATTAAATGTATTAATAATACTATTTGCACGTGTAATCACTCGATTGTATTCCCATTAGAAATCTATAAAAAAAAATTAAAATCATAATATGACTCCACACCACCACTACCTAACACACTACTATCTATAGACTTATTCCCAATTATTAATTGTATTTTATTTTTTTGTCTACACTATAGCGCAATATCAACAATATTTATAATAATTTCGAAAATTATTTCAAATAATTTATTTTTAATTGTTTTTTGATTGATTACAGTTAAACAATAATTTTTTTTTGTAAATTATTAAACTAAAGTTTCTCAACGAATATTTAAACAAATAGTTGGATACAAAATAAAAACGAAAACTTTTTTTTGCCACATTTTCCCCCTTTTTATTACAAAATGAGTACTAAAACAGATGAAACTATGGCTAACAATAGTGAGGACAAGGATGTCAAAGATGTCAAAGATGTCAAGGAAGCAGTGTCTGTACGAAAACCAGTCAGCTTTTTCTCACTGGTCTGTGTGATAGTCCATAAATATCTGTATAATTAATGCTATTATTATTACTATTATTTATATATTATATCTATTAATATGTCTTAAATAAATAGTTTGCCTATTCCTCTGGTTTCGACAAATTTCTTATGCTTATCGGTATCGTAGCGGCTATAGCTTTGGGCGCCGGACAGCCGGCAATAACTGTGTTTATGGGCCGACTGACCGATACTTTTGTTGACTTTGAATTGTTTAGCAAGATATCCAAGTTGTCATCGGTTATCAATAGCCAGAATAATAATAATAATAATAGCAATTATTATGAAAACCAATTGAAACCATTGAAAGCCAGCGAACCGGACAAATATTTAAGCAAATTGTTTACCGATTTTCCACAATTGAAACTAAATGTTATACAGAAAAGATTTAAATTGGATAACAAATCATTTGTCGACAAATTTGATAAAACGGTATTTCACGGAAACAGACAATTCGTGGACGACTTCGAAGACGGCGCAAACCGATGGAGTTTATTGATCTTTGTTTTTGCCGTAATCATTTTGGTGGCCGGCTATGTAATAGTGGCCACTTTTAGCGCAGCGGCCAACCATCAGAAACATCGCATTCGGATACTATTTTTCAAAGCCGTCTTAAGACAGGACATCACTTGGTATGACACAAAAACTACGGGAGATTTTGCCACAAAAGTGACGGCGTATGTGATATCAGTTTATGATTTTTAAAAAATGTATTGATTTCAATGATTTCAGTTAATAATTAAGTTTTTTCCGCTACTTTTTTTAAATAGTGATTTGGATAAACTTCAAGAGGGAATTGGAGATAAGGTATAGATATATATCTATTTTATAAGTAGTTATAATTATCAATATTTTAATTAATTAATTATCGGTAATTACTTTGAAGTTTGGTTAGACATTGTGTTACTAAGACATAAAATAAATATATTTTAATTAACTAACAAAAATTGAGATAAAAGATTATTAATAACTAATATTTATTTATTATTATAATTATCTAAATAATAGGTCGCTCTCTGTATATTCTCATTTTCAACCGTATTGTGTTCACTGGGAACTGCTTTTTATTATGGATGGGAACTAACATTAGTTATACTATCGCTTACACCAGTTTTGGTCATTTTATTTATAATTATTGGAATAGTTAGTGGAATTTATTTTAAATAAATATCAAAATAAATTTAATTAATAATATTATTATTTTTTAAAAAATAATTTCAAATAACAGATTCAGGCCCGGTATGCGACAACAGAAGCCGAATCCTATAGTAAAGCCGGTACTGTTGTTGAAGAAGTTTTGGGTGGCATTCGCACTGTCTATGCATTTGGTGGTCAAACTAAAGATATTAAAAGATATGACCGAAATCTGGAGCCGGCAAAGAAAAGCGGAATCAAACGACAAGTGTATATCGGTTGTGGTCTGGGAGTCATGTGGTTTGTCATCTATTTGAGCTTTGGACTGGGATTTTGGTACGGCATCCGACTAATTATCAGATCCATTGACAACAACGACAGTCTATACGTAGCCAGCAATATGACTATAGTATTCTTCTCAGTACTGATTGGAACCTTCAGTATCGGTCAAACCGTTCCCTATTTCGAGGCATTCGCTCAGGCAAGAGGTTCGGCGGCACTTATATTTGAAGTCATGAATAGAGTACCAGAAATTGATAGCAGTTCTCAAAGTGGCGACAAAATTGACGACTTTAAAGGTCAGGTAGAGTTACGTAATGTTCATTTTGGATATCCAGCCCGATCTGGTGTACAAGTTTTAAGAGGACTTAGTCTAGTGGCAGAGCCGGGAGAAACGGTAGCTCTGGTCGGTCCCAGCGGTTGCGGTAAAAGTACTGTCATTCAATTAATTCAACGGTTTTACGACGTCAAAGATGGAGAGGTTTTGATTGGTAGCAGAAATATCAAAGATTTGAATGTCGGTTGGCTTAGGGATCAGATTGGACTCGTTGGACAGGAACCGGCATTGTTTGGCTGTTCAATAGCTGAAAATATCAAACTTGGTTACAGTTCAGCAAATAATAATGATATCGAGTCGGCGGCAAAAGATGCCAATGCATATGATTTTATAATGCGATTACCGAAACAGTTCAACACTCTTGTGGGCGAAAGAGGTTCACAATTGTCTGGCGGACAGAAACAAAGGATAGCCATTGCAAGAGCTTTAGTTAGAAAACCAAAGATTCTTTTGTTGGATGAGTCGACCAGTGCTTTGGATAATCAAAGTGAGTCCATAGTTCAGGCGGCACTGGACAGGGCTAGTGTCGGACGAACCACTTTTATTGTGGCCCATAGATTAACAACCATAAGACAGGCCAATAAAATAATTGTTATAAATCGTGATATTGTTGAAGAAATTGGAACTCATGAAGAGTTAATGAAGAAAGAAGGACTGTATTATAAATTAGTCAAAAGTCAACAAAGAACTGATGGAGAGAATAATAATTCTGAAAAAAATAAATCAAAAGACTTGGATAAAGAAGTTACAAAACAATTAGAAACAACTACAAGTGATATTGAAATTAATAAGAAAATGGATAAAGAATTATCTCTCAGAAAGAAGTCCAGTGGTGTCAGTCCTCTGATACTACCTGATCCGTGGTTACGATTTTATATGCGATTGTTTAAACTTCTAAAACCAGATAAATATCTTGTATTGACTGGTCTTTTGATGGCATTTCTGATGGGACTATCGGTACCGGCTTTTGCTATTGTTTTTGGCGAAATTTTGGCTACACTTTCACTGACATCGACTGATAAAATGAAAGAAAAATCACTTTTTTATGCACTATTATTTGTCGGCATCGGTATTATGACCGGATGTGCATCAGCCTTACAGGTGATTATCATCTGTTAAATAAATGTTTTTAAAAAAAAAATATATATATATATTTAATCATTTATTTTCATTATTAGATCTATGCTTTTGGTGTTTCTGGTGAACGACTAACTATGAAACTAAGACTACAAGTTTTTACAGCTATGCTAAACCAAGAGATCGGTTGGTTTGATAGACAAGAGAATAGTACCGGTGCTCTCTGTTCGCGACTATCATCGGATACATCTAGTGTTCAGGGGGTTAGTAGATTTTGTTGTTATTGTTGTTATATTATATAGAAAACTAAATTTTAATAAATTAAATCAAATTAATTGTTAATCAATAGGCTGGCGGTTCTCGTTTGTCAACCTTAGTCCAGGCAGTGTCGACACTAGGTATTGGTGTAGTCATAGCAATGTACTATAGTTGGAAACTGGGTCTCGTTACCATGTGTTTCATACCACTAGTCATAGCATCGACTTATTTTCAGATTAAGATAACCAGTGATCAATTGGTTAAAGATAAAGAAGCACAGGAGGAGTCATCAAAGGTTAGATTTACTTTTAAAATAACCAAAAAAAATTGTATTTTATCATCAAATCTAATCCACAGATTGCCATCGAAGCTATTGGTAGCATACGGACAGTTGCATCCTTACATCAGGAGACGACATTCATTAACAAATACCAGAAATCCTTACAACCGCCGTATAATAAATCCAAAATCCAGGCCCATCTACGGGGTATTACTTATGGTTTGGCCATAAGTATGAGTAACTTTGCTTACGCTATTGCCTTGTTTTATGGCAGCAAACTTATTATCAACAATGAGCTAAGTTATGGAAATCTATTCAAGTAATTAGTATATCTTTTTTTGTTGGACTAAATTAAAACTAAATATTAGTTTTTTATTTAATAATTTTAAAAAAATCTATTATTAGGTCCACTGAAGCACTAATTCTCGGTACTTCAATCATTGGACAGGCAGTTGGTTAGTCATGTTTTATTTGTTTATTAAAAATAAAATAATTTATAATTAAAACTATTATATAATTACAGCATTTGCGCCAAACTTTCAAAAGGGTAAATTAGCAGCCGTTTATATATTTAAACTATTGGACAGAATACCCAAAATTATTGTCGACCCACTCAAAGGTGATAAACCATTAAGTTGTGAGGGAAATGTCGATATCAAGAAAGTGGAGTTTACATACACAACCCGTTCGGATCAGAAAATATTAAATGGATTGTCTTTCGATGTCTTGAAAGGACAAAGAGTAGCTCTGGTCGGTTCAAGTGGTTGTGGAAAGAGTACTATAATTCAATTAATACAACGATTTTATGATACAGATGCTGGTCATGTCGTAAGTATTTATTTATATATTTATTTTAATTAACATTTAAGTTATTAAATATTGTTAAATCAGATATTAGATAATAAAAATATTGTCGATCTAAACATTTCGTGGCTTAGAAGCAAATTGGGAATCGTATCACAAGAACCGGTACTTTTTGGTTACAGTATCGCTGAAAATATTGCTTATGGAGATAATAGTCGTGTTGTGCCAATGGATGAGATCGTTAGGGCCGCAGAAAAGGCTAATATTCATAATTTCATAAAATCTCTTCCAATGGGTTACGAGACACCAGTGGGTGATAAGGGAACACAACTGAGTGGTGGACAGAAACAGAGGATAGCCATCGCCAGAGCACTTATCAGAGATCCACAGATACTACTTTTAGACGAGGCTACCAGTGCTCTGGACTCGGAAAGTGAAAAAGTGGTACAACAGGCACTTAACGAGGCCCAGGAGGTAGATATTATTATTTAAAATTAATTATTAATTTTATTAATTATTATAAAATCTGGATTTTAATTATTATATTTTAGGGCCGAACCTGTATAGTGATCGCACACCGACTCTCAACAATAGAAAATGCCGACAAAATAGTTGTCGTCGATAAAGGAAAGGCAGTCGAAGAGGGAACTCATCAACAATTGTTAGACAAAAAGGGTGCTTATTATGGACTCTACAACATTCAAGCTTTAGCTAATAAATAACAGTATTTATTAATTTTTTTATCATTTATTTATTTATATTCATTCATTATTTATAAAATATTTTATTTATTATACAATTTATATAACTTTAATACTCTAATATACTGTAATAAATGTATACATCATTTACTTTATAATAATCCATAAATAAATATATTGTTTATTATAAAACTTGTTATTTATTTTGTAAATTTCATATAATTTTGTGAAAATAATTATACAAATTTGTGTTTTTTTTGGTGTCAAACATATCATATATTATTATTATTTTTTGGTCCAAAACCTATCATCACTTAATAGTAATAAACTTATGCTCGACTTCATAGATACCAACCGATTGTCGACTGTCCTCATCGTAATCAACCCATTCTTTCTCTTCGAGATTTATATCATTGAATTGTCGGCCGCTGTCCACCGATTCGCAAGCGAAACCAATGCGCGGCGAAAAGTCAATTATGGATAGTCCGCGACAGTCAAAGCCGATAATAGTTTTGAATTGATTTGAATCGTCACTCGTGTACATGGATTGCGTGTCCGGAAGAATTTCTGTGATAAAAAAAACAAACAAATATATCATTAAATTAATTGTTAATTAATTTTTTTTAAAACTAAACAACAAATACAACTACCGATTGACGACTCGCGCGAACACAACTTGCATTTGGTGACCAAATGTGCCGATCCTCGACTGCCTTTAATCGGGAACTCCTCCTAAAAAAATAAATAAAGACAATCCAAATAAAAGTCTGGCAATTAATACACACAAAAATATATCTTCCGATATATATAAACAAACCTCGAGAGACAAATAAACCCATTTATCCGACTCTTCGCCGCAATTGTTGCACTTAAACTAAAAAAACAATTACCCGATAAAACACATTATTATTAGTAGTAGTATTATTATGAAGACAACAGTTGGCCACCAATTGGCTGGTCATCTACTGTTCACAACACAAAACCAAACAAAATCATACCTTTATATACCATCGAAAGTCTTGGCCACTGGCCGTCAAATTTGTCACATTTTCAAGATTTGCTTTTAATTGAAGACACGTCTTCTGCATTAATAAAAAAATACGAAATTATTAAATTAATAAATCAAATCAACTGATTATACCATAGTTGGACACAACAATAACCAGATGGTCGGTCAACACCACCGATGATATGATAAACAATAATATATTATTAATTAGTAAAACAACTGTTAGTTTTGTATAATTGATTACATATTGAATATTAATAATACTATACTTATAATAATAATAATAATAATAATAATATGTTTGCCAGCAATAGATGTCAATACATGTAATGTGCTATCAATACATTGTATAGTAAATACTGTATTCTTGATATTCATATACTGTATTATATATATATTCTGGGTTTTTATAACATTATATATAATATGTTGTATATTATATGAGATTCTCTGTATTAATGTATTGATTAACAAAAATGAAAATATAGTATTATATATATAAATATATATATTATATTAATTTTCTATGTGTTTACAGTATATGTAATAATTTGAAAGCATACTAAATATAATATAAACACTCATTGACTTTATTATTATAATTATTATTACTATATGTGTAATTTGACATTTTAGTATTGTATATACTGAATATATTGCTGATATTTGATATATTTTAGCCACCAATTGAAGTCCAACAATAAAACGTCCAACAAATTAGTGTCTTGAAATTGAAATGATAATTATTATTGTTATATAATTAAATATTAATAGTATTCAGTAATATATAAATTATATATATATTTATAAAATAATATTTTTTTTGTGATAAATTCCGGACAATCATTATTACTATTCATTATATATATATATATAATGTTGTTAATTGTTAATATTAATCTTAATAATTACTGTTTTTAAAGCTCAAAGTTATTGAGAAAAAAAATTATTTAATTTTCTAATATAACAACAAAAATTATATTTTAAATGTAAAGAATAGTTTAAATAATAAAAATTTTATTTTTTAATAATTTAATAATCAAAGATATATATTAAGGTTAGTAACGTTTATATTGTTTATATTTTTTAATTATTATAATATTATATACATTATATTTTTATGTACTATTAAATGTATACATTATTCAAATTGTTTTAGACATTGCACATAATTATTTTTTCATAAATATTGGAATATTTTCTAAATATTAGTATTTAATATTGCATTTGTATAATTATTTTAATTTTTTGAACTTTATAAAGTTTTTTAAATAATAAAATTGATTTTTGTCTATCAAATTTTCAGTTTTAATATAGATAAATTAACACACTATTTGTTTTTTTTTAAATATAATTATCGATTGACCCATATATATATATATTAGATATATAATTTGTTAATGTTTGTTTTTTTCATAAATTCAAGTTTATTGTACATATTATTATTGAAAGCTAATCCATTAATTTTTTTTATTATCGTAAATAATGGTTTTAGTCAAATATTTGTAAAAAAATGTTTCTATTTATATTGTTTATACCGATAATTATATATATGTTTATTCAACTTTTTTTTGTAAAACATACATTAAAACGTTAAATCACTTTAATAAAAATAATTTTTATATTTATAAATAAATTGAAAATTATAATAGTTATACAATATATACTAATACATGTATATACTGTATATGTCATTATATTGTACACTTATATGTTAACAAATAAAAGTATCTATCAATACATATAATATCTAAAATTATTTATAACTTTTTTTGTGTCTATAATTTTTAGTAGTTATCTAAACTTTTTTTTAAAAAATATATGATTTTAGTTTTTATTATAATCAAATTTGTTTCCATATCTTATTTCATAAATATCTAATTACATTAAATATGCTTTATATATATACTACTACTACTGTATCTAAAAAAATTGACTACAATTGTCATTATAATTGTCAGAACAATAAACAGAAAAACTAATTTATTTTGATTTACATTATTTTACAGTTAAATTACAATATATTATATTATAGTATATATTAATTTAATAGATATTAATTTATTTTAATGCTCTCATCATAAAGAAAATAGTAGTTAATTAAATTTTATTACTTATTTTTGTTTGTATATACATTTGGTACAAAAAAAAATACTAATACTGTAGTATTCATAGCCATCATCATTGGCTTCAATGACATCTTGAAGAAGTACAGTATAAGTAATAGTAATAATAATAAGTAATAAATTTTTTTTAAGCGCCAATTCAGAGGTCTCCTCCATAATCCTCTCTCTCTCTCTCTCTCTCTCTCTCTCTCTCACACACACACACACACACACACACACACACACACACACACACACACACACACACATACACATACATACATACATACAGATACACATCAAATACAGTACAGTAATATTCATACATATTATTAATAATATATAAATGATGAGCAAAAATTGTTGTCATTGAATTATATTACAATATAGTTATATATTTAATTATTATTTCTTTATATTAATAGAAACTATATAAATTATATAATCAAATATATTTATATAACTATATAAAATAATTTTTAAAACATTTGTTTTATTATTATTATTATTATTTTTTACTTAACAAATAAGTGATGAAAAATAATAAGACAGATAATAACACCATCAATGGTGTTAACCATCATTACACTCCAGTACCAGATAAAGACAGTGATAAAGATAATGTGTAAGTATATATATAATTATAAAAAATAAATAATAAAATTATATATATATATATAATTAGCAATAAGAGTGGCAATGATGAGGACAAGGAAGAGCCTAAACGAGAACCGGCAGCTTTCTTCTCAATGGTCAGTATTTTATATTTACAATTATTTTTTTAGATTAAATTATTAAAAATGTTAATAATTATTTTTGTATTTATGGTTTTTATCTTATTTAAAAATTTTATGCCACAATTAAAAAAAACTATATTATATATAATTTTAAATTAAAGTGAATATACTGTATATATATAGTAAGAGAGAGAGAGAGAGAGAGAGAGAGAGAGAGAGAGAGAGAGAGAGAGAGAGAGAGAGAGAGAGTATTCATCTAAATATTTCAATAAATATTTCAATTTTACATTATTATAATATTTTAGGTTAGTCAACTATATTTGATAAAAATTATTATTTAAAAAAATTATTTTATGTGAAAAATTATTGAACTAAATGATAAAAATCAATCATTAAATTGTTATTAAAAAAAAGAATTCAATTATTTCAATTAATCAATAAATTATTAATTATTAACTATTATTATAATATAATATTAACTTAATTATAAATAGTTTGCCTATTCCTCTGGTTTCGACAAATTACTGATATTGATTGGAACTATAGCTTCGATAGCTATTGGCGGCGGACTGCCGGCACTAATCATATTTATGGGCGAACTGACCGATACTTTTGTCATATACGAGATGTATAACGGAATGTCCAAATTGTCGGCCGTAATCACCGAAAACTATTACGACACACATTTGTATCCGTTTATACATTTAAATGACTCCCAGACCTACTTAGACAACTTGAACCGAGATTTTCCACAATTTAGTCTAAATATAATACAATTGAGACTTAAATTGGATAATAAATCATTTGTCGATAAGTTTGACAAAACGGCTTTCCGTTCGGACAAACAATTTGAAAAAGATTTTATATCAGATGCCTATACAGACAGTTGTTTTATGTTAGTAGTGGCCGGCGCTTTCCTAGTGGCCGGTTATATAATGGTCGCCACGTTTAGCGCTGCGGCCAACAATCAAACCCATAGGATTAGGATATTGTTTTTCAAAGCAATTTTAAAACAAGACATCACATGGTATGACACGAAAACATCGGGAGATTTTGCTACCAAAGTGACGGCGTATGTAATGATATTATTAGTTAATAAAATTAAATAAACTAATAATTTTTTAGTTATGTTGTAATTTAATTAATTAATTATTTTTTTTTAATTTATAAAATTTTAGTGATTTGGATAAAATTCAAGAAGGGATTGGAGATAAGGTAGTAATATATTTATATATAGAAAATAAATATTTAAAGTAATTTATCAATTAATTGCTTAGTCAACAACAAAAAAGTTAATATTATGATTATACTGTATAATATACAGTATATATATAGGTATAATAAATCATTTTATAGAAAATAGACCTAAAAATTTTCCAATAAGTGTATCAAAAAATAGAAAAATTTTTTAGTTAATAGTTTTAAATACAATAATAATTTTGTATGTAATATATTGTAGAAAAATTTGCAGACATTGAAAAAAAATTTCAGAAACATAAAACTATTTTAACTTAAGTATTGATGACTATTTTAAAAACTAACTTAAATTAGTATTAACCGTTTATAATAAGTAAAAAAAATAAGACAACAAAATCAATAATGCACTAATGAAATATTAAATACCCAACCAAACTAATTTTTTTTAAAATTATTACTATCATTAACAATTAATTAATAATTAAAATTTATAATAGTTTTGATGGTTATAAAAATTGATGATTAAATTAAAATTATTATTTTAACTTAATAATAGGTCGCTCTCTGTATATTCTCGTTTTCAACCGTATTGTGTTCACTGGGAACTGCTTTTTATTATGGATGGGAACTAACATTAGTTATACTATCGGTTACACCAGTTTTGGTTGTCTCGTTCAGTATTATAGGAAAAGTTAGTCATAATAATCAATATATATATTATTAAATAATTCATTCACTGCTATTATTATCATTATTATCACAATTAACAGATTCAGGCCCGATATTCAACAACAGAAGCCGATTCCTATGGTAAGGCCGGTGCTGTCGCTGAAGAAGTTTTGGGTGCCGTTCGTACAGTCTATGCATTTGGCGGACAAGAAAAAGAAATTGAAAGATATGACCGAAATCTGGAGCCGGCAAAGAAAAGCGGAATCCGACGACAATTGTTTACAGCATTAGGTATGGGAACGATGTGGTTGTGTATGTACTGTAGTTATGGACTGGCCTTTTGGTATGGCGTCCGACTGATTATCCGATCTATTGATAACCATAACAGTCAGTACGAGCCGAGCACTATGTTGATAGTGTTTTTCATGGTCTTAATGGGAACCTTTAGTATCGGTCAAACGGCTCCTTATTTCGAGGCTTTCGCTCAGGCAAGAGGTGCGGCGGCACTGATATTTGAAGTCATGAATAGAGTACCAGAAATTGATAGCAGTTCACGAAATGGCGAAACATTTTATGATTTTAAAGGACGGGTAGAGTTACGTAATGCACATTTTAATTATCCGGCCCGATCTGATGTACAAGTTCTAAGAGGACTTAGTCTAGTGGCAGAGCCGGGAGAAACGGTAGCTTTGGTCGGTCCCAGTGGTTGCGGTAAAAGTACTGTCATTCAATTGATTCAACGATTTTACGATGTCAGCGATGGAGAAGTTTTGATTGATAATAAAAATATTAAAGATTTGAATGTCGGTTGGCTTAGGGATCAAATTGGTGTCGTTGGTCAGGAACCGGTATTGTTTGGCTGTTCAATAGCTGAAAACATCAAACTTGGTTACAGTTCAGCAAATAATAATGATATCGAGTCGGCAGCAAAAGATGCCAATGCTTTAGATTTTATAATGCAATTACCGAAACAGTTTGATACTCTGGTGGGCGAAAGGGGTTCACAACTGAGTGGTGGACAGAAACAAAGGATAGCCATTGCAAGAGCTTTAGTTAGAAAACCAAAGATTCTTTTGTTGGATGAGTCGACCAGTGCTTTGGATAATCAAAGTGAGTCCATAGTTCAGGCGGCACTGGACAGGGCTAGTATTGGACGAACCACTTTTATTGTGGCCCATAGATTATCTACTGTAATAAATGCCGATAAGATAATTGCCATAAACAATGGTATTGTCGAGGAAGTGGGCACTCATGAAGAACTGATGCAAAAAGAAGGACTGTATTATAATTTAGTAAAAAGTCAACAAAGAGTTAGCGAAGAAAATGATGATTTAGATAATGAAACAGAAGTTTTGGACACAAATTTGGGTGAAAAACAATTGCTTTTACGAGAGTTTAGTATTGATAGCGAAAAAAACAACAATGACTTAGATTTTCGACGAAAATCAAGTGTTATTCGTCTACTAAAACCTGATACCGAATCGCCATCATTGATACGATTGTCTCAATTGTTAAAACCGGATAAATATATTGTAATCATCGGTGCATTCATGGCATTTATAATGGGTTTAATTATACCGGCGTTTGCCATAATATTTGGCGAAATATTGGGCACTCTTTCCAAGTCATCCATCGAAGAGATTCAAGAGGACGTACTCTTGTATTCACTGTTATTCGTGGCAATGGGTATTGCGTCAGGAATTGCATCCTTTCTACAGGTTTTTCGACAACAAATAGAAAAATATATTATATTTTTTGAAAATTATTTATTAATATACTCTATAATTAGCTCTATTTGTTTGGTGTTTCCGGTGAACGGCTAACAATGAGACTGAGAAAAACGGTATTAACAGCTATGTTAAAGCAAGAGATCGGTTGGTATGACATGCAAGAGAACAGTACCGGTGCTCTCTGTTCCCGACTGTCAGCGGATGCTTCCAGTGTTCAAGGGGTTAGTTATTTAAAAAAATATACAGTAAATTACCGGTAATTGTTCAAATCAAAATCAATCAATCAATCAATCAATAGGCTGCCGGTTCACGTTTGTCTACCCTATGCCAAGCAGTGTCGACACTTACTGCCGGTTCTTTCATTTCATTCTACTATAGCTGGAAACTGGGAATAGTTATCTCGTTTTTCATACCACTGGTCATTATATCGACTTATTTTCAAATGAAGATCATCAGCGGTCAGGCAACGGATGACAAGAAAACACAAGAAGAGGCCACAAGAGTATGAGATTTAAAAAAAATATTTTTTTGTTATTCATAATAACAATTGATTTTCAATTTATATACTAATAGATTGCCGTCGAAGCCATAGGCAGTGTCCGTACCGTTGCATCACTACATCAGGAGTCGACATTTACAACCAATTATTCAAATTCATTGCAAAAACAGTTTATTAAATCGAAAATACGGGCCCATCTCCGGGGTATCACTTTTGGTTTGGCCCAAGGGATGGGCAACTTTGCGTACGGTATTGGTTTGCTTTATGGCAGTAAACTAATTGTCGACAAAGAGCTAACTTATGGAAATCTATTCAAGTAAGTATTGAAATCAATTTTTTTTGAAAATATAAAATATTTTGTTGTCTTATTAGATAAAAAATTATTTATTTTTTTGCTGCTAAATATTAGAGCCGTCGAAGCAATTATTTTCGGTACGGCAATGGTTGGACACTCAGTCGGTTAGTTAAAATGTTCAAATGTTGGGCAATAATAATAATAATAATAAATTTATTATTATTTGTTGCTATAATCTAGCATTTGCTCCCGACTATCTAAAGGGAAAAATAGCAGCCGTTTATATATTTAAACTATTGGACAGAATTCCCAAAATTATAGTCAACTCTTTAGCTGGCGATAAACCGGATAAATATGAAGGAAATGTTAATTTTCAGGAATTAGAGTTTAAATATCCGTCCCGTCCGGACCAGAAAATTTTGAGAGGACTGTCTTTCGATGTATCAAAAGGACAAACTGTAGCACTGGTCGGTTCAAGTGGTTGTGGAAAGAGTACTATAATTCAATTAATACAACGATTCTATGATTGCGATACCGGAAATGTGGTCAGTATTTATTGTATATATATAGTGTTGTTTGATATTTTCAAAAACTAAAAATTAATATTTTTTTCGGTCAGATATTAGATAATAAAACTATATTTAGTCTTAATATTCCGTGGCTAAGAAGCAAATTGGGAATCGTATCACAAGAACCGGTACTTTTTGCTTATAGTATCGCTGAAAATATTGCTTATGGAGACAATAGTCGTGTTGTGCCAATGGATGAGATCGTTAGGGCCGCAGAAAAGGCTAATATTCATAATTTCATAAAATCTCTTCCAATGGGTTACGAGACACCAGTGGGTGATAAGGGAACACAACTTAGTGGTGGACAGAAACAGAGGATAGCCATCGCCAGAGCATTGATTAGAGATCCACAGATACTATTGCTGGACGAGGCTACCAGTGCTCTGGACTCGGAAAGTGAAAAAGTGGTACAACAGGCACTTGACGAGGCCAGAGAGGTATTAATAGTTTAATAATCTAATAGTTTTATAGAATATTAAATTGGATTTCAATTATATTTTAGGGCCGAACCTGTATAGTGATCGCACACCGACTCTCAACCATACAAAATGCCGACAAAATAGTTGTCATCAATAAAGGAAAGGTTGTCGAAGAGGGAACTCATCAACAATTGTTAGCCAAAAGGGGTGCTTATTATAAACTTTATAGCTTACAAAGTGCTTCAAATTAATACTTAAATATATATTTATATATTTAATAATTCAATATTTAAATGCATCAATTTTAATGTTATGTCAATTTTAATTGCTAAGTTAGCAATACTAACACTAATTGCTTATAATATACATTAATATAAATTTATTATAAAAATATATAAAAATTACATAATTTCAATAGTAAACAGAAATGAGATTAATATATATTATTGTATTATTACTTTATAATTATTATTTGTTGTCATCACTAAATAATGAATTAATTATTAATATAATATGTTAAATGTTTTCTAAAAATATATATTGTTTATATTGTAATAATTTTATTATAATGTTATTTTTTTAAATTGTTTATTTATTAATAAAGTATACAATAATTTAATATTTATTCATATAATTTATCAAGTTCTATTTTTAAATATATTAAAGTTAAATATTTTTATACTACATTAAATTACAGTATTTAAAATTATTTTTAAATATAAATTTACAATACATACTTGTATGTATGCATATGTATTATTATTATAAATTAAATTTATATATTATACAAATTAAAAAGCTTTAATATATATATGTATAATGCACGTGCATCTAATTAATTGCTGTAATAAATATTATTTTTTTTAAAAGTCATATACTAAATTAAAAAAATTTATTTCCATACCTAAAATGTTTTAATTTCATGAACACTCATTTGCATCATTAGCTATAAACATAAATAATTTTTTTTTTAAATATTCTAATAATATATAAGCTTTATATACAGTATATAAACTTTATATTATAAAGCTTATATATTATAGTTATAAGAATTATATATTAATATAACTATTATGTATTACATTAGATTTTGTAAAATATTTATTAATAGTTTGATTAATAAATTCTGTGTTTATATTTATATGTGTTTCTACCTGTAGTCTAGAATCTGGTAGTCAAGTAAACAATTGTTTTTCTATTATACAGTATATACAGTATATATTATATTTATACGTATTGATAAATATTTAATACTTTCATTTTGTTATTATTAGTTAATAATTTATAATCAATTGTACGATAACTGTGTGATAACTAAAAAAATACCATTACTAGAGAGCTATCGCCAGTCAATCAATAATATAATAATTGTTAAATAATAGTTTAATATCATTATCATTGCTAATTCAAAAAATCATAATAATTATTTTTTTTGTTAAAAAATGGTTTAATAAAATAAATAATATATTTTCTATTATTTGTTAAGTTTGTTTAATATATTTGTTGTTGTTAAATATTTAATATTACTGTTATATATATATATTATCATTATTTGTTAATAGTTTAAAATGTAAGTCATATTCATAAAACAATTATATTCCGATATAAAGGTCAGTAAAGTTTTATTTATTAAACATTAAAAATAATTTTTATATTTGTAAAAATGCATTTTAATTATAAAATTGATACAATTTTTAGGCTACTATTAAATGATTACTTAAATATGTTTGAACAATATTTTATTGACTTAACAAAGTTTAAAAATAATGATTATTTATTAACTTTTCAAATGATATTTTTAGTGTTATTTTCAATTATAAAATAAATAACAATTAATTAGTTGGGGTTTTTGTGTGTACATAATAATCATATTTTTCTATAGCTCTTCAAATTAATTTTATTAATTTTAATCATCTAATTAAATGTTAGTATAGTTATCGATTGATATATATATATATATATACAATATACTAACTGTAAATATAATAACTAATTATAATTTGGTTTTTACTAAAATTATTGTTTTTAATTATGTTTTATTAAATTTGAATATACTGTATATTAATATACAGTATAAGTTTATTGAAATAGATTATTATTGTTATTATTGATATAAAATATTATAATCATTTTTACAATAAAAAAATGTTTTTTTTTTTGTTGACGTCAACCCAATCTTATTTTATTTGTTTGACAAATTATTATTGACTATACAATACAGGTAATATGTATATATACCGTATATATATATACTGTACATAATAATATTAATAAATATGCATAAATATCAATATTTTCACTATAATTAGATAATATATCTATATATCTATAAATCGTAGAAATTATTATAAATATCTATTGAAATAATATGTTTTATTAACTTAACGATATGTTTAATATGGTTACTGATAGTAAATACGATAAAAAAACTCTTATTAAATAAACAGAATATTCTGCTATTAAGCAAAACAAAAATATTAATATATTGTATTAAAATAGTTGACATTGAAACGTTTATATAGTTTAATAATAATAACATTATACTATTGTAATAAAATTAAATAATTTTATTTATGACTACCATAAATGCTTTAAACCTTTTTTTAAGATTAAAATAATAATAAAAATACAATTTATAATTTAGTTATAGTTACAGTATAGTACATTGCGTAAAAATTTCATTATATGTAATAATATTAAATTTAATACCAATAATGATGATCACAATATAATAATAAAATTTATAATATTAATAAAATTATTACTGCAAATTTGATTATTATTATTACTATTATTACAAATAGTCAAAAGTACACATTTTTGGGAACAAATGGTTCCAGATGTCCCTAAAGTACTTATTATATCAAACAAATTAAACAAATTATAATTATTTATTATAATAAATATTGATATAATATCATCTAATATTAACTAAATGTACGTAACGTCATAAAAATAAAATAAAAGTGTTAGAGATTAGATAAATGTTAAAAACATTGTTAACTTTCTTATAATATATTAATAATATTAAGTTTTATAGATATAAATTATATATTATATAGAGTATTCATACTTGTATTTCAATATATATATATATATATACAGTATATATGATATATAATATAATGGTTTGCGCATAAAATTATTAAATACTATTAAATTATAAATAAAATGTTGATTAGTATTTATTTTTTCAACTCTTTGCACTTTTATTTAGTTTCAATTGTTTTGCACTAAAATTAAGTTATTTTGGTTCAGAATTTTATTATTATTATTATTATTATTACGACTACTAATACTATATTTTTGTTATAATACGAAACAAAAATGTTTTTTAAAAAAATTGTTACTATAATTGAATGCAATATTTATTTATTTTTGTGAACAAATTTCATTTTAAAATTAATACTGTATTTAATTATAGACCGGTATTAATATTATTATTATTTGTATAATAAGTTTTGCCCATTTATTAACACGTGTTTGTTAAATTTAAACAAATATAAAAAAAATTATGTTCAATCAAAAATATTTTATTTGTTAACACCTTGAGCACTTTTGTTATCATAATAAAATATATATATATATATAAATGTGCGCTAATTGTTGTGATTGCAAAATATTTACTAGTATTAATTTATATATTGTATGATATATATATAAATATATTTTCATATATAGATATATGTATATATATTTTTGATAATTTAAGGAGGTGATATCATATAATAAATTAATTAACACCTATAAAAAACACCATACGATTACTAGTAATAATAATAATAATAATAATATAATTTTATATAAAAAGCGATTTTATTTTTTTTAACACTTTGTATTTTGTCTGTAGTATTAAATGATAAGATTTTTTTGTGTTGTGTTTAACAAATAAAATGTTGAATATTTGAGACAAAACTATAAACTTTTTGTTTTGTTTGATTGTGATTTATATACATTTTTAACTTTACTATAACACTAATATTGATTACCACTAATACCCCCCAATACATAATAACATTACATTATATCAAATCAAGTGATACTACTGTACTGTAGTATTAAAAAAAATACATGTATTAGTAATTTCAATCATTTATTTCGTAAATCAATCGATTGATTGTTTTTTTTACTATTACTACTCGAGTTTCATAATAACTTTAATAATAAATAACTAACAAATATCTCAACAATTTAAAAAAAAAAGTTTTTTTTAAAACATCACATTTGATATCTTTTTTTTCTTATAAAAAAATTATTTGTTTGACAAAAAACAAGTGGTGATGACCAACAAAACTGATCGTACGATCAATAATAATGGTGTCAATAATAACACCGATAAAGACAAGACATCGTAAGTAAAGTATTACTGTATTATACAGTATATTGTCTTACAGTTGCTTACAGTTTTCAAGTGAGACATTAGTTAATTGTAAACTAATTAATTATTTATTTATTTATTGAAAAAATAACATTAATTTAGTAAAAAAGATGACAAAAGTGAGGACAAGGATGACAAGGAAGAGCCACAGCGACAACCGGTCGGTTTCTTTTCAATGGTCAGTATTTTATATAATAATTAATTTTTTTAATTAAATATTTTTCATAATTGTAATGATACATTAAAAAAAGTTATGTTTATCTGATTAATTAATTAATTAATTCAAGCATAATGGGATTATTATAGTTAATTAAATAATTTTTATATTTTAAAATTTTAAATAATAAATATTTTTGTATGTGTGTGTAGATATTGAATTATTTTTTCACATTTTTTATGATACAATTTACAATACATATTGCATGTACCACTGATATTATATTTTATCAAATTGTACTGTATATTAGCTAACAATTCATTGTATTGTATAATACAATAGTATTGCTTAATGTATATAATAAAAGATTAAATAGCATTACATTAGTTGATTAATTTGATAAATTAAAAAAAAAAATATTGCTATTATTGAAATAACAACATATTATTAGATTTTGATAATAATAATAATAAAATTGACAATTATTTTTAAAAAATAATAATTTTAATTGTTATCTCAAAAATATAGTTTGCCTACTCATCTGGTTTTGATAAACTACTTATACTAATCGGAACACTAGTATCCATAGCTATAGGAGCCGGACTGCCGGCACTGATGGTGTTTATGGGCGAACTGACCAACACTTTTGTTGTCTACGAATACTATAAGGGTATATCACTATTGGATCAGTTCATCAATACAACCTATTATGAGGAATATTTGGAACCGTTTGCCAAAAGCGGTGACTTTGCGACATATTTGCATAACTTGTTTACAGATTTTCCACAATTGCAACTAAATGTTATGCAAACTAGACTTAAATTAGATAACAAAACGTTTGCCGAAAGAGTCGATGAAACGGCCTTTCATGGGGACAGACAATATGTGGACGAATTTCTACACCAATCATTTGAATGGAGTTACTATATGTTGGGTATTGCCGGAGCTTTTCTAGTGGCCGGCTATATAATGGTGGCCACATTCAGTGCTGCGGCCAACCATCAGATTCATAAGATTAGGATATTGTTTTTCAAAGCCGTCTTAAGACAGGACATCACTTGGTATGACACGAAAACATCGGGAGATTTTGCCACAAAAGTGACGGCGTATGTGATATCAGTTTATGATTTAAAGAAAAATCTATTGATTTCAATGATTTCAGTTAATAATTAAGTTTTTTCCGCTACTTTTTTTAAATAGTGATTTGGATAAACTTCAAGAGGGAATTGGAGATAAGGTATAGATATATATATCTATTTTATAAGTAGTTATAATTATCAATATTTTAATTAATTAATTACCGGTAATTACTTTGAAGTTTGGTTAGACATTGTGTTACTAAGACATAAATTATTATATTTTAATTAACTAAAAAAATTGAGATAAAAGATTATTAATAACTAATATTTATTTATTATTATTATTATCTAAAATAATAGGTCGCTCTCTGTATATTCTCATTTTCAACCGTATTGTGTTCACTGGGAACTGCTTTTTATTACGGATGGGAACTAACATTAGTTATACTATCGGTTACACCAGTTTTGGTTATCTCTTTTAGTATCATTGCAAAAGTTAGTTATAATAATTAATATATATATATATATATATATATAAATTATTAATTTCTATTATTATTATTGTTATCACAATTAACAGATTCAGGCCCGGTATTCAACAACAGAATCCGATTCCTATGGAAAGGCCGGTGCTGTCGCTGAAGAAGTTTTGGGTGCCATTCGTACAGTCTATGCATTCGATGGCCAAAAGAAAGAAATCGAAAGATATGACCGAAATCTCGAGCCGGCAAAGAAAAGCGGAATCCGACGACAATTGTTTACAGCATTAGGTCTCGCAATGATGTGGTTATGTATTTATTGTAGTTATGCGCTGGCATTTTGGTACGGCGTCCGACTGTTTATCAGATCCATCAACGATCACAATAGTCTCTACGAGCCGAGCACTATATTGATAGTATTTTTTACAGTCCTAATGGGAACGTTTAGTATCGGTCAAACCACTCCCTATTTTGAGGCATTCGCTCAGGCAAGAGGTTCGGCGGCACTTATATTTGAAGTCATGAATAGAGTACCAGAAATTGATAGCAGTTCGCAAAGTGGAGAAAAAACTAAAGATTTTAAAGGACGGGTAGAACTGCGTAACGCACAGTTTACTTATCCGGCCAGACCTGATGTACAAGTCCTAAAAGGACTAAGTCTAGTGGCAGAGCCGGGAGAAACGGTAGCTCTGGTCGGTCCCAGTGGTTGCGGTAAAAGTACTGTCATTCAATTGATTCAACGATTTTACGATGTCAGTGATGGAGAAGTTTTGATTGATAATAAAAATATTAAAGACTTGAATGTCGGTTGGATTAGGGATCAAATTGGTGTCGTTGGTCAGGAACCGGTATTGTTTGGCTGTTCAATAGCTGAAAACATCAAACTTGGTTACAGTTCAGCAACTAATGATGATATCGAGTCGGCGGCAAATGATGCCAATGCTTATGACTTTATTATGCAATTGCCGCGAAAGTTTGAGACACTGGTGGGTGAGAGGGGTTCGCAATTATCTGGCGGACAGAAACAAAGGATAGCCATTGCCAGAGCTTTAGTTAGAAAACCAAAAATTCTTTTGTTGGATGAGTCGACCAGTGCTTTGGATAATCAAAGTGAGTCCATAGTTCAGGCGGCACTGGACAGGGCTAGTGTCGGACGAACCACTTTTATTGTAGCCCATAGATTAACAACCATAAGACATGCGGATAAAATAATTGCCATAAATGGCGGCAAAGTTGAAGAAGTGGGTACTCATGAGGAGTTGATGCAAAAAGAAGGACTATATTATAATTTAGTAAAAAGTCAACAAAGAATTAGTGAAGAACCCAATGATTTGGATAATGAAACTCAAACTAACGATTCAAAAGTCGAGAGACAACTGCTTTCGCGAGCGTTTAGTATCGAAAGCGACAAAAGTGACGGATCTTTGGCTTTCAGACGAAAATCAAGTGTCAGCCGTAAGAAACGGGACTCTCAATCGCCATCATTGATACGATTGTTTCAATTGTTAAAACCGGATAAATATCTTGTAATCATCGGCGCTTTGTCCGCATTCATAATGGGTCTCTCGATACCGGGTTTTTCGATAATTTTTGGCGAAATTTTAGGCACTCTTTCCAATCCAGACATCCAGAAGATCAAAGACGACGTACTATTGTATTCCATGTTATTCGTGGTAATGGGTATTGCCTCAGGATTTGCATCATTTTTTCAGGTATTTCTATATTTGAAATTTAATTAAATAACAAGTTTTTAATAATAATAATAATAATAATAATATTGATATTAGATTTATTTGTTTGGTATTACTGGTGAACGGCTAACAATGAGACTGAGAAAAACGGTATTCACGGCTATGTTAAAGCAAGAAATCGGTTGGTATGACATGCAAGAGAATAGTACCGGTGCTCTCTGTTCCCGACTATCATCGGATGCATCCAGTGTTCAAGGGGTTAGTTATTTTTTTAAGGAAATTATAGTTGAATTAAATTAATTTTAAAAAATAATAATATCAATCAATCAATGAATAGGCCGCCGGTTCACGTTTGTCTACCCTATGCCAAGCAGTATCGACACTGGGAGCCGGTGTTGTAATAGCATTGTATTATAGCTGGAAACTGGGTCTAGTAATCATTTGTTTCATACCATTGGTTATTATATCGACTTATTTTCAAATGAAGATCATCAGCGGTCAGGTGACCAAAGACAAGAAGACACGAGAAGAAGCTTCACGGGTCAGACACAAGATTTTTTTTATTTATAGACAATAATTGTTAAAATAAATTAAAATAATATTTTTTAATCAAACAGATTGCCGTCGAAGCTATCGGTAGTGTCCGCACCGTTGCATCGTTACATCAGGAGTCGGCATTCATAGCTAATTATCAAAATTCATTGCAAAAACAGTATAATAAATCGAAAATACGGGCCCATCTCAGGGGTATTACATTTGGTTTGGCCCAAAGTATGGGCAACTTTTCCTATGCCATTGCATTGCTTTACGGTAGTAAACTGATTGTCGACAATGAACTTACTTATGGAAATCTATTCAAGTAATAATAATAATAATAATAATTACCTAATAATTAGTTAATTACATAAAGAAAAATGTAAAATATTTTATTTTTTGTTGTTTAATAATAGGGGTGTCGAAGGAGTTATTTTCGGAACGGCAATGGTTGGACAGGCAGTCGGTTAGTTTAATGATTGATTTACCGATAAAAAACAATTATTTTATAAATAATATTATCGTAAATAACTAGCGTTTGCACCGGACTATCAAAAGGGCAGAATAGCGGCCGTTTATATTTTCAAACTATTGGACAGACTTCCCAAAATTATAGTCAACTCTTTAACTGGCGATAAACCGACAAAGTTTGAAGGAAATGTCAATTTTCAGGAATTGGAATTCAAATACCCGACCCGTCCCGACCAGAAAATTTTAAAAGGATTATCTTTCGATGTATCGAAAGGACAAACGGTAGCTCTGGTCGGTTCAAGTGGTTGTGGAAAGAGTACTATAATTCAATTAATACAACGGTTTTATGATACAGATGGTGGTGAAGTGGTAAGTATTTATAATTTTTCTAACTTACCGGTAAAAGCATAAAATTTATGATATTTTTTGAATCAGAAATTAGATAATAAAAATATAGTTAATCTCAACATTCCGTGGCTTAGAAGCAAATTGGGAATCGTATCACAAGAACCGGTACTTTTTGGTTACAGTATCGCTGAAAATATTGCTTATGGAGACAATAGTCGTGTTGTGCCAATGGATGAGATCGTTAGGGCCGCAGAAAAGGCTAATATTCATAGTTTTATCAAATCATTGCCAATGGGTTACGAGACACCAGTGGGTGATAAGGGAACACAACTGAGTGGTGGACAGAAACAGAGGATAGCCATCGCCAGAGCATTGATTAGAGATCCACAGATACTATTGCTGGACGAGGCTACCAGTGCTCTGGACTCTGAAAGTGAAAAAGTGGTACAACAGGCACTTGACGAGGCCAGAGAGGTATATTAATATTATTATATTATATAATATACTGTATAATTGAATTTTCATTAATATTTTAGGGCCGAACCTGTATAGTGATCGCACACCGACTCTCAACCATTCAAAATGCCGACAAAATAGTTGTCGTCAATAAAGGAAAGGTTGTCGAAGAGGGTACTCATCAACAATTGATATCCAAAAGGGGTGCTTATTATAAACTTTATAGTTTACAAAGTGCTACACTTTAACTTTCATTTACTTAAAAACCCTATTATTATTATTTTTTAATTATCATAAAACATCATTAAATTATTGATATATAAGTACTTTCATAATAGTTCGTCCATTTTTATTGCTTACAATTTCCATACATTAATTACCTAATAATATATTATATAAAAAAATATACGGTATATAAAACCACTTATTTTATGAACAAATATTTTTAATTATATAAAAAAATTATGTAAAAAATTATGCATAATATATAAAATTTGTCTAAAAAATATTGCTTTTTGTGATCCATTTGTATATAAAAAATACCTATTTTTTTTGTATAATTATCGTCTATTTTTTCATTTAAAAAAATACTTATCATTTAATTCTGTATTTTGACAATTGATTATTAAAATCTATTTTTTCAACTCTTTGTTCTTTAACTAATTTCTCTAAATGATGGCCAACATTGACCGCAGCGGCCAAATGCAGTTTTTCCGGTACATCCTTACAGAATAATTGTTTATTTAATAATAATAATAAATAAATAAATATTACCAGTAATTAAGGTATATATTAAACAAACAAAACAAAAATCAATAATACCTTATAAACAATTTTGACGATTTCCATTGGCGTCAACTCTTTGCCCAATTCGACCATCACATTGACGATCTGATCCTCTCGTTGTTGTCGATGAGCAATGTATTCGTTAATTTTGCCGATCGGTTCGTCAATCACTGGTCCGTGACCGGGATATATTACCGACGGTTTCAGTTCCAAAATAGTCTTCAGCGACTTTATATAACTGTAAAGATCTTCGAAAACAGCGGTTCCTTCGCCGAGTATACAGTCGCCGCTGAAAATAGCATTTTCTTGTTCCAATACAAGAATCATATGATCACCAGTGTGTCCGGGAGTGGCCACCACCCGCAGTGTTGCTCCGTCGGCCTCTAGCTTTTGGCCATCGGCTAAATAATTCAACTTAAATGATGACGACTGATATTGTCGGTCGTGCTCTTCGTCGCATATCTTATAGATTTTGCAATCTTTTCGATGCAATCAACCGATCAAAGAGATACCGAAAACTAGTGGTCATTTAAATAGCAAATGCCGATTGGATTTTATTTTATCATTGTTACCGCTATTACCGTTAAGCTTAAGTGTGCTCAGAATGTCGGCAACACCGCCGATATGGTCGTGATGCCAGTGAGTGACCACTATTTGCGACAAATTGATGCCATTGTCGTCGACGATAGTCTTCAAATTGGTCACATATTCGCCAACGTCGGCATCGCCGGTATCGATAAGTACTCGGTTGGGTCCGTTGCCGACCAAACTGTTGACAACAATAAAATATTAATATATTTATATAAATCAATTGGTCCACCAATTTGGTGATTAGGGATCAATTGTATGACAACAGTAACACTGACTAAGTATTGGTTCCCTGAAGTGTCATAACTCCGGGATTACAGCCGAGGATACGGATAATACGTGACGTCAGTTGCGATACTTTCGGTATAATTGCGGTCATAATTGTTGGCAATTAATGTGATTAATTGGCAGACGATTATTGATTAAATGTCTTGAAATAAAAAAAAGATCACCAAAAAACTGATCCTTATTTTTATTGATGTTTTTATTTATTTATTTTATTTGATAATCAAATCAATCATATGATCTATACTTCAATAATAATAATAATAATAATAACACAAACATTGCATAATAATTAAAATTCATTTCATTCACAAATAGCGTTACTTTATTTTCTGATGTTATAAACTGAACCCTTTTTTTCTATATTTATGCATTGATTTCAATGTATTAATATAAACCCCAATGACTTTTACCGGTCGTAACGATATATTTTGTTAACAAAAAAAAACTATTTTATGATTTACTTTATTATAAATAAATAGCGATTTAAATGACAATAACTTTATTAAGCGTTTGATGTCTTCATTGATGTCATCGATGTTACCATTGATGTTGTCGTCGTCTTCGTCTTCGGCGACAAAGTTTTCCGGCTTAAGACTACGGCACTTGTCATACAGTTTACGGTATTTATTATTAAATGACAAACCGATTGTCGCAACAAATTTACCGATAAGATGTTGTACGACAACTTCGAGGAAGACGACGACGAGTCCAGACAAGTGGTATTCGCTAAGAAACAAATTGGTTGACAACAATCATCGCCAAGACTTTGACGACAAAAGATATGAGACTTTGTGGTAAATACTGTATATTATATAAGACACTGTTTAGTTGACGATTAGTTTTTAATGGATTGTTGTTTTTTTGTGGTGAGGGATCAGGTCTTGGAATGTCATAACTGGTCTATTGGTTTGGTTGGGACTTATGGAGGACAACGAAGAGGATCCGTTGATTAAGATTATTAAGAATGGCTTACGATGTATGCATTTAGAGGAATACGAAAAAGCAGAACTAATACTGCATTCGGGTCTTCAAATGGCTCAAGACTTGCAGCACGAATCGGCAGAGATTTATATCTACGATGTTTTGGCCAACAATTACTTTATGAAAGGCGACTACAAAAGAGCCGAACCGTTGTTTGCCGTTGTCTTCAATAGACTTCTGGCAAAAGGTATGCCACCAAATGATGAGTCTTTAGTAGAGATATCCATCAAATTGTCGCACATTTACAGCAATTTAAGCGATTTTGACAAATCACAGATGGGTTTTGATTTTAGTCTAAGTGAACAATACCAGAGAGTCAAGAGTTTTGTGGCCAAAAGTGTCGACGAATTGGTCAGTGAAGAGATCAATTCATTGGCACTGTTGGGTATGTGTTACGACTATTATGCCAAACATTTGTCATCGATTGGCAACTTTGACAGTGCCATCGATACGTATAAGAAATCGTTGGATATCTGTATCAAAGTTAATGGTCGAACACATCCCCAGACACTGGTTTTGTTGAACGATATGTCGGCAACTTATGTCCATAAAAAAGACTTTGCAAACGCTGTGATATGTTTGAAGAGAGCTATTGAGGGCGCCATCGAAACAGATGACGAAAATTTAGCCAAATATTATCTGAATATTGGATCCGTTTATTTACTTCAGCTTAACAAAGAATTGGCTCTTAAGTGGTGCCAGAGATCGCTATCAACGACACTCACCTCTAAAAACAAACCCATTGAAGACAAGGCTCGCAAATGTTTGACTGAAGCCACCGGTCTTTAAACTGTTTGATAATTTAATTTATTGTTATTTTTAGTGATAGACTATATTAATGATAATTTATTAATTTTGTAGAAACTATTATAATGTTATTTATTTAGAAAATAAGTATTTTAGTATTTTATTTAATATTACCGTAAATTATTTTATAATAAGTTATATAAACAAATGTAATGTTAATTGTTATTATATTGTAGTTTAATTTCATAAGCAATTTATCTTTTAAAAATATTTGTAACATTATGTCAATATTAATATATGATTTATTTGACAATTTTTTTTGTGAGAAAAATATGATATAAATTAAATAAATTATAAATCAAAATCAAAAGTCAATATTTTACTGTATAATCAAATTTATCAATTTATAAGCAAATATTTTATTTATTTTTTTAGATACTATATAATAATTTAATTTATATATTTGTTTTAGATTTAAATATTTATATTACTAATACATTGCACTGTATTTCTATACTATAGTATAAATTAATTACAATTATTTTTTAAAAATAACATTAACATTGATAATAGTCTATTATTACCCTATTATTAAACTCTAAATTTCCTTTAAGTATTTTATTTCTATAATAATTTATTTATAATTATTATTAAATAATTACTACCGTATATACAGTATATCAACAAACCAATCAACAAAAAAATACAACTAAATTAATTTATTACTATTAATAGTGATAAACAACATGAATATCAGATTACCAAAAAAATGATAATAATATTTAATAATTTTAAATGCATAGAGTGTTTGAACTTCACTATCATTATATTATAGATAATTTTATTTTAATAAAATGATTTGACAGTAGTTTTTATTTTATTAGTTGATGTCTTTTATTGATTGGTATGCAAAGTCCGTTAATACTGTATATTAAATTAATAGTTAGTGAAAAAAATTAAATAATATATTTATCGACAATAAATATATACAAATTTTGTAGTATAACATACGTTTAAGTTTTTTTTTCTTAAATATAAAAGTTTTTATTCAATTAAAAAAACTAACTTTGATTTATAGAAACAAACCGTATATATAGTAAATAGTTTTATTTAGTATAATCTAGAAAAATAATTATATATATATATTATATAATTTGTTTTCTAATTAAAAAATTAATTTATGTGTTCCTAAATAATGGGTGATAATAATAAAGGGAAAAGTTATGTGCAATCGTCATCAGCAGCAGTAGATGATGATGACAATGATTATTATGACACCACATGCGGTATCGGCAATTGGCGGCCACAATGGCTGCAACAGTTTGCGACACCCAAATCGTTTGTCATTAACTTTTCGATTGTAGCCATACTTCAAGGGGCCTACTTTACATACCTGATCGGATCCATATCGACACTGGAAAAACGTTTTGCTTTCGATAGCAAGATATCCGGTTTCATAATGATTGCCGACAATATTAGCCAAATGTTTATCAGTCCTATTATCGGCTATCTGGGTGCCAAATATAACCGATCTCGTTTGATAGCCTCCGGCGAACTAATAGTTGCCATGGCCTGTATGCTTACAACACTACCCTATTTTATCTATGGTCCCGGACTACATCTACTGTCCAATACTAATGTTATGTCAAATACTACACAACACGAAGTTTGTTCGGCAGATAATTCCGAGCCCGAGTGTACAGCTGATGGTGGCGGCGGTCATAATACAGATTTACCGGCAGTTATCATACTATGGTTATCAAGTTTTGCCAATGGTTTGGGTTATACAGCTTTCTATACGATTGGTTTGCCCTATATTGATGATAATGTTCAAAAGAAAAATTCACCATTATATATAAGTTAGTAATAATTAAAAAATAATTAATATTTATAAAAAAAATAAATATACAGTATATAAATATTATATATGTATAAAATTTTTTAGGTACAACTGCAACACTTAGACTATGTGGACCGGCTCTGGGCTTTTTACTAAGTTCTATATCCCTGGCCTCATATGAGGATCCATTTTGTGAGTCCATATTATTACCTACTTTTATAATAATTATTTTTTATTTTATATAATATTATAAACAGATGATCCTCATATAAAACGCAATGATCCTCGATGGGTATGTATTGAATTTTTAAATATATATATATATATATATGATTTTGAATTTAAAAAATAACAATATCTAATTTTTGTAGGTAGGTGCTTGGTGGTTGGGTTTTCTAGTACTGGGAATTGCAATATCAATTTTTTCGCTACCAATGTTTATATTTCCAAAACGATTTAAAAATAGTAAATCAATAAAATTGCCAAAAATTAGTGAAGCTATTGATACTAATCCGGCGGCTGATCTCAATCCTACCGATGGATTTGTTGAGATCAGAGTCAATGATGACTTAGAGGATGGTAATGATAACCAAACAGTTGATAATCAGCTAACAAAAGTCACCAATGATAGCAAAATGACAAGTATTTTTTTAGTGTTAAACTTTTTTTAATATTTTAATTTAATTTATTTTTTAATTTTTTTGTTGAATACAGTTATAAGCGGAGCATTGAAACGGCTGTTCATAAATCCGGTCTTAATATTTCACGCTTTGGCCGGAATTTTCCGGATATTCGGTTATTTCGGGTTTTTTATGTTCAAACCCAAGTATATGGAACTTCAATACAGACAGTCAGCTTCGGGGGCCAGTTTTTTTACCGGTATTTTTTTTGTTATTGTTGAAATAATAACTACAATTTTTTTTTGTTTAAAATTATTATTTCCTAATCTAATCGATAGGCTCTACAAGTGTCCTAACAATGGCCGTCGGAATAATGGGCGGCGGAATAATTCTCAGACAATTTAAACCCAAAGCCCGATCACTTGTGCTGTTTATGTTTGTCGTCGAACTGATAGCCAGTTGTCTGATGTTTTCGGGTATATTTTTAGGCTGTCCTCCGCCTAACTTTCCACACACAACTATGATCGGCAACCGGTATTTAAAGATAAAAACAAATTATTTTTAATAAACAAAATTATATTAATATACATATTATAAATCTTTTTTAAACCTTTAAAACTAATGGTTTAGTATGAGTCTTGATTCACCCGATTTGTGTAACTCTGGCTGCGGGTGCTCTAATCGTGTCTATCAACCCATTTGTTCATCCGATGGTCTCAATACCTACTTTTCTCCGTGTTATGCCGGATGCAAATCAGTAGACATCACTACTGATCCAATTGTATGATTGCAATGTTGATTGCAATTTTAAAAATCAATATATAATACTTATTTCTTCTACTTTTTTTACAGACATTTGGTGATTGCAATTGTGTCCAAAATTCACTGACAAACACAGCAACAACCGGCTATTGTCCCAGAGATTGTAATCTGTTTCCCGTATTTATAATACTATTAAGTTTAGGCAGTTTAATATCTTCGACGGCCCGCACGGGTAATACATTGATTACACTCAGGTATTACAACAACAACAAAACAAATAAAAATAACTGTATTTTTTAAATATCTGTAATTTTTTTTGTTAATTAAGATGTGTTGACCCACAGGACAAAAGTTTTGCAATGGGAATAATCGGTAGTTTTTTCGCAGTTTTCGGTAATTTTATTGATTTATTTTTTTTCATTTTCATTTCATATAAAGGCATATTTAAAAAAAAAATGTTTAATAATAATTATAATAATTATTTGTTTGTTTACAATTTCAAAGCCTACATTCCTTTCCCATTGATATTTGGATCCATAACTGATTCCACATGTCTTGTATGGGAAGAATCTTGTGGTAAGTTTTAAATATAAATTAATTTTTTAAGAAAAAAATAGTATTCAAGTATTTCTATTTTATTTATTGTATGCATTAATGGCATAATGTATGAAAATTTATAAAAAATATATGAAAAAATACTATATATTTCATAGAAATTTTATTATTATTAATTAAAGTGCTAAAATGTCAAATCAATTAAAAATATGCTTAAAATTATATATATATTTTATACAACAATTTTTTTAGGTAAAACTGGTAACTGTTGGCTCTATGATATCGACAAGTTTAGAGTATACTTACATTCAGCCGCTTTTGGATTCATGTTATTGGGATCACTGTTTGATATCGGAATCATTGTATACTCCGATAGATTGAAGAATCTATTGGATGATGAAGAAGAAGATGAAGATAATGATAACAACAGTGGTAAAGATGTGGCCATCAATAATGAGATACAGTTGGTAGAGAAAACAGGTAGAGATGATCAACAAAATGGCAATAATATAGATATTGATTGAATCAAAGTATCAAATTTTATGCCATATTTATGTTTTTCAATATAAAAATTATTTATTTTTTTCAAAAAATAGATTTTTAAATAATATTCATTATCATATTTTTATTTTAGTATAATGACATATTAATTTAATTAATACAAATATCATTATTGTTATTACTAAAATTACAAAAATAAAAATTAATATAAAAATCATAAAAAATACTGGTTGTGCGCAATTAAATTATTTTTTTTATCATATATCCATATGCAATTATAATTATATATATATAATTATATAATTATAATTAAAATGATTATGATAGATAATTTTGAAAAAAATAAATATTAATTAATGAAAATTTTGATTTTACGAAACACTCCATAATTGTTGATCCAATTAGTTGGGAGGTTAGGGTGGGGGGAGAATGGAGGCTAATGACGTCCAACAATGGGACAGTTTTTACAAAATCTACAAATACAATGACTATTTGGACATCGATGATCATCTATATAAATATATTTATATATATATTTGTTGAATATATTATAAATATATAATACATTAATTAAAATACAGTATAAGATGCATATACAGGATATATATTAAATATATTAAATACTACAAAATAATTATTACTCATTTCAGAAATATTTATATATATATATATATATATATATATATATATATAAACAAAATTAAGTTTAAAAATACCGGTCGCCGGGCTGTTGAGGCCGTGGTTACGGCAGCGCTGACATTGGCCGCCGCCGTAGTTATGACCACCGCCGCCACCGCAACCATACTTGTTGTTGTTATTATTGTTTCTGTCGTCACCGCCACCGCCACTTCCATAGGCAAACCTATGGCCAGTATTTGCACTTTTCGATGATTTGAATACCATATTTGCTATATATATATATATTTAATAAACCTTTTTAGATAAATTGTTTGATCGAAAGAAAAGTTATGTTTGTCTATATGTTTAGTTTATCCAAACCTTTATATATGATTTTGTATTGAATTTAAAAAAAAAAAATATTTTTAATTTTAAATATAAATATTTTGGTATAAAATTTCATTAGAAATCACGTATATTTCTATGTGTAAAGTAATACTTAAATCTATTGACATTTGACTTTAGGGTAATCAAAATTTTAAGAAATATAATATTAGATATTACTGTACAGTAAATTAATGGGTTATGTTTAAAGTACAATAATTTTATGATTTATGATTATTTTTCAAAAAAATGCATTTTTATACTCTATATAATTATTATTAATAATTTAATTTTTTTTAGTCAATGATTTTTAAAAAAATTTTTTAGTTGATTTAATTGATACCAACATTTGGTTGTTTGAAAAATTATCTGTAATTTCTTTGTTTTTTTAAATATAAATATATTATTTAAGATTTGTTGATTTACAGTACAAAAGATTTTCAATGAAAATAATCGACAGTTTTCGGTAATTTTATTAATTTATTGATACAAAAAAAAATATATAATATAAAGTCATTAATAAAAGAAAAATGTTAATATTTTTTTGTGTTTTGTTTACAATTTCAAAGCCTACATACCTTTCCCATTGATATTTGGATCCATAACTGATTCCACTTGTCTTCTATGGGAAGTATCTTGTGGTAAGTTTTAGTAATAAATTTAAATCTTAAGGAATAATAAATAGTATTCAAATATTTTATATTATTTATTAAAACATAACATTTAGCGTAAAGCCATAATGTATAAAACTTTTTTAAAAAAATATTTACTATATTTAATAGAAATTTTAATATTATTATTATTGCTAATTACAGTAATAGTTAATTTTAAAAATATATTTTTTAATTGTATACCAAATTATTTTTTAGGTAAAACTAGTAACTGTTTTCGCCTATGATATCGACAAGTTTAGAGTATACTTACATTCAGCCGCTTTTGGATTCATGTTATTGGGATCACTGTTTGATATCGGAGTCATTGTATACTCAAATAGATTGAGGAATCTATTGGATGATGAAGAAGAAGATGAAGATAATGACAAAAACGGTGGTAAAGATGTGGTCACCAATAATAAGATACAATTGGTAGAGAAAACAGATAGAGTTGGTCAACAAAAATGACAATAATATAAATATTGATTGAATCAAAGTTCCCACAGAATTGATATATTTTTTCAATATAAATATTATTATTTTTTTCAAAACTACAAAAAATACATTTTTATAATTTTCAATTTCATATTTTTATTTTGTTTAATGACTAATTTAATATTTTGTCAATAAAAATAGTAACTTATTTTACTGTATTATTAAATTACAAATTATATAAAAAAATATGATATATATAAAATACTTGTGCGCAAATTAATTATAATTTCAAGTGAAAATTATTATTTAAAAAAAAAATCCATATGTAATTTTAATTGTATATGTAATAAATAAAATTAAATTTTTAAAAAATGATTATCATAGGTAATTAAAATAAATACTAATTAAATGAAAATTTTGATTTGTCAAAACTCATAATAATTGTTGGACCAATTAGTTGGGAGGCGTGAGTGGATGGGAGGGGGTGATGGCTAATAGCGTCCAATAACGGGACAATTTTTGCATAAATGACACAAACAATGTCTGTATGCACATTGATGGTTATCTATATATAATATACAGTAAAAATATGCATAAAAATTATTTATATATAATTTTAATTAAAATCTGTTTAATAATATAAACTTTATATATATACTTTAAACTAATTAATTACATAAATATTTCATTGAAGACAAAAACAAACATTTTTAATTTAAAAAAAATTAATTTGAAATTACCGGCAGCCTGTCTATAGAGCCCATGGTTTCGGCATCGCTGACATTGACCGCCACCGTAGTTACCGCCACCGCAACCATAGTTTTTGTTGTTATTTTTGTTGTTTTTGTCATCACCTCCTCCGCCGCCGCCACTGCCGTAGGCAAACCTATGGCTATTGTTTGCATTTTTCGATGACTTAAATACCATATTTGCAATATATTTCAATTAATAACCCTTTTCTTAATAAACACTTTACTTTTGAAAAAGTTATGTATAGTATGTGTTTAGTGTATCTCAACCAACGTTTATATATGATTTTGTTTTGCATTTTGTTTTTATTTTCTAAATATATATATATATATGTTAAGTATTTTTCAAAAATCAGTGGTTAGTTATGTCATACTATCATAATATTAATACTGTATAATAGAAAGTTAAATATATTTTTGTTTTTGGTCTAAAAATTTTCTTTAAAATCACACGTATTTCGTAAATGTAATTCAATACTAATGCATAACTTGTTTGACATTTGACTTTTTTAGGTAATAAAAAGCAATTTATAGATAAAATTAAAACTGTGATGATTTTGTGTTGAAATGTAAATTGTATTGAATTGCATTATTAAACAAAATTTCATAATTTTTGTTGTTGTTGTTGTAAGTTATTTGTTATTGAATATATTCAATAGATAATAATAATAATAATAAAATTAAGATAAATCAAAAAATTGTTTTAAAATGCTACACCCTTTCAAAAAAATTATATAATATTACAATAAATTAATGGGTTATGTTTAAAGTACAGTAATTTTCAAAAAATACATTATTATTATTGAAATCTAATACAGTACTAATTTAATGTTCAATTATATATTAATATTTTCAATGTCAACTTTTAATACATTAAAAAATTAGTTTTAAAATTTGTGTTGCTGCTTAAAATAAATAAATAATCATCAAGATAATATTAGATAATTACTGGATAATAAATTATTTGTATTTATTTTTTCTAACAATTTTGGTTTTATCAGGTATTAACTAATATTTTATTTTAATTATAAATATAGTTTAATTATTATTGTCGGATAAAAACAATAATTGAATTAATTTTTGTATTCATTTTTTTAAGACAATCAATTTTTGATAACAAATAAATTGTTTGAAATTATTTATTTGAATCGTCGATAAAAACCAGCATTTAGTTATTAAAAAAATGTGCCAAAAAAATCAAATATAAGTGTGTAATATCTAATAGCTAATTACTTCAATGATATAAAATTTGTATATATTATATAAACTATTATCAAATTAATTTTTCTTATATTTCTTCATTCAGATGCAATAAAATAAATAATTTAATAAAATAATATAAACAATATTTATTTAATTTAATTTGTTATAAATACAGTAATTTATTTATAATATAAATAAATGAATTTTATTTAATATATATTGATTTATATACAGTATATTTGAATTAAATCTGTTTTAGAAGTTAGAAACATAACTTTTCTAATCGATTGATTGTAAATTAATGATAAATATTAGATTAATTTATTAGTTTTTAAAAAAATAAATATATCATGTTTTTCACATTAACACTATCAATAAATATTAAGTTATTTGAGGAAAAAAGTAAAAATTTATATAAAATAAACAGACAATTGTATAATAAAACATTGTGTTTGTTAATTATAACTTTTTTTTATTAAATAAAATAAAATTTATTTTTAATTGCTTATGGATGCAAATAAATAAATTATTTTTTTGTTACTGTGGTTAAACTTTGGATGACTTTTTTTTTGCTTGAATGATAATTATTAAATTTGATTTTTATTTACCCGTAATAAATATAATCATATTTTTTTAAAAACTATAATAATAATAAATAAATGGATGATAATGATAATACTAGAGAAGGAGGAAGTGATTTGCAGCCATCATCATCAGCTGATGATGAGGACATGGATTGGGAGACCAGTTGCGGTATCGGTAATTGGCGGCCAAAATGGTTGCAACGATTTGCTTCAACCAAATGGTTTTTGATTGTCTTCTCGATTGTGGCTATACTTCAGGGCGGATACTTTACATACCTTATCGGATGCATATCGACACTTGAAAAACGTTTTGCATTTGAAAGCAAAATATCCGGTTTCATACTAATTGCCGATAATTTAAGTCAAATGGTTGTCAGTCCTATTATCGGATACCTGGGCGGCAAATACAATCGTTCGCGTTTGATAGCTGCCGGCAATCTAATAGTAGCCCTGTCCTGTCTGATGAATGTAGTTCCCTATATGATGTACGGTCCAGGTTTGCATCTACTGTCCAATACTAATAGTATATCAAATACTACACAACAACACGAAGTTTGTTCAGACGATAATCTAGACCCGGACTGTTCAGCTGGCAATCAAAATACGGTTATGTCGGCCGTTATCATACTATGGTTGGCTAGTTTTGCCAATGGTTTAGGTTATACTGCTTTCTATACGATTGGTTTGCCATATATTGATGATAATGTCCAGAAAAAGAACTCTCCAATGTATTTAAGTTAGTGAAACAAAAAATTTATTTAAAAAAAAATATTTTATATCTTAAAAAATATTTTTTTTAAGGTACAACCGCAACACTTAGACTATGTGGTCCGACACTGGGATTTTTGCTTAGCTCCATATCCCTGGCCATGTATGAGGATCCGTTTTGTAAGCTTTTAAAAATTATTAATTAATTAATCAATATTATAGTAATTTAAAAAAAAATAATTTTATGTATAATATAACAGATGATCCAAAAATTAGTCGAAATGATCCTCGATGGGTATAAATTGATTTTTTAAAATTTTTTAAATAAGTATATAATTAGATAATATTTAATTTGTTTTTAGATAGGTGCTTGGTGGGTCGGTTTTCTAGTACTAGGAGTATTGATATTAATTTTTACGATACCAATGTTTTTATTTCCTAAACGATTTAAAATTCATACTAAAAAATCAAATTCAAATGTTAATAATAAATCAATAGAAATCAATAATAAAACAGATGATCAACAAACCATTAGTGAAAAGAAAAGTTAGTTTAAAGTTATCTTTTTTTTAAAAAAATAATATAAAAACTAATTTATAATAACAAACAAAACTAATTAATTCTAATTAAAATAGATTTAATTATACAGAAATTGTTTGCAATTTTTTAAAAATTTAATTATATATTATATATTATTTTTTAAAAATAGATGTCAAACTGGCATTGAAACGATTGGCCAAAAATCCGATTCTAATATTTCACGCTTTGACCGGAATTTTCCGAATATTCGGATATCTCGGGTATTATATATTTAAGCCAAAGTATATGGAATTACAATACAGACAGTCAGCTTCGGGCGCCAGCTTTTTCACCGGTAATTATCGGACGGGAAAAAATCATAATATAATTGAAATTTAAAAAGTTTTTAATTACGGGGTTTTTAAGGCTCAACAAGTGTACTAATAATGGCTGTCGGCATAATGGGCGGCGGACTATTGCTGACATATTTTAGACCCAAAACTAGACCACTGGTGCTTATTATGTTTGTGGTCGAACTGGTGGCCAGTTGTATGATTTTTTCGGGTATATTTTTAGGCTGTCCTGCACCTCAATTTCCAACATCAACTATTGTAGGCAACAGGTACTTGAAAACAAAATAAATTATTTTTAATATTTATATAATTTTTTAAAATTTTTATTTAATTTTTTAATTATTAGTATGATTCTTGATTCACCCGATTTGTGTAACCATGACTGCGGGTGCTCTACGCGTGTCTATCAACCGATTTGTTCATCCGATGGTCTCAATGCCTACTTTTCTCCGTGTTATGCCGGATGCAAAACAGTAGACACAACTACTGATCCAATTGTATGATTGAATTTGATTACAATTATACAAAAAAAAAACAAAATATAATCAATATCTTTCATAATTAAGACATACGGCGATTGCAATTGTATCCGAAATACATTGTCAAATACAGCCACATCGGGCTATTGTCCGACCGATTGCAATCAGTTTCCCTTATTTATAATACTACTAACAATGGCCAGTTTGTGTTCATCAACTATACGCACCGGTAACACACTTATCACACTCAGGTATGTTAATAGATATATTTAGATATAAAAAAAGATAAATTTTAAAGTAAACCTAATTTTTACTTTATATATAAATATTATTTTTATTTTTTTAATAGATGTGTTGACCCACAGGACAAAAGTTTTGCGATGGGAATTATCGGCAGTTTTTTTGCAGTTTTCGGTAATTTTTTGAGTTGTTGTTGAAAAAAATTATTAATTTTTTTTTGTCTGAAATTATTACAAACTTATGAGAGAAGATTTTCTATTATTATTTATGTTATTTATTTATTTATATTTATAATAATCATAATTATTTTTTTTCATTAAATATATAATAAGCTTTTATTCCCTATCCGTTAATATTTGGAGCCATAATTGATTCTACATGTCTTGTATGGGAAGAATCTTGTGGTAAGTGTTTAGCAAAAATAAAAATTACAATTTAATTATCAATAATATTTATAAATAAAAGATTTTTATTAGTTACTTATGTTTTTCAAAATATAAATTTTTGAACACTAAATATAACTAAAAGTAATCGCAATAATAATAATTTCGTTAATATAATGGAAATAAATATCAAAATAGTTTTTAATAAACTTTTTATTTTATTTTTAGGTAAAACTGGTAACTGTTGGCTCTATGATATCGACAAGTTTAGAGTATACTTACATTCAGCCGCTTTTGGATTCATGTTATTGGGATCACTGTTTGATATCGGAGTCATTGTATACTCAGATAGACTAAAGAATCTATTGGATGATGAAGAAGAAGATGAAGATAATGATGACAAAAACGGTGGTAAAGGTGTTGTTATCAATAATGAGATACAATTGGTAGATCAAACCGGCAGAGATGGTCAAAACAAAAATGGCAATAATTAACAAATTAGCAGTTATTATAAATTAATTGAATCGGAAAAAATTGTAGAAAAATATGATTGAATTTGATTATTAAAAATCTATTATTATTATTTTTTTTGTTTATCTTCTACTAAATAAATATATATAAACATTTTTATACATAATTTTTTTTTAATTATTTTTTATCGACTTAAAAACTAATCATTAGACAATTTTTTTCAAAATATGTTATATATCAATATATATATATACAGTATATATATAAACTGATAATTTAATGTCAAGTTATAAAATTATTTATATTATTATCTATATAATGATAATTACCGGTAATAATACATATAAACACAACTTTAATGATATGTTTTTAATTTTAAAAAAATGTTTTCAATTTTATTATGTTATTTCTGCTACTGTATATAAAAACATGTTTAACTTTTATACTAAAAAAATTAAAATATACTTTCAAATAATTTTTTTAAGTACCGACACACAAATAAATGTTTTTGCAAACATTACATTAATTAATGTAAAATTACATCAATGAGTCTTTTTTAAATGATTTATATATAAGTATATATTCAACAAATTATGATAATTTTTGAAAAAATCATTTAATATATTAATCGCTAAATGATTCAATTATTTTATACATACAAAAAATCAATGTAAACAACAACAAAATTTTTTTGTTTATGAATGATTAACTTTTTAATGATAAGGTATTATTATTATTATGTAAATATATATATATATTACAATTATATAAAAATTGCAAATAGTAATTGATAATAAAAATTACAACAAAATATTTTCAAATTATATTGTAAATATATATATATAGTTTTTTGTTTTGTTTATATTAAATGATTTTTTTTGTTTGGTTGTTTGAAAGATATATAACTCATATCTACATGCTTTTTGATACAATACATATGAGTTTTTAATTTTTATGTCTAAATTACATTTATATATTATTTATACTTATTTTTTGGGAAATTAGACGACAAAGAAAAAACAGTATTCAATACATTAATTTAATTATTTTTTATAAAATAAAATTAAAAATTGAGACACCGTTGTGTTGTGTAACTTAATAATAATAATAATAAGTATATAATAAATTAAAATAGCAATTATATCGCACATATACAGTATATATAACTATTAAATATTTAGTATTTTAATTAAATATTAGTTAGAAGTAGTAGTAGTTATTTACAAAATATTTTTGTTGCAATAATTTAGGTGTAGTTTATTTTATTATTGCTTATTTAGCGCCTTTTTTATATAGAAAAAAAACTAAAAAATCATATATCTATTACTATTATGTCATAGATTTCTTAAATTATATATATTTTGCGATAATAATCATAAATGATTTTTTACTAATAATTAAAAGAAAACATATGGAGATAAAGAGAGATATAGTCTAAACATATAAATATATTATTATAATTATTATTATACTTTGAACTTTTCGGGAGAAAAAAAATAATTATAGAAAATCATTAGAAACACTACTAATTGATGTCAAAAAAAATTAACATATATTGTAATTAATGATAAGTTAGCTCAAGTTTAAACTAATGGGTAACGTTTCAAATGTAAATCTAGATGTAGGACATATCCGATGAGCGGCTGCCACTGCCTCCAACTCGTTGGCCAGTGCTATGGCACTGCTGCTGTCCACGAGTGTAGTGGACACTCGCTTCTTGTGGTGAGTCATCGAATGAGACTCTTTTGATGAATGATCGCCGGGACCGCCGCCGCCAGGTTTCGGTTGGCTTAGGATGACATCACAATTATTGGCATCGCATTTGATAAATTGTGTCGAATCTTCTTCTTCATCTCCTGTACTGCTGGAACTGGTATTCAATGAGTGTGCCGGTGCTGTAGTATTATGTTTGCTTCGGTAGTGTTTGGATAGATTCGAAGACTGGGAAAACTTTTCGCCACAATCCGGATATTCGCATACATAGGGCTTATGGCCAATACTGGACAACAACAACAACAACAGAGCAATCATTTAATAATGATATAAATCAATTGCTAATTGAGTTAACACTTACTGAGTTAGGAAATGTTTATTTAGATTACAGCTCTGATCAAATTGTTTGCCGCAACCGTTAAAATGACATTTGAATGGCTTTTCGCCTAATTAATGGTAGGAAAATAATAGACACAATATATTACCGTAATATAAATTATTTAAAAAAAACGTATTAATTAATTGCTAATAAAACAATTACCAGAGTGTACTAATTTATGTTTCTTTAAATTGCTTGATTGCGAAAACTTTTTCGTACATTGAGGGAAGTCACAGACATACGGTTTTTCACCTGAAATTAGAAAAATTGAATGATTAGCCACCAAATGATAATCAATTAGATGATAATAATATAATTTATTAAACACGTGTCCTAACCGGTGTGCACGAGTCGATGTTTGTTAAGATTAGACGATTGTTTAAATCGCTTTTCACAGTCCGGCCAATTGCACCGAAATGGTCGCTCATTACTAATAAACAATTTATCAATCAATTAATCAAATGGATGGACACTTCGGGGCGGTGTGTGTGTGTGTGTGTCTGTGTTACGTACGTATGGGTTAAGTAATGTTTGTTGAGATTAGATGACTGTGTAAACCACATCCCACACTGTGGCCAATCGCAAGCAAACGGACGATCGCCTAAAATCGGAGGACGAGAAATAAAATCATAACGTTAGCCAATCATGTGAGTGAGTGGTCATACCTTTTGATTGGCCGCCACTACTACTACCACCGCCGACACCTCCAATAATACCGTGAGCGGCAATCGTCAACTCAATATTATGATTATTATTAATATTATTATTAATAATATTACCTGAATGTGTCAATAGATGTTTGTTTAGATTACAGCTATAGATAATAATAACAATCATATAAAACATTAATTATCAGATCTATTGGATCAGTCAGTCATATATAATGTTTAAATGGGACATACCTTTGGCTAAATTTTCGGTCGCAACCCATCCAATCGCATAGAAATACTTGTCCACTCTTGTCAAACTTTCGCGGCCGTCCCCGACCTCGGCGCGGGTCAACCATATTGAGCGTCATATCCGTGTGTATGGTGTGTGTGTGTGTCCGCTATGCGCACCCGTATCCCAATGTGCGGCCAATCCCTTTCAACTTTTGTTATCGTTGTCGTCAATATGCCAATGGTTATGGACTACCAGTGCTTGATATGGAAATGGCGGCCGAAAGATATGTCTATTATTTATATTATTATTATTTTTTTGAGTAAAAGAGAGGTCTAACTGAAACATATATACAGAGAAAACTCAATAATAATAATAACAATAATCATAGAGTAATAACAATAATCATATATTTTAATTGTTTTGTTGCTATGGCTGTAAGTGACTCTATTCGAGTAGTTTGTTGACTAAACTATTGGTATTAATATAGTCAATGTTCTATAGAATTTACTATTGAATTGTATTTTTGGATCTAAATTATATACTGTAGAGAGTTTGCGCATTTCGACTGAATTCATGTTTTATGCCATTTATTTTGATGATTCGAAAAAGCAATTTAATGTTTATTGTTATTGCCTTCCAGTTTCAGTCTATAGTATACTATAGTATAGTATTAGACTGTATTGAGAGAGAGAGAGAGACTCAATGTGCACAACATTATACTGCATTCAATGCATTATAGCATACAATACATAGCATATACTGTGTATATATATACAAGACTGTTGTGTTGTTATTTTAATACACATATAGTTATAGACTTACACACTGTCCAGTGTTTTACCCGTAAAATCTAATAAAAATTAGTTGTTTTTTTTTTAATTATAAATTAATATAATAATTGATTTTTTGTTGTTGTTATGGATTAATATGCTATTATAATTAAATAATTAATAAAAAAAATTAGAGTAGTATTAGTTTATTTATGTTTAGTTTAACTATAACTAATAATAAGTTTTTTTATTAAGATAATAAATAACTTTACTTATAATTAAATATTATTAATAATAATAATTCAATTACATAGATATTACATTAACTTTTTTTAACCAGAAAAATTAACAATTTTATTTTATAAACTTTATAAAAATAAATATTAATTATGAATTTTTCTGCTATTTTTGTTGTTATTTTGTTGGATGAATGTCAATGTAATTAATATCAAACAAGTAGTTTACAGTATATTTATGTATATATTATGGCAACTCTAATAACAGGCAATCCAGCGTTCAATACATTGACTCTCAACAGCAAAAAAATAATATAACATAAACTTTATTACGATATTTGAGACCAATTTATGTGTTCATCTCTCATATAATATATATATATATATATATAAATATTTTCATAAAAATAAGTATATGTTTGCATTGAATCTGGGATTTGCTTATATTTTTTTTTATTGGGTATACATTTTTCTAACACAATTCCTATATAACTAGTAGTTTAGAGTATAAAATATTTTTTTTTCAAAAGTTATAATTATTATAATAATAATAATACAGTATTAGCTATAATAGAAAATATGTATCAATTTTTCTTTTCTTTTTTTAAAAAATTTGTTATGATATGATAAAAAAAAATTGGTGTATAAATTAAGCATCATAGCTAAAGTGCTAAATTATAAATAAACTATTTAAAAGTATAGTTATTTATTTGTTGAAAAAAAACTTAAAACCCCTTAAATGACATAAACCTGACAAAAGTTTTTATTTTATTTATTTTTTGGAAAAAATATTATATTAATTATTGAAAAGTCCTAAAGCATTAGTGTATTAAATAATATATAATATAAAGTAATAATAATAATAATTATCTTTTATTGCATTCCATTAAAATTATTATTATTATTACAGTATTATTATTATTATTATTATTATTATTATTATTATTATTATTTCTATTATTATTATTTCCATTATTATTATTTCCATTATTATTATTTCCATTATTATTATTTCCATTATTATTATTAACTATTTATATAATATATACTTATATATTGTTAAAAAAATATATATAATGCAATTTTAGTTTATATATATATATATACTGTATATATATTTACCTGTATATATATACGAATAAAATAAATATATTAAATATTTTGATAATACTGTAGATATTAATCTTTCAATTGAAACATCGATTGATTGCAAATAATTATCTCTACATTGTTTCAACTATTTATTGTCAAAAATTAAAATAAAATAAAACTTGTTTTCAACTAAAAAATGTATTTATTTCAATGTTAACGTAGCATATTACAATTAACGGAATTTTGTTATATATATATATAAATTGTTTTATTTAATGATAATAATTAATTTTATTTTCAAATTTAATTTTAAAAAACTATAAACATTACAAATTTTATGTTTGTTTATAAATACTAAATATGGGATAAAATATTTAAAATAACTTTTAAAAAAGTCATAAATTCCTTTAAAATGTTTTTATAACCTTATTAATAAATGTGAAATATAAATTATATTATAATTGTGTTTGCAATTATATTTTATTTTCTAAAATAACAAGCACACTTTATTTATTTAGATGTATGTTTTAAATTATATATATATATTAGTTAGTTAGTTTATCATAAATTAATTAACATTTTTAAATAAATTTTTACAATAACTGTTTATTAAAATACATCTAAAATTCTCAAATAGATAATTTTTAAAAAAATAATTCAATATAAGATTAAGATTAAATAAGTTAAAAAAATAATATATGAATTAATTGCATTTATATATTTATAACTTAATTTATAAAGTTTATAAGTTTGACTGTTCAAAATTTTCATACATGTAAGCTTTAATGCAATTATTAACTTATTTAATTTAGCATAATCAATTATTTTATTATACAGTATATGACAGTGTAGTAGTTGTAAAGTATTAATAATATTAATTTATTATTTGCAAGTATATGTAACATTAATAGTTTAATGGTATATTTCTAATATTAGATTTTAAATATTAAATGTCATCTAGCTAATTAATTAATTATCTTAAAAAAAATTAAATTATACTGTTAAGTTGATATTTATTTGTTATATTTTACATTTATTACAACATTAATAAATAATTTAATACTTTTTATTATTTATATTTGTAAACATTATTAATAATTTTTCAGTATTATATATGATTATATTTTTAATCACTTATATAATTGGTATAAAATCATTTTTTAATAATATGAATTATTTAAAAATATAAGCAATTACAATTAAATGTTAAAAATTCATTTTGTTTTATAAAATAATTGTGTGTATTTATATGCTTATCATTAAAATAATAAATAAGTATTATTTTCTTTAAATATAATAATAATTTTGGAAAAGTACAATAATAAATTTTTATTAAAATATTTTTAATTATTAATAATTTTAATTGCATATAATCATTGAATTATTTATATTTGCTATAGTTTGCACTTATTATTATTATAATAATTAAATACTCTATATATAATAATTTTTTAAAAATTTGAATGTATTTATTTGATTTGATTTTTTATTTAGATTTATAAATATTTTATCATTTTAATTTATAATATCTATTTAATTTACTCATTAGCAAATTCAATCATATAGCTACAGTAATAATACATTTTTTTAAATATAGAAAATATATTTATTCAACAATAATTAAAAAATCTATAAATATTGTATACGAAAATTATTTATAAAATTAATTTAAAATTAAAAAACAAAACAAAAAAATAATATTTCTTATTATTAATGATTTTTTAAAGCCAACTTATTAGGATATAATTAAAATAGTAATAATAATATATTTGGTGCTTATTTATTAATCACTATTATTCAAGTGATGTCAAATTTATGCATAAATATTTTAGTTTCCTTAAACAAAAAGGAGATGTTATATACACAGTATATATGATATATAAAACTGATATTAATATTGAATTAGGAGTGCTATTGGTATCCAAAAATATGTTACCCAAACAAAACATATTTAATATTTAAGTTTACGACTAGTGGTAGGCAGTGATGTGAAACAATAAATTTTTGCTTTTCAATCACAAACATATGTGTTGTTAGAGAGAGAGAGAGAGAGAGAGAGAGAGAGAGAGATATTGGATATGATGTTAGATGTGATGCTGAATGTGATGATCAATAAAAGTTTGGATACGACATGTCTTCATGTTTTGATTCGCCGACTACTGATAGCTACCATAAGGCTCCCGACAAAACAGGTCCGTCCTCTGTATACACTGAACACACACATACACTACAAGTGCTGAGCATCGGGGGGATCGGCCCTCTCTCTCTTTCTTTCTCTCTCTCTCTCTCTCTCTCTCTCTCTCTCTCTCTCTCTCTCTCTCTCTCTCTCGCTTATTGCAAATAGGTTTGGTCGACACCTGACGCGTTAAACAGCGCATGAAATCAGGTCTATATTAAGGGCTAACTAATATCTCACTCACTCACTCACTAATGGTTTTGTTATATTAAAAATAATGCCAAACTTTTTGATATATATATCATATATAAGTTTTTGGTATTTAGTAAAGAGTTTGACTAATAAAGTGAAGTTAAGTTACAAATTGAAAGTCAGGAGAGAGTGTGTGTATATGTTATGAACTGTATGTGTGTTACATAAAGTGTAGCTAAATGTTAAGTGATTTGAAAAGAGGCTGGCATTCAATCAGTTGTGTCTAACTATCCATACATTGGATGCACGGCTTGTTTGTTGTGTTTCTAATTATTATTATTATTATTTACATTTAAACCTAAACCTACACAAAACACAAGTGTTACACAACACGCGCGCACTATTACACACACTTGCAAACACATACACACACACACACACCACTTGTGCCCACACAGCCGTTGCCCATAAGTTTAAGTTTTAGTTAAGTATTTTGTTTGGTATTATATTATATTATAAGTTATATATATATATATATTAAATATATATATAATATATTAGTTTGACTGCAAAAGTCATGCCTTCCATGGCTTGCATAGCTTTGTCAACCTCTTCACCGTTAAATTCATCAAATATATCAAACGTCAATCGCTTTTACACTCAGTCGACCACCAATTTTGGTGGTACAGCAGTAGCACCTGCCAGGCCTGTCGTTAGCAGCACTCATAATAATACTAATAATACTAATAACAGGAATACTAAGAGCACTACTCCATCCACTCCATCCACCATCACCTCGACTGTCGACACCACAACCACCCACAGAAGCACACATTCAGTTACAAATAGCACTTTAGCAGCACTTACCAGTAGCAGCAGTGGTAATACCACAACTACATCATCATTATCATCATCGACTACTACTGGCACTACACACCATTTCTTGGACTTACCACCAAACAACAGTTCATCAGTCGCTGCTGATCTGACAGTGACCGCCGCCGCCGCACACAAAGCTGTCTACGATTTGGCCGGACTTAGCGCTTCATTGCACTGTTCGGCGGCACACATCCAACCGCATCATTCCTGTGCTTCAAGTACACCATCTACTGTATCGCCATTTGCCGGCGGAACCTATCTAAGCGAGTGCGGCATCGATAGCTTTCCAAACGGTCTGACCAGTTGGGAAGCAGCCGCCGCTGCTCATCAATCGGCTGCCGCTTTTGCCGCTGCATCCCATCATCACTATTCACACCAATTGTCAAACTTTGGTCCGCATTGTGATCATCTTAGAACCGCTTTTCGACTATCATCGGTACCATCGAGTAGTACTGCAACCAACAACAGTGTTGTCTCTGTAACATCGGGTTCGTTGCCAATAATGACTGTCCAGAAACTTGGCGACAGTTTACGTAACACTGCCAACAGTGTTATCAACAACAACAACATCAACAGTAATGTTGTCCATCAAAATGCCAACATCTTTGCTAACGGTATTTCATCAAATTTCACACTAAACGGCAATAGTATATCCACGAAGACATCAAAGACCAGACGTCGTGTGGCGACAATTGCCCAGCGAAGAGCTGCCAATATCCGGGAAAGGCGTCGTATGTTTAACTTGAACTCGGCTTTCGATAAACTGAGGAAAAAGGTGCCGACATTTGCCTATGAGAAGCGATTGTCAAGGATTGAAACCCTACGACTGGCCATTATGTACATAAGCTTTATGTCTGAAACCATCAAAGGTGGAAAAGATCCGTGCTTTGAGTCGCGCATACCGTTACATACAAGCGGTTCCCATCATCAGAATCATCATCGCGACAGAGACGGTCATCATCTATGGAATGGTAGCCATTATTCATCGTTCAATACATTTAGTGATTCATTTCAATCGACAAGATTTTGATTTTGAGAAAAACAAAATAAAAGCTTTTTTAAAAAATCTTTTTTTTGTGGTAATGTGTGTTTATATTTATATAATTGTGTATCAATTTTATGTGTGTCTGTGTATGTGTATCCATATGTCTAGTCATTTAATTATACTATGAAATACACCTATAAATGTGTAAAATTATCAACATTTTTTAGTCATATAAATATTTCAATTTTAATAATTATTATATAATATAAAAATTGTATTATAAATTATTATCGTATACTATATATATATATATATATATATTTCATAAAAAACTAATCTAATCTATATGTGATTAATAAAAAATTTAATATATAAATATTATATTAAATTTTTCTATCATTGTCTTGAAAAGCCGGGTTTGCGTGCATATGCTATATATATAAATGTGTTTCAATAAAATATAATAATAATAATAAAAAAAATTTTGACAAATAAACAAAGTGTTAGCTTAAAATTTGTTATAATTGTATCGACAAAAAACTATATATATACAGTATATATTGAATATATACATAAAGTGTAAGTAATATCTTAATCGAGGAATTGAATTGAAATCCGATTACAATTTGGTTCGCCTCCTGTTTAACAATAGCTGATACACAATAAGCTAACTGATCCTAACATTTGACGTACGCTTTCCAGGATTATAGTACCACCACATCATCATCATATGTCGTGACTTTAACCGTGAAGTTAGCCCTATATTACTGACTGACTAACTATTTATAACTAACTGAGCTGTTTATGACTAACACTTGTCCTATCTTTATCTATATTTGCTATACAATATGAGTACATACTTTCTTAGCTTTTTTTTGTTGTGTACTAGAAAAATATTTAATTAATTTTTTTTAAATTTATATTTTCAATCTATGCAATTATATATATATATATATAGTATATAAATTAGGCCTATATTTTTAGTATAACTAAAAAATGATAGATACTGTATATGTTTGATGTTTCAATTGTGAGACTATATATAGAAATATATATACTGTATATATTCACCCCAAAAGACAACTTCACTGCATATCAAACTTATTATAACATATATTGAATTATTTGATTTTTTTGCCAAAAAAGTGCTAATTTTTATTTTAGGTGCATTGATATTATCAATAATATTAGTTATAATAATAATCAAACATTTATTATGTATAAATGTGTGTGTGTTTGTATATATTTATATTATGTATGGATATTGATATTGTTTGGACACAATAAAGTATCCCCCAAAACACCAAAGAGATGATAGTCTTCAATCACATCAACACATTGGCAATCGTTTACATTATACGGTCCAACCGATACAATGACAGGCCTTTAATAAAGTTGTAATATTTTTTGGCGCACGTGTTGACCGTACGTCAGTACGTGTGTGTGTGTGTATTATATGCCAAACTCTTGTCAAAATCTCATTTCCGTTTTCTTGTTGATGGTTTGTTCAGATCTTTTTTTCGGTAGTTTTATACCCAAAAAATATATTGAAGTCCCACTCGAAGGTCAAGTGGAAACAGCGGCGCGTTTAGAGACCCGAAAACCACATTATTTTTAATATAATAATTTTCAATCGACATCTCTCTCACTATATATTGTATGTACTGTATGTTATCATCAATAGTGATGCCTATATATTGTTTGGCAGCGAAAAAATCTATTGATATGTTAATTCAAACTGTGGGTAATTTTACACCTGCACTGGAATCCCGTTCCTCAATTCAGTGGTGCTCTCTCCTCAAAATGCTCTCTCTCTCTCTCTCCCCGTTTAGTTAATATTAAACCAACAAATAATGGGAGTCAAAATACTCTCTCTCTCTCTCTCTCTCTCTCTCTCTCTCTCTCTCTCTCTCTCTCTCTCTCTCTCTCTCTTTCTCTCTAAGCTTTAATAATATAGTATTAGTCGCTTTTCAGTCACCGATTTGAGCGCTTTATTTAACATCAATGGCCTTATTAACTATAAAATCGATTAATTCATAACTTATATGATATATACAATACTATATATATTTTTTTGTATGTATCACAAATCACTACCCATTTATAGTATCAAAAGCTCAAGCCTTCATCGTAAAGGCTGTATATATAACTAAACCTAACCTTTCTGTTTGCTTCTGGATGCTAACAATTTTTTTAGAGACCCTTTAAAGTAATATATTGTTAAACATATAGTTGTAAATCATATGAACAAACAATTGTGTACACTATATGTTTTATTTTATTTTTTAAATTAAACAAACAGTGTTTTTCTAACACAAACAAATTGTTAAACAAATTTATCATTTTATAATTATTAATATATATATATATATATATACAGTATATATAAATTATATATTATATGTTGAATACATGAGTAGAGATTTAATTTATTACCAATTTTTGGTTTATTAAATCATTTTAAAAATAAACACATTATTTTTTATATACCTATATTTGTCTGATTTTTTGGTATAATTTTACAATATTTACTTTACACAAGTAAATATTAATAATATAAATTAAATATATCATAAATTAAAAAAAACTAGTATATATTATATATATATACTAGTTTTGTGTAATACAATAATAATACTACAGTATATATTTAATTATAAGCCATAAAATATGACATATATTTAATATATTAATGTATAATACATGTCATATACAGTACACAATCAACACTATAGTATAGAATATTAACATTTAATTATGAATTTTAATTTAATTAATTAATTTGTTGATAGGATTGTTATCTTTATCTTACAAATAATATTATATAAATAATATTTTATAATTCAATAAATTTATTATTATATTTTGTTTATTTTTTTTGAGAAATAATAAACAATTTTTAAGATAATTTTATATACCGGTATATAAATTTATCTTAAAAATTGCAATTGTTGCAATAATAATATTAAATATTACAAAAAAATTATGCTTTATTTATCATCATTACTTTAAATTCAATAATACGAGTGGATTATATCATCTTTGAATAGTATACTAAAAAATAGTTAGTTATTTATACATCCATATTATGTGTAACAAAATATTCAGATATTTTATAAAAATTTTAGTTACAATTTAGTTATTTTTATTTTTATTTATACACACAAACATCATTTGGAAAAAATCTTGAGCTTATTTGCATTCTGCAGAAAATATATCCAAAAAATTTCATTAAATTTTTGGTATACTTTTGGAAAATAATTTATAATAATATATAAATTAGAAACTAATATATAATATATAAACACAATTACAATAATTGTATCTGTATAATTTTAAGTATGCTATTATAATAATTATAAAAGCATACTTAAAATTATACTGGTACAATATTTATACATTATAATATATGGCATGCCGTATTTCACCAAAAATATACGGTACCTATTAAAATTACCTATAATATATTTTATATTAAAAACTTACATTTTCTACTAATTATTTTTTTTTTGTTAAAATTTTGAGAAAAACTGCATCTCAGTTACTACAGTAGTAAATAGTATCTATAAAAAAAAATGTTAGACCAGATTAGAGACTAAAAATTAGAAGAAATTGCAAGTTTTTATTTATATACCGGTATATAAATTTATCTTAAAAATTGTTTATTATTTCTCAAAAAAAATAACTAAACAAAATATAATAATAAATTTATTGAATTATAAAATATTATTTATACAATTATTATGTATAATATTATTTGTAAGATAAAGATAACAATCCTATCAACAAATTAATTAATTTAATTAAAATTCATAATTAAAAATATTAATATTCTGTACTATAGTGTTGATTGTGTACTGTATATGACATGCGCTCTAATAATGTTTTGAAGTCGACATCAAATTAAAATACAGTCAAACATTGCGATCACATGTTTAGCACATTTATAGACACAACTACTTGATTACCATTGATTTGATTCACAAAATTAAGAGATAATAATAAAGAAGTGGTGATAATAATAATAATTTTGGTGACCAATTGGGTGGACACACACACCGAGACACAAACAATGGCCAAAAACAGTATAAACACCGACGAGTTGTTAAGCGAAATACAAAATCTGGCCATAAAACCGACACAGAAGCTGATCCACAGTCGCGACTATCACGACCCGAACCGACCGCATGCAAAGGTAAGAAACAGTACCGCCGGGCGATTGGGTTAATTAATTTTTTTTGTCTACTGACCACTTATGTGTGTCCAATATTTGTACCGTTGAACAGTTCGTCCAACAGTTGGCCCGATCGCACATCGAGTCGTTTAACTTTATGATTGAAGAAGGACTACAAAAAGGGATTCAGGTTTTTTTTATCGACCATTGATTATCATATAAGATAATAATCACCATTGATATCCATGTCTAACTATTTAAATGGTTTCCCGAAATATTACAGAATCTACGGCCGCTTGAGTTTGCCTTATCGACGGGCGAGAGGATTAGGATACAGATAATTGTCGGTTAAATTATTTTATGTTTTTTTTAAAAAAAAGACAAATTTATAACAATATTATTATTATTATTATTATTACTAAACACTAGGACTTTGCTATCTTCAATCCTGTTGTCCACAAGGACTCGATGTCGAGGACTGTTCACGTTTATCCATCAGAAGTAAACTATAGATTTTTAATAAATTATCTTAAAAACAATTTTTATTATTAAAACAATTGTATTGAAAAAACACAACTTTAGTGTAGAATTAGAAGGACCTCCTATAAAGGTAAACTTCATCTGACTTTTTCGTGGAGTATTGACGGAAAAATGCAAGAAATTATCGAAGAGTTTGTCGGAGAGATACCTATTATGGTTAAGGTATTAGTAGTTTATATTATTATTAGTTTTTATCGGTATTTTTTATTATTTAGTTTTTATTATTTTATCGGTAAATCTAATTTTTATTAATATTTTCAGTCAAATCGGTGTAACATTGAGAAGTTAACCCGAAAACAATTGGTTAAACATAAAGAGGATACTGAAGAATTTGGCGGCTATTTTCTGGTCAATGGTAATGAACGAGTGGTTAGACTATTGACGGCTCAGCGAAGAAATTATGTATTTATTTATTAGTTTTATTTGATATTATTATTATTTTTAAATATACGGTAATTATTGCCCTATTTAAGCCACTGGCACTTTCACGAAAATCTTGGAAAGATAGTGGTCAACTGTTCTCACAATACGGCATTTCTATGCGCTGCGTACGGCCCGACCAAATGGGATCCGTATGTTATTATTATTATTATTATTGTCTTCATTTTATTGTAATGTTGTTGGTTGTTGTGTCTGCAGAATATGATTCTTCACTATTTGACAAACGGAACGGCTAGACTGCGATTCTGGTACGCACGACAACCCATTTATCTGCCATTGATTATGGTATTGAAATCGTTGGTCGATGTCTCCGATAAGTATATATTCAATGAGTTGACAAAAGGCAAACAAGAGGACACATATTATAAGAGTTGTGTAACAAATATGTTGCGTCTCGTTCAGGACGAAAACTTGTATACATCCCAACAGATTAAGAAATATATTGGCGAACGATTTCGGGCCAAATGTCACTGTCCCGAATGGTATACAGATGCCGAAGTTACCGATTTTTTGCTCAGGTAGGTTATTGGATGTTTTTTTTATATATAATAAAGAAATTGATTTATTATCGACTAATTGATCCCATACAGAGAATGTGTAGCCGTTCATCTGACATCACCACAAGACAAATTCAATCTATTGGTTTTCATAACCAGAAAATTGTTTGCATTGGCCAAAGGCGAGTGCGCTCAAGAAAACCCCGACAATCCCATGTTTCACGAAATCTTTCTGAGCGGACACATCTATTTTACACTACTTCTGGATCGAATGTCTTCGTATTTGACATCTGTTAAGTTTATTATCGACAAACTGTTACAAACGGCAGAAAAAAGTGGTAATCGATGTCAACTGACACCAATGATACTGAAGAAAGCGTTGACATCGAAATTCAGTGAAATTACTCGTCCGCTTGAATACCTATTGTCGACCGGCAATCTACGCTCCAGTTCCGGTCTAGGAATACAACAAACAGCTGGTATTACCGTAATGGCTGATAAAATTAATTGGATGCGATTTTTATCGCATTTTCGGGCCGTACATCGAGGTGCTTTTTTTGCCGAAATGAAAACTACTGCCTGTAGAAAATTATATCCCGAAGCCTGGGGTTTCCTATGTCCAGTTCATACGCCTGACGGTTCTCCTTGTGGTCTGCTTAACCATTTGGCCGAAATGTGTATTATAACCAATTATCAGTCTGCTATACGTAATGTTGTTGAAATTCTTTACGGATCCGGTATGGAACCGATTGACACTCCCATTTGTATCGATGAAACCTATCTGAATGTATCACTTGATGGTAAAATGATTGGTTTCATTAAAGATAGTTTAGCCGATAGTGTTGTCACTCATTTGCGGACATTGAAAGCCACTAATAAACAGAGAGTACCGCCCACTCTTGAAATCGGTTTTGTGCCGAAGTCGGACAAAGCCACTCAATATCCGGGTATATATCTGTTTTCAACTCCGGCCCGTATGATGCGTCCAGTGTTTAATTTGCGGACACAAACACTTGAATTGATCGGTACGTTCGAACAGGTCTATATGGACATATGTGTCACGGCTAGTGAACTAAAACCCGGTATTACCACTCATCAGGAGCTAAAGGAGACAAGTATGTTGAGTGTATTAGCCACACAGATACCGTATCCGGATTTTAATCAAAGTCCGCGTAATATGTACTCGTGTCAGATGGGAAAACAAACAATGGGTACACCCAGTCATACGCTGAAATATAGATCAGATAACAAAATGTATACCATATTGAGTCCACAGTCTTGTTTAGTGCGGCCAACAGCTCACGACTACTACGAAATGGATAACTATCCGCTCGGTACTAATGCTGTCGTTGCTGTGATTTCCTATACCGGTTACGACATGGAAGACGCTATGATATTGAACAAGGCTACCGTTGAGAGAGGTTTCAAACACGGATCCATCTATAAGACAGAGATTGTCGACTTACGAGAGATCGGAGGTATAAAAGGCTATTCGTCGGAAATTGTTTTTTCGTTTGGCCGTAAAGAAGATAATGAACCTTTAGATGGTTTTGTCGATATGGATGGACTGCCGTTTATCGGTACAAAAGTCGATTACGGCGATCCGATTTGCAGTTACTTTGATTTGACAACTGGCGATACTGTAGTCAAGAAATACAAATCGCTGGAAACGGCCTATATTTACGACGTTAAACTGTTAGGCAACGATTCTGGTAAAACTGTTCTCCAATCGGTGGCCATTACCTATTGGATTCATAGGCCGCCGATTATTGGCGACAAGTTTGCCAATAGACACGGACAGAAAGGTGTCTGCAGTGTTCTATGGCCTCAAGAAAATATGCCGTTCACTGAGGGTGGTATGACTCCCGATATTATTTTCAATCCGCATGGTTTTCCATCCCGTATGACTATCGGTCAAATGATCGAAAGTATGGCCGGCAAAACGGGTTCAATGTACGGTACGGTACACGACGCTACACCGTTTGTATTTTCCGAAGACAATGTGGCTTCCGATTATTTTGGTAAACTTCTCGAAAATGTTGGCTTCAATTATTACGGTACCGAACGAATGTATAGCGGAGTCGATGGCCGCGAACTGGAAGCCGAAATATTTATCGGTGTTATCTACTATATTCGACTCAGACATATGGTTGGCGACAAATATCAGGTACGATCTACCGGTCCGATCGACAATTTGACTCACCAGCCGGTCAAAGGTCGCAAACGGGCCGGCGGTATACGTTTTGGTGAAATGGAAAGAGACTCGCTGTTAGCTCACGGAACCTCTTTTCTACTACACGATCGACTATTCAATAACTCAGACAAGACAGTGGTAAGCAATTTGTCATTTACTGACCAATTGGTGATCTAAATCCAGATAATCTAAATTATTTGTCTTTGATTCCTAGGCTTATATGTGCCATAAGTGTTCGTCACTAATATCGCCATATTGTGCGGCCATTGACAACGACTACAATAGCGGACACTCGAAAAAACAGTGGAAGTGTCGACTGTGCGATTCAAGCGACGATATCAAAGTTGTTGCCATTCCTTATGTCCTACAATATCTTGTGGCCGAATTGGCCGCCGTTAACATTAAAGTCAAATTTGATATCAAAAGTTAAACAAAACAAAGAAAATTCAATTGACTACTAATTATTGTATAAAAAACAAATGTTAATTTTTATTAATTAATAGTTAATGACTTTATAAAAAATAAATAATTTATTTTTCATATATATATATATATATTTAGTTCAAAAAAAAAATAATTTAATTAATAAAAAATTTAATTTAATGTTTAACTAATACTGTATTATACAGTATTTAGTAGTGTTTGTGAAACACACTATTACTGTAGTACTACTACTAGTGACACACTATTTGTTAGTGTGATTACATGTATTGCGACAAAACTGTAGTTCAAAGAGTGCGCCAAACCTTACAACTCGTCAGTTGATTGGTTGTGACACTCAATGAATGCACAAAATGGCCGACAATTGGTCACAACAACAGTCACGATAGTCGGCAGTTTAGACCGTTTGCTGGACCCACTCGTGACCGCCAATCGGTTGGCGATATTATTAAGACAAGACTCGGGTCTTATGTCAAACGAAGAACTCAATTCAAACGCTTTGTTTTCATCCAAACGGGAAGAAAGAAGAAGAGCCCGTCATATGTCAAGTGACGGTTGCGTATTGTTTGACAAAACAACCCGAACATCGGTGACCAAATGTCGACAAACAACCGAAACCAGTCAATCAATACCAACGTGAATGCCAGCGATGACCAGACAACCGACGCAATGGTACATCAGGTGAATCTTGCGGCCGCTTTTCACGATCACATCTCCTGTACGAAGATATCGCAACAGTCCATCACAAACAGTATCTGTGCGGCACTGCAGACCTCGTCGTCGTCGACGATCACCGTTATTGCCGATGATCCTCACCAGCCAAATACAAGAACAATGAGTCCAATGTCTGGCCAACTGGCCATCGGCCTGGAATCAGTCGAATCGGATCACATGTACGCTACAGACAACAAATCGCTGGTCGAATCGGCCAACGGACTACTACGCGGCGTCGGCGGCAACAGTCTAATGGCCAACAGTTTGACATCGGAACGAAATCAGATCTCACGGCTAACCGAAATGATATTGGGTCAGTTGGATCTGATTCAACATCAACAGGAACAGCTGCTCAAAAAAGATAGACAACTACAGGGACTGAAACAGGACAGAGAGGCACTGTGTTTGAGATTAGAGAAGATGGAGAAAAAGATAGCCATATTGATGGCCAAAGTGGCCAACAATAATAAGACGACTAGTATTAGTAGTAGTAGTAGTAATCCACTTCAGCCGAGTGTCAATTCAAACAACAATTTGATTGTTAATAATACTAATTATACAATTAATTCAAACAAATCGACAAATATCTTAACTAACAATCAAACTGCTATTAATAATGTTATTATTGAAACCACTGATTGCGGCGACCAAAGCAATAGCGATACTATTGTCGAAAGTGAGACCAATAGTATCATGGGATTGGTGTCCGATCCGATACACTTTACTAAACTCAATATTAATACCAATGCGGCGATGACGACAACACCCGCAGCGGCGGCGGTAGAGACGGTGGTCACCACTACGAGTGTTGTTAATAATAATAATGTAAATAGTTCTCAACAACAACAGACTTCTGTCACCAAATCAAATACAACTCATAACGTGAATAATAATAATAACTTATTGTCTGTAAAGATAAAGACCGAACCTTTAGTTGTAGTGAAACTCGAACCCGAAGACATTGTGATGACCACCTCATCTACGGCAACCACAACAACAACTACTACTACTACGGCCAGTACGACCACAGCTTTGTCGTCGGGGCGTAAAAGTCGTAAACGACATCTGACTCCTGAAAAATTAAGTTCAGCAACAACTTCTTCTTCAACCACTAAAGAAGTTGCAACAACAACACCATCAACGCCGATGACGACGACAACAACAACAACCTCTTCAGCAACAGTATCATCATTGACAACAACACCCACATCTTCAGCCACAATGGGTTCAAATAAGAAACGCAACAAACGGGTTGTCAATATTGATTTGGCGTCAAAGACACCGGTGGTTGTCGTCAATAATAATAATAACAAAGAAAGCTCTTGTGATTCTTCTTCGTTAAATACTTTTAGTACAATTAAGAGCAACAATAAAGTTGTAAATAATATTTCAAATGACAATAATTCAATCGGTATTACAAATAATAACAGGAAAAAAGTTAGACAACAAAAAAGTGAGTCAACATCTTCACGGACAACGACGGCGGCGACCACGACGTCCGACTCAACGCACTTAACAACAAATCATTCATTTAATTATAGGACTCATTGTGTAGTTAAAGACATACTGATAACGACAAAGCCTTACAATATATTCATTAATAACTCATCGGACGATAACAATTGTGTCGCCGCCGTCGGTAATGACTTAGTTGTTGACAACTCTAATGATAATAAAGTAGTGAACAATAGTTTATCCGAAGAAACAAACAGTAAAAATAAATCTAAACTGAATAGTGATTTGAGTGATAGTGAAGTGATTGAAGTTCCCAATTGGAGGTTACATCCGGTCAGCAGTTGTTATTCACTTGAAGGCACTGAGGTATTGGATGATAATCAGTATATATATATATATAATATTGTCATTTAATTAAAATTTTAAGTTTTTTAATTAAAAAAAATTAATTATATTTACCGATTAATTAATTAATACTTGTGATAATTAGCACCTTGATATTATTTACATTATTATGATTAATATTTTTATTTTATATACTGTATATGTATTTATTTATTTATTATATGAAAAAAAATCAATTAGAATATTCATTAATACTAATAATAATAAATAATGAATATGATAGCCATGAAATATATAATTAATTAATTAATTAAATTATAATGATACTTTTAATGATAAATTTATTTAATTATTTACATTGATAATTGACAATTATTTTAGAATAGAAATCAATAATTAAATTCAATAATATTAGTAATGAAAATTAACAAAACAAAAGTTAATAAAAATTGAATTATTAAATGATATAATATTTTAAATATATTCAACCATTAGTTAGCCATATATTTATAGTTAATTAATTAAAACAGCTTTTTAAAAAAAAAGTTTAATAACTATTTATTTATTAATTTTGTTGCACTCAAGTTATACCAAACTAACAAAAAAAAATTTAATTTAGTTTTAATTTTATAAACTAATTCTGTATTTTATTTATTTATTTTTTGGTAACAGAATTTAGACGACGAAGTATTCAATCGACGACATCTTAAGCTAGAGAACGATGAAAGACGACGAAAGAGGTAAGACTTTGTTGTTGTTGTCGTTGTCGTTGTTGGCTAAAGAAGTTCAAACAAAAACCATTGATTTTTTAAAATAAATTATTTTTATAATTTTAATTTATATAATCAATTATAAAACAGATGGGATATACAGAGACTACGGGAGCAGCGGCACAACGAAAAGCTGCGCACCGGTAGATATTATAGTTCAAGTCTAGGCAATTGTGTGGGCGGAGTCGGTGGCAGCGGCATTGGCGGCGGCGACAAGCAATCGGATCCCAAAAAGGATAACAACAACGATCCGGATTTCTTGTCGTTTTATCCGGATATTGATGATTGTCAGTTGATTTTGTTTTTGTTGTGTTTATATTTAACCACAAAAAAATTGTTTTTAATTACCGGTAATTAATTAATTATTATTATTATTATTTTGAATTTTTTTAGTGCAATCACTGGAAGTAACCGAAAAAATACCAGTAATAGCTTTCGGACATCCCATTCCCAAATTACCGTCAAAGTATTACTACTACTACTACTATTACTTTTTTAAAAAAATATATAATTTAAATTATTGGATCATTTTTTGTTAATAATTTTATATTATTATTATTATTATCAATAATTAGGAGCTTTACGTTGCCTTGGATTACCGTTTCGGGTACTGACAGATGTGCTGACAATGTTGTTGTTGTTATCGGAAAATCGACTGAAAAACCGCATACATCTGGTCGGTCATCCAGAAGCACACCTCATAAGAAAAACAACTAACACTCACTCTCTATCTTTCTCTGTGTGTGTGTGTGTCTGTATTTGTGTCAGTGTTTGGGTTGTATATTACCGGTAAAGTCGGGTGGAAGGGAGGGGGGCTTAAAAGGTCAACACAATTCATGTTATAATATAAATTTTAATTTATAAAATAATAACTACCACTCCATTCAACACTACACACTCATTCACTTGTCTAATGATATACATATTATAAATAAATAAATACATATAAATATCAATTGTCATTTTTTTTGTTTTGTTTTTGTTTCATTGGCTGCATTCCTCATAAAAACTAATTGTAAAAAAGTTATAAATATAATGAAATATTAATACAACTAGAATTTTATTTACAATTTTTCAAGAAAAATCAATTTTCAATTTATTTTTAAATATAATTTTCAAATTTAAATTTGATATTTTTTTAAACACTTAGATTGGTTATCAAATTTGACTAAAACAACATTATTACCGGTAGAAAATATATAAATAAATAAATAATAATAAAAAGTTATCTATAATTTGATATTCAAATTATTTTTTATTATAATATTTATCTTAAATTTCTTTTTATATATAAATTTTATTACTTTGTTTAGTCTAAATTGAAAATATATTTTTTATCGGAAATATACGGTACAGTAGTTTAAAAACTAAGATTATATTTCATTAGTTAGTATTATATACCATATGTTTTTTTTAAAAAAAAATTGTATGTTTTGTACTTTACATTTTTTTTTGCTCATTTAGTTTTAATTTGATTGCTATTTACAAGTAAACTTTGTCAATTTTTTTTATTAGTATTATAATAACAATAATAATTTATTAATTTTTTTAGTTGCAACAAATTTTTAGTTTGATAATTGTTTGTATAAATAAATAAATATATATATATAGATAAAAAATAAAGTTAACAAATAAATTGATTTCGATTATTTATTAATTTATTATTATATTTAAATATTTAAATTTAGTATGTAAATTGAAAAACATATATACAGTATATGATATATAAAAAAATATTTTTTTAAAGGGTTTTATAATGAAAAAATAATTCAAATTGGTTTAAAACCCAATATTTACTATACAGTAAAAGTAGTTAAACAAAAAATAAAATAAATGATTAATTTGATTTAATATAAAATACAATCAGTGGTGTGTAACCAATAATGATGATGTTGTCTATGAAAGCGATTCCAGTGATAAACTCGAAGAAATATATATTTAATTTATAAGATATGAGATATAAGATACAGCAAACAATGTCCTCATATAACCATAGGATATGATAATAAAAATAAAATATTTTATTTTTTAACAAAATAAATGGTTTGGTTTTGTAAAATAAAGATTTAAAAAGAAATAAAAACTTTGAAAATAGATTTTTTTTTAAATTAAATATATAAAAAAAGTGGGAAATAGTTTATTATATTTTTAAAATAAAATATACTTTTAATGTTAAATAAAATGTTTTTTTTCATTTTCCTCATTATATTTAAATACTGGTAATAATTGTGACGTAAGTCCAGGTAATAATTGGAGTGACGTTTTTGGTTAAATGTTTGCAAAATATAATGTTTTTTAAAAAAAATGAAAAACTTTAAATAACAAAAAAAATATCAGTAATAATAAACTAAATAATAAATTAAATAATATATATTTATAATATAATATACAAGTAAAAAATATTAAATAACAATATCATAATATTAAATTCAAATGTGTGTTTACTAATACAAATAAATATGAATCAGTAGTAATTACTTATAATAATAATTATTATTATTGAAAATTAATTGGAAAAGTTTTTTTCAAGTATTTACATTACATTAAAAAAATTAAATAATGTTTGTACAGTATTATTGTTAACATTTAAATGCCATTTTTCCAACAAAAAATAATTAAAACTTAAATCTAAACAACATATTGTGTACCCATTTATAGTGTACTACAACTATATATCATAGAGATAAGATAAGACCATGATAAATTATTTATTATATATATATATATTACTATAGACTAGTTATATAATAATTTAAAAAATTTATATGAAGATTAGGAATTAATAGTATTAATAATTTTTAATTAAATAATTACAAACTTAATTTAATAACTAAACAAATTTAATTAAAAACATTTTTAAAAACTAGAATTTTTAATCCAATATATTTAAACCTTTTAAAATTTATTTAATCTAACATAAATTTAATTAAATATATTTTAATATATTTTTGTTGTTTTGTTTGTTATATATTGGATTTATAGTAATAAATTCAATAGAAAAAAATTAAACAAATTAATCATTTCATAAATATTTTGTTTTATGTATTTTGTTTTATGTATTTTGTTTTATGTATTATTAGACAAAAATAAATTTAATCATTAATAATTATTATTAACAAGCAAATTTTTTGAATGATTTTACAAATTAGGCAATATATGATAATTAAAAGAAATAATAATTTAGAAATAATAAAACGTGTACAATACAGTATAAATATTTATTAATATATATATACAATATTTTAAAAAGCAATTAAAATGCATTAAAACTTTACTTTTTTTACTAATTGATAAATTAAATTACATACTAAAATACTACTAAAAAATTTTAAGATTTACATTGAAATACTATATCACATATGATATAATATTATTAATAAATAAACTGACTTTATTGATTACTAAGTTACTGTAACTGCAAATAACTGATAACCCCCCGGGGGTAACCCGTAGGTATAATATATATGTTGGATTACCCCCACTTTATTACATACCATACACTAGCAGCATATGCTTGTTTATGTGGCTAAAAGTTTTAAAAAACTTGTATACCTGTAGAATAGCATTTATATAACGACAATATTCATAAATAATTTAATACCAATTTTATTATGAATTATAATCAGTATTAATATAAAAATAGATTTATTAATTAAGTAAAGTTATAATTTATTTAACTATTATTTTAGATTCATATATAACATTACTATATTAAATTTTTGTGTTATATACTTTATTTTAAAAATAATAATAATATTTCAATATAGTAAAATTTTTGTAGTATTTATTAATTTAACTGTTTTTTTTTAATTTTTGTTGTTGTTGTAAATTATTTTATTAATTAATAAGTTGTATACATGTTTCCAGCAATAAATTTTAAAAAATTATTGTTAAATTTTAAGTACAGTATTTATTTTGAGCAAATGCTGAAAATGTATTTGACATGCATTATTAACATAGCTGTAGCTTAGGTAGGTTAGGTATTAAATGGTTTGCCCTGGAGTGCGGTAGAGTGTGTATGTGTATGTGTATGTGTATGTGTATGTGTATGTGTATGTGTATGTGTATGTGTATGTGTATGTGTATGTGTATGTGTATGTGTATGTGTATGTGTATGTGTATGTGTATGTGTATGTGTATGTGTATGTGTATGTGTAATACATGTGCCAACGCATGTGTGATCAGTTTACATAACACACGTCACCGTATGAGACGCTTCTCATACGAGAGTCAGTCGACTAATAATAATAATAATATACAGTATATATTGTATTATAAAACTATACTTACATTTAGGATATACACTACATATTTATATCATATATATATATATATCTGGCGATCACACCATTGAAAAATTGCAACCATTTTTTTAAAACGTGAATTACTTTTTTTTGAATTTTATTATATTATATTATTTTTTTAGGTGAATACAAATTCAATTAATTATTTATATTAATAACATATATATATATTTGTGTTGTGTATATGTGTGTTAAGTGAAACAATAAAATAATTATTTGTTTGTTTAATATATATTAATATATAATTGTTTAACACATTTGCAAGCAAATTAAATATACATTAATAACATTACATTATATAATTGGATAATACAATAATAATAATAATATTAATAATCAATATATAACAGTGTGTTTGTATGTGTAAGTAATTGACATTTCAAATACATTATATACATAAAACATGTTAAAAACATTTAGCGCTAATAAACTGTTGTATGAATATATAATTACTATATAATTAGTTTTAAAAAATAATAATAATTTAAATGTGTTTGTGATTGATAAATGTTTAAATATAATAATTAGTAGTATTAGTATAGCCAAAAAATTACTATTATATTAGAAATATATCTATATATTAATTATAATTAAATAATAACTTAATTGATAGTAATTATTAGTATTATTATTATAGACTTTTATCCCTTTAATATTTTTAACCCTCGATATGCTATCAGAGTATATACAGTGAATAAAACTAATTGACATTTATTTTTTGAAAAATTTTAGGATAACTTTAATCTTGAATTACAATTTTTTTGAGAGAAAATAATTTATTTAATTGAAATTATTTAAACTATAATTATATTAATATAAGATATATATATATATATATATATAAATAGTAAATTTTAATCAATTAGAAAAATAATTATTAGAATTATTATTAATAACTCTATAATATATTTAAAAATATATTTATAATAATAATTATATAAATATATTGGTTTTTACGAAAAAAAATTATTTATATTTAGTTATACTTATAAATTTCAAGGGAGTTGTTGTAACTAAACTTAAAAAAGTTTTTATTAAAAATAATTTTTCCCGTTTTGGCTAATGATTAGTATTATTATTATTATTTGAAATGTTAGGGAAAACACATTGTTTTTTGTGTGTTTTAATTTAATTACAGGAAAATCAAACATACAATTTGTATTTAAAAGAAATAAAATAAATTTATACCAAAAATATACTGTTTTTTTTATAATTACTATATTATACTTATATTTAATTTAAATTAAATATTAAAAATTATTTATAATCTATATATATATTGTGTGATTAGTAGAGTTGTAACAAAAACGAAATGTCAGCTAAAGCTATACGAGAGGCGACCGGAAAGGATCTGTTGAATCGGTATCTGAAAGGAACTGTCAGTACATCACGTTTTGCTTCAGTCACTGAAGACACCGATTTCAATGATCTGATCGCTCAGAATCCATGGCTTAAACATGAGGTCTGGTTTTTTTTGAGATAATAATAATAATAATATAAATTAATTTGTTTTTTTAAATATCTTAATTTATATTTATATATAGCGTTTGGTTGTAAAACCGGATCAATTGATTAAACGAAGAGGTAAATTGGGTCTGATTTTAGTGAATGCGGACATCGATGGCGTCAAGAAATGGGTTTCCGAGCGAATGTCTAAAGATATTCAAGTAAGAGATGAGATAATAATAATAATTAAAATATCTTATAAAATATTTATGATATGATATATTAAGAAATTGTTGGTTAATATTAATATTAAAATATATTTTTTTATTTTTGCTAAATAATGAAAACTATTATAAGAAAAAAATTACTACATTTTCCTTATTATTATATATTAATTTTGACGTTAAATTCCTGACTGTCATTATGTTAGAGAGAGAGAGAGAGAGAGAGAGAGAGAGAGAGAGAGAGAGAGAGAGAGACATATATCACAAATATATGAGAAATTCCTATCATTGAAATGTATGCCTTATTTTGTTTAAAAGGATATCTTATTGATTGATATTTAGGACAGAAAATTATTAGTTTATTTTATAAATTTATTTATTATTATTATTTAAGCATAAAATTACGGTAATAATCTATTAATATAACTTACCGGTATATATATATATATATATATATATATATATATATATATGCATAATATATGTTTAAATTTTTATTTATTTTGTTTAAACAGTACCGGTAATTGAAAAATTTGTTAAGGAATTTATATATGTATATTAGTTTTGCCTAACATTTCCTTTATTATTCAATAACTAATAAAAAACTAATAAAAAGTTATTAGATAAGTTAAAGGTTAGAGTTAAACAATTTTTGTTTGATAATTACCAAAAAAAATAAAAATAATTTTTATATTTATTCAGACAATTAGCCTATAGATAGATAATAGCTATTGATATATAGATATTTAAAAAAATAATTTTTTGAAGATTTTATTCAAATATTACTAAAAAAAAATTTTTCTAAAATTAATTTTTTTCTATTTAATTTGATTTTAATTAAAAGATCGGTAAAGCGACCGGAAAGTTGCGGTCATTTATAATTGAGCCGTTTATGCCACACAAACAAGACGAAGAAGCATATATATGTATTTATTCACATCGATCGGGTGATACCATACTGTTTCATCACGAGGGCGGCGTCGATATCGGCGATGTCGACTCCAAAGCACTCAAGTTAGACATTCCCATCGATGGTCAGCTAACCGAAAACCAAGTCCAGACACAGCTGTTGCCGAATATATCGAGCGATAAGTTGCCATTAGTGACAAAGTTTGTCCTCGACTTATACCGTGTTTATGTTGACCTGTATTTTACTTATTTGGAAATTAATCCGTTGGGTAAGCCGTTTAGACACATGTAATGAAAAATTTAATGGTTTTTATTATAAATTATTTTTGTTTTTTTCCCGATCAAATAGTGGTCACCAAGAATTCTGTTCATGTATTGGATTTAGCGGCCAAACTGGATTCGACGGCCGAATTTATTTGCAAACAAAAATGGGGTGAATTTGAATACCCGCCGCCGTTTGGCCGGGACGCTCTACCCGAAGAAGCCTATATTGCCGATTTGGACGCCAAAAGTGGTGCCAGTTTGAAGCTGACAATTTTGAACAAAACTGGTCGCATTTGGACAATGGTAGCCGGCGGCGGAGCTTCGGTTATCTATGCAGACACCATTTGCGAACTTGGAGGCGCTTCCGAGTTGGCCAACTATGGCGAATATTCTGGCGCTCCCAGCGAACAGCAAACATATGAATACGCGAAGACTATACTGACACTAATGACTAAAGAGAAACATCCCGACGGAAAATTGTTGCTAATTGGCGGCGGTATCGCCAACTTTACTAACGTTGCGGCCACTTTCAAGGGTATTGTCAAAGCGTTACGCGAATTTCAAAACAAACTCATCGAACATAAGGTTGAGATATTTGTCCGACGGGCCGGTCCTAACTATCAGGAAGGCCTGCGTGTAATGAGAGAGACGGGCAATACTCTAGGCGTTCCCGTTCACGTTTTTGGACCCGAAACCCATATGACTGCCATTGTGGCGATGGCTTTGCATAAGAAAGACATTCCCGAACTGCCCGAATCCAAGGTGACGACAGCCAACTTTTTACTGCCCGGCAATATGAATGGTGATAATGGTGTAAATGGTGACGCAAGCGGTTCTCCAGCCGGCAACTCGTTGAATGGCCCGCAATCGGGTGCACTACTCACCGATATTAGCGCCACCGGCGATGCCACTAAACCATTGTTCACTTCGAATACCAAATCGATTGTCTGGGGAATGCAGACCCGCGCTGTCCAGTCTATGTTAGACTTTGATTTTGTCTGTTCGCGCAAAGAGTGGTCTGTAGCCGCTCTTGTCTATCCGTTTACCGGCGATCACAAGCAAAAGTTTTATTGGGGTCACAAAGAGATACTGATTCCAGTCTACAAGAATATGGCCGACGCTATGAAAAAACATCCGGACGCCGATTCGTTAATTAATTTTGCATCGCTTCGATCGGCATACGACGCCACTCTCGAAACATTACAGTATCCGCAGATCAGAACCATTGCCATCATTGCCGAAGGCATTCCCGAAAATATGACCCGAAAGATGAACAAAGAGGCAGCTCTTAAGGGCGTTACAGTTATCGGACCGGCCACTGTTGGCGGCATCAAACCCGGATGTTTCAAGATTGGCAACACTGGCGGAATGATGGACAACATACTGTCATCGATGCTCTACAGACCCGGAAGTGTTGCCTATGTTTCGAGATCGGGCGGAATGTCCAACGAACTTAACAATATTGTCTCGCGAGCAACCAATGGTGTCTACGAAGGTGTAGCCATTGGCGGCGATCGATATCCGGGAACAACATTTCTGGATCATTTGTTGCGCTACGAAAGAGATCCCAACATCAAAATGTTGGTTCTGTTGGGTGAAGTCGGCGGTATCGAAGAGTACGAAGTTTGTACAGCCATTCGCGATAAACGCATAACCAAACCGTTGGTCGCCTGGTGTATTGGTACCTGTGCCGGTATGTTCACCTCGGAAGTCCAGTTTGGCCATGCCGGTGCATGCGCCAATAGCGATCGCGAAACTGCGTTGACTAAAAACCAGGCGCTCAGAGATGCCGGCGCTCACGTCCCGTCGACTTTTGACGACTTGGGAAATACGATTCGACTCGTCTATCAAGAACTGGTGGACAAAAAGATTATTATACCTCAAGCGGAAGTTCCGCCGCCAACTGTTCCTATGGATTATCAATGGGCCCGCGAACTGGGACTCATTCGTAAGCCGGCATCGTTTATGACATCCATTTGCGACGAAAGAGGCCACGAGCTGTCCTATGCAGGCATTCCGATTACGACTGTCATCAAAGAGGAACTGGGTATCGGCGGAACTCTATCTCTACTGTGGTTTCAGCGTAGACTTCCAACTTATGCATCGAAATTCTTCGAAATGGTCTTAATGGTTACCGCCGATCACGGACCAGCTGTATCGGGCGCACACAACACTATTGTCTGCGCCCGCGCTGGCAAAGACTTGGTATCCTCACTAGTGTCCGGACTGTTGACAATTGGCGATCGTTTTGGCGGTGCACTTGACGGCGCTGCCCGACAGTTCAGTCAGGCCTACGATTCGGGAATGATTCCGCACGAGTTTGTCAACCAGACCCGCAAAGAGGGCCAACTGATTATGGGAATCGGACATCGGGTCAAATCGATTAACAATCCCGATATGAGAGTCAAACTGATGAAAGATTATGTTAAACAATCATTCCCTTCGACACCGGTATTAGACTATGCTTTGGCTGTCGAAAAAATAACCACATCTAAGGTAAGCGCATAATAACAACTCATGTTTTTAATATAATTACTGTAAAATTATTTTTTTTGTTGACAACTAATTGTGTGTTTATTTTTAAAATGATTCACAAATGATTTTTCAATTCAAATTCATAGAAACCAAACCTCATTCTCAATGTGGACGGAATTGTTGCCGTTGCTGTTGTCGATCTGCTCCGCAATAGCGGCTGCTTTACCGCCGAAGAGGCCCAGGAGTACATCGATGTCGGAGTACTTAACGGACTGTTTGTTTTGGGCCGAACTATCGGTTTTATTGGTTTGTATTATTAGTATTATTTAGTAATATATTTCAATTATTATCAATTGATAAAAAATAATTACCGGTATATCTCTAATTTTTAGGCCACTATTTGGATCAAAAGCGACTTAAACAAGGCTTGTATCGTCACCCGTGGGACGACATATCATATGTCTTACCCGAGTCTCAAATGAGCACAAATTAGTAATAATTTATTTTTCCAAATAATTGTTGAACAAAAAAAAGACAAACATATATTTAGATTTTAATTTAATTTTTTAAAATTATAATTAAAATAATAATTTTTATTATTTATTTATATATATATATAAATCTCAACGTATATTAACAAATTGTTGTCACAATTTGATGAAAATTGAGAGTCAATTAATAATTCTTATACTACAAAAAATATATCGTTTAATAATTATAATAATAATAATAATATAATTGAAATCTAGATTTTTGTTGTTGTTGTCATATGATGTGTATTCCAGTCGATAGTTATGTTATTTTAAAAAAATTTAATTTAAATCATTATTTTTTTCTCTCAGTTATCAATTTGAATCAATCATTTTTATAGATCTATTTTTACATTTTTTTCTCAATTATAAAACTTCGGATAATTTTTTTTGTTAATTATTTTATTTATGAAACAAAAACAAATATATATATATAATATAACAATAAAAATCTACAGAAAAAATAAATATATTTATTTTTAAAATATATATATATTATTAATTCATAGCAATAAATGGTTGTGAGTTTGAGGTCTTATTTTATTAATTAAGTGCTCAGAAAATGATAAACTAATTATTATATTTGAAAAGTAAAAAATAATTGATATATTTATTAAATACTAATTATAATGTGGACCTGATATATTTATATTATTTATTAATTTTTATTATTAATAATTAATATTTAAAAAAATATTCTCTCATTAATCCATTAGAAAAATATTAGGTAATTATTATTAAAATAAATACAAATATAATTAATTAAATATGTATTAATTAAGATAGTTGTATGAATCTATCTCTATGTCTATCTATCTATATATAAGTCAAATTAAATATTAATTAATCTTAAGCTATATTAATGTTGTAATCCATTTAAAATTATATAAAAAACATATACAGTAGTTATATATTAGAGTATGTCGTACTTAATATAGTTGTAATTATAATATGGATTAAATTTAATCTTACTTTGAAAACAAAAAAACTTAATTGTGAAAAATATCATTAATTTGTTGTTGTTGTTTGTGTGCCATTAAATTGTTTTAACGTTTTAATTATTATATTATATGCTTTTTTATTTAATTATTTAATTTACTACACTATTATTTAGCTGTAGTAACTTACTATTACTAATTATATATTTAATATTTTTTACGGGTCTATCATATAACTAACTTATTTAAAAATTTATTAGTCAATCATATATTTTAAAAAAATAATTATTAATTAATATCATCTTAATTACACACACATTTGGATATTATTAGTAAAAGTTATTATTTAAAAAAAATATCATTTTTTGCCAACAACTATATTATTAGACAAAATACATAATATATTATTAATATTATTAAAGATTATTTATTTTATTTTTTTAAATACGGATAACTAATTTGTTTTAACTATTTTTCTATTGAAAGCTTCGATAATTTGGATTAAAAGTAATGCCAAAAAACAAAGTTTACTTTTTAATACACAAAAAACATAAAACCTAAAATAAAACATTATTTGGTTGATTGACAAATATATAAAAGCGATTAAATTGGTTTAAATAATTGATTGATTAAAATGATAGTGAAATTAACAGCAATTTTTCAAAAAAACTCAAAAAAATAAATAAATTTCCATCTATTGGTGTCATAAAGTAATAGATTATTAATAATTTTATTATTAGTTTTTTTTTACAAATTTCTAGTATTATTAGCAATTTTCAAATATATTTTTTTATAATTAAATTTAGTTGTTTTTTAAAATTTCATTTTTTTAAATGTTATTTGTTTTGTTATTTTTTGTTATTATTATTATTATTATTTTTTATTAACTGATTAAAATAAATATTTTTATAATTATTTTTGTTATAGTAATTTTGTTGCATGACTTACCTTTATAAAATTAATAACACCTGGGTAATAATATACTGTACACTAGATTAAGTATTATACTATTGACTACTAGTTTTAAAAATAATATTATTAATATCACTAAATAATTAGTTATCACACAATTACATGGACAACAATTTTATCACAAAATCAATTTTTTTAAACCATAACTATATTATCGATAAATTATATATAAAATGTGCCATCTCATCTAAATTTTAAAAAATCAACTATTACTAAAAAAATGTCTTCATCAAAAAATACCGGTAATTTCAAACATAATATATATATGAGAAAAATTAGGATTAATTTCAATTCAATATTTATTTATTTAATCAATTCATTTGTTTTTTCTTTAAGAATTAAAAAATATATATAATTACAACTAAAAAAAATATTTTATATCAAAAAATAAATGAGATAATTATCATTATTATTATTATACATACAATTCGTTATATTATATATATATATAAAAAGTATACAATTGAACAAAAAAAGAGATCATCTAATTGTGAGTTTGTTTCGTATTATACGAAATATATAATTAGTATACATATATATAAAAGTATTTTCATTATTATATTATTCACAAAAAAATAATACCTTTTTTAAATTACTTAATATATAAAATCAATAGAGATTTTATAATTAAGATTATTTTATATTTAAAATCACCAGAAAATTTAAATAAAACAAAAATCCATTTACCGGTAATTGATTTTTTTGTTCATTTAATTATTGAGTCTTTTTTGTTGTTGTTAATTGTTGTTAATTGTTATTAATTGTTATTATTATTTTGTTTTTCAAATGGATTGTTGTATATATTTGTTGAGTGGTTTTTTTTGGTATTGAATACCGATTTTTTGTTTTGTTTTAATTGAGGGAAACAACAAAAATTATCCATAATTTTGTTGTTTTATTAATCATATGATATGATGATAATTGTTGTCATATTTTTTACTGGTATTTCTCAACGCCTGACGCTTATTGCAGAACCAAACTCTGACGACTTCCCGATCGTAATTCAATTGTTCGGACAGTTCGGTCATTTCGGAACCGGTCGGATGGGTATTCTTTTCGAAAAATATGTTCAACATTTCGAGAGCATTCGGTGTAAAAGATGTCCGACGCTTTCGTTTCTTGTTTGAATCGTTTCCCATAAATTCCGTAAGAGTTTGGTTACCATTTTTATACCTTTCCTCTGCCTCTTGCATCCAATTTTCTAAAACCGGTTTAATTTTTTGTGCGCTTTTCGGTGTGATATCTAATTTCTCAAATCTGTATTTTAAATATTTTTTTTTAATAAAAATAATAATAAACATTTTAGTGAACATTACAGTTAGTTATTATTTAGTTAAATGGTTAACCATACCTGCAAATGGCACTTTGACTATATGATGGACCCTCAGTGGCACTTAACGACTGTCCCACTTGTGTTTGTGTCAGACCTAATGACAGACGTCTTAATTTGAAAGCTTTGGCAAACTCTTTGATCTCTTCTAAATTAATTCCGTCGACAATATTAGCGTCGGTATTGCTTATAGTATCTGTAAATTTTGACAAAAAACAAACAATTTTTTATTAGTTAATCCATTTATAATTAATTGAATTAATAATACCTTTATTTGGAAGATTACAATGAGTTGTCGACTCGGCTTCCATCGTATGATTGGTCGACGAAGACGGCGACGATGTCTGACTTTCTACTGAACAAAGTCTCTCATTGTTGTTGTCGTCGTCGATGTCTTTAATTTCAGAACTGGTATCAAATGACTGACTAGTGTTCTCCTGACTCATCAGCGACGACGTCGACGACGATAACTGTGGCTTAGATGTGGTCGACGATACAAGTGTCGACACATTAGGCGACGACAGTGTCCGCGATTGTGTCGACGATTCAATTAGCTTTTGGTTCTGTTGTTTTTCAACAATTAATTGTTGTTTCTGTTGCTGTAATAGCAGTTGTTGTTGTTCTGCCTGTTGTTGTTGAATGATCTGCTGTTGAATCAATAGTTTGCTTTCTTCTAGTTGTTGTTGTTGTTGTTGCTGTTGAAGTAGCGAAGCATTTGTCACTAGTTGTGGCTGTTGTGATGATATAATCTGTTGAAGATATGGTTGGCCACCGATTTGTATGATCTGTGTAGTGGTAGTGTTTGATGGGTTTTGTGCGATAACTGATGGCTGATGATAGGCTTGATTTGAGATCTGAGGTGTGATTGCGAACACTTGTCCGGCAGAGTTGGCCACTAATTGTGTTTGCATTGGTAAGGCTGCTGATGCTGATGATTGAGGAGTACCCGTAACTATAAGATTGCCATTTTGTTGATATTGAGCCGAGTATTGTTGTTGTTGTGGTTGAGTAGTAGTAGACGGCGTTTGAGCTGCCAATCCCATGGCCTGTAAATTGGCTAAAGTGGTTGTAATAACCTGGCCGTTGGATAATACCATTTGCACCATTTGGTTAGCTGCCGGTGCGGCGGCAGAAACGGCGGGAACAGTCATACTGTTGTTGGCAGCAATTTGTTGGTTCACTGGAATGAGAACCTGTTGACCGTTAATAGTCTGTACGGCGTAACCCTGTGTCAGGCCAGCTATCGACGCACCGGTAGTTGTTGTCGCTCCTCCTCCTCCTCCTGGAGCTGCTATAACATATTGAGTGCCGGCTGCCGATTGGGCTGTCAACTGTTGTTGCAATTGTTGGAGGACTTGTGGATTTAAAGTGGTTGTTCCCATTATTTGTTGTTGTTGTTGTTGGGCACCGGTATTTGGTGTGGAACTAACAATATATTGAATTCCACCGCTTGTCACCACTTGCTGTGTCTGTTGCTGTTGTTGTTGCTGAGGTATACCAATGATTTGTGTGGCAGCAACCGACGACGCTGCCAACTGGCCACTAGTGGCCGCCGTTTGCGTGTTAACCGCCGAGTATGTAGTCTGCGGAAAATGCATTGATGATCACACAGTTGTTGAATTCGTTTCATTTAATTGTCATATCTTTATGAGTGAAGGATGAGTAGGAGGAGATGGTGGTGGAGATGAGGTATTTGTTTTGTATCGTTGAACCACTCATGTCCTCAGTTTGTGTGTCTTTGTGTCACTTAAGAGATATAAATATATATATATAGATAGATATATAACATATATATATATATATATATTTGAGTTGATATTTATTCAGCAAATAATCTCAATATGTTTGGCATTTAATTCATTATTAAATACATCATTGTTTGGGTAAAGAATTTTAGTTTTTTGGACTTAAAATTATGTTTGAACAGAGAGTTTCACTGAACACACATTCATATATATATATATTGATTACTCTCTTTCTATGTTTAGATACTGTGGTATAACTGAATGAGTGAGAGGAGACAGAGAGAGAGCTGCACAGGGCTTCAGGACTCAGTGATCAATGCAATTAAGTCTTGTGTCAGAGGAGGGAATGGGCTATAAAGAGAGTGAACGAGGCATACATTTAGAGTGGAAAAGGGAGGGAATATAGTCAGGGAATAGGAGACTACAGTACTGGGAGATAGAGAGAGATGTTGTCTGTGTGTGTGAGAGAGAGAGAGAGAGAGAGGCATTATATGCAACCACACCTCCCATTTTCCGATGGCTTTCCTTTCCTCTTTTTAAACATAAAAATCACTGGCTATTAGTGCCCGAAAAATATATGTAAATTTCGATGCATTTTCATCACCAAAAAGAAATCCAAGCAATCATTATAATATTCGTTTCTCTCTTTCGAAAAATCATTATTTTTTGATTTCCCATTCAATTCAAAATGTATACACATTTTACATACCATTCAATCACTACAATCTCTCTCTCTCTCTCTCTCTCTCTCTCTCTCTTAATGTAATTCCTCTTATTTTTAAATCACATATTTATTCACTACTATTATTTCCCTCTAAATTATATTGTTTTCTCCATTTACTACTAGTTTAGGTTTTTAACTTATAAAGTATACCGTATTATATCCTACCCTACCCTTCAAAAACGCATCACCACTTGAGATTGAAGAAAAATTATACATATATTTAAATACATTCAACAAATTATTCAAACTATTTTATCTATATATATACGGTATAATATATGCTTATTCAGGAAATAAATAGTTTTTTTTGTTGAGTTTAATTTTTTTTTTTTGATTCAAGCAGTGCACCGAAAAAAAGTGTTAAAAATAAGTTTACATTATTTTTCCATATATTATACTATAAGGCGATTAGAAAAGCGCAGCATTTTTTGCACTGGAAATATAAAAAAGAGGATTTAATCAGAAAATAAAAGTTTAGATTTTTTTGTTGTGTTGTTTGGCTTAAATTCATAGTATAGGTAATAGCTATTAGATATCATTATTTTACAATACAAATGAAATTGTTTTTTTTAAATAGAAAGAAAGAGAGACAAAAAAAGGAAAGAGAGAGAGAGAGAAACAATGAGTTTTTAGTTAATATTAAATATATGTTTCGTTTAGAGACCCATCAAAAAACTTATTTTACATAAATATATAGCCCGACATACAGCTCCGGGCATTAATAATGAGTAGTCGTTCCTATGTTTTTCTAAAAATGATGGTAAGCTTGTGTTTTTGAAAATGACAGTAAAAATATATTAATGATAGCAACTGATAGGCAACTGTTAGTATTAGTTGTAGTATAGGTGCGGTGTGTTTGGACTCTAAAACTTTGGTAGAGAGAGAGACAGGGAGAGAGAGAGAGAGAGAGAGAGAGAGAAAAGGCTCATATATTTATGTATATATATATAATTCATGACTTATAGGCTAAGCCCCGGACTGTCATATTTTTCTGTTCAAAAATTCATAATATATATAATGTTTTCAAAAATTTTTGAATATAACACTAGCTTTTAAAAGACTTTTGGCGAAAAATTTTTGAGCTTTTCCTCGCCTATAGAGAGAAGTAAAGAGAGAGAGAGAGAGAGAGAGAGAGAGAGAGAGAGAGAGTCATAAATTATTACTTGCTTTCAATACATAACTTAAAAGTATTGTAATAAATGTGTTATACATTTTAGACACAGGTTTTTGGTGGTCAAACACACCATAATATATATATATAGGTATACAATAAATATATGGTATACCACACACACAATGGGTTTTCATGGAAAGTCATATTTTGAGAGACAATATATTTCCCATCTTTATTGTCGTCGCAGAAAAATTTTGATGTGATTTTCACTTATGGTTTCTCTCGTGAAATATATATAAAATTTTTGTTTATTTTTATTTTAAATTTTTTTTTTGTTATTAGTATAAGAAAATCCTGTTTATTGTATATATATTTTTCTCATTTTAAATAAACTTCTTTTTTAAATTATCTAATGGACCAAAAAAACATATGCTTTGGTTTTATTTTATTTTGAAACAAAACTGCTGTTTAGTATTATAATAAATAATAGCATAGCATTGAAATTCATATTTTTGTTTGATGAATGTACTACTAAAATATATATTATAAAAAATTATACATATATTTATATTAATATCAACAAAAAAAAAATATTTTGAGTTATTATCTCCCCAGAAAAAACAACATATTTATAAATCCTCTAAAATTTTTAAAATGCATTATTTTTTCAACAAAAAAAACATATATAATAAATTATTGATAAGAGATAAGGGGATGTAATTTATAGTGATTTATGTGATGTGACATTGATTATACTATCTCTCTCTCTCTCTCTCTCTCTTTCTCTTCAATAATATTTCCCTTTTATTCCCTAAACTCTCCGAAAAAAACCAATACATTAATAATCAATCGATTATTCAAATTCTGTTAAAAATCGATATTATTATTGTTTAACTTTAAAACTCTCTAAAGAATACGTCCGATACTTCAATGTTAACTCCAATAATAATAATAATACTAATATAATGTTAAACTTATTTAACAAAAATACGTTAACAAAATAGCTAATAGTTAGTTATATATAAATTAAATACACAGAATAAAGTGTATACATATCTTTATATAATACTTATAATGTAATACATGTTTCAATCTTACATCAAAAAATATCAATTTAAAGATATCATATTTAATTATAGGGTTTACCTAATATCGGTATATAATAATTATTGACTATAACCTAAAACACCAAACCTTAAATTTTAAAGAAAAATCATAATAATTACCAAAACAAAATTATTATTATATTATAACACCGATTTTTTTGAGACAAATATCTTATATACAGTACTTTAACAAATCATAGACATTATCGACATATCAACATAAATGTATTTACAGTACTGTATACACATGTTTTTCATTATAAACATGTATACATTTTAATGGCTAATTTATTTTTTGTGTTGAACAAAAAATAAAAAATAAACAACTAGATATCATAAATAAATAAAACTATCAATTAAATTATGCAGAGATTTATAGATAAATAATATATATATAGTCTATAAGGAATCGTATAATAAAATTATTAACTTTTAGAAGCTATATATCTAATTTACATTTAATAGTAATTTTCATTATAAAATTTATATATATATATACGGTATATAATTTAACAAAACTATGATTTACTTAACATATTTGTACAACATTTAATAAAACTATATATAATAAGTATAGAATATTTTTAAATATACACTAGTTTTATATTTTTATATACAGTAGAATCGGATTATGCTATTGTTTTCTAAGTAAATATAATCCTATTGTTTTGTAATATCGTTTCCATAGAATTTTAAAGTTATTTATTAAATCAAATTCATAGGAAAACATATCATAATACTGTATAATATAAATAATATTTATTAAAAGCATATGCCATTAAATTACTATACTTTAGTTGAAAATTAATTAAAAAAATATTAATAAAAAGCACAACAAATAAAAAACAAAATTTTTAATGAGCTTAAACATAATATAATAGTAGATAGACTATATAAAATATAAATAATAAAATACTGTATAAATATAATTAAAATTCACTTTAACTATTTTGTTTTTTTTGTCTGTTTGTTAAATACATTTATTTTTAAAATATATTATTTGAAATTATGTTATAATGTTTGCAGTATACAATTTATAACATTTAATTAAAATCTCTGTTTTTCTAAAATAATAAATACATACATATACTAAGTTTAAATATAGATAAAATAAAAATAAATAAATATTTTTAATTAAAATTAAAGATACTATGAATCTTATTAATTTTATAACATGTAAAATCAATTAGCAACATTATATATATAACTATTTAATTTAAATTAAATTAATAAAAAATTTTAAAAACTATGAAAATATTTATTTAACTATCTTTTTTAAATTAAAATCTATTTATGCAGGTATTTTTTATGTTAATTTATTGTTATTATGTTAATATATAAACAAGTTATTGTTTTTTTTAATCTTAATTTTTATTTTATATGCATGTTTGCAAAGTAACAAATTTTGTATATTTTTATAAAATGTTAAAATCGTTTAGGTATTGGGATATTTTTTTATTTTAATTACTTAAACAAAATTTTATTATTTTGTTTAATCATATATTAATACTGTATATAATATATACTATATATTATACTGTAGTATAACTTATAATTTATGATAAAACCTTTTAATTTAATAAAAAATCAAAATTTATATTTCATTTTCCCCAAATATTTTTATAAGCTTTTAATTATATCATTAATTAAAATAAATAAACAATAACTTAATTTATTTAGGATATATGTTATTACACATAAAAAAAATATTATAATTAAAAAAAACAATAACAGATCTATACTGTAGTTAAATAAAACTATAATTTATAACTCATTTTTTTTTTAACCATAAGTTAACTATAGGCTATAAGTGTTAAACTTTAACTGTATATACAGTATAATACATACCTATGTTTTTATTATCAGATAACTTATGTTAATGATTGCTATTAAATGTCAAATTACAACAACAATATTATTATTATATTACAGTTCAGTATTATTACTGTAATAAATGTAATAAATTTTTAAAAACAAATAATAAAACTAATAATAATTGTTGTGTTAAACACATTGTTTAGTCACCTATTCATTGAACACTAATTTATTAATGTGTGTAAAGTTATTAACAGTTAACAGTAAACTATCAATACATTAGAGACATTATACAGTATATACAGTACTATACAGTATATAGCAATAAAAATGTTTAAATTTTATTATCAATGAAAAACATATCACACATATGATTGACACAAACATAAGTCAGTGAAAAAAAAGTAATTAATAATAAAAACTGCACCACAAAAAAAATAATAAAAAAAATTATCGCTAAAAATTAGGATCAAATTATTTGGTGATAATTATTATTATTATTAAAGACAACAACAAAACACTTGTTTTGTTTGGTTTGTATGGTTTGTCTGTTAAATAAAATTTTTGTTATAATTTAATATCAATGAAGACGTCGTTTATTTTCATACATTTAGACATTGTATTGAAAATGTATTGAAAAAAAACATTTTTGACGCAATGTTTGCAAACATTATTATTATTATTACTTTTTTTTAATAATATAAACATTGAAAACAAAAAAAGTTATATCAATTGACAAAACAAACTAAACAACAAATACATAATCATATGATTTGATATCATTATCAGAAAAAAAAACTAAACACTAATTAAATAGCTATTAGTTTTGGATTATCAATACTAATGGATCAACTGTTGGAAACATCGACAACAACAACAACATCATCGACGACAACAACTCTTGAGGTTAATTTAAATAAGACATTAATAACTCCTATTTGATCCCATTTTTTTTGCTAACAAGTTTTGTTTTGTGTCCAACTAATAGACGGATCAAATCAGCGATGATAGCGATGAGGTTTGTTTTGTCATCAAAAAAGTTGATTTGTTTGTTATCTCTTAACCTCTCTCTCTCTCTCTCTCTCTCTCTCTCTCTCTCTCTCTCTCTCTCTCTCTCTCTCTCTCTCTCTCTCTCTTTCTCTCTCTCTCTTCCCGATTGGACAACAGGAAGTGGAGCCGAAACTGACGTACGAAAGGATTACCAACGATGTGACGGCAATACTGAAGAAAGAGTCGGCCACTTGTCTGGCCGTACACTCGAAGGTTAGTCTAGTCAATCAGTCAGTCGGACAGAAATCTCGGATGAATTGGTGATCAGATTTTTTTTTTTTTTTTGATCTCATCTTTACTTAATTATCATTTAGTTTATAGCATTGGCCACACATTTGGGCAAAATTAATATCATCGACGTATTGGGCAATCGTGTAAATGATCGCGAATTATGTCTGGTTTGTTCATTAATTTTTATGGATCAGTTAAATTTGTTATTGATTTTAAGTTAATTATTTTGATTTTCTGATGACAGCACAAGACATCCATCAATCAGATCAGTATCGATGAAAAAGGCGAATATCTGGCCTCCAGTTCCGATGACAGAGTATTTAATAATTTATTTTATTTGTTTGTTTATGTCTTTTATTTGACGATTAAATTCAAATTATTTGGTATTTTTTTTATCGACAGATTGTTATCATAGGATTGTATTCATCGGACAACAACTATCACAATACATTTGACCGACCCATCAGAGCCATAGCCATTGATCCGTATTTTAGGAAACGGCAGCGTTTTGTTGTCGGCGAAGGAGATAAAGTGATTGATTAATTAAATATATATTTTTGATAATTAAAAAAAAATGTATGTTTTGTATACTAATTATCATTAATTTATTTAATTTTCTTTTTAGATTGTTTTATACGAAAAGACATTTTTGTCTCGATATCGGCCGATAATTCTCCAACAATCGAAAGGCCAGATCCGGAACATCCGATGGCGGACACAATTCATTGCTTGGGCCAGTGATTTGTGCGTCAAAATCTACGATATTGAAGACAAAGCTGTTATCACTTATATTGAAAGAGATAAAGACAACGATTTGCAAAGGTTTTTCATACAATGAATGAAAATGTCTTAAACAATAACTTTTTTTTGACAATTATTTTATTTGTGTACCAGATTTAGACCTGAACTCTTCAAATGTCACTTTTGCTGGAAAGACGACAAAACATTGCTGATTGGTTGGGCCGACACTATAAAGATCTGCTGTATTAAACAAAAACCAAACAACGAACTGCCCCGTCGTTACGTCCAATTAAGTGAATATTTTTTGCTTGTTTTTGTTATCTTAATATCTGTTAAATTATTGGTAAATAAAAAAAATTATTCAACCATTTGTCTGTCCCTCTAACAGCCGCGTCGTTAAATGTCGGTTTCGGTGTCTGCGGTATAGCACCGATAGAATCGAAACTTGTAGTACTCTGTGTTAACAAAGAGGCCAATCAATTGGACAATACGTTTAACTGTAGAGTAGAAGTTATCGAACCGATTGGAACCGATGGTTACGAAGAAATTTCAAGTGATATATTATCGCCAAAGTCTTTCAACAATTGTCGCAGTAGTGACTATCACGTGGACTGTTTGCCTGAGGAAGGATTGTATTTGATTCTATGTCCGAAAGATTTGATTATTGCCAAACCGCGCGAAGAAGATGATCACATTACATGGCTTCTGGAACATCAACAGTACGAAGAAGCTCTGAAAGTGGTTGAAAACAACAACAACAATAAAAACATCAGAAAACATACAGTTCTAAGTGTCGGAAGTGTTTATCTAAAGTCACTGTTAGATGAGTCACCAACCAATCACAGTCAATATGAAAAGGCGGCTAAACTTTGTTGTCAAATATGTGGAACCGATAAGACTGCGTGGGAAAATCAAGTGATGCGTTTCAAACGTATTGGTCAGCTGAGAGTAATGGCTCCATATCTTCCTCGCGGACCCGAACTCATACTCGATCCGGCCATCTATGAGATTGTACTGAAAGAGTTCTTGGAATTGGATAGCAAAGGATTTTTGCAGACAATACGCCAATGGAATCCCAATATCTATAGTATTTCGACTATAGTTAAGGCAACACTGGGTGTGTTGACAATTGATCCAAAAAATCGAAATCTATTGGAAGCGTTGGCCGAATTGTATTCACACGACGGCAAACACGACAAAGCGTTGACTATTTATAAAGATATCGGAAATAAAGTACAAGTGTTTGATTTGATTCGGAAATATGGTTTATACGCCAAACTTCAGGAACAGATGGAAGTATTTTTCCAATTGAATTCAGAAGAGACGGCAAAACTATTAATTGAAAATCAAGAGATAATTCCCGCCGAATTAGTGGTCAAACAACTCCGTCCAAAACCTCAACTATTGTTTGTCTATTTGGACCAATTGGTCGCACATAAAGACTCAGAAGTCTGTTCAGCGCATCACGGATTACTTGTCCAACTCTATGCCCAATACTCGCCCGATAAGCTGATGGCATTCCTCAGGAGTTCTAATTACTATGAATTGGAAACTGCTTTAGAAGTTTGTCGCAAAAAGAATTTATTCAATGAAGTTGTGTTTCTTTTAGGACGAATGGGTAATACTAAAGAAGCACTTCAATTGATTACCGATAAACTCAATGATATTAATTACGCCATCGAGTTCTGCAAAGAGCACTCAGATTCAGAACTTTGGGAAGATTTGATCCGCTACTCAATGAATAAGCCGAGGTTTATACGGGTTTTACTTCAAAATATTGGCACACATATGGCTGATCCCATTGCACTGATACACCGGATACCAGAGGGTCTCAAAATTGATGGACTGATGCAAGCATTGGTCAGAATACTTCAGGACTATAATCTACAGACTGAACTGGAAGATGGCTGTCGACGTGTCTTAGTTTCCGATTGTTATTCGTTGCTTCAGAAACTCAATCGAGTTCACAAAAGAGGTCTTCTTGTCGATGAAGACTATATTTGTCACGGATGTCAGCGAAAAGTGTTTGCCAGAGGTATAGACTGATTATTATTATGTATACAATAATTATCTAATATTTTTCTTGTAATGCATACAGAGATCCGCTACGCAAGTGATATAATTGTGTTCAACTGTCGCCATGTTTTTCACGAAACTTGTTTGTTGACCACAACCGGCGTAAGTGTTTGTTTCGGATATAATATAATTGTCATTAAATTTTTGATTGAATAAATGTTATGATTATATGAATATAGAAAAATCAATTATTAATTTAAATACGATTTTTTTTGTTGATTTTTTACAGGAATTTGTTTGTCTTATATGTAGTGCTCAAGAAAGAAGTGAATTCAAGATATCATAGTCTATAAGCAATTATATTTGTGTCCAAAAATATTTTTATTAAATTAATTATATTATATTTAAATTATAGTATATTTTTCTCAACAAATTTATAGATGCTATCTATCAATAAGTTATGATGTTTTTTATTATTATATTAAGTCTATATAGTTTTTTTTTAATAAAATTACAAAATAAAAATAAAAAGCTATTTATTTATTATCACTAATATTGTGTACAAATATTGATTTTGTATAAATTATTAAATAATTTATTTAATTATTTTAATATAAATGCAATTATATAAATATATTTTAATTGAATAAAATTAATTGTAATATTTAAAGTGCAAATAATTGTGATGTTTAGTATTAAAACTATACTAACCTACCAGTGCTAATGTCTAGGGCCATATCACGCTGAAAGCACCGGTTCTCGTTCGATCACCGAAGTTAAGCAGCGTCGAGCCCGGTTAGTACTTGGGAGGGAGACCACCTGGGAATACCGGGTGTCCTAGACACTTTTTTGTGAGTGCTGCTAATTTTTAGTTTTTAAACAATTTTTTTATGTATGCACATTTTGCAAATCAATTATTTATTTTTTTGAAAAAATAATTTTATCAAACACTTTATAAATTGTATACAATATATGGTATACATATTAATATTTTTACAATTATTACAGTAGATTTGCAACTACACTGTTTAGTGAACTAAAAATTTATTATATATGATATCATATATATATATTATGTAAAAAAAACAATCAAAAATTAGTACAAAAATAGTTGATATTTAAAATAATTGTTTAAAATCTAAAAATTAGCAGCACTCACAAAAAAGTGTCTAGGACACCCGGTATTCCCAGGTGGTCTCCCTCCCAAGTACTAACCGGGCTCGACGCTGCTTAACTTCGGTGATCGAACGAGAACCGGTGCTTTCAGCGTGATATGGCCCTAGACATTAGCACTGGTAGGTTAGTATAGTTTTAATACTAAACATCACAATTATTTAATACATCAATAATGATATATAAATTAGTTAATTAATAATAATAATATACTTTTTTCGTTGTTTACTAACTTTTACAATAAAATATTACTATATTTGAAGTCACGTGACGTCACCACAGTTTATACACACAAACACAACAACAATATACACACTATAGTCACGTGTATTACTAACACATGTCATAAATTTTATAATAAAATTATGTATAAATCAAAACAATAATAATAATAATAACTATTATAACTAATAGTTATTACAATATCGGTTGAAATCAATCGGACGGACAAATCGGGACCAAAAAAAACAATGGCATCGAAAAAAGGTCAACCATTGTCACAATTGTTACCGAAATCTAGTCGTCATTTTGCAAGCGAAGACTACTGGAACAAGTTCTTTAAGACCCGAAAGGATTCGTTCGAGTGGTACGCCGAGTGTCACCATTTGGCCGGACTGTTCGGTAGATATGTCAAACCCAAGGATCCGATTTTGGTGATCGGTTGCGGCAATTCCTCCCTAAGCGCCGACATGTATGACATGGGATTCACTGATAATACCAGTGTTGACATCAGCGAAGTTGTTGTCGAACAGATGCGGACAAAGTATAATCCAAACGATAGTCGACGACCAGGTCTTCAGTTTCACTGTATGGATGTGTTTGACATGAAGTTCGCGGCCGACCGTCGATTTGCAGTTGTTGTTGATAAGGGAACTCTCGATGCAATTGCATCGGACAAACAGTCTTCAGCCACTAATGTCTGCAAAATGTTTGAACAAATCGATTCAGTACTCAAACCGTTTGGTCGCTATCTGTGTATTAGTCTTCTTCAGAGTCATATACTCAAGTTGTTGATGAATTGGTTTACCAGAAACGGCAATTGGCTTATAAGGATCGAGAGACTGGAAAACGCCGAAGATATGACACGATTGCAGTCTAATGAAGATTCACTCGTTTTGCCTGTATTTGCAGTAATTTGTACGAAACTGATGCCAAAACAACAACTGCAACAACAAAACGATGTGATAATTGAGTTGAATTTAAGTGAAACTAATGATAATAAACCGAAACGTCTGAACGATATCGACTCAGTCTTCGATGCCATTGAATCCGTTCAAGAGTTTGCATTCATACAGCACTACATCAAAAACATAGACATTGCTGAACAAGAAGACGAAGTTTATCTGAATTTGTTTGACGAAAACGATTCATCCAATCCTCGATATACACTGTATTTCTCGAATTATGCTAACAAAAGATCAAAGTCTGCGCTGAGTTGCGGTGTATTTATAGTACCCGAAGGCCGGGAAATTGAATGGCTGTTCGGCACTGCCAAAGGTCGCATCGAACTGACCAAACAGTCGGGTTTCGAGCGATTAATTGTTGTCCATCTCAATCGCAATCATAAATTCACTGATATTGACCAAATCAAAAACGAATTGTCGCCGAAAATCTTGGAATTAGTTCCGAATAGTGTACTATCAGCTGATTATAAGATACCATATCTGACTATTGGCGAAGAAGTTGGCAAACGAATTGTCGTACATAAAGGCAAAAGTGATTTGAGTGGCGATTATGTGGTCGAAGAGATATTAATCAATAATAGTAATTATCGGAGACTTATATTTTTGAGTAATAAAAATATTATACAATCGGAGGCCAAACTCAAGACAGTTAAGAAGGGAAAGAAAAAAGTGTCAGTAGTTGATCCACACTATCTGTCTTGTAGTCATCACGAGATTATTACCGCTGGACTTACGTTATTACCGAATGATTTGTCGAAACGATTTGATATATTGTTAGTCGGTTTGGGCGGCGGATGTCTGTCGTCGTATATCATCGACAATATTAAAACTGATGTGCAATTGAATATCAAAGTCATTGAGATTGATCCGGCCATGAAAGACATTGCTGGTAAATGGTTTAATTTCCGAACCAATAATAGTCAAGCAAACAATGTTAATGTTGACATCGAGCTATTAGATGGACTCGACTATATCAACAAATTAGATCCATTGGTTCAATCCTATGATGCCATCATATTTGATGTCGATAGCAAGGATGTTAACGTTGGACTTAGTTGTCCGCCGATGCCGTTTCTTGACATTGATTTTATTGGAAGAATCAAAACTATTTTATCCGAAAGAAATGGTATATTTATATTGAATTTGGTTTCGCGTAATGAAGATATTAAACTAGATGTCTATAAACGATTGAATAGTGTTTTTGACATCACATATGTGTATCCAATATATCAAGAACTTAATGAAATATTGTTTGCATTTTCCAAATCACAATCAGTTCCCGATTGGCTAAACCAGAGATCGGTGGCCAATAAATTGGGTTTTATAAACAAACATTGTTTTTATATACCATTTCTTAAAGATTCATACATTGATTTGTGTGGCAATCGATTCAATGTATTGAAGACCAGTTGATCCGATGATAGTTATCAATCGATCCCATAGTTTTCTAACTCTAGGTTGTACTGTATATAAATATTTATATATAATGTTGAAAAATTGTTTTGAACTAAATAAACAAACAAAACAAAAAAGTTTATTAATGTAATAAAAAAAATAATTACTGACTACAGGAAAAAAAACTACATTTAATTATCACATTATAATTGATCCGTCAATTAGTAATACAAACTAATATTTAATTAGTCTATTAATATACGTATGCCTTAAACATAGCGCTTATGTATTAGAGAGTGACGTCAGTTATGAATGTATTTTATTATTGACTGTAAATGTAATGTAAAAAAACATTAATAATAAACAATACAAACATTGACTGCAATGACAGTGCAATGCAAATGCTATTTGAAAGACACGTCACGTCAAAGATTTGATCCCAAAAGAGTTGCTGAGAACTAACTGACAGTTCAACAACTGATTCGACTAATAAAGATCCGACAAAATGGTTTTGATGACAATGATTGCCCGCGTGTCCGATGGACTACCGCTGGCCGCGTCCGTTCAGGACGACCAACAGGTAAGAGTCATCCGTATATATATACGTAAAGATCTGCCGGCGTTTGTTAATATCACCGCTTGTTTTTGTCGGACAAATAGATTGGTCGGTCTGTTCTCGAGTACCAAAATCAGGCGAAGATGTTGTTCCGCAAACTGAATGCCCAGTCGCCGCCGCAGATGACCATCGAAACCGGACAGTATCTGTTCCAGTAAGTGAACCAATCAATCAATCGATACGATCAGTAATAGTAAAGCCGGTAATAATGTCATTATTCTTCTACTTTTCGATATATAGTTATCTCATCGACAGTCACGTCTGTTATCTGATACTATGCGACAAATCATTTTCCAAGAGACTGGCGTTTAGCTATTTAGAAGACCTGCAAAACGAATTCAAGAACCAATACGGTTCGCGTGTCCACACGGTTTCCCGACCGTACAGTTTCATTGAGTTCGGTACGATTGTGACCACAAATAAATAAAATAATATCTTTGTATATTTACATGTTATTTACGGATATTTTTGTTGTTACGGTAATTACCGGTATAGATAATTACATTCAAAAGGCCAAGAAGTCCATAATGGATGCCAGAGCCCGAAGAAATCTCACACAATTGAACACTGAATTACAAGATGTCCAGAAAATTATGGTCCAAAATATCGACGACGTCCTGCAGCGTGGACTAGCCATCTCCGGTCAGTAGTAGCATATGAGTAGATGCATATAAAAATGCATTCATATTGTGATTATAATTAAATTGTTTTATCAATTATATACAGAATTGGATAACAAGGCCAGCAATTTGTCGTTATTATCACAAAAGTATAAAAAGGACGCCCGATATCTGAACATTCGGGCCACTTATGCGAAGGCCGCGGCCGCCGGTGTTATTGTTTTTGTCTTTGTTCTCTACTTTTGGATTCTATAAGATTATTATATTATAATTATTATTATTAATATTTAGTTTTAATAATATATAAATTTACATAAAAATATTTTTAAAGAGATATTTGCATCGGCTTTTAGATGTTAACCGATTAACTATGGTATCGATTTAGTAGTGTTTTATTATTATTATTATTGTTGTTGTTTTGTGGACCAAATAATAAGTAGTATTGTTTATCACACACACTCATAGCTCTTAAATAGCTTCAATAACTTCACCATCAAATTAATTATATATATATTTAGATTTAGTTGATCTTATTAGTTGTGTTTGGAAAACAACGCCAAAAAACTACCAGTCCTTTAGTACTACTGGTTGTAAATTGTCTGAAAGATAGTGTGTGTGTGTTATTATGATAGTTATAATAACATTTAGGCCCAAAAATATCTCTTATATATATATATATATAATATTTTGCTGAATTAAAGTTAAAAATTTTTGTATTTTTACTTTATTATTATTATTATAATAGTTTGTTTAATTTAATGTACATATGTTTTTTATTATCAAATAATAATAATAATAATAAAATGATAATTATATTTTATATTTATATATAAATACTGTATGTGTTTATAATGGGTTGTTGTGTCTGTCTGTGTGTTTGAAAAGCTAGTGTTGATGCAAACGATTGACTGCAAATGCTGTCCGCATGAGATCAGCTCCGTTAAGGGTTAGCATAGGATTAAAGTTAAAATAATTAGTATAAGGACCGGGACTTAATGCCGTTGGCGTTGACTGTGTGACCGTAGCCGACGGTGGCGGACATAACGGTGTCATCTGTGGCGAGAATATCAACGATGAAGACTCTGGCGAATCGGTACTGTTGTCGATGACTTTAGCCCGCAGTTCATCCAAACGCATATTGTTTTGTCGCTTCCATTTAGTTCTGAACAGATGATCACCAGAATTGTGGTAATAATTACAGTAATTTGGACATCAAATTGATTTGTTTTGACTTACCGTCGATTCTGATACCAAGTCTTGATCTGTGTTTCCGTCAGATTCAATGTCAGAGCTACCTGTCCTCTGTCCGAAACACTCAGATACTTCTGTAGACGAAACTTGCGCTCCAAGTAATTGAGTTGAATCTATTGAAAATCAATTGAAAATAAAATCTAGTGATGAAAATGGACAACAATTTATTTATTTTTTAAAAAAATAGTCTAATTTGTGTCTTATTGTTACACTATATATAATCACAACAACAACAAAATTATTGCAAACCTGTGTGAATGCCGTTCGCCTTCTGCGGGCTTTCTTCTGGCGATTGGTTTTAGTTGTTTCGCTATTTGTTTCATTGCCTTTCAATTAAAAAAAATTAATTTATATTTATTTTATTTTTGCAAATTTTATATACTTTGTAATCTATAATAATTACTTAAATAGTAATAATAGTAATAATATAATTTACTCTAATTAAGTATATATATATAATATATTTCATAAATATCTAATTAAATGTACTGTCTATATAGGGTTGTTAAACAACAATTTTTGAATAATGTATTGAATAGTTTTAGTCAATTTTAGGTTAAGTTTAACTTTTTTTAAAACTAAATACTTGTGTCATTTTTTCAATAATATTTTAACTATATTTATAAATATTTTACTACTTTATTAAAATATCAAGTTTAAAAAACTAATTTATTAACTGTGAATTAATTTATGATTATATATTACCGGTAATTGCATTTTTTAAATACAATAAAAATGTTGATTATACCCAACAATAATTATTACTAAATTATATAAGTTTTTTTACAAACAAAATGAGATTTACTAAATCTTGTATATTTTTCAATACTAGTAATTCAAAACTTTTTATAATATAAAGTATTTTTCTAATTTTGCTTACAAATCTATAATGTTCAATAATTTTCATAAAAAATTGTAATTATTTTATTTACGTTAATAATATAATAGATTTTTAATAAATAAATTGTTACATATATATAAAGTCACTTTCATAACCCCTTTAACTGGTTTTTTATTAATAACTCAAAAACTAATTTAGATATTTAAACCAAAATTTTATGAGAAACATGGACTTCTGGAACGTACAGTTTGATACTATAAATTTTAATAATTAATTGCACAGGTAGGCTAGCTCAGGGAGGTGTGATATCTCAAAAACTATAAAAGATATACAAAAATTATAAAATGAATAATATACTAGGTCAAAAATAAATTTAGACGTGTTTTAGGATTTTTTGATAAAACTCATGGTTTATTCATAAATTACGTTTAAACATAAAATTGTGCAATATTCAAAATTGAATATTTCAATATTGTATTAATATAATAATATGTAATTAATCACAAAATATTCTATAATTAATTAATTATTTAAAATAAAAATATCAATTTTTTATATTATAAAATTTTTAGTAAAAAATAAAAAACAAATATTAGAAATAAATTTCAATGTAAATAAGATAACATTTAATTAATTTGATGAAATTTATATCTGGTATGACCACTGGTATTAGCAATTATTTGTTGCATTCATTTGGCATAGAATTAATACCAGATATTAATTTCATTAAATTCGTTAAATATAATCTTATTTACATTGAAATTTATTTCTAATATTTGTTTTCTATTTTTTACTAAAAATTTTATAGTATAAAAAATTGATATTTTTGTTTTAAATAATTAATTAATTATAGAATATTTTGTGATTAATTACATATTATTATATTAATACAATATTGAAATATTCAATTTTGAATATTGCACAATTTTATGTTTAAACGTAATTTATGAATAAACCATGAGTTTTATCAAAAAATCCTAAAACACGTCTAAATTTATTTTTGACCTAGTATATTATTCATTTTATAATTTTTGTATATCTTTTATAGTTTTTGAGATATCACACCTCCCTGAGCTAGCCTACCTGTGCAATTAATTATTAAAATTTATAGTATCAAACTGTACGTTCCAGAAGTCCATGTTTCTCATAAAATTTTGGTTTAAATATCTAAATTAGTTTTTGAGTTATTAATAAAAAACCAGTTAAAGGGGTTATGAAAGTGACTTTATATATATATATAATTTATATATGGTAATCTCTATATACTTGCATATGTTAGTAATATATAGTTTTTAAAATAATAAAATACAATTTTTATAACTAATATTTTTATTTAACTAATATAACGAAACTCTATAGAGTTAATATGTATTTATTTTTAAATATATTTTTAACAATTTTGATTTTGTTGTTAGTTTAAAACTACCATAAACTACAAGATAAACTGTTAAATTAAAAGATTATATCCATATAAGAGAGTGTCTGGTTATACATTACATTATAGACAGTATAATGAAAAATTCTGGTATGTATCACACAAATGGTAGTCCTAAATGACTATATCATATCGTATAATCAAAAACGGTATTATATTTTTTTTACTTATTTTGATGGGTTAATGGGATTTATGATGTAGATGTGATGGACATCCGCTATAAAACATCAATTGGGGTTTCAATCTTAACTTCAAAAAATGTTTAACTGATTTATCACAAATTTTACTCTTAAACTCTTAAAATCATTGGTTTTTAAAAGAAACGTTAAATGCCATTAAAAATCAACATTAAAATCAGTTAAAAGGCTCAACAAAAAAAAACTTTCCATAACTATTAGCACTTAAGAGTAATTAAAATTTGTGTTAAAAAAGGATAAACTTTACCGACAAATAAAATATATAAAATAAAAAGTAATAAAAATGTTTACAAAAAACATTTCATATTAGAGAGAGAGTGTTAAATGTCTCAGACTTTAAAAATGTTAAGTATTTGATGACTATATTTATAACTTTTTTTTCAAAAAATGTCTCAAATGTTTAAACTCTTATATAACTTATAACAGTATTATATTGTAATACTAATAATAGTATTAAAATTGCACAAAAAATTATGTTTAAAATGGTCAGGGACAACTGTTGATTTAAATTATCAACACATAATCATCAATAATAAAAATTATCAAGCTACTAAATTTCTTTTTCAAGAAAATATATAAATATTTACAGGAAGTTTATTATAGGATATATTTGTTAAGTAAATAATATCATAATAATAATACAAAAAAAATATTTAAATTAATAATTCAATTAAACTTATTCTCAAAAATTTTCTATACTCTCTTGTATATACAATACTATATGTGTAGTTATGTATAGAAAATATTATAAATAAATTGTAATATCAATGAATAATTTGAAATTCAAAATACATATATATATATATATAATATATTTCTATTAATATTTATTTAAAATATTATTCTCATAAAAATTATGCCCATTTTTTATATTAAGTATCATATAATACAAAGTAGATTATTGTATGATATTGGATATACTTAATAATTTGTTGGGTATATATTGTATCATATAATATATTATTTTATAATACAGTGTTATTTTTTACATTTATAGCTATTGAATAATATTATATTATCAAATAAAAAAAAAAGTAAACGACAGATGAAATCTATACATAACAAAAATTTGCATTAAATAAAAACGCGTTATATATTTTAAAATATCAATCAAACAATTGAAATGTTTTGCATAAAATACATTTGTCATCACATACAGTATATATAGTATTTACAAAAGTTTTTTTTGTGAACATTTTGTCAAATTTTTTTGATCGCTTACTGTGAGCTAAGAGGCCGAGTATTTTTTTTTGGTGGGCCTAATAATAATTGGTGGGGTCGTAATGTCATAATGGCATATAACACTTGACACAAAACAGTGGGCATACAAACAATTATAATGAATTTTAAATTATACAACATTTTCAAAACCTTCCTCTATTATCATTATGATTGTGTGTATACCTATTGAGTACTACATCTCTCTCTCTCTCTCTCTCTCTCTCTCTCTCTCCCCACTCACCACTCACTTCAATGAGTGACTTATTTAGTCGGGACTGTTAAACGACTTGTAATTCATTGTCGATTGTCGTATAATTTGCATTTGATTTTTATAACTTTATTTTGATTCACACGAGCGATCAAAATATATTTTATACATTATATACTACTCAATACAATTCAATACTATATTATAGAGCCTACTGTAGGCACTACAGGTGGGCCTTAAAAATTTTTTTTAACCAATTGATTAGCCAAATACAGTACAGTAGTAGTACTACTACTACTACTACTACTACTACTAAGCCATATGTAAAAACCTACTGTACTATTGCAGATCAATCGCTAGAAACTATATTGTCAGCCAAGAGGCCGACAATTAGATGATATGATGGTTTGATTGAATAATAATTATAACGATTACATGTAGTGATTGGGTTGAGGGACAAAACGTTACTAAAGGGTGGAAAGGGATGTGATGTCAGTATGTGCGGTGTGTCTGACTGTGTGAGTGTGTATCACTGTCGACATCTGGTCGACAATTCCCCGACCGCGAAGACCAGCGTCTATACGGCGCGGACGAATCGGGTGAACGTTTGCCAACTTGTACGGCCAAATGAACGGTCTGTGAACGCGTGAAACGAATCCATCCGCTGATGGATTGATGGGCGGCGTTGAGAATCTGTTCATAATGCGATGACTTCGGTGTTGTCGTGTTTGATGGCGATATGTGACACGATATGATGACGTGAACGACATTTCGTTACGTCTACTATCAGGAGTCACACTTGAATGGTGTGTCGCTTTCAGATGCGTCGTCTGTTTCGAATGATTTCTTGTCTTATATAGCGATGGTGAGAGCAAATCGTGATTTGTTACGACGTTTACATCGTTGTCTGCGTCTGGTGAGGTGATGTCGGCGATTTCTCGTCCAATAGTGATAGTGTCTGTCGCCCGAAGGATGTCGAGGACAATCGGTGTCACAATAGGACGATATGTTTCGGTAGCAGATTCGGGTTTAGGTGTCGACCGAATCGGTTGTTTGCATGCGTTTGCATCGTTAATCGTATTGATATGCGAATCAATATGTGTATCGATATGCGAATCGATATGTGCTACGACTTGAACGCAAATCGTGTAGTCTTTGTATGTTGAGCTGTCCGATGACGAGCTTTCGGTGATAGTATTCGTTGGTTGACCGGCATCGCCGTCAGTGTGGTAGCGAAGAGCCGAAGCGATGAGATGCTCCTTTTCGATGGCTCCGATGGTGAGTAACGTGGATATGCGGTGCCACTCCTTTGTTGAGTCTTTGGCTGCGCAGTGAATCAATGCCGTGGATGGTAAGCGGTTGAGTGTCATTTCGTTATTACGAGCGACCAAATTGTGCGGTAAAACTGGACCGTCGGTTGTGCGAAACCGTGAGACCCGTGCGGCGACGGTCTCATTGTGGTGGCCGCTTACGTCTTCGTCCGCGCTGTCTTCGGTGTTTGTCGTATTGATAACGTTGCGGTTGACACGTTTGCTACGAAGTGAGGCCCGTATGCGCTCAGCACGTGTTGGGCACCTCGTACTGTATCTGTACGGCATTTTCGATGATTCACGGTTTTTGTCGATGAAATCAACTACAGTAATGCGTTATCCTACCGACTGCGCCAATAATGTCAGCCAAGAGGCCGACAATTAGATGATATGATGGTTTGATTGAATAATAATTATAACGATTACATGTAGTGATTGGGTTGAGGGACAAAACGTTACTAAAGGGTGGAAAGGGATGTGATGTCAGTATGTGCGGTGTGTCTGACTGTGTGAGTGTGTATCACTGTCGACATCTGGTCGACAATATATATATATATAGTATTTTTCACTTACTTTTTATCCTCAGTTTTATATATAAACTTTATTTTTTGCTTTTATTGTTATCAAAACTTTTTTTTGAGTACATTTTCAACAACAATAGAGACTATAAACTATCAATAAATGAGACAAACATTTACATAACTTTTCAAGTACTACTATAACAACAAACTATAGTAACAAAACTTTTTTTTTAAAAATACAGTAACAAAACTTTTTTTATTGTTATTATTTTTACTAAAAAAATTGTGATCTCATACCAAAAAAATACTATAGTATTTCATATGTAAATTCTAGAGTGTAATCCATACAAATTTATAACATATATTTATATAAAAAAAATAATATCATGTATTATACTGTATATAATTTATAGTACATTGAATTTGGATTACATATTTAATTAGCCAATGCTCTTAACAGTGAAAATGTTTTTATTATTATTATTATTGAGTATTATTTATATCAAATGTAAATTATGTCAAATAAAACTGCTATACAAATTGATATTTTATACTATACAGTATATACTGTATATATAGTATACTAATATTTATATAAAAGTACTTGTAATATAATATCAAATATAATATATAAGTTATTTTATGATAACACTTAAATATTATTAGTATTATAATAATAAGATAGATATTATTAGTCTATTAATATCATAAAATAATAATACATTAATGTGCATTAAAGTTAAATGTTATTATGTAATAATCAATTATAATTTAATAGCAGATGCCATAAAAAGTCTCAAATTATCAATAAACAGCAATTATAATATTACAACAAATATACAATATATCATATAAATTGTAACTTAAGATTATTATTACATGTATTATATTATTATTATAATTATAAGTAAATTAAATATTTTAATAAATTTTAATATTATTATAATAATTAAAATCAAATAGAAATTAATTATTATTTTTTAAAAACTTATATATAATAAGAAATTAAAAAATAAAATAATAAATAAAATATTTTGATAATACCTGTCAAATGTATCGATAGATGATCTCTATGTTCATCCCTGTCGTCCAAATCTTCTTCGTCCATATCTTGATCTTCATTATCAGTGATAACCATATGTTGTGAGTCATCTTCATCTTCGTTATCCTTTTTGTTCACATTATTAATATTAATATTATTATTGCAATTCTTGTTGTCATTAGTTGTGGTCAATATGTCTTTTATAAGAAATGAACACTTTTTAATGGTATCCATTCCTCTTGAGTGTCATTAATAATAATAATGACAATTAAAAAAAACTTTTTCTTCCAATCAATCAGAACGTGACACCCGATGTCTAAAAACTAACTTTATTTTTTGATGACCTATTAAGCGACCCTCACTTTTTTGGCGGTGTGTGTGTCTGTATGTGTTTATATCGGGGGATAAACTTATTTTTACATAAGTTTTTGACTTAACTTTTTTTTAGTTAGCCCACACCTCACTGTCCCCGATGTGCTTCTCTGGTTGGCTGAAGTATACGGTGTTCCCTCAAATGTCTCTCACTCTCTCTCTCTCTCCCACTATCTTTAATGGCACACAAAAAACTTTTTTTGTCGATACTCACTCTCTTTCCCTCTCTCTCTCTCTCTCTCTCTCTCTCTCTCTCTCTCTCTCTCTCTATATATATATATATATATATATATATATATATATATATATATATATATATATATATATATATATATATATATAATATACGACAGTTTGATTTTTTCACTGTATGAGCGCGCGATGAGGAACTCCTATCTGGAGAGAGAGAGAAAGCTTTTTGAAGTAACGGTATGACTCTCTTATATGTTTTAACTATATATACAGTGAATAGCAAATATACAGAATATATATATATATATATATATATATATTAATATAATTGAATGATTGTTTCGTATGTGTGCAGAGAGTCAGTCGAGTCAGTCGTCTATCCCTTTTTGATAGACTAACTGACTGAAAGGTACGGTATGGTAGAGATACCGTACTCCTCCTGTAACTGTATGTGCAATGAATAGTGCATTTTTGATGAGTTACACAATTAGAGTGTTAGCCCATCGGCTAAATTGCTTATTTGCATCTCAACTATCTTGTAATGTAATATACAATTTACTATACAATATATATATATTAAACTTATAATATTATACTGTTATTTGTTGTGTGAATATTATTATAAGGCTTGCGATTCAAACACACAAACAACAAAAATCCTTTATTTTTACTCTCTTTTTATTATATAATTTGCATTCATTTAATACGGTTTTATATTATTATTATAAATTTAGTGTTGAAAACACTTACACACAACTACTACTGTGTATAGCATTTATAAAAGCAAATAATGAGATGTGAATATAAAATTGACTTCAAATAATAATAATAATAATAATAGAAATCTTGTTTAAAGCTTTATTCAAACACGATATAAGGTTTTAATGCTTTAGTTTTTTTTATTATAAATTTTATTTCTCTGTTATTATCAAAAATGAGTTAACACTGTAGTAGTAGTAGTAAAACATATATAAATTTATACCTAAAATGCGTAACAAATCATTATTTGTAGCAAATTGAGTGTCTGTTTAGGAGGAAATGTTATGTAAATATTATTTGGTAGGTCTATATTGGTATAGTAGAGGTGATGGTATAGTTGTGTGTTTGTTGGCCTGTTATCTCAAAGTAATTGACTGCAAATCTAATGATTTTCATACACACACACTCACACATACTATTAACTCGCCTTTCACTATAATTTCATACACACACACATACAGTATATACTATATATATATACATACATACAAACAAACACACACACACACACACACACACACACACACACACACACACACACACACACAAACACAAACTTTTTGATTTGAGGCACAAAATTGTGTAAATAAATACTGAAAGAGAAAGAATCAGTAATACTATTCCTGTAATACATAATCCATAATATTTTGGTTAAATGAGACTACAATTACTCCCTAATATATACAGTATATATATATATATAAAACTTTATTTTATTTGAAACAAATCAAACAAATTTGCCGCAAACATATTATTCATTCCCCCACCTAAAACATTATAAGGATATTATTACCCGTTTGTGTGTAGCAATTGGCCCAATCAATGCTACAAATTAGTGTATATATGTGTGTGTTTAATGAAAAGCACTCAAAATCCTAAGTACCTACTTTAACAGGAGGAGCACCGGGAGGAAGGGATGCCATGAATAGACTTTCAGAAAGAGAGAGAGAGAGAGAGAGAGCGGCACTGAAAAGCTCTTCCATTTCTACTACTACTAGTAAATTGATTCAGACGTTAGATTGATTTGTAGGAGAAATCTACAGTAAAAGTTTCGCTATTTATGAGCCACCGGTGCTTCTCCTGGAAGGGATAGTCATTGAGAGAGAGAGATAGTCTTGTTTAGTGGTCAACACATACATCAATGAACAATAATTACTAACCAATAATCATAATCATAAACTAAACACAAACTATCAGTTCAATTGAGAGTTCATATCCTCTTTTCTTTAATAGATTTACTCTTTTTTTTCATTTTCTTTTATATGGAAACGAAAATATTTATGAGAAAAATGATTAAAACTAACGGTAAGTCTACTTCCAAAACACAAATCGACTTATTATAGGATATTTGATGATTGACTTACTATAGGACGAGATTAGGGGAGATATTATTGAATGGCACTCATAGGCCACTCAACATTTGTAAGCAATTATTATTAATTAATTTTCTGATATTTAACAAAATCAATTCAATTCAAATTATTAGTAAAACCTTATACTAATAGGCAATTAATTTTCTAATAATTAACCTTAATTTCTATAATATTTCATCAAATATATACTCATATATTAATAATATATTTATTTAGTATAATTTGTTTTTTGATATTATTTATCAAAAAAATAGTGACTATTAATATAATAAGTTATAATTTATAACTATAAAACCATTATTAATTACTACCAGTGAAATGTATGAATCAAATTTATATTGAAAATAATATTTTTGTATATATATATCTTAACTTTCTATAATTTACTAAACATTTAATAGCAAATTGAATTTCTATATTTAGTACTAAAAATAAATTTTGTGTATTAAATATAGATTAAGAATTATAACATCAATAACAATAACAAAAATTATTACAATTGAATGATAAACATATTATTCATATTTTAATTTAATGAAAGAATTGTTTGATTTATATGAACTAAAAACTATTGAATACAAAAAAATATATATCAATACTAATATATTGTATATAATATAATAATAATTATTATGTATAATATAAATATCTATCAGTATTCAAATTCTAATAAATTTCTTATTATTAATATAAAATATTTTGTTACTTTAATTAATAGTAAACAAATTTACCAGCAATTTATTATTTTGCTTTAACAATATAATTATTTTAAAAATTAGCTATAATATACAATACACGTATAATTGTTTATTATAATTAATTTTTTTGAGATAATTATATTGTTAAAGCATTATAATAAATCAATGGTTAATTTGTTTGCTAGTAATTAGAGGCCAACAATTGAATTACAATATAACTAATATTGTAGTTTATGAATATTTTTGAAAACCTATAATATTTCAAATACAGTAACATTTTTTGCCACCCACTCTATTGTAAAAATAGTAATGATTATATTTAAACTATTTTTATCCAATAATTGAAAAATTATTATGCATCAACTTTTTTTTTAAAAAAAACATCAATTAAGTTATTTGGTTTGTTTTAGTTATATCAATCAAGTAATAAATCTAAATATTTAGTAATTTCTAATATTTAATAATATATAATATTTTATAATATAAATAATTGCTATCATTTAGTATAAATTATAATACTAAAAAAATTATTACTCATATTAATATAAATTAATCCAAACTAATGTTTAGAAACATGATTAAAAATATTAACAATTACTAACAAATTAAAAAAATAAGTTTCAGTTTATAATAAAATAAATATGGTATTATTATTGTTGATAATAAAAACTAATATTATATACACTGTATTAATATATTAGAAAATAGATTATATTATACACACTTACTTTAAATAGTTTTACTTAAAAAAAATCAAATTCAAAAAACATTTATTAATTTTATTTATAAACCACATTTATGAATTACATTATATCACATATATAACATACACACAAAAATTGTGTCTAATATATTCATATTTGATTATTTAGTTGAATCATATATACATATAAAAACTTATTGTTAAATTTGATTAGAAAAAACCAGTGAAATCGTTGAAAATTGTGTTTTATATTTTCTAATAGATTTCTTGCATAATCTATTAGATAAGTTATATAAACTTTTTTTTCCTATTAATATTATTGTAGAAACTATAAATCAATTGCCCGCAGCTATCCTTTAGTAGAAATAATAATAATAATAATGAATATCAAACAAAAATATTAAAATACATATTTGTCTACAATTTTTTGTATCTCTCGAAACATATATTTCAATAGAGAAACATATTATTGAATAAATTATGAATAAATCGGTGCATTTCATTGATGTATATTTATATAGATAAATGTTATATTTATATATGACATCATAAATGCTTATATGAAAATTTATTAAATCAAACAAAAAATATTTATATACATTATATATATATATATATTTATATATTTATATACAACTGCAAACATCCTAAAAAGCGTTTATCTCTAATAGTAAATATAATGTATATATAATATTGAATATAATAAAAACTCTATAAACTTTTATATTAATATATATATATACTGTAGATAATTGACAATTGACATAATAATAATAATAATATTATTATTATAAATAAAATATCAAACAATATCAATTTCTCATTTTGTTTGCTTTCAATTTGCTTTTCATACTTTATATATATATAATAGATAAATAATAGTAATAAAGTCATCCCTTAAAAACATTTTTTTTAATAACTCATTTTTTTCTGTATGAATTACATTTACAATGAAACAATAAATAAATAACTGCTGCTATTAATTATTAGCAAAAAAAATTGTTTTATTTTTAAAAATTTAAATTAAATAATTTATTACAATAAGAATTATGCAAATATTGTCAAATATAAATGTATATAATTTTTTTTGTCATAAATAATTAAAATTGAAACAAAAGTAATAATTAATTAAAAAAAAGGTGTGTATATAATGTTGTATTAACTAAACATCTAAAAAATATGTTTGTTTTTTTTGTTGTTGTAGTTGAATAATATGTGCATAAAAGTATTTAATAATAATATTATTATTATTAATAATAGTAATAATTATAATAAAGATTAGAAAAAAATTATGAAATTATTTTTAAAATATCAACCAAATTGAAAAAAACATAAAACAATATATCTCTAAATGCCAGGGATATTATGTAATTGCTTTTTTCAATTAAATCATTTTTCAAAATTTTAAACTATTGCCCTAATTATGAGTATTTTGTTGAGGGCTCTCATATCACAGTCATATATATATATTTATAATATACTATTTCTCATATGATTTTATTTTAATATTAATAAATTACTTGATATTTTTAAAAACATATATATATAGATATATTAATTACGATATAATATTAATTAATTAATTAATAATTACTTAGTTTTTTTAAGTCAACAATGATAATCAATTAAAATTTAACTTGTTAACGTTATCAATTAATATTATTTTTTTTATAAATACTATATAAACAATGAAAATAATAATAAAATTATCAACAAATATATATATATAATAAAATTTGTGACATAATTTTGGGACACATTTTTTTCGTCGATGACGGCGAACATATGACAAACATTTTTTTTTTTGATTATTTTTATGAAATTAAAACTTTAAAATTTTTTTACGGATTTGTTTTATGACATTACAGTATTATTATCTTAAGAAACCAACAAATCATCACTTGATAATGAAAAACAAAAGAAAAAACCCATTGTTTTGTCATTATTTGTCATCAAATATCGTCAACAGAAAAAATGAGGTCACAATTCGCCAATTGTGGTAAATGTTTGGGCAATTCTTTTATTGATAATCAAATCATTATCACCGCCGCCACCACCGGATCCGTTCTGCAGAGTACTTAACTTCTTGTTTGTCACTTCCAGACGAAACATTTCAGACTGTAGTTCTGCCATTCGGTTCTGGAGTTCGAGTGCGTTCTCCGGTTCGGAACCGCTCTCATTCAGCTTCGTTATTGTCAAGTGCTCTTCAATCTGTTTATATCAACGACAACGACAACAAAAAAATTATTAATAATAAAAAATATTTTTCGTGTAAATCAAACGCAAAAATTAATGGGAAAATTCTTTGGCTCTCCTCTCGAGTTTGTAGTCATTAACTAATTTTACATTTATTTTTTAAACTAAAATAAATCACATAATAAGTCAACCCTTGAATTATTTAATCATTAACCTCATATAACCCTTCTATTTAACTCCCATTCCTCTCTCTCTCACTCACTTACACACCATCTCTCTCTCTCTCTCTCCCAAACAAATCAAACGAAGTACTGAACCAAATCACTGATACATAATGGATAATCCAAGGCGTGAATCCCTCAATTAGATTCGCATATAATTTTTATATATTAATATATATATAATTACATTACAAAACATTAATATATTTATAAACTTTTAAAGTCATACATACTTTGGCTTCGAGTGATGAGATTTTGTGTTTGAGTTCGGCCACAATCTGTGTCTGTTCTAACTCTTTGATACGTTTCATCATTTGTTGTTCTTTCATCTGGAAGTCCAGATCAGCGTAATGTCGTTTTTCGGCATTCAATTGACTTTGCGTTTGTCTCTCTTTTTCGATCAACTCTTCATAGCTATCCTTCAGTTTGTTTGACTCATCGGCCTGTCGTCTAATCTGATTGATGGACACCTTAATCTGTGTCTCCAATTCCATCACTTTTTGACGCAATTCTTTGAGTTCGGCTACGGCTTCGGCTTCACGGAGTTTAGCGCTCATCACTTCGTTCTTCAATCTATTGATTTCTGCCGTATGATCGGTACGTTTGACAGCGTTTCCCAACATTTTCAATGGACTCGATGTTACCGACAGTGACGACGGATTGGAACCGCCATTAGCTTCAAGACTATTCGGTTGTGAATTGTTTTGAAGCGATGAATCGTTACTTCCGTGAGATTGGGACATATGTTCGCTCCACATCTGCTGCAGATCTGTTATCTTATGGCGCAAGTCTTTTATGGATAGGTTGGCCTCAGCCTCCCGTAGCTTAACAGCAATTAGCTCTTCTTGAAGCTGTGCTACGGCGTGATCGGGCGGTAGTTCATGCAATCGGTCATTGATTTCTTCTAATTCATTGATTCGTTCCCTTAATATCTTCATCTCTTCATTATTTTCGGCTTCTCTTAACTTTACAGCAATCAACTCTTCCTGAAGTGATTCAATCAACTGTTGATTTTCTTGCGATTCAAGCGATGAGTTAATACTATTAGTTTCTTTCATCTCAGTTATCGTATTCAATGCTTTATCTAATTCTTGTCTAACTTCCAGTTCCTGTTGACGACTGGCCGCCAGTTCACGTTTTATGACAAAATTGTCTTCGGCTTCCTGTGCCCTACATACCTGTCCCTGAATTAGTTTGTCGGCCAATTCGGCACTTTCTTGTTCCAAGTTTTCAATCCTCTGGCGAAGCAATCGATTCTCTGTTCTTAATCTCTATAATAATAATAATAATAATAATAATCATTAATAATAATAATTAAATCCAAAAACTACTGATTAATATCCACTTACTCTTAGTTCAACCAACTCTTCCTGTTCTTTATTTTTCACTGCCTGATAATCTTTTGCTAATTTCTTCATCTTCTTCGGGTCGTACTTGACCTGAGCGGCCAAATTCACCAAATAGTCGGGATCTGTCTCGCACTTGGATGGCATCTCTTTCTGAAAGTACTTCAACAAACCTTCCATATCGAGTCTTAGTAGATCTTCTTTGCATAACAAGAGTATTGCTATAGATATTCTGAATATCATTTCGATGCCATCGAGAAGAATGAGATCCAAAACACGGTAAGCGATGTGAAGGGGTAGGCATGACGTAAACAATGTCAGAAACCAACTGCTGGCGTACATCGATGTAAAGTAATTCTGAGATTGAAAGTGCATATATAGCTCGGGTAGCAATTCCTGGACAATGCCATTAGACAATAAATAAAAAGTTAGACTTATTTACATCATTGATTAAAATAGTGATCACTCATACCTGAACCATACACTCTAATTGATAAATACAGAGTCCCAGTTCAGCCATAGTTGGCTTATACATCTCACGAAGTCGATAGTCCTGCATAAGACATGTAAAGACGGCAAAGGCGTCCTCTTCAGGCATGTTGAGCAATAGGACGCCCACTAGAAAAGCACTTCCTTGACAGTAACCGACTTCGCTATCATATATCGAGTAGGCTTTCATAACATTGAACAGTCCTTCCTGTCCGGGACTGCCTTTCTCTTTAAAAAAGTCGTGTTCGGGATAAGTACGGGCAATGTCTCGTTTAATGACTTTCTCGCAAACGGATGACTGGCTTAGGAATTGGCTGTACTGGTCGCGGACGGAGCTGTTCTGAGCATTACACAGCAATTGCCATACCATTCCTCTTAAGTGATGGGGAATGCCTTTGCGTACTAAATCCTAGATATAAAAAAACAAAGATATTGAAAAAAATCAATTCCCGAATCATTAAGTATTTCAATGGCAAACCTGAATTGTCGACTTTTTCTTCGACTGATTGTTCCAATCGTTCATTATATAACCCCAGAGCTGCCAAATGTCTCTACCGTTGCTGTTGTTGTTAGCTAACTCTTGGCCATCTTGGCTGCACTCGGAGTTCATCTGCTGAGACAACTCCGACACTTGGCTTGTGTCGGATGACCGGCGCGAGTGACCGGAATTTGTTTGCAATGAATTCATTGACTTGACATCGGTTTCAATTAATCTGCAAAAAATACCAACAAAAAAATGCTATAAATTTTTGCTAAAATACAACAATATATGATATTAATATATACACTGAATATATGATATATATATTATTATATTATATTCACAATAATTGTCACACATATAAACAAAGAGTCATTCCTATTGTTCATAATAAATGCTATCAAATTATTCATAATAAAAAAACACATAATAATAATAATAATAAGGAACAGGTATGTTGTTATATTATTTCATAACTCCCCCCTAATGTCTAAAAAAACTCTACAATACTATACATACTATTATAACTGGTATTCCGCTTCAATGACTTTAAATACCTTTCAAAATACTACTATTATATTATTATTATTCCCCGGAAGAGAAAAATTTGTGACATTTGTTTCACTCATACATAAACTCTTTTTTTAAAAGTTTCGTATTATAAGTATTATTATTATTATTGAAAAAAAACATAACTATTAAAAAACAAAATTCGGAATATTTGTTGTGTAAGTTATGTAAAAATAAAACATTTGCTTAAATGTTGAGCTAAATTTAATTAAAGCAATTTTTTTTTATTTCACTTATCTAAAGATAGATTAGAAAAATAAACTTTTTTTTTAAAAATGAAATTATATTTTATTTTATGTTTGAAGCCAAATACGTGTCACTAATACAACAACAGTCGGTGAAACATATATTTTTATTATTAATTTAATCAGTCAAATACAATAAAACAAATTTAATAATAATAAAACAGTGATTCACTTAATAATATGTGATAAAACACATATGCATTGTGTATGTATGTATTTGTGTAATCAAAACTATATTAATAGCATAACTATTATAATACAGTATTATTACTGTAATATTGATAACATTTGGTTCATATCAAAAACTAACTAATAGTACATGTAATGTAAATCAGATTAATGTCAGAAAATTCATTTAAATACTAATAAAAATAAAGATATTAATAACTTATACAATAAAATACAATATTTAAAAAAAATTATATATTTATCTCATAATAATAAACGATTATAACAACAATGACAACAAACCTATTTTGCTCTTCAAGTTTGGCCAACAATTTTAGCTCATCTTCGCTTAGCTTTTGCATGTCGTGTCCATCAGTTGATCCATTGGTTGTAATCGGCGATTGATTTGGTTGTTGTTGCTGTTGTACAGACATTGTGTGTTATTTTAGATGACAACTACTTGTTGGCCATTCAATTGAGATGATTGTCTCGTGCAGTGGTAGTAGTAGTAGTAGTAGTAGTAGTATTGATAACTGTTTTGTTTCACGCAATTTATTATTTTATTTCATTTTTTCTATACCTATAATAATGATAATAATTATATAAATTATAAATTAGATTACTTTTGTCATTAAAACAAAAATATGTTAATAATATTATTTTATTAATAGTATTATTATATAATATAATATCATAAACACATTAATAAAATAATAATAATAAAAAATTGTAATCAGAGATTCACATCAAAAGTTTTTTAAAATAAAATAAACAAATTATTTCAAATTATTTTGATGTTTTAATAATAATAATAAAACAAAAATTATTGTTAATTAGATTTTTAAAAATTTGAATATTATTATTATTAATATTAAAGCAAAAATATTTAGTATACAAATAAGTATTTTTAAAGTTGTTTTTTGAAAGATATAAATATATTTATAAAAAAAACTTATTGTCTGAATAATAAATTGTCTTATTTTCTCGAGAAACACAATTGTAAGGAAAATGTTTGTAACATATAATTAGTTTTGGAAAACATGTCAGATATAAAAATAAATTAAAAAAATTTTTAACAACATTTATTATTTTGCTAAACAATTCAATCAAATATTTAAATTTTTTTATTGTTATTATAAATAACATATTTAAACAAAACGTTGCTGTATTTAAAGCTAAAATACATAATATACTAAATAAACAGATATTTTCATATATTTTCATATATATAAATTTCATTAAACATCACGTAATGGATATTATTATTATAGTAAACATAAAATAGATGGCAAATATAAATAAAAAAAATTATTGATTTATTTGAAAAACTATATATTTATTTCATTAACAATTTGCTTAAGTTAAAAAAAAATAATAATCAATAAAATTACATAATAACAATAATAATAATAAAATGCTATTAATAATTTTAACACATTTTATTATTTTAAATATATAACAGTTTAACTAATAATATTATATGTTAATTTAAAACAAACACAAACACACAACACTATTATAAACTATTATAAAATTATTATTATACTATTATACTATCATTATATTATTTTTATTTTATTTGACAGCAACAGTACTATTACTATAATAAATTTAAATGACCAAAAAAAACACAAACAAAACAAAATATAAACTAATATAATATAATTTACTAACAAAATTAAAGTAATAGTTTTATATGTAACAAAAAACACATACATACAAACTATTTTAAGGTCAATAGTAATGGTATATAAATAATGTATATATTAATACAGTATATCTGTTTTAAGGACAGGTATCTATCTATGTGTCGGTCGGGTTCACCCTATTTTGCCGACAGAGCGATAAAAATTACGATTTTCATAACCCTTACCTTAATCTATAAGTTTTTTCAACAAATAAACAAAAAAGTAAACGGCTTTTAATCTAAAATACAGGTATTTATCATATAATATACAGTATATATATATATATATAAGATGCAGAAAAAATAGTAACAAAATTAGTAATTATGTCAACACAACAAAAATAAATTAGTATTTAACTATAAGTTATATAACTATTTCAACTAAATGGTTGATTATAAATAAATTATATTATCGACTGCCAGACCTACCCCACCTCCTCCTCCTCCTATCCAAACCCAAACATCACAGTCGCAAACCTAACTGTTATTTATATATAAATTTATATATCCTATTATTTAATTTAAACTAAAAAAATTCATTATATAAACCCATATCAACCAAACACACACATATATACATACACATACATATATATATACACTTACACACACACACACATACATACATATATACACACACATGACTGCAATGGTATTAATAACTAAATTATTATATCATATGATATATCCAATTGACAACAATTATTAATGACTTACTTTTTTCATATATGTGTTAAAGCGGTTTGCAATTCATTCACACATTATTTTACTGTAATATTTCAATGAAATTTTTATTTTGGTTAAATTCAATGTTTCACTCAGTTATTATTATTATTATTATTATTATTATTGCAATTTGGTATCTAAGGAGTGGTCTAATTGTTGGAAATTGTAAATGGTTTGGACATTAAAATATAAAAACTGAGCTACAGTTCCCCTCGCAATAATACAATTAATGATAATAATAATTATATAAATAATTTTTTTTAATAACAATAATATTGAGATCAATTTAGGGTAAACCACTCTACCTATGATTTTATATCTTAACAAACGTATTGACACACTATTTATCAATAGGTTTTTTATTTTAAAAATAATTTTTTATTTAACACTGTATTCAATTCAATTGTATCGCTTATAGTATAGTTAGTTATCTATTGTATTGATGTACTGTTTGTTGTATATGTCATCAAATAATTTTTTAATAACAATTACATTATTATTATCTAAATTGTGTATTAAAAAAAAATAGGTGTCAATAGTACTGAATATATATATATATATATATAAGACAACAACAAAAAAAGTTGAATGAATTGATTGAATTAACTTAAATACAGTATACACTCAAACAAAAAACAATTACTATTACTATTAGATAATTATTGATTTTTCTAAACAGTATTATTGATTTTGACAATCAATTTGACTGATGATTACACTACTAATACAATATAGCGTACAATATATATATAGTATATAAACAATACATACATATAGATAGTGTGTATAAAATATAAATTTTAACAAAAATTATAATAATATCATATATACCAACAAAATTGTATCCAAACAAACAAAACAAAAATTATTGCCACGACTTATATCACTATTTATATATCACACACACATATATAACTAAAAATTATAATAATTATAATAATAATAATAACATGTCTTTTAATGTGAGACCCAAAAAACAAATGGTTATAAGCGTTGAGCGATTGTATTATTATTATTATTATTATAACAATATTATTAAAAGATATACTTTTAAAAAAAATCACATCATTAGGGATTCAAAAAATCAATTTATTATTTATTATTATTTTTTTGAGTATAGATTTTTGTTGAACAAACTTTTTGTTGTTGTTGTTTAGTGCCATTGATTTGCATAAAACACTTACAAAAAATTATTATTTGACAGTATTTTAGTTAATAGTGTTTTAGTATACAATAGTGTATGAGTTGTGTTGTGTATATGTGTTGTGTTTTGTGTGTATGTGTTCTCAATGGGAAAAGCAATGCATAACTGAATAATGTGTCATAACTTTAATACATATGTATAGTCTATAGTATATGATATTATGTGGACTTACCATTCAATTCAATTGGTGAGACAACACACCAGTTATTAGAGTAAACATAACAAAAACCAGTTGTCTCTCTCTTTTTCTCTCTCACTATAGCTATCCCTTAGCACAGGTGAACCCATTGCACAACACCATTGCACTGACTGAACACATACATAGAAATATTAATATACAGTACACATACCTTTCCTCACCATCAATATAAACACATATACATACACACAGTGGCTCCTCTTATGTGTAGACAATACCAACAGTGTGTTTGGGCACCAACTTTGAAATAATTGTTGTCCTATTTTTTGTTTTGTTTGTTTGTGGTGTCGGATCAGATAAATAATCATCAATAAGACACTTATAATATATATATATATATATAGCACCGTAGTATATAAATAGTATTATAATTTATAAATATACTATTTATTTATTGTATATAATTTTATTCCCATATATATACTGTATATATATATAAACTATTTATATACTGTATATAATTATCAATTATATATTATACTAATCAATCTATTGCTTATATTTATTTTATAGATAATATTTATTTTAGAGTCAATTTTGTTTTTTTAATAATTTAGTAAATTTATAAATTAAATTATAATTTTTGTGTTTAAACTTTTTTTTTTGATAAATAATTATCGATATCTCAGTAAATTTTTTAGACAAATATTTACATTAAAAATATATATATAATATATAAACAATTTTTTGTTGTTGGTATTAACAAACATTTTGTTACAATAGTTTTGTTTGTTTTATCGATAATAACATTCAAAAAAAATTATAAATAATATAAATAAAATTTATTGTATTATTAAAAAATAGATAAATTTTAGGAAAAATTTTCTACAATTTTAATAATAATAATATCAATAATTTTGTTGTTGAAACCCAAATCCTTAAATGCGGTGAATATCCTGTTACTAATAATTAAGGTATTAATAAAATTAATTGCAAATAAAAAAAAGAGATTATGGATTAATTACAACAACTGTTAGACTAATAAAAAAATAATAATAAGAATAACAGTATTTATATTATAATTAAAATAATGTCTAGACTTCCGTAAAAAAGATGCTAAAGTGTTGTCAAAAAAAATAAATAAAATAATATCAACGAAAAACTAAGTATTGGTTTCAAATAATCGCTAATCTCTTTCACGATAAAGGATTGGTTTTTATTTTATTAAACAAATAAATAAATATAACTTAATATTAAAGTACAAAATGAACTAATTTTTCTGATAATCGGATTTCACTTTTTTGTTATTTAAAAAAATTATTATCAAATTTAATGGCAAAATGTTGTGTCATTTTATTATACCCAGGTATTTCACAATAATTATTTATAAACCGAATAAAATACATTATAAATGTTATTATTTTTATTATTATCAAATTTGATATATTTAGTCAACTGTTGTAACTACTAAAAGAAAACATGTTTTTTATTATAATATCATTATTTATTGTAACTGTACTTTAAATTGACAATTTAGTGGTATGTACTACAAATTATTTATCCAATTTTATGCCAGATTAGTGTAAATAATTATATTTAAAAAAAACTAATTATTAATTAAAATCCCGGACTTATTTGTACATTAATTGAACCACTATTTTATAAGCAAAAAAACTTTTTGTTTATTCATACAATCAATTCCTTATTGAAATTTTTTACACTATTTTTTGAAAAAACATTAGTTTTAATTAATTTTTATATTGCCTTATTATATTGCATTATTAAAAGCAAAAATTTGTTTTTATTTTACTAAATATATATACTGTATATATAAATTATATATATATATATATATAATAATTTAAAATAATTATTATAATAATTGCTATTGAAATATTTTTTCCGTATAATTATATCTGAATATTTAATATAATAACTATATTTTTAAGCAATAAATTTTAATATATGTTTGATAATAGTTTAATAATAGCAATAATTATAATTGTAGGATTCAAATAAATAAATAATTAATTAATTTCTAAAATAAACGTACTATTATTGCTAGAATTTTACCTTGTTAGTTAAGTAATAAATCAAATAAATAATAATAGCTTTCTATGACTATAAAGTTTTATTTAAAAATTATCAATAGATAATAAAATACCAAATTATATTCATAACAATAATAATTATAATAATAGTAATTTACTGAAAAATTGCTTCAGGGCAAATATTCATATTATCTAATTAACTATGCAATAAATGTTTATTAGTTCATTAATAGTGCACAATTAAGTGTATATTATTTATTTGACAATTAATTATAATTTTGTATTTAAAAAAATGACTAAATTTTAAATTAAACACTAAACTATTCATATACTTTATATAACATAAATATCTATTAATAAAACTCAAAGTAACAAAAAAAAATTAGTAATGATAAGCGTGATTAGCATTAGCTCAACACATGAGCATCACTTTTTTACCCATACATATGGGAAATGATGCTTTAAACCATAAAATTATAATTTTTTGTTATACAGTATATACTGTACTATATATATAATTTGTATATCATATATGCATATAAATTATAGATATTTATTACTGTAGTATATATATATATATACAAAGGTTAACTGTATGTACATATATTCAGGATCTGTTTGTACTAAATTAACGATAAGATGATAATTAATTAATTACTATATAGAAAATAATATTGTAATTTTTTTTGTCTAAAAAAATAAATATTATACAATACTGTATTCCGCAATACTATTTGTTAGACAATCAAAATTATCAAAATAAAATTTTGGAAAAATGCCTAAATATGATAATAAAATGTTATTTTTAGTTGTCCTTAAAAATAATAAATTATTTGATGTCAATATTCTTAACATTAACATTAACCTTAGATCTATATTTTAATATATAAATTATAATGAAACAAAATATTTATATTAACCATTATATTATCATTGTAATCATTATTAGATATACTGTATATAAAACAAATCGATTAGTTTATATATAATAATATATACAAGATTTGTGGTCATTGTCTCATTGCGATTGATTGTCTGACTAAATAAATATTATTTTTTGTGATTGAAATTATATAAATATTATTAGCAATAAATATCATAAATTGTTTATAATTAATAATATCAGCGTATAATAATATAATCAATTAAAAAACAAATAATTAAGTTGAATAAGTGTTACTAAAATATATAAATTTTTATTTATACATTAGTTAATCTAAGGGTTTATTTATTAAATATAATAACCTTTTTGCAAAAAAAATATTTTAAAATAGTCAATACAATATTTCTAGATTTTTAACTTTTTAAACAGCTATAAATTATATTATTATATTGTTTTGAGGACATAAAAATATATTTGTTTTGAATATAAATTAAAATTTATAGTTAATTTCATGGCTCCCACCTACATGCTATACTCCCTGTTCCCAATTATCATTATCAATATAAATTTACTGCATCATATAACATACCAAGAATATTATAATAAATATATATTATTATTATATTATACATATTATTATTATTAGTAATTTTATATACCTACCAATTTATCTATATTAATATTATATACATATTCATTAGACTGTAGATAATTCAATATTTATTTGATTTACTTTATTGTTATTATTTGATTTTCTTTGTATTGTAAATTTAAATTTAACCCACATATACACGTGTTATAGTTTTTTATGTTTTTATAATATGTCTAAAATAGTATCTAATTAATACTATATGTTGAATACTATATTATTATTGTTAAATAAAAATATATTTTTGCAATTAAGTAATAAATAAAATATTGATTAATATATAATTTAGTTACACTTATTATAATTTTGTAATTAATTTGAATTATTTACAATATATTATAATAACAAATATAGATATGATATATTAATATCACATTTTTATATACAGTATTTTACTTACTGTTTAATTTTATTTAATAATCATATAATATATAATGATTTTGCAATTTATAAAATATCATGTTTACAGACATACATATATCATAATTATTAGAATAGATTAGTTTAATTAAACACAAAAAAATATTAACTGATTATATAGATTACTGTTAATATAATATTCTATAATATTTTGGTAATAACCTAAATATAAATATATTTAATTAATTTTAAACAAATAAAAAAGCTGCTAAACTGGTATTGAACTGTATTTTAAGTTAAAATTTATTACTAATACATATTGAACTTGATTTTTATTGAATACTAATTTAATGCCAAATTCTGTAATACAATATATATATATATATATATATATATATATATATATATATATATATTATTTTATACAATTTTATATAATATTACTACTACTGTATAATTGTTGTTTACCAAAAATAAATTGCTTTATTTTATTTTTATGTCATTGATGATTGACATTTTAAATTATAATATTATATATGTATATATATAATTTTTTATTGAAATAAAACACTTGTACATGAAAAAGTGTTAATGAAATTTAATGTATTAATAATACAATTAAATTAATAAACAAACAAATAATAAATATTTTATTAATTGTGCTAAATAAAGTTTGTAATGATTTTAATATCATATATTTAGGATTAATTTTTATTAAATAAAAATAAATAAATAAAATTACATGTTTCAATAAATAATAAATTATTGAAATTAAATCAATATTAAACTACTGTATCATTTACTATAATATATAGTATAACAAATTGCAAAAATATTTTTTAAGCTAATTTATTTCAAGCCGTGTTTGTTTATAATCATTATATATATATATTATTTAAATACTACTTTATAAATTAATTTACTGTAAATAAATAAATATATTAACAAAAAAAACTAATTTAATATTAATGTGTGTATAATTAAAAGAATATATATATTGTATTCAGAAAATAACAACAACTAATAATTAAATATTTAATATATAATATTTAATTAAAAGTGAATGTTTCAATCAAATGATTAATTAAAAAAAAAATAAGAGACAACTCAAGGAAAGGAAAGTAATGATAATATTTTGTATATATTATAATAAATACACAGTGACTGAGCAAAAGCATACCGTACTAAACACACATTAAATGATGAGATTTAACTTAAATATATAGCTTATATAATATACAGTAATAAAGTTTTAACATTGAAAAAAAAATCAACAAAACAAAAATTTACTGTTGAATTAGTAGTCAATGGTTTTGATTGACTTTAAAAAAAATTGTATTTGATTTAGTAGTATATACTGATTGTAATTATTGCCTTCACTCTCTCTCCCGGTGCCAAACATCACGGCTCGACATATATAGAGAGAGACACTAACTATTAATATGTTTGTGTATAAGTGTATATAAATAAATACCAGTCCAAAGTCATATACCAGAGCGCGATGTTCGTACAGTGCAAGTGTAGCACTGCCTCTCTCTCTCTCTCTCTCTCTCTCTCTTTCTCTCTCTTTCCATACAATCCATGAGCCCATCACACAAAACACATACACACATACAGTGTGTAGTACTGGAGCTACTCTGACATTGCAAACATCACAGCAGCCAAACTGTGTTTGTTTCAAAAGTTTTTTTTAAATATATATATATATACTGTATATATATATAAATATTTTCCAATTTTAAGTGTCAGCGTTAATATATAATAACATATACTGTATTAATAATGTAGATATAAATATATATATATTTTTATATATGAAATTATATATAAATATATATTGGCCGCGCATTTAAATGGTTTATCATCTTATAATATCATATATAATAAAAAATTGTGTCTTTCACTTTCACTAATCAAATATATATATATTTATATGATATTTAATTTATATTTCATTATTATTAGATGTTATATTACTATTATTATCATCTCTAGCATGTGATTGTGTGTGTGTTTACATTTGCCGGAAGTTTTTTATTTTTTAATAAAAAAAATATATTTTTGATATTATATTAATATAAAAAAAATATTTTAGTGAACAAATAATTATTTTTTAAAAAATATTATTTTTTTGTGGGATTATTATAATCGCAACGACAAATACATATTGACTTATATATTGTATAATATTATAGTGAATCTCAACAACAAATACTACAAACAGACAAACAAAAAGTTTTAGTGACTTTGACTTAAAATTTCAATAACTATTTATTAATTTTAGTGGTTTGTGTTTTTCGCGAAATTTCAAATAACAAAAGTGTTTTTATTATTAAAAAAAATGATTTTATATATACTGTATGTGCAAAATGTGTTTATCATATTTATATGAAACCCATGGCCTCTCATTGCCATACAATTCAAGACCTCTCTCTTTCTAATACAGTATCTCAACAAATGTCCCAATTTTTAGCTACTTTTTTCTCTATCATTGCTATATTTTGAAGCTATTTTAAGTAATTTCAACTCTCATAATATAAATATAGATATTATAAATAAATAAATATATATATAAAAATTTTGTCTTTTAATAGACCCATTCATTATAAGTATGTTTATATAAGTTATTTGTGATCCAATAATTTAAATTTTTTATTATTATTAAACGATACATTTGTGTCAATTCAAGTTTGAAATTAGTATTTTATTTATATTGTTGTTGTTATAAATATAAATATATATCAATCACCGGAATATATCAAATAAATAATAAACAATTATTATTAAGACATCAGCACTTAATTATCAGGTAAATAAATAACTATATTATTATTATTTAACAAATTTAAAATTGATATTTATTTATGTAAATTTTTATAAGTATTTAATTTGTATATATCATATATATTTGCTGTAATATTAATATATTTATCAATTAAATGTAAACTGTTTATTATACACATTATTAACATTATATTATACAGTAGTAATGATATTAATTTACTTTAAACAAGTATATCCTCAATACATGTATATCATGTTTTAGATGAATGACACTATTAATTATATTAATAGCAAAAATGTTTTTCTTGAATTTAATTTAAGGTTTAGATTTTCATTAGTAGTATTTATGAATAGTTTAAGTGAATTTGATATATAATATTATAACATAAAAATTTTATTAGTATATTAGTATTATTATTATTATTATCAAATACATTACTTTGATTGTGAATCCTATTAATTTTCAGTCTATGAAAAAATAATTAGTAAAATGTTTGCTAAGTTTATAAAAATGATAAAATAAAAATGATTAGATATCAATAATGTTTGCAATGTTAGTGACATTAAATTTTTGTTTATATTATAGAAAAACATTTTTGTGATTTAATACTATTTACTGTTAATAAATTCATATTTGTATATAATAAAATATTTTTAAATATTATATATATATATATATACAGTATAATATTAATATATACTAAACACACTAATAACACACATATGCACATTCAAAACCTATGTTTGAAAATTTTACAACAAGTATTACATTGCATTAAACTTGCATTACCTTGAAAATAGTAAAATAATAATAAAAATTTCAGCATATGTGATATTTAATTTTGGTTTTATTTGTTTATGATGCTTAATGTATTTAATTATACTATATATATATATATATATATATACTTTATATATACTGTATGTTCACAATTAATTTTACCAACAACAAAAATCACTTATACAACAATTTTATTTTTAGTCCAAATAGCGGGAAATAAAAATATTAAAAAAACTATATTTAAATTGTCTGTATAATTAATTGCTTTAAACTTTTATTTGCAAACATAATTTTCATAACTAATTTCAATATTTAACAAAATAAAAACAATATATCAAGAATATCGTCAATTAATTAAACAGAAAAAAACTAAAAATTATTTATTCATATTATTTATTATCACTTTTTTTAGTATATAACTAACTCATTTCCTATAGAATTAATAATTAAAATTTTCAATTGCTTTTTAAACGCTTATTTTTTCCTAATTGAATGTCATATCAATGTTACCGTATTTTTAAAAAATATATTTTTTTCTTTCTCTCACTTTTTTTTTCTCTCTCTCTTTGCCTTTCATACAAACCTCTCCTTTCAAATACAATAAAAAAAATTCATTACATTTTGTCAGTAAAAGTCAGTGTTATAAACATGTTGTTTGTCTTTTAATTTAAAAATATGCTGTATATTGAATATATTTAATACAGTATATAATAAAAATGTGTCTTATTTTTATTATTATTAGTTAATTACTTATTATTAATGCATAATTAGTTATATATATATATATTATATATGTTTTGTAGAATCAGTGCATTTGTTAGTTATATTATGATATCAATTAATGAACTTTGGATATCTATATATATATATCTATCTTTCTCTACAAATATATTTATAAAAATTTCGATAATATTTTTATAGATGTGTTTATAATATTATTATGAATTTATTGATATCACGTGAAACCTACCAGTTGTGAACAGTTATTATTAAAGTGCTATAAACAGTGCAATAAAGTGTCACAATTATAAAGTATATTATATATATATATACAATAATATATTATAATAAAATATAATATCTAACAATATATATTTATATAAAAAATTATAATCATATGTTTATACAATAAAAAACTATAATTAAAATACAGTATTTAATTTTTATTTAATTGAGCATGATTGTTTTTTTTTGTTTTGTTTTTTTATGAAATGACAACTAAACAATTTTTTTGCTAATTTTCAATATTGTTTGTGTTGTTGTATTTATTAAAAAAATAAAATTAGCTACAATAACATAAAATTAATAACAAAAATATTAACTGATAAATATAAATATTATTTTTAAAAAAAAACTTTATTTTTTCTAAAACATTGCAATAAACAGAAGCTTTCAGCATAAATGTTGTTTAAAAAGTTTGATGTCCCGGTTATTATTGTCAGAAAAATAATAATAATAAAATGATAATAAATTTATTTAATAATAATAACAATAAATACACTTTTTAAAATAATAATAATAATAATAATGGATAAACATCATCATTAAACAAAAAACAAAACATCTCAAAAAATTAACTGTCTGTCCATCCGATATGTTAACAGCAAACAAATGGCTATTATTACTGATAATAAAGTTTGTATTGATTGTCGTTTATATGAATATATGTTGTTTTGCACAACAAATAAATCAAGATTTAGATGACACTACAGAATCGGACACAGAATTGTTGACAACATTGCTATCGTTGTTGTCGACAGATAACAACTACACCAACAACACCAACACTATCAGTGCCTTTAGGGCCTTAAGTGACCAGTCATACCAATTATCGTCTTCAAATAATGAGACAATAAAAATCGGTTATCTGACCAATTTTCATGGCCGACAAAATGTCCAGCGACAGGGTATTGTCATATCGGGTGCCATCACATACGCCATCAGTAAAGTTAATGCCAACGCAACCATACTTAATGGCCGTAAGTTGGAGTTCATATTTAGCGACACTAACGGATCGACAATCGACGGTACGGCTGCCATACTGTCCCAATGGAAACAAGGAGTGGTTGCCTTTTTCGGACCGGAAGACTCGTGCGAAGTCGAGGCCACAATCGCTGCTGCCTTACAGTTGCCAATGATTTCCTATAAATGTGCCGACAGTAAGGTTTCGCGCAAAGATCTATACTCGACCTTTGCACGGACACATCCGCCCGATACACAAATTGTCCGATCAGTTATAGCCTTGTTGTCGTATTTTCATTGGAACAAGTTTTCGATTATCTGGGAAAATACTGCCCAATACAAGACAGTCTTCAAGAGTCTACGCGAACAAGCCGTGGCCAACGACTTTGTTATTAACAGTGACCGAAGTTTTGAAAACTATTACGACTGTTGTATAGCTGTCCAGCCGTGCTGTCGGCGGGCATTCTTGGACATCATCGAAGAGACCTATCGGGGGACGAGAATCTATGTGTTTTTAGGCAAAACATCGGATCTGCATCGTATGATGTTGGTCTTGAGAATGAGAGGATTGTTTGAAAATGGCGAATATATTGTCATCTATGTTGATCTGGAGGAAGAATATCTGAGGTCACAGTCGTATAAGTATATTAATACAAGATTTGATATATCCGAGGATGAAAAACGGGCACTGGCCGATGCAGCACAATCACTGTTGGTGATAGTACCGAGTCCACCAAATGGTACCGATTATACTGCTTTTGAGGACAAAGTTCGGGAATTTAATTCCAGACCGCCGTTCAATTTGCCAGAAATGACTTACGGAAATGTGACACTTAAAAGACATATTACAATCTATGCGTCCTATTTGTACGACTCGGTTATGTTGTACTGCGAAGCACTGGCACAGGCCTTCCGCGACGGTCTAAACGAATATAATGGCCGAAGTATTATCCGTAATATTATCGAAAAGAAACGTTATCTGAGTGTGACGGGCGCCTGGATGAACATCGACGATAACGGCGATGTCGAAGGCAACTATACAGTACTGGCCCGTTGGCGTACACCCGTCGACCTACCTATCAAAGGTATGGCCGGTCATCAGCGACCGAGTCATGTGATGCTTCCGGTCGGCAACTTTGAATACGACGAGTTCATGAATCGGACGGTATTCAAACTCGAAGGCAATATCGATTGGGTTAGCGGTAATCCGCCACTGGTCGAACCGCCCTGCGGTTTCGATGGCAGCGGTTGTCTGGAAGCAGTGGACAATAAACGAGAAATAATTGCCGGCGTATTGATCGGCTTATTGGTCACTGTTATCATCGTAACGGGTGTTACCTATCGAAACTGGAAGTACGAACAAGAAATAGCCGGTTTGTTGTGGAAGATCAATGTCAACGAATTGATGACCGATTCGTACGATCATCTGTTGGCCGCCAGTCAGATGAGTATCGCTAGTCAGGCATCAGTTGATTCCCGATTCTACAACAACCAGGTGTTTACCCAACGAGCCATATATAGGGGCGCTTTTGTTGCGGTTAAACAATTGAAATTTACTAAACGTATTGATATATCGAGGACAGTGAAGAAAGAGATGAAAATCATGAAAGAGATCAATCACGACAATGTTAACCAATTTATCGGCGCCAGTATTGAGGTCTACTCTGTACTGTTGGCCACTGAATACTGTGCCAAAGGCAGCCTTTACGATATACTCGAAAACGACAACTACAAACTGGACTCAATGTTTCAGACATCACTAGTATTTGATCTCATATCGGGAATGATATTCTTGCACGACTCGGACATCAAATTTCACGGTAATTTAAAGTCATCGAACTGTGTGGTCACAAGCCGTTGGGTTCTCCAGGTGGCCGATTTTGGTCTGCATCAGCTCCGGGCCAATGCAGCACCCGATCCTATTATGGCCGGTGATCCCTATAGAGATTTGTTATGGAAAGCACCGGAACTCCTACGCGACAGCAGTCTTGGCGGTAATCAAAAGGCTGATGTCTACGCCTTTGCCATAATATTGCACGAAATTATGGCCAGAGAAGGACCGTTCGGTATCAACGAAAAGGATATTACGTGCAAACAAATTGTCAGCCAAATCAAAGAATACGATCGACTGCCGGAACCGTTTCGGCCGGACTTGAATCTAGTCCAGTGGCAGGACTTTGTCCGCCAAACAATGCAGGACTGTTGGACAGAAAAAATTGATTTGAGGCCAGATTTCCGAACTATACGATCGAGGCTTAAAAAGCTCAGACAGGGTCTCAAATCAAATATTATGGACAATATGACGGCACTGTTGGAAAAGTATGCGACAAATTTGGAGGAAATAGTCGACGAACGGACGTCACAGTTGGTCGATGAGAAAAAAAAGACCGAATCACTATTGGACAGAATGTTGCCGCGATCGGTGGCCGCTCAGCTTATGCGCGACGAGCCGGTAATGCCCGAGTCGTACGATGCGGTTACCATCTTTTTCAGCGACATTGTCGGCTTTACGTCTATGTCGGCGGATAGTACACCGATGCAAGGTTTGATAGCCCATTCCGATGTCGGGGGTGGGAGTGTATGCCATACTATGGACTGTCAATTGATAGCATTTGTTTGTTAAAATAGTTGTCACTTTTCTCAACGACTTATACACACTGTTTGATTCAATCATTTGCAACTACGAGGTGTACAAAGTAGAGACCATTGGCGACGCCTATATGGTGGTCAGTGGTCTACCGATTAGGATAGGCGACGCTCATGCGGCCGAAATTGCATCCATGGCTCTCGAAATGCTCGAATCGGTCAAGTCCTTCAAGATTAGACACCGACCCGACGATCTACTACAGCTCCGCATTGGTATACACACAGGTATGTAAAAAAAACTTTTAATCTATTATTTTAATATTGAGAATATATTTTTTGATATATATATTGCTATTATCAAAAATTTAATGATAATAAAATCGTATATTCAATAACAAGTTGTTGTTATTGTTAAAATTATTATTGTTATTATAATTATTAAGTTATAATCTATCAATTATCCAAAATTTTATGTATGTTATAAAGATTACTATTAAAAAAAAAAAAATTAATGTCAATGTTATATACTGTATATATAGTAGGTATGGGATTGTTTATTCAGCATTTTGTTGTCTATAAATAATTTATATATAATTTTTTTTTTATTAGACCACCGGCTAAACTAATTAATTTTATATATATATTGGATTACATAATGTTAGATAATATATATTAATAGGATTATATTTGCTAGATACTATATTAATGATAATAGACAGTAAATATCGTAGGTATCATAGATATTGATGTAAAAATTTATTTAAATATTATTGATTAAATTGTAATCTTATTATTATTATTATTATTATATTATTATTGGTGACTATCATTATAGGATATCTGATTAAACCTTGACAACAGTATTAAAATACTTTATTATTAATATCTCTAAATATATAGTATTTTCTCTGTAATATTAAATGATATTTATAGATTAGAAAATTATTTTTTTTGACTAATAATAAATACAATAATAATCTATTTAAGAAAAAATATGATCTACTAGACTATTAATATATAATTTACAATATACTACTGTAATAGTAGTTATTTTATTAAAATTATCAATATTTTTATTATTTTTATTATGAAAAAAAATTTCTCAATAACATAGAAAATTTGTATTACAAATAATATTAATTAATTTTTATTCTTATTATTAACCCTGATAATTACTATTTTATTGATTATGCATTTTATTAAATACAATACTTAACTATAACATAATTATAATTATATTTTATAATTATATTTTATAATTATATTTTATGTGGTTTACTATTTATTAGTTGTTCTCATTAATTCAAATTAAATTGTCAATATAATTATTAAAATTATATATAAATATTATTTTCATTATATTTTAAGTAATATAATTATATATTTCTGATAATATGAATATATTTATCTCTAGAAACATGTGTTTATTTATTATTTAATTCAATGCAATTGCATTTATTATTTTTATTACACTAGTTTTTATTATTGCATTTAACTACAGTATATACATGTATATATTGTTTATTATTGTACTTTATTATTCAAAATTGACATCAAGTTATTTTTAATAATAATAATAATACCGAAAAATATATATAAATATATTTAGAAATTTCAGATAAATATTTGATATTTAATAATATATTCATGATGTTGGTATATATATAAATATATATATTTATTTACAGTAATATTTAATTAAATATATATATTTAAAATTATTTCCACTCATAAATAATATGAAATGAAAAATTTATTCTAGTTATGTATATAATAATAATAATAATAATACATATGTACTCTATCTCTAGAGATATCAAATACAGTATTTTATAATGAATATGTGTTTTATTATTTTTTGATATTACTTTTGTTTAATAATAATAATAATTTTTATATAATAATTTATATTATGAAATGTTGCTCTAATACAGTAAACTGTATACAGTTTATAATAGCATGTTATAAAAAATTTTATATTTTATTATTAATTTGTTTTCAACAATTTATTAATATAATTATTGTTTTATAACATTTTTTGTTGAATTTTTAAAATAATTTCAAGTTCATAATTATATTTTTAAATCAGGGTTAAGCAAAGTTATGGATTTTAGGGGGGTATAGTGGTAAAAAAAAACCCCTACTCCCTTGCTTAGCCCTACTTTAAATGTAGACAAAATTCTTTTTAATATTATTTTATTTAAGAATTTGATATATAATACAATTATTATTATTATTATTATTATTAATTTATTATCATTTTTTAAAAACTTGCAATATATCACATGTTCAACTGTATTAAAAGTTTAACTAAATATACACTATGTTGTGTGAATATATTATATATATATTAATATATATATATATATGAAAAAATAATAATGAGGTATAATATTAATAATTCTAAGAAATATAGTATATTATAATAATTTACATATAACTTATATTTATAGTTTTTTTCCGGCAAACATTTATTATATATAAATATACTGTATTAATAGATTTGTTGGCTTTTAAATTAGGATTTTTTTATCAAGTAGTTGCCTATATAACAACTAAAAATTGAGTGACTATTGTTATGAAAATTTAATATATCTATTAATAATTATAATAATGATAACGTTGAAGAAAAGCTGTGAATATATATATATATATATTTATAAATACAAAGAAAATGCTATACATTCAAATATAGAGACAATAATTGGTTTGTTTGGGCAAAAAAATCAATATTTTATTTATAGTGAGATTATACAGTATATAATGAATATATATACAGTATATTTGTTGAAAACCTCCGACTACTTGTAGGATAATTTTTATAGTGTATTATATGTATATTTACAATATATAATCATAATACTATCATATTAAATATATATATATATATATATTTGTACACAATATAATATATAACAACAAATATTTGTTATACAGTATGTAAATTGGATAAAATCTATTTGTATTTTCTATATAGATATTTGGTATTACAATATATATTTAGTGGTTTTTTGAATTATTCAATTTAATAATAAAAGTAAAGTTATATATTGTATATACAGTATTATTCAACATAACATTATTAAAAAGCTATATATTTTTTTTAAATAATACTATTTAATTTCTATTGAACATTTAAATTTATATTAAACTATAGTAGTAATAAAAAAAAGTTATTTATAGATTATAATAAATCTGTTATACTATATATTAAACTGTAAACCTATATATTGAAATGTACAATATTTTTAGGCAATTTTTAAAATTCTCAATTTATTGATATATTTCTATGATTAAATTATTATGTTAAAATTTTAGATTGAGGCATGTTTATAAAAATTAAATAAATAAATAACTTATCAAATACTATATAAGCAAATAATTTTTTTAAATTATCAAATAATATTTAAATTAGTTATATATTCTTACTTTATATTGTTATACCTGTAATTGTGTGGATTTTTTACGGTACAAATTTTAAAAAACTGATTCAATAAAAATTGACAGATGTTTGTGATTGAATTGAAATATATATATACAATAAATTACTTGTATCTGATATTAAATTGAACTATCCTTGATAAAGTATACAATATAATATAAGATAAATAATAAATTTTAATGTACAGTATTTTATTTTTGTATCTCTATTTGAATTTGTGTAAAAAATAATTTTATTTTTATATAAATTTTCTAGTTTTCCAAAATTGAGCTAAATTTTTTAAAGTTAATTTTACCCAATAAAAAAATAATTTTTATCTAAAATATTTATATCTATCATATAAACATGTTTTGAAATATAAAAATTTTAATTTAATTCAATTATATTTTTAAAATTTTAGGTCCAGTGGTGGCGGGAGTAGTGGGTCGGACAATGCCTAGATATTGCTTGTTTGGTAAGTCTAAGATTAAAATTGGAAAAATATTAAATAAATTATTTACTTATTAATTATTAAAATTAATTAATTAATAAAATAGTATTTAATAAAAATTTTTATTAAATACTATGTCAATAAAAAATACTTTAAATACAATACTAAATAATTTTTGTTTCGTTTTACAAATTTTTTTAATTAGTATTTTATTCAAATATCAAATCATTATATTGTTTTTCCCAATTAATTTTTGGTAAACAAAAAAACATGTGATGTTTTTAAAATGAAATTTAAGATGAAATCTGTAATCAAATCTCCTAATGAATAAACGCAACAATAATAGTGAAAGAAAGAGATCAATGGATTTCTTAAGCAACAAAAAAAAATAACACTAATTAAAACAATTGACAACAATTTGTTTAATATTAAGTTATATAATATACAGTATATTTGTGAACCTAATTACCGCTGAAGACCACCTGTTGTGTGGCCTATAAAAAACAATAATAACCAGAAGACGATCGACACTAACTTATTAAAGATAGAGATTAGGTTTCATTTAGGGAAAAGAGAGAGAAAGAGAGAGAAAGAGAGAGAGAAAGAGAGAGAAAGAGAGAATACAAATCAATTTGTTTTTATTTAAAAGCAATTTTAATTAACACACAAACAAACAGTACTGTTATTTTGTATATAAATTGTATATCAGATTACTTACATAATAATTAGATAGCGTTAGAGCAATATTTTTATATAAATATACATAGAAGGGAAGTTGCCGTATAAGTTTTTTTTGAGGAAAATATTTTATTTGTATTATAGTAAACTATTTTTTTATTATATAATTTTATTATTGGAAAATAATATAGAATTTTGGGGAAAATATAAAAAAGAGGGGAAGGAAATACTTTATATATATATATATATATATTCTCTATTAATATTTTGTAATTAATTTTTTTTGTCTTCATTATAGGCGATACCGTCAACACAGCCTCCAGAATGGAAAGCAATGGTCAGTATATATATATATATATATATATATATATATATATAAAGAAATAACGATATTATCTCAAACATTGTATATTTTAATTACCAAAAAAAACATATAATCTCTTAAATATTTTATATTATGATACTTGTAGTCTAAATATAAATATTTATATCATACATATAAAAATCATTTTCACTGATTAATTATTCAACTAAAAAAACAATAAATAATTAATTTTAGCATTAATTGTATAAATAAATTTATATAAAAATAGGATTTTTTAAATAATTAATATCTCAATTATTTACTGACAATTTTTTTATTATAGGAGAGGCTCTAAAAATACACATCAGTCCTCAATGTAGAGACTATTTAGTGAGATTAGGTGGTTATGTGATTGAGGACAGGGGTTTTGTAACCATGAAGGGCAAAGGTCAAGTGTTAACCTATTGGCTAGTATCGCATACAACCGGTCAAATGCATCGGCGAGAGTCGGCGCCCGACGACTACATGCTGTTACAAAACTATGGCTATCCAGACAAGAAGCGCCCGAACAATGCACTGGTAGGCCTATTGCCCCGTAAGGGCTCAATCGTTGGTTTCAAAAACTCGGGTAAGACGACTAATGATGGCTCCAATCTGAATGTGTCGACCGCACGGCTGCCGGCTTTTCTACGATCTAAAGGACACGAATCCAATGGATCATTAGTGAGACCATACAGTCCTAAACTCAACAAAAAGCCATTTCCTTCGTCACTCCGTCACAGCCGACTGGCACTGAAGGACCAATTATGTGATAACAACAACAAAGAGACCTCTTTTTCGTCGACAATTGTCCAACAAATGCATTCCAAGACAACATCAATACCGCGAAATGCGTCCAGTGTTTCATTTAAGACATCGCACGATAGGTTCAACTCATTCAATGAACAATACATACTCTTCGGAGACAATGATTATACAAATCATACTAATAATCATATAAATGACAGCGAACTGTCTCAACCATTGCTTAATAGTGATCACAATCATGACCACCAAAGTCATCATCTTAATCATCATCATTATCACCACAACAACAACAATAGCAGAACAAATCATAACTATTCGTCATCTTCAGGTGACCTTAACATTGTAACCGACTGTTGTGCCAATGATAACGTCGACATCATCATCAACAACATTATCACCGATAGACCACTACCACCATTGATAAACCATCCATTGATCAAACTTGACAATATTATAGCGTCCAAGAAGTGGAACTCGTGTACACAATTGGATTTGAATAATAAATCCATTAATAATAATAATAATCAGTCGTCGATAAGCAGTGTCGCCGACAATAGTCATAATAACTGCAACGATAATAATAATACAATGGTTGCCGATATTATTATCGGCAACAACAACAACAAGAAGTTTGATCCGACAGTCAAAGATTGGTCTAAAATTAGTTTAGTTGATTGCAATCAATTGATAGAAACCGATCTGACATTATCGTCATCAACAACAACAACATCGGCTGCTGTTGATGATGATGATGACGACATCACTTCCGTCAGAAAAGCTACCGGAGCTAACAATTTGTTGAAAAGGAGACCAAGTAATTGTGATTTTCTTATCAAATCTCTCAATGACTACGAGCTTAAAGTCGAAAGTTCCGTATGAATACCCGATAATAATTTTTTTTTTTGATGGGCTATTGATATATATATATATATATATCGCCGGAACGTATCGATGATGGATATAATATTCAAAGATATTATTATATATATATTTATACATATTTTTTTCGCACCGATAGCTATATATAAATTTATATACCATACCGGACCTCAAGGAATACATTTTTCATAAGTAAGTGTAACAAAAAAAATGCAATTATTATTATTTTCATTTTGCTTGACTTGAAAAATACAATATATTGTATTTTTTTATAAAGAACTAAAATAAATATAAAAACAACAAAATCATCAAAAAATCGATTTCCTCGACAACTGATTTCTAGTTATAGTTTGTGTTTTGTTTTTTTTATATTTTTAGATAATCGTATTGAAAATGAAAATTAGTTTTTTTCCTATTTGTTTTTTACTACTACTACTACTACTACTACTACTACTAAATCATTTTCAATAATAAGACAATTTTTAATGTATATATACATATGTATATTGTATTGTATTGTTTGATACAATTCCTGAGGCATCAGAATATTCTGTATATATATTTTTTTGATTAAATGATGAATACTTTTTTTTTGAAGCAAATAACATGAACACAACATTATATAATTTTTATATATATATATATAATACCCGTATATTTCTATATTTAATTTGATTTTTAGACAAATTAATTTCCTCTTTCTTTTTTTCTTTCAATTTTTTTTATATTTATATTTCAAACCCATAATATTATTATATTTTTTTCATAATAACAAATGACATAAATTACTATTTATTTTTTAGTCAAAGACTTGTGTGTGAAATCTACACTAAGAATATTATGTTTTTTATATTAATTTTGTTGTTATGTTAAATATAGTATATATTTAACTAATTAATGATATATATATTTATTTAAACTAATTAATGCAATTTTATTATAAAATATAATTATTTCATTATGCGTTACAAAATTAATATATTAATAGATATGATAATTCAGATTGAGATATAAAATACAAAAAAAATAATAATAATTAATTATCTTTTAATATAAAACATTAAGTTTTTTTAATGATCATATAAATGTGTTAATAATAAATTAATGTTAATAAGTAATTAATAAGTAAGCTAACATATAATTTAAAATGTTTTTCTAAACATTACATTAATTTTTAAAGTGACTTTAAATGTCATAATAAGTATAAACATTTTGTTGTTATTATTATTATTATTATCATTTTAATCTAGATTTATGATAAAAGATATCAACAATATTGTCTTAATAAACAAAATTTATTTTCAATTTTAACTTAGATGGAGATTAGAAAAACATTTGATATTACATGTCTTGATATCTAATATGTATTACATATAATATAATGTATATGAAAAAAAATTAACTCTAAAGCTTAGAAACTTTATTTTTGTAGTAAATAAGGATTTATTTTTACAAATATATTACTTAAATAATTGCTTGCATTAACAATATTTAGCGATTTATTTGTTGAGCAAAAAAACTGCAATTATCAGTTAAGCAGTTAAGCATCATATAAGCAATTAACTAATTATTAACATTATATTGTTTGTCACTTATTTAAAACAACAAAAATTTTGTTTTTTTTTTCAAACCAATTATAACAACAAATAAGTTACGCTTTCACTGAACATATATTTGCCATATGTTGTACCTATAGATATACTAAAGTATGTTATGAATTATTTGTATTTTATTAAAATCTAAAAATTGTTGGTTATTTTTAGTAATTAAAAAAATATATATATTTTACATTTAGTTAGTAAGTATTATTATTTTTTAGTAATGTAACTATAATCTAATGTTAATTCTATAGGAAATTTACATGTAATTTAATATATATATCATACATAGTATTATCGGTACTGTATTAATACATGTTTATAATGACACTTGAAGGGGACATTAGGTTTTTAATACAGTATATTTAGTGTATATATATATACAAGTATCTATTGTATTATAAATTTAAAAATAAAATAATGCATTGCTAGCACTGGCATATATTTTTAAGAGCATAAGGTAATAATCGGTACATTGTTGGGAATCAATGAGATTTTTGTTGTTGTAAAATATTGTAAATTTATTATATATATTGATACTTGAGTTGAGAGCACCCGTTCCTCTAAAAAAAAGTATCGGTAGAATCTCAACAACAAAAAAATATTGTAATAAACTATTCAAAAGCCAACGAAGCGTTTATTTTAACTTACAATATATGATATATATTAGTAATGTTTGAAAATACTAAAAAAAATATTACACAACTATATATTGATTTATTAATTTTTTGCTGATATTATAAATAATATATTCATCAAAACTAAATATAACTTTTATATATATATATATTTGAAAGCAATAAAATATTCATAATATTTTTTTAATAAATATTTTTTTACAATAAACAAACAAATAAATTGTAAATAAAATAAAACTTCTGTACACAATGTTTTAACAGTACATTAAAGTTTTTATTTACAATTTATTTAGTATTTTTTGTTATTGTAATCAATATTTATATAATATTTTCAATGTAAATATATATAAAAGAGATTTTACTGTATATAGACTTAAATGATGATTAGACAGTGAATTATATTTATCTAATTTTTTTGTATTGAATAGAAATATTATTTTGCATATTATTGATATGCATTTGAATCACATAAAAATTCTTAGATATATTTTGAAATATTATATTTAAAAAATATTTTTTGATATCTATTTTTTATTATTTAAAATCTACTAAATATTTATGATAATATTATATACTAATATACTATAGATTACTAATAATAGAATTTATACTAAATTATATAAATCAAAAAAATATTTCATAAGATACAATTTTTAATAAAAATGATAAATACTTTTTTTTAATAATATTGATATTTGAAAACATGTAATTTTTATGTGATTCGGATGTATATATTAGTTTGAAAATCAATATCTAATTTCAATAAAATTAAATAAAAAATTAAATTTATTATCATCTATTAATAGTTATGAATTAAGTTTATAAATCAACAATATGTTTGCTTTTTTTAAAAAAAACGTTATATTAATATTGATTTTAAATTTTTCTTTAATTTTTATATTCTATAGAATCTATAAATTAATTTTACATTTTTTAAAATTTACAAAAAATGTGATAACATTTTTCTAAATGATATATTTAATATACAATTATATATAAATATAATTAAATGATATTATAAAGTTATAGTTAATCATTATGTTAATTGCTTTTATACTAATAATTTAACTGTAAATACAATATTATCTTTTTATTAATTTGTTACATCATGATTAGTGATGTAAAAATTATTATTACAATATATTAATTTCTACTTTATATAACTTAAATGATTGTCTTTTTAGTTTGTTTAAAATTTTTGTATTAATTAAATTCAAATATATTAGTATTTATAAACTTATTATTTCATACTTTTTCCTTAAAATTCAGTAACTCACCCAGTAACTATTTTTTCAAAATTGATATAAATTATTAACAAGCACATATAATCTACCGATACATTTATAATAATTTAAAAAATATATCCAAAAATATATAATACTAATAAAAAAATATGATTAATTTTATTTTCCATGAATTTTTTTTTTAATATAATGGTTTAACAATGATTAATTTAAATAGTAGTAATAATAATAATGTAAATGCATAAAATGATACACACAAAAAATAATTATTATAAATATATTATTTTTTTTAAAAATTTAATGATCTTTTTTGTGTCGTTTCCAGAAACGTCTGACTTCGTCGTGTCCCTCATTGGTGACAACCATAACCCGGCGCATAGGATTGCTCCAAATCAAAACACCCAGATCCTATATATATTTTTTACATACATAGACACACACACACATTTGACGAAAAAAAAATTTAGTCATCATTATTATTATTATTAATAAGAAAATTTTAAATTATTATAAACAAAATAAAATAAATTATATAATAAATATATATATTATTAAATAATAAATTTATGATTACATTCGCATATTTCTTAAGCAAATCGAAATCTGGCTGCGAATTGAATTGACTGTATAGTACACCATCTGTATAAACCAATCGATCCCTTTCCTGTTCCCACAGAGATATCTGATCGACAACAGTGGCCGGAACTATTGGATTTTGTTTTTGTAGCTCAGGATGCGAATGCATTACCAAAAAATTGACTATTTGTTTGGCATTTATGCCAAATTTGTAGGCTTGTCGACAACTTTCCCGAGTAATAGCTCCCAACACAAACTTTGGGAAACGGTATTGCATTTCCGTAAATATGGACAACAATGCAATTTGTATCGGAGAATCTGAGATATAAAAACAAATTAATTTTTTTTTTAAATTTTACTATAACCTATATTATGGTACTAATTTATACCGGTAATATACAAATACCTGTATAAGCATATACTCTATAATTTGTTTCAACAATTATAAAACCGGGTCTTTTCGTGTGTACCGGTGCTTCCTTAAGACCGCTGACCAGATTTATGGCAAGTCTTGTCGGATAAAATCGGCCGTCTTTTCGCTGAAAATAATAATAATATTATTAATTAAAGTGAATTATATTTATATTTAAACAACAAATAAATAATACTTTTCTTTGATAAACTAAACCAAATTCTCTTAAATTCTGAAGAATTGACAGATTTGAGTCACTCATACTTTCAGTCGAGTAATTCTTTGAATGAAACAAAAATTTGTATTAAATTTAAGACAGAAAAAGATAAACAATTTATTGTTTCTTTTTTTTTTTGGTCATTACTTTTCCTAACGTAAGAAAACTCAGTTGAAAGAGAAAAATCAGTGCTTCGGCTAAATCGAGACCTTTTGTCTGAAGTGTTTCCAAATATTTCACTAAAAAATGCCAGACTTGAGACATGACGTCCATCAATAAGAATTGAAATCCGTTTGCCGTAATATCCGGTATGTCGTTCGGATCATCCAAACGGATCAGATTGGCCTGAATTAGGACTTTCTTTGTGTCCAAACTGATAGCATTTTCTGGATTTTGTTGTTTCCGTTCGACCATAAAGTTGAGCATTGATTCCCATCGTTTGTTAGCATAACTGTCCAAATATTCGACATCCGGTGCGTGTTTGTCTTTAGATAGATCCTTATATAGCGACCACTGTTCGCCACTAAAAGTTTGTTATGTTGTTGTTATTAAATCAACAAAAAAAAAGAGAAATCAAAGAGTAATTAATATCATAAGACAACAGACATTAATATAATCATATGATCTGATCAATCAATAATACCCTCCAAGAAGTGCCACTTTGAGACTGTCGCGAAAGCATGGATTCAGTAGCCAACCGGGCAGACCAGTCGGCAACGTTTGGCTCTTCCATACGTGAAGTCTGGTCAACACTTCGGACGCTTCGTTATGTTCGCTATGAAGATAATTGTCGGATCAAATCCAGTGATCAGAAATCAGTCACCAAAAAATGCCTGAATAACACACATTACCTGATATTCTTGACCCACGAGGCGATCACCGCTTGCGGTATCGTTTGGTCGACAAACAACAATCGCATCACATAATGTTTGGCCAATTCGGGTAACTCCCGATAGACTGCCAAACTTGTGGCCGAACTCGTATAGAGTTTATCTATTAGCGGTTGTTTCAGACGCGACAGATATTGGATCAGATTATCGTTTAAGTCGGACGAAGACGTGTTGGTTATTGTCGATGATGTGGTGGCGGCGGCGGTGGACACGTCTGAACTCATCGATGGCTAACAGTTTGACAAATATTTATTACAATACTTGTAATCAATTTATTTATTTAATTAATTAATTGATTGTCAAAACAGTTAACTAATAATAAAATATTCGTTAATAATGTTTGCAAACAATAATTATTGAGAAAAATAAATAATAAAATAAATATATTGTAAAGTCATTCACAAACACTGTTACTATTTTTTAATAAAAATAAAATACAAGGAGTTTTAGATTCAAAAAAGGGCTTAAGTATAATACAAACTAAATACTGTTATTGCTATAAACTTCAATAATATTGAAATACAAATGGAGTTAAGCCCTTATTGTTTGAATTTTTTTGTTAATGAAATGTTTTATTTTGAAAGACATGTGAATGTATTGCGAAATCAAATGACTTTAAAAGTGATTTAAATATTTTTTTCAATCATTAAATCAATTGATTTTCAAACAACACATGAGTTAAGACATTATTATTACCGAAAAAACTCACGGATCAGCTGTTGAAGAGAAAGAAAGAGAGAGAGAGAATGGGTTCATTGGTATCGAAAGACGTTCGGACAGTCGACGGCCCGTTAGGTTCGGTCGAAGTGCGCGATCGGGTGGCGAACAATGACCCGAAACACCGGGACATTAGTGAGTGTCCGATGCACGCGAAGAAGAGAGAGATGACTGCTTCCGAGTGTCCCATAAATAAAGACAATTATATGCCGCTTGAGGCCAATCAACAGCCATCGGATGGACAACCGTTTCCATTGTCAACATCGCGCCAGTCGTCGACAATACCGAAAGCCAATCCTAACGCCGAAGACGATCAATACTGGAAATATCCGTCCGAACAGATGTTCTGGAATGCTATGCTTCGGAAGGGCTGGAAATGGCAAAAACCGATCGACGGTTCCGACGAGACGGCCATCGAGAACAAGGATATGACTGATATCATCAAAATTCATAACTTCAACAACGAAATGGCGTGGAAAGAGATACTCAAATGGGAAATGGCTTTCCATATGCGCGAGTGTCCCGACGGACCCAAACTGAAACGTTTTGGCGGCCGGGCTCAAGACTATTCGCCGCGAGCACGCATGCGATCGTGGATGGGCTACGAACTACCGTTTGATCGACACGACTGGATTGTCGACCGATGCGGCCAAGATGTTCGCTATATTATTGACTACTATGACGGCCAAAAATTGGACTCAAACAGCGGTAACTTTGCACTGTTAGATGTTAGGCCAGCCGTCGATTCAGTTGGCAATGTCTGGGATCGTATGAGAGTTGCCTTTTGGCGTTGGACTCAACGGTCTAATGACTGACTGACTGATTGATGTCTTTTTAAATGACTGTTTATTTAAATAATATACTGTAGTATATAATTAATAATAATAATAATTTAAATCTAGGATTCATTTATACATATTTAGTCAGAATTTTAATTATATAAACATTTTTTAATAATATTAATAATTTAATTATATTATATAGTTTGTCAAATTATTAAATTAAAAAACATTTTAATATATCAACAAATATATATAATTTAGATAAATACATCAATAAACCAATAATAAATTTTTTTAAAACTATTTAATATATAATATATTTAGTTGATATAACTTTTAATTGCTTATATCTCATTAATACATACACTTTTATGACTCAATCAATATGCTATAAATATAATACTATAATATATAGTAACTGTATTTGAGACTAATTGCGAGATTATTGCTAATTATAGACTATCACTGTATTTATAAACTTAAGTACAAATCAAAGGTTAGATATTGACTTTTTGACATTTAAATCATTGATATTTCAATTTTATTAATTATCATTGAGTTTATCCATCAAATAGATATATTACAAATATATATATATATATATATAAACTAGACGCAACAATGTTAAATTAATGTTTAAACTAGTAAACTAATAATTTAATTATATATATACACAGGTATAATAATAATATATCGTTTATAACTTTAGTAAAGCATTTAAGTTTAACAACAGTTATGTTTTTTTAATTATTTTATTTTAATTATTGAAACGATTTGGTTTTGACAAATCAATTGAACATATCATAGGAAGCTTATTATAGTATTAATATCGTATATAAATTTATCAAAGAATTTAATTTTAAGGTTATAATAATAGTTAGTTTTCAATTATTTATGTTTTTTTTAATTATTGAAACGATTTGTTTTTGACAAATCTATTGATCATATCATAGGAAGCTCTCGGCTGATCAAACGGTAGTATATGTCCACCATTTCGGACAACTATTTGCAAAAACCGGTCCACTTGTCTGACATAACCGGCCACTTCTTTATCAGTTTTGTCGACTTTCCAAATAATTCTCTCGGCTTTCTTGTACTGATCGGCTTTAGACCATTGAATACTGCGGACAAAATTTTCGGTCAACGGTGCGGCAACTATAATATCCAGTTGGCCGCTATATATGAGGACTTTATAGTTGTCAAGCAATGTACTGATCCATGGCTTAACCGATTTCATAATATCATTCAGTAAATGTTGTTCAACAATATTGCCCTCAGAAAATGGCAAATTACCGACATGTATGGCCCGTCGGGTCGATTCCAAACCCAAATATTTTGGATAATAGCCGAACTCTTCGGGTGCCGAACCCATCAGAAAGTTATAATAAAATGTAAGTCCCGTTGAATTTGTAAAATATGACGTACTGTTAATCAGATCACCATTTAGTAGTAAATCAAATATCTTGAAGGCTTCAAAATATTGCTCTTTGTTTATATAGTCGACGGCTTTGTTTTCTTCAGCATTGAAAAAGTCTCTTTGATTTTCATCGAGAAGTGCTATTTGGTAGAGAAAGTCTCCGTAAGCCGATTGTGTCGCCGGATCGCACAGTCCATCACCAATGGCTATGCCTTTGAGGTTAATATTGGATGCATTGCCTTCTGTATGTATTTTATAAGCAATTGCCGGCACATATTTACCCGCATATGACTCTCCAGTAATATAGAAATCATTTTGCCGTTCATTAGGAAATAATGTGAAAAACTGTTGTAAAGCTGTATACAAATCTCGGGCCACATCTGTCTCGTTTGTGGCGTAACCTATCATTTAATAATTAATTATTTTAGTATTAATACAATAATATTAGGACATTACCCAAATCATTATGTGTGAAACTGAATCCCGTTCCCACGGGATTATCAATGAATATCATTGAATACTCTTGAGCCCACGTATATTGTCTTATACTTGATTTCAGATTTTTATCCAACACTAGCGGACCGTTTTCGTTGAATAGACCAAATAATGATGAACCTCCCGGTCCTCCCTGAAGCCAAAGCAATAGTGGGGCCTTTTTGTCTTTGTTCTTGATATTTGTATACAATAACACTTTTATTAGTTTATGATAATTAAAATAATATATATATTTATATAATACCAGTGCCGGAAAGTACCAGAAAAACATATTGCTGTTAAACTTTTTATTAACCGTCAAAAATCCTGAATAACTGATAATATCGGGTGCATCGGACAAACCGGTTACCCGACTTGCTTGTTGTGCTTCCTCGATATGACCCGATTCTATCATTGGTGTCAAAAACAATGGTTGTCCCGGATCTCGGCTATTGATATTTGCCGCCGAATGGGACGGAAATAGATTTTTGCGAAATATTGCATTGGATTTATCAATAATTAATATTATTATTAATAATAATGAAATAAAACTCTTAATAAATGCCATTTTTTACAAACAGCTAAAAATATAATAATATTATTGAACACACACTCAAACAATTTTTAAAAAATAGCACCTGGATAATTAACAAATAAATAGAGAGATTTTATAAAATAATATATTTTTTTAATTAATTAATTTTAGTTTACAGTTAATGTAACTTATAATATATTTTTTATAATCTATCCTATTATTTGTATAATACTATTTATGTTGAAAATTTTGTGCCATAAATAAACAAATAGTATAAAATTTTTATTGATTTCTCCGAAATTATCTATTAATTATCGCAAAAAATATTTTGTTTGTTTTAATTTATATATCTTCACAGTTAAAAACATTTACAGTACTAATGTATAATTCAAAGTCTAAATAATTATTGACATTTAAGCACAAATGTTGATTAAAAAAATTATATCCTTTACTGTTTAGTCAATTTTCCTTTAATATTTTTTTATAAAAAAACTGTATAATAAAAATGATATATAATAATCAAATCAATAACCGATTATTTATATATTAAATTATAAAAACATTTTTTTAAAAATAATAAATATTGATTAAATAGAAAATGAAATTTATATAAAAAAAATTAATTAAATAATTTTATTTTGAAAAAGAGATATCTCTGACAAATCTAGTAATCAAATTATGTGCCGCTTTGGGCGCCTCATGGGGTACCAAATGACCGACATTTCGGACAACTGCCTGAACAAAACGATCCACTTGTTTAACATAACCGACTATTTGATTGTCAACTTTCCAGATAACTCTCTGTGCTCTACTGTACTGTTGGGTTTTAGACCATTGTATGGTTTGGATATAGTTTTCGGTGGCCGGTGCCGACACAATGATGTCCAGATTGCCCGTATATAGTAAAACTTTGTAATTATCTAACAGTGTTGGCATCAATGGCTTTACAGATTGGATGTAATCATTTTTTAGTGAAGTTCTGACTTTTATCAATGAACTACCGAACTGCACATTACCCACATGTATGGCCTGTCTGGTCGCTGGTATGTCTAGATATTTTGAATAATAGGTCATATCGTCGGGTTGTGTGTCCAGTAAATAATTGTAATAATAGGTTAAACCGGTTATATTTTTCAAATAACTGGTAGAATTAGGATATCCGCCAAAATCTAGTATATCTTTATTGAAAATCCAATCAATTATATTGAAAGCCTCGATATATTGTTTGTTTTTAATCAGATTCTGTAGTTTATGTTCTTTATCGAGAAAAACATTTTTCTGATTTTCATCAATAAGTCCCAATTGAAACAGTTGTTCCCCAAATACAAACTGTGTTATTGGATCCGTTAGACCGTTGCCTAATACTATGCCTTTGAGGTTAATATTGGATGCCTTTCCTTCCGTATGTATTTTATAAGCCAATGCCGGCACAAATTTACCCGCATATGACTCACCCGTTATATAGAAATCATTTAGTCTTTCATTTGGAAATAATATGAAAAACTGTTGTAAAGCTGTATACAGATTGTTGGCCACATCGGACTGGTTTTTGGCGTAACCTATCATTCAAAAAAAAATAACAAAAATCAATAAAAAATTTATAAACCATTGTAACCGTTAGATAATTATTAGTGTAAAATTAGTCATAATTTATATACATTATTACCAAGATCATTTTGTGTATAACTAAATCCAGCACCAATAGGATTATCAATAAATAGCATTGAAAACTCTTGAGCCCACGTATATTGTCTTAGACTAGCTTTTAGATGTTTATCTAAAACTAGCGGACCGTTTTCAATAAATAAACCAAGCAATGATGAACCTCCCGGTCCTCCCTGAAGCCAAAGTAATAGTGGGGCCTTTTTGTCTTTATTCTTGATATTTTTATATATTTTTTTTATAGTAATTTAATAAAACATTTTTATTAGTTTGTAATAATTATTATAAATTATTTTTTTAAAACAATACCAGTGCCGGAAAATACCAGAAAAACATATTGCTTTTAAACTTTTTATTAACCGTCAAATATCCCGAATAACTGGTAATATTTGGTGCGTCGGGCAAACCGGTCACTAGACTTGCCTGTTGTGCGGCTCGGATACGACCCGACTCTATAAGCGGTGTCAATAACAATGGTTTTCCGATATCTTCTGAGTTTACATTGTATTTAGTGATAGAAAACACAATTATTATTAATACTAAACAATTAGTCTTAAGTGACCACATCATGAAAAAAATAAACAAATATTTTATAATTTATATATAATATTATATATTATATGATATAACCAAATGTTTGATTATTTATATACTAATTTCAAAAATATAAAATATACTAATTTATTATTAATTCTAGTTTTTTTTAACTTATCATGTTATTCATCATATCATGTCATGTCATATCATTAGATAATATCATATTATATTTTTAGAAAATTTTATTATACTTTTGTGATTTGACAAAAATTATATATTCAAGTATTAAGTTTAATGACATGTATAGTAAATTATGATCTACAAGTTCACCAATTGATGCTATATAATGTATATGAATATTATTTTATAGCCAAAATAATAGTTAAAAAAAATACATAAAGTTAGACTTTTTATTTATTAAATTTTTATGACAGTTCAATGAATTCATTGAACAAAAAAATTTCAAAAACTTATGTTTATTGTTGAAAATTAATTAATTATTTCTTGTAGTCATTAATTTTTGATTAATATATATATTTTTTGTTTTAATTAAATTGTACAGTATTATCAACAACAACAAAATGTCCTTGCTTTGTTTTAAATTAAATATGAAATACATTATTATTGCAGTATTATTACTATTAATACATAATAAAAAGTATATCCATTCTAAATAAAATAAATTTACAAAAAAATAAATTTACAAAAAAATAAATATAAATAAAAAAAAGTGTTTTCCATGTGTGAGTACAGTACAAACCAATAACAAAAAATAAAGTGGATTTTACTATACCGGTAAAGTTATGTCCCTAGTTATAAATTAGTTGTTATAGGTTAAAAAACTATTATTGATAAAGTAGCAGGGGCGGTTAAGCAAATTTTGGAAATTAATATTTTAATTGATATATTTTAATAAATATTATAATTTTACATAAATATATTAAATTTTAGATCAATCGGACCAATAATTTTAAAGTTATTAAATAAAATAAATTTTGATTATAATGGGACGTATATAAGAAAAATCAAACTTTGAACCCCCAAAAAACACCCGTCCCTGGGATCAATTGTTATGCAATTTTTTTGTGACAGAATTATCAATAGATGTTTTTAGGAAAGTGTGGATCTGCTCCTCAAACATAATCTTAAAATTATCAATAATTAAATTATATATATTGAGCCGGTCGGGGAGTTTAAAATTTATAAAATTTATGTAACATCACATGACAAATTGACAAATTAATTGACACAAAAATTAGTTTACAATATGTGACTTAAATGTATTCTATCGATAATAACTAAAAAAATATTAATTATTATTTTAATAAAATTGATTTTTAATAATTTAATGTTATAATTTTTAAAATTACAATACTTATATATTAATTATTTTTTAATTAGTTTTCAATTGTACAAAGTTGAGCCACATAAACTTATATACCTCCCATTATAATCAAAATTTATTTTATTTAATAACTTTAAAATTATTGGTCCGATTGATCTAAAATTTAATATATTTATGTAAAATTATAATATTTATTAAAATATATCAATTAAAATATTAATTTCCAAAATTTGCTTAACTGCCCCTGCTCCTTTATCACATTTAGCATAGTACTGTATATAGTGTTGTCAAAAAAGAGAAATTTTTAAAATAATAGAGAAATTTCTAGAAAGTTTCTAAAAGAAATTTCTATCTATGGGATCCTCATGTTAATTTTGTTTTTCTCGATATATATGTTATTATGTAATAATACATTGTTTTTACAAGTAATAATTAAATATTAGTTTTAATATTTTTAATTATTAATTAAAGTAACAATTAATTTATCTAATTATCTTAAATTCTTATATACCGTATATAATAAAATGATTATTAAATTTTTTTTAAAACTGATTATTATTAAATAATTATTATTATTTTACATATAGGTATCCCATTTTGTATAGTTAATAAGTATAGTAGTGTATAGTATAATGTTATATGAATAATAGTATATCTCATTATTTATATATTATTACAATAGCTATAGATATGGTTGATGTCTATAGATAGAGTCTAACAATAAAGTTAAATTTCTATAGAAATTTATTCCTGAGAAATTTTCTAGAAACTTTCTCAGGGAAATTTAGTAGAAACTTTCTATTTGCCCATCTCTAACTGTATATTAAAAGTGCAGTATTTTTTGTATATTACTGTAATTTTTTTGAGGGGTATTTTCTAGTAGTGTATATAATTTATATCGTATTTTATATAATATAAATATATACTATATATAATCAGAATATATTAAATATTTATATATATGGATGAAAAATAATAAATAAATAATTGTCTTATTAAACTTTTATCTTAATAAACATTATTTTATTATTTATAAAAAAATTTGTTAATTCAATAATTATATTTAATTATAATAACTGATAGTAATCATTATTTTTCATTAATATTAAATAATGTGATAATACAGTAAGTGTATATAACATTATATAAATTAAATTTTTATATATTATTTTAAATAAGCTAGGTCATGATTATTTTTTAAAACATATGTTAAAACTATTATAAGGTTTTTTAAAAAATAAAAATTAAAACAATTACTAAAACTATTATTGATTTATTTTTGTTTTTTACTAATAATTAATTTAAATATTATTATAAAATCTGAATCTGTATAATCATTATTTTTTTTTAAAAATGTCAGTTAGTCTATCAATAAAATTGATGACTATTGCCGCAGCACTCAGTAGTATTGAATATAGACATAGATTTACTGTCCGACACCAACAACCACTCAAAGCTGAATACGATTTCATTGTTATCGGTTCGGGAACTGCCGGCGCAACAGTGGCCGCCCGACTCAGCGAACTATCCAATGTTCAAGTATTACTTCTAGAGGCGGGCGGTCCGGGAAATATAGCATTGGATATACCGGCACTTTCACAACTAATTGCTCAAGGTCAATGGGATTGGAACTATACTAATGTTCAACAGTCATCAATTGGTTTGGGATTGAAAAATAATGTCCTACCAGAGTATAGGTAATACATATATTTGATAATTTGATAGTTAATAAACTTGAATATATTATAATATAATATTTCAGAGGTTATGCACTGGGAGGTACGTCATCTATCAACGCTATGATATTTAACAGGGGTAACACCAGAGGTTACGATGCCTGGGCTAATAAATACGGTGCAACCGGTTGGGGTTGGGATGATGTGCGACCATATTTTATGAAATTTGAAAATAATACCGACTCTGATCTCGTAAATGCTTATCCCGATTGGCACAGTACTGATGGTCCGGTTCAGATCAGTTCGTGGACAAACCCCGATCCAATTTTTCAGCTAATTATTAGGGCAAACTACGAGTTAGGCTATCCGACCACTGATATCAATGGTCCCAAACAATTAGGTGTAACTCTATGTCAAACATACGTTAGTACTAGTGGTGTCCGAATGAGTTCGTCCAACTCATATCTTGAGGGCAATCGGAGGCCAAACCTTGATATACGTGTTCATTCGCGAGTAACTCGAGTGATATTTAATGGTCACACGGCTACAGGTGTTGAGTATATAAAAAATGGTGTCACATATGTTGCAAAAGGGAGAAAAGAGATTATTATAAGCGCAGGTAGTTTTTTAAAACTATAATATAAATTGATTATATATGGCAAATATATTTAGATAAAACAAACAAACATTTAATATATTATTTTCAATACAATACAATTGACAGGTGCTATAAATTCGCCGCAACTACTTATGCTGTCAGGTATAGGACCGGCACAACACTTGAATGATCTTTCCATACCAGTGTTGTCAAACCTACCCGTCGGTATTGGCCTACAAAATCATCCGGAACTTGATATACGAGCCTTTATTAAAGATGACTCATTGGTCACAACCAGCCGACAACAAGACATGGAATCACTGACTACTGTTACCAATCTATACGAATGGTTTACCAATGGTTCCGGACCTTTGCGAGTGTTTCAGAACACAAAGACTTATATTAACAGTCATAGCAATAGAGACAAGAATTGGCCGGACCTGTCATTAGAGGTACGACTACTCTATCAATCAAATGATGTCCAGTCATCGGCACAAGGATTCGATAACGTAGACGACTGGACACACTATCTGCAACAGTATGTCAATCGCTATTACCTTCAAGTGATACCCAATCATCAATTGCCACGAAGTCGTGGATACGTATACTTACAGTCCAACAATCCATTTGCTCCGCCGATAATAGATCAACGATATTTGACGCATCCGAAAGATATGGACGAGTTTATTGAGGCCGCTCGGTATGGATTATATGTGGCCGAACGGTCATCACTGGCACAATACTTATTGCCATTGCAACCCATACCCGGTTGTTATGCCTGTCCGCACAAATCATATCTATATGAATGCGATTCATATATCCGATGTCACATAAAACAGCTAACATGGAGTGGTTTTCACGACTGCTGTACCGTACGTATGGGTGATCCCAACAGTGATGATACAGTGTTGGACCCACGGCTTCGGGTTAAAGGTTTCAAAAGAGTGCGAGTGTGCGATGCGTCTGTGTTTCCCAATATACCCAATGCTAACACAAATGCGGCCACTTTTATGACCGGCGAAAAGTGTGCCGAAATGATTAAAGAGGACAACTATTTTATTGATAAAACAAACAAAAAATGAAATTTGAAAAAAATTGTTTATTTAACATTAATATAATTATTTATTTTCTAGTAGTTTAAAACATTTTAAGTTTGTTTTAAAATAAATTGTATTACAGTATATAATGTAACAGTTATTATGTATATTAAAATTAAACATTGATTGATTGAATTAATATATAAAATATTGAAATGACTATTGAATGAAAACTTTAAACATTTGTTTTATTTAAAATTAACTATAAATACATGAAATACAATATTATATTGTTTGTCATATAATAATTAAATATTTTTGTTTAAAATAAAATAATATTTCATTTAAACAGTATATATAAGTGGTGTCTAATTACTTAAAAAGGTTTGTTTTTAACAAATCTAGTAATCAAATCGAGTCCAGCTTTTGGCTTATCATACGTTACAAAATGACCGGCATTTCGGACAACCGCCTGAACCAAACCACCCACTTGTCTAACATAACCGGCTATTTGATTGTCAACTTTCCAGATAACTCTCTGTGCTCTACTGTACTGTTGGGCTTTAGACCATTGTATGGTTCGGATATAGTTTTCAGTTGCCGGCGCCGACACAATGATGTCCACATTTCCGGTATATATTAAAACTTTGTAATTATCCAACAGTGTTGGCATCCATGGATTGGCTGATTTCATTAAATCATTTATTAAATGTTTTTTTACAGTTTTTGATATTTTAGAAAACGTTACATTTTCAAGATGTATGGCCCGTTGGGTAGACTGTAATTGAATATATTTATCAAAATAGGCGAACAATTCGGGTTTATTGTCCTCTAATATATTGTAACGATACTCAAGACCCGTAATTTGTCTAAAATAAGGGAATACCCACTGATATATAGTGTAAGCATCGATATATTGTTTATTTTTAATAAAATTTTTAGCTTTAGTCTCTTGATTGATAAAAACATTTTTTTGATTTTCATCGATTAGACCCATTTGAAAAAGTTGTTCACCGAATGTGAACTGTGTGGCCATATCTATCCTACCGTTACCGAGTGCTATGCCTTTTAGGTTAATATTGGATGCCTTTCCTTCCGTATGTATTTTATAAGCCAATGCAACAACAAATTTGCCCGCATATGACTCACCCGTTATATAGAAATCATTTAGTCTTTCATTTGGAAATAATGTAAAAAATTGTTGTAAAGCTGTATACAGATCGCGGGACACATCGGTATCATTTCTGGCATAACCTATATTTTATAATTAATTAATAATATTTTTTATAATTATTATTAATTAAAATTATGTTTATAATATATATGAAGGTTATATATGGTTAAATTAAATATAATATAAATTGCATAAAATATTATTCGAAAAATTTAATTAAAAAATAAATAAATAAATAATATCTTTTACCCAGATCATTTTGTGTAAAACTAAATCCCGCACCGACGGGATTATCAATATATATCATTGAAAATTCTTGAGCCCACGTGTACTGTCTTATACTTGGTCTGCCATTTTCATCCAAAATTAACGGTCCGTTTCTGTTAAATAATCCGGACAATGATGAATCACCCGGTCCTCCATTAAGCCAAATCAATAGTGGGGCCCTCTTATCTTTATTCTAGTTATTGATATTTTTTTAAAAATTAACTAAATTAATACTTTTATTAACTTAGTATTTATTTATTTTAGTTTTTTTAGTATACCAGTGCCGGAAAATACCAGAAAAACATATTGCTGTTAAACTCTTTATTAACCGTCAAATATCCCGAATAACTGGTAATATTTGGTGCGTCGGGCAAACCGGTCACTAGACTTGCCTGTTGTCCGGCTGCTATACGACCCGACTCTATAAATGGTGTCAAAAACAGCGCTTTACTATTATTTTTAAACTTTCCTGAATAACATTTTGGGATTAAAATCACAATTAGTATTAATACAAATAAACTATTAGTTTTTAATGACCACATCATCGACAAAAAAACAATTATTTTATAACTAATATTATTTAACTAACATTTTTTTATTCTTTATATACCCAATTGATTATTATAATTAATAATAAATATGTAATTAATTATTAAATGATTTAGTTAAAAAATTATTATTTGACAAAAAGTTTCCTTCTATACCAATAAATTATATTATGACTTTGTATATGTAGTTTATTTTATAATTAATAGCTAGATTTTATTTATTTAATAAATAATGATATTTAATATCTTTATATAGATACTTATTAATAAAACAGTCGATTATTTAAAAATAAATTTTTTAAAATCTATGATAAAATGAAAATTATCTAGGTATTTTGTGTAATTAACTAATGTTACTAATTAATAAAATGTAGAAAATTAACTAGGTTAGCTTTAATAAATACTATTGAATATATTTAAATTAAAAAAAACAAACCATCTACTACAATTTGTTAGCTATTTTAGAATTTTGAGATTTAGTGAAAATTTTATACTATACTAAATTTAAACTTTTTTAAAAATATTTAGTAGTCATATACCAAATACAATAATTTATTAACTTATAATATTTAATTAATAGTTGAATTTGTTAAAAGTAATTTAAAAGTGTTTTTATGTTACTATCATATTTATATAATAAATTTTATTTGATATTATATTGTAAATTGTCATTTATTATCATAATGATTGTATGTGTATGTGTATGTGTATGTGTATGTGTATGTGTATGTGTATGTGTATGTGTATGTGTATGTGTATGTGTATGTGTATGTGTTATATTAATACTTAGTAAATATAATACTGTACATGTTGTGTTACAAATTGACAATTAGTAACTTATAATATATTATAACAATTAAAGTTTACTATATGTCTGTAATAAACTAAATGTAATGTATTCAATGTAAATAAAGTTTATGCTTCAATAATTAAAATTAATTGTTTGACAAATTAGATTAATTAGAAAATAGATAATGTTATGTAATTATTGTATCGGAATTTTTACTTTTAAAAAATATTAGCAGAAATTGAATTTAAAAAATAAATAAATTATAAAATTTAAAATATTTCTATCGGTATTATCCTTGTTTTAAATTACACTAATTAATTTCAAAGTCAAATGTAAAGTGACCTCAATATACAGGTGATTATTGTTAGGTCAAAAGTATGTATTTATATATATATAAGATATTTATTATTATAATATTATATAAATTAAAATTTTTATTTCAACTAAAATTTATTATTAAATAACTAATTGTGAGTTTCTGTAACCAAATAAAAATAATGGCAATTAGCCTATCAGTAAAACTGATTACTGTTGGGGCAGCACTTATTAGTCTTGACTATAGACACAGATTTACTGCCCGACCCCAACCACCCAAAGCTGAATACGATTTTATAGTTATCGGTGCGGGAACTGCCGGCGCTACAGTGGCCGCCCGACTCAGCGAACAGTCCAATGTTCAAGTATTACTTCTAGAGGCGGGTGGTCCGGGAAATTTCATGTTTGACGCACCCGTATTGGCAAACCTGGTTTTTAATGGTCAGTGGAATTGGAACTATACTAATGTCAAACAATCGGTTGGTATTGGATTGAAAAATAAAGTCATACCAGAGTTTAGGTAATACTCACAAACTTATAGCTAATGAATTGTACTGTACTTTACTATACTATACTATTTTTATAGAGGCTATGCATTGGGAGGTTCGTCATCTATCAACTCAATGGTATTCAATAGAGGTAACACTCGGGGTTACGATGATTGGGCTAATAATTACGGTGCAACCGGTTGGAGTTGGGATGAAGTGCGACCATATTTTTTGAAATATGAAAATAATACCGACTGTGATCTAGTAGAGGCCTATCCTGAATGGCACAGTACTGGGGGTCCGGTTCAGATCACTACGTGGGCTAACCCCGATCCGATTTATCAGCTAATGATTCAGGCAAACAATGAGTTAGGCTATCCGACCACTGATATCAATGGTCCCAATCAATTGGGTATAGCTTTGGTTCAAGAATTTGCCAGCACTAGAGGTGTCCGATCGAGTTCGTCCAACTCATACCTTGAGGGCAATCGGAGGCCAAACCTTGATATTAGTGTTCATTCGCGAGTAACTCGAGTGCTATTTAGTGGTCGTACGGCTGTCGGTGTTGAGTATGTGAAAAATGGTGTCACATATGTTGCAAAAACAAGAAAAGAGATCATAATAAGCGCAGGTATTTTTTAAATAAATATTTATTTTATACTTTAGTATATATTTAATTATGTAATAATTAAATATCATTATATAAAATGCTTAAAAATAGATATTTAAAAATAATTTTTAATTCAATCTATAGGTGCCATAAATTCTCCACAAATACTAATGCTTTCAGGTATAGGACCGGCACAACACTTGAACGACTTTTCCATACCAGTGTTGGCCGACCTACCCGTCGGTATTAATCTCCACAATCATCCGCGACTTGATTTACGCGCGTATATTAAAGATGATTCATTGGTCACAACCAGTCGACTACAGGACGCGGAAGCGCTGACTGTTCCCGCACTATACGAATGGTTTACTAACGGTTCCGGACCTTTAATTCAATATCACGACACTATTACTTATTTTAACAGTCGTAACAATCGCGACAAAAATTGGCCGGACCTGGCATTGGAGGTACGGCTCTACCATCAACACAAAGATGTACAGTTAGCGGCTCAGGATTTTGATGATGTATACGCGTGGACACAGTGGCTGCAACAGTACGCCAATCGCTATTTCCTACAAATACTTCCCTATCATGAACTGCCCCGAAGTCGTGGATACATATACTTGCAATCAAACAATCCATTTGCTCCGCCGATATTAGATCAGCGATTTTTGACGCATCCAAAAGATATGGACGACTTTGTTGAGATCGTTCAGTACGGACTTTATGTGGCCGAACGGTCATCGCTGGCACAGTATTTATTACCAGTAAAACCCATACCCGGTTGTTATGCCTGTCCGCACACACCATATCTATATCAATGCGATTCATACATAAGATGTCATATACAACAGCTAACATTGAGTGGTCTACACGACTGCGGTAGTGTACGTATGGGTGATCCCAACAGAGATGATACAGTGTTGGACCCACGGCTTCGGGTTAAAGGTTTCAAAAGATTGAGAGTATGTGATGCGTCAGTGTTTCCCGTAATACCCAACGGAAACACAAATGCGGCAACTTTTATGACCGGTGAAAAGTGTGCCGAAATGGTCAAAGAGGACAACTATTTTAATGTATAGATAATCATTTTTTGTTGAGTTATTTATTTATTAAAAAACAATAAAATAAAATTTTTAATTAATAATAAAAATACTATTTATTGAATATTTATTTAAATCGTATATATATTTTTTAATTATTTAATTTAATTTGAGTTAAAATTGTAAATTATTCAGCTTTAATAAATTTGTTTAATCATAAAATATATGTAAATTATATTTGTATAGTATATAAATAACAAAATTTTTGTATATTTTTATAATTAAAGATATTATAAATTTATTGTAATACATTTATTTAAAATAGTTTTATTATAATAAAATTAGAAAATAAAAGATTCTACTGTAAAATGTAATTTTAGATTTAATTAAAATTAATTGAAAAACAATATAAAAATTCAGTATTTTATATAAAGATATAAATGACTTTTATAATATTTTTATTACCTAGATCATGATTAAATATTATTTATATAACATTAATAAGCATATTTACCATATACTGTATCTGTACATATATAATGAAATATTTATTAGCTGTACAATAGAATATTTAGTTTTAAAATAGTTATTAAAACTATTGTGAATTATATTTTTTTTAACTAAAAATCAATTTTAAATCTTAAATAACAAATTGTGAGTTTATATAATCATTAAAAATAATGTCAGTTAGTCTATCCATACAATTGATGACTGTTGCCGCAGCGCTCAGTAGTCTTGAATATAGACATAAATTTACTGCCCGACACCAAACACCTAAAGCTGAATACGATTACATAGTTATCGGTTCGGGAACTGCCGGCGCAACAGTGGCCGCCCGACTCAGCGAACTATCTAATGTTGAGGTATTACTTCTGGAAGCGGGTGGTCCGGGAAATATGATGTTTGACGCACCGGCACTGGCAAACCTTCTGATCGATGGTCAATGGAATTGGAACTATACTAATGTTAAACAATCGGTTGGTTTGGGATTGAAAAATAAAGTCATACCAGAGCATAGGTAATAATATTTACTAATAATTAATACATTTAATAAATCTTTAATATACTGTAATTCAGAGGCTATGCACTGGGAGGTTCTTCATCTATTAGTTCATTGGCATACAATAGAGGTAACCCACGGGGTTACGATGCCTGGGCTAATAAATACGGTGCTACCGGTTGGGGTTGGGATGGTGTGCGACCATATTTTTTAAAATGGGAAAATAATACCGACACTGATCTCGTAAAAACCTATCCCGAGTGGCACAGCACTGGTGGTCCGGTTCAGGTCAGTACGTGGACAAACCCCGACCCGATTTATCAGTTATTGATCCGCGCGAACAACGAGTTAGGCTATCCGACCACCGATATCAATGGTCCCAAACAATTAGGTGTAGCTCTATGTCAAACATATGTCAGTACTAGTGGTGTCCGAATGAGTTCGTCCAACTCATACCTTGAGGGCAATCGGAGGCCAAACCTTGATATTAGTGTCCATTCGCGAGTAACTCGAGTGCTATTTAATGGTCACACGGCTACCGGTGTTGAGTATGTAAGAGATGGTCTCAAAAATGTTGCAAAAGTGAAAAAAGAGATTATAATAAGTGCAGGTATTTTATATAAATAAATATTTATTTTTCAAATATATTAATTAATATATAAGTATAGCTTTTTTGAATATTTATGCATTATTTATGTGAATTTTATATTATAATTAGAGTTCAATCAATATTATATGGGAGGGAAGTTCACTAAATAATTTCTCCAATTTCATCGAAAATATGAAAAATATTTTATTATCCCTCCTTTGATCGTTATAAAGGGAAAATATATTTTATATTATTACAATAAATAGTACTAAAACTTAAATATTTAGCATAAAAATTAATTTTAATTAAATAAATTTAGGCATACTATTTATCAATTCAACTTAAAATATAGTTTAATATAAATATAATATTTGTTTGTTTGTAGAGTTTAAAAGGTAGTATCATAAGGAAATCAATTTCCTAGGAATTCCCAAAGAGAAGGGAACATAAATAATTTTTAGGAGAGAGTGCAATATGATATAACCCTAATTATAATTAAGTTATAATTATACTTAATACACACATTTAATAATCATTAGCCTTTTACTAAAATTTTTTTAAAATTTCAATCTCCAGGTGCTATAAATACCCCGCAGTTACTTATGCTGTCAGGTATAAGACCGGCAAAACATTTGCGTAAATTTTCCATTAAAGTGTTGGCCGACCTACCCGTCGGTATTGGTCTGCAGAATCATCCGCAACTTAATATACGAGCCTTTATTAAAGATGACTCATTGGTCACAACCAGTCGACAACAGGACGCTGACTGTTCCCAATCTATACGAATGGTTTACCAATGGTTCCGGACCTTTAATTCAATATCACAGTATTGTTACTTATATTAACAGTCCTAACAATAGCGACAAGAATTGGCCGGACCTGGCATTGGAGGTATGGCTAGAATATCAATCCAATGATATCCAGTCATCGGCACAAGAATTCGATAACGTAGACGACTGGACACACTATCTGCAAGAGTACGCCAATCGCTATTACTTTACAATGCTTCCCATTCATCTAATGCCCCGAAGTCGTGGCTACGTATACTTACAGTTCAACAATCCATTTGCTCCGCCGATAATAGATCAACAATTTTTGATGCATCCAAAAGATATGGACGAGTTTGTTGTGACCGTTCGGTACGCACTTTATGTGGCCGAACGGTCATCACTGGCACAATACTTATTGCCATTGCAACCCATACCCGGTTGTTATGCCTGTCCGCACAAATCATATCTATATGAATGTGATTCATATATACGATGTCACATAAAACAGTTAACAGAGAGTGGTCTACACGACTGCTGTACCGTACGTATGGGTGATCCCAACAGTAAGGATACAGTATTGGATCCGCGGCTACGCGTCAAAGGTTTCAAAAGACTGCGAGTGTGCGATGCGTCGGTGTTTCCTAATATACCCAATGCTAACACAAATGCGGCCACTTTTATGACCGGCGAAAAGTGTGCCGAAATGATCAAAGAGGATAACTATTATGTATTATAACAATTATATAACAGCCGTTTTCAAAGTTTTCAAAAATAAACTATTAATAATATTTATAATTTATAATAATAATAATACAATTGACACAAATCAATAAATTTATAATACTTTATGTTTATTGAAATGATTTGTTTTTGACAAATCTAGTAATCAAATCGTGTGCCGCTTTGGGCGCATCATAGGGTACCAAATGGCCTGCATTTCGGACAACTGCCTGAACAAAACGATCCACTTGTTTAACATAACCGACTATTTGATTGTCAACTTTCCAGATAACTCTCTGTGCTTTACTGTACTGTTGGGCTTTAGACCATTGTATGGTTCGGATATAGTTTTCAGTTGCTGGTGCCGACACAATAATGTCCAGATTGCCGTTATATATCATAACTTTGTAATTATCCATCAGTGTTGCCATCCATGGCTTAACCGACCGCATGATGTCATTTAATAAATATTTTTCTACATTTTTTGAATTATAACTAAACGGCAGATTTCCCACATGTATGGCCCGTCGGGTTGACTGTAAGTCAAGATATTTAAAATAATAGGTTAATGGCTCGGGTTCTGAGTCCTGTAAAAAGTTGTAATAATTAGTAAAACCAGTAATATTAGTGAAATAAGTGGTTGTATTAATAAGGTCTCCATTGATAAGCCGATCAAATATATTGAAAGCATCGATATATTGGCCTTTTTTAATAAAATTTTTTGCTTTGTTTTCTTCATTGACGACAAAATCTCTTTGATTTTCATCAATAAGTCCCAATTGAAACAGTTGTTCTCCGTATGCAAACTGTATCAATGGATCCGATATTCCGTTTCCAATTGATATGCCTTTTAAGTTAATATTGGATGCTTTTCCTTCCGTATGTATTTTATAAGCCAATGCCGGCACATATTTACCCGCATATGATTCACCCGTTATATAGAAATCATTTAGTCTTTCATTTGGAAATAATATGAAAAACTGTTGTAAAGCTGTATACAGATCGCGGGCCACATCGGTCTGGTTTTTGGCATAACCTATAAAATTATTTATTTATTTTATTATATTTGTCAAAAAATAAGTAAGATTTGAACTAGTATATTTTTTTAATTTCTAAAATTGCAATTTAGTAAAAATAAACTTGTTTATTATTAATACTTAAAAATTTCAATTAAGTTTTATGGAGTTTTTTTTAAAAGTGGAAATTATAATTTCTTACCATTATTATTTTTTTGTAAAACTGAATCCCGTTCCCACAGGATTATCAATAAATACCATTGAAAACTCTTGAGCCCACGTATATTGTCTTAAACTTACTTTCATATGTTTATCCAAAACTAACGGACCGTTTTCTGTAAATAATCCAATCATTGATGTACTTCCCGGACCTCCATTAAGCCAAAGCAATAGTGGGGCCCTCTTATCTTTATTCTAGTATATATAATAGTTTATATAATATAAGCTATTGTATTGTATAATTTTTTACTTAATAATAATACCAGTGCCGGAAAATACCAGAAAAACATATTGCTTTTAAACTTTTTATTAACCGTCAAATATCCCGAATAACTGGTAATATTTGGTGCGTCGGGCAAACCGGTCACTAGACTTGCCTGTTGTGCGGCTCGGATACGACCCGACTCTATAAGTGGCGTCAATAACAATGATTTTCCGCTATTTTTTGTGTTTGCATTGCATTTAGCAATAAAAATAACAATCAAAACCAAACTTTTAGTTTTTAGTGACCACATCATCAAAACAAAAAAAAATATGATTGAATGCATAATACTGTATATTAATTAACTGTATTTTTTAATAATAATATTTTATTTAAGCTATATCATTGTTACTGACAATATATATTTATTATTGCTTAAATGACCTTATATTTTGGCTTAAACTTTAAGTATTATTTTTTTAATATAAATTTTCATTTGCTTTAATATTGTAAAAATAAAGTTTGTTTGCATTATCATAATGTAAAGATTACATAAAACATAATTAATTTAAGTTTAAATATTGTATTAATTCTATAAATTAGTGTAACATTTATTTAATTTGTAGATAGAGTTGAAAATAATTTTACTGGTATTATTCAGTTATATTTTTTTATTGAAAAAATTTTTAATAGTGGAAATAAAAACATTAATTGTATTATATATATAAATGTATGATGTAATTGTTATCTATACCTGTATATTGCTTATTAACAAAAATCACATAATTTATTATTTGTAAAAAAAATTAGTTTACAAAGTCAATAAGTAAATGTAGTTTATATAAATAAATAATTTTTATATATATTTATTATACTTAAATCATGGTTAATAAATTAGTTTAGTCATAAAATACATATATATTTATATATAAAAATAGTATATATTTATATTAATATATAAAGCTTTGGATTTATATTTATAGATCGGAACAGTAGTAGACTTTCAATTAAAATAATTTTTAATTTTAAAAAATTGTATGTTTTATGATATAATATATGTATCGGTAGTTTTACTTATGTTATAAATTAATTTAAAAGTCATGTACTGTTAGTTTACTTTATATTAAATTAGTTTACAATTATTATGGAATTATCTAGATGACTTTTATATATTCCTATATTATTTTTTGTTTAAATCATAATATAATATTATAATTTATTTGATTCCATTAAAAAACATATTTATCATAGACTATAAATTTAACGTAAATCATACACTATATATACAGTATCCTTAACTTATTAAACCTTATTACTAATAAGTTAATAAAAATATTAATTAACTTTTTATTTATATTAGAAACAGTTATTAAAAACTATTGTAAATTAGTATTTTTAATTAAAAATCAATTTTTAGGACTTAAATAACAAATTGTTAGTCTCTATAATCATTAAAAATAATGTCAGTTAGTCTATCAATACAATTGATGACTGTTACCGCAGCACTCAGTAATCTTGAGTATAGACACAATTTTACTGCCCGATCCCAACCACCCAAAGCTGAATACGATTACATAGTTATCGGTGCGGGAACTGCCGGCGCCACAGTGGCCGCCCGACTCAGCGAACTATCCAATGTTCAAGTATTACTTCTAGAGGCGGGTGGTCCGGGAAATTTCATGTTTGACGCACCCGTATTGGCAAACCTGGTGTTTAATGGTCAGTGGAATTGGAACTATACTAATACAAAACAGTCGGTTGGTGTAGGATTGAAAAATAAAGTCATACCAGAATATAGGTAATACTCATTAATATTCAAACAAAAAAACAAATTAATAAATAATATATTTTAGAGGCTATGCATTGGGAGGATCGTCATCTATCAACTCAATGGTATACAATAGAGGTAACACTCGGGGTTACGATGATTGGGCTAATAATTACGGTGCAAGCGGTTGGGGTTGGAATGATGTGCGAAAATATTTTTTGAAATATGAAGATAATACCGACTCTAATCTCGTAAAAACCTATCCTGGATGGCACAGTACTGGGGGTCCGGTTCAGATCACTACGTGGGCTAACCCCGATCCGATTTATCAGCTAATGATTCAGGCAAACAATGAGTTAGGCTATCCGACCACTGATATCAATGGTCCCAATCAATTGGGTATAGCTTTGGTTCAAGAATTTGCCAGCACTAGAGGTGTCCGATCGAGTTCGTCCAACTCATACCTTGAGGGCAATCGGAGGCCAAACCTTGATATTAGTGTTCATTCGCGAGTAACTCGAGTGCTATTTAATGGTCACACGGCTACTGGTGTTGAGTATGTAAGAGATGGTCTCAAAAATGTTGCAAAAGTGAAAAAAGAGATTATAATAAGTGCAGGTATTTTATATAAATAAATATTTATTAGTTAAATATATTAGTTAATAGTTAAGTAGCTTTTTGAATATCAAACATAAGAATTATTGAAATTATATTATCAAATGAACATTTTTATAAATTAGTTTATTTCAATCTCCAGGTGCTATAAATACCCCGCAGTTACTTATGCTGTCTGGTATCGGACCGGCAAAAGATTTGCGTAAATTTTCCATTAAAGTGTTGGCCGACCTACCCGTCGGTATTAATCTCCACAATCATCCGCGACTTGATTTACGCGCGTATATTAAAGATGACTCATTGGTTACAACCAGTCGACTACAGGACGCGGAAGCGCTGACTATTCCCGCACTATACCAATGGTTTACCAATGGTTCCGGACCTTTAATTCAATACCACGACACTATCACATATTATAACAGTCGTAACAATCGCGACAAAAATTGGCCGGACCTGGCATTGGAGGTACGGCTCTATAAACAACACAAAGATGTCCAGTTAACGGCTCAGGATTTCGATGATGTCTACGCGTGGACACAGTGGCTGCAACAGTACGCCAATCGCTATTTCCTACAAATACTTCCCTATCATGAACTGCCCCGAAGTCGTGGCCAAGTATTCTTGAAGTCGAAAAATCCATTTGAGGCACCGATAATAGATCAGCGATTTTTGACGAATCCGAAAGATATGGAAGAATTTATAGAGATAGTCGGGTACGGACTTTATGTGGCCGAACGGTCATCGCTGGCACAGTATCTATTGCCAATGAAACCCATACCCGGTTGTCATGCCTGTCCCGACAAATCATATCTACATGAATGCGATTCATACATCCGATGTCTGATCAAAGAGGTAACACTTAGTGGTCTACACGACTGCTGTAGTGTACGTATGGGTAATACCAGCAAAAAGGATACAGTAGTTGATACGCGGCTTCGGGTTAAAGGTTTCAAAAAATTGCGAGTATGCGATACCTCGGTCTGGCCCGTTATACCCAATGGTAATATAAATGCGGCCACATTTATGACCGGCGAAAAGTGTGCCGAAATGATCAAAGAGGACAACAAATGATGAATCAATATATCCCTTGAAATTTAATAATAAATTGTTTATTATTAACATTTGAAATATTTTTATTAATTTTTGATTTTAATAAAAATTTATGATTGAAAATAAACTTGTAGTAAACTATAAATTTTTTTAAATATTTAGCTGTTAATTATTAATATAGTAATACTATACATGCTGTACTGTATATTTGATTATATTGTGTTGATTAATAATTTATAATATTTATTTATTAGTTAATTTTTAAAAAATGATTAACATTATAATCAATGATAGTAATTATTGTAAATACAGTTTACCAAATTATATACAAGTTTATTATTATATTATCAAATGTTTATTCAAATTGAAGAAATATATTATTAATATGTTTTTATAACATTTGACTCAATTGATGCATGAAATTAATATCAAATATTATTAATCATTTAAAAATCACAATTATTTCATCTTTAAGCTAATATAAATTTTATATTTATTATTTTATAACTTAAGTTTGCAATTACTAATGTATATTAATCATAATAATGATGAAACTGTTTAAATCTATTGCTAATAATACTACTGTAGTAATGTTAGTAATAAAATACAGTAATAATTAGGGAATAATAAACTTTTAATTTTGATTTACAAATAGATAACAAAATACATTAATAATAATAATCCAAACATATAATAAACTTTCAATTTGGGAAATCAGACACACATTCATAAAAACTTTGATGAAAAATCAGTTTAAATTACAAGTGAGAGATGTGTTGACCGCCAATTGTCCGCCGGTAGTCCTAATAAATATGTAGTTACCGTCGCGTATCTTATAGCTCATGAGTGAACGCTTTTCATCCAATCTCTGGTTACGGTAGACAGCAATGTATTGTTTGGTTTCGAGGGCTTCTTTACCTAAAGACATGGCAATAAGGTTGGCAATGGTCTGCTTCGGCGATACTTCGACAAAGTCGTTGCGCGTGCCGTTGATTCGCAACGATATTTTGATGCTTTTCTTGACCAAAGTCAGGAACAGGTGTGGCATCGGCCGATAGATTCGGTAATCAGATAGTGTAAGCTTTGGATCCAATTCCTGATTGGCAAACAGGACATACATGTCGTTGCAGTCAAAGTCGACCAATTGGTTGACCCGATGTTTGATTTGTTCAATGGTTTCGTTGGGATCGGCGTCAACTACCAGACATTTGTCATCATATTTGACAGTAATTTTTGCCGATTCCTGGCTTGTTTCAGATGGTTCCGGCGAAAGTGATAGACTCTGTTCCAGAGTAGATGTGGTGGTAGTGGTAGTAGTAGTTCCAGTAGAAGAAGAACTTGGCGACTGTTGGTGATCGATGGCCAATACTCTATACTCTATGGCCAACTGTTTCTTTAGATCAGTCAACTGTTGCTGAATGTAGTAGTTTTGTGACTCCAGATCTCTAACTCTCGACTCGAGCCCATCCAACCGCCGATCATTGATTGTGGTCTGGGTTTCTGACTTCTCTGGACGACTACTGCTGTTGTTTCTGAACGGACACTCCCGGATGTGATCGACCAGTTTGTCCACTTTGAACACTTTGGTACAGCCGTTGATGGCGTAGTCGCAGGAAATCTCGTATTTTGTTATGAATTTTTGGAACAATTTCGGCGCTGTCTTCACATGATATTCTTTGTTAACAAATTGTTTATCAATCGGACAGATCTTGTGTTTGGCCAACCATTTGTTCAGACATTGGTCACAGAATATATGATCGCATTGGTTGAGTATTACTGGATTTTCCAGTAGTTGTCGACAGAGACCACACTTGAGCTCTTCATCGACTTCGCCGGTAATTCTCTCCAATTCATAGCCCATATGACTACAGATTTGGTTGGTTGACAACAACAACAACAAAAAAAGACACAAAATATATTAATATATTGTCTTTTAATTAAAAATATATTTTTCTTCAAGTTATAAGAGATTAGATGTCAGGCAATAATAAATAATTTGAAATATTTTTTAAAAGTTTTATATTATCTATATTGAGATAATTAATATGATTGTATGTATCAAATCAATCGCGAGATAATTTTATTTATTCCCATTAATAACATTCAATAATATATATGTATATATATATTAATATATTGTTTAATTTTACTATAAGTACTATCAGTAAAAATCTTTTTTTTTTTAATTGCAATAATATTATTATAATACAATGCAAATAAAAAATAATTAATTTAAAACTCCAATTTGACATTTATATAATAAGTTACTTAATTGACCTAACTTATATTTTTATTATTGAATAATAAAAATTTTAGTTTTAATTACATTGACCTAACTTATATTTTTATTATTATTATCTGTAATTTAATCAAGCTAGGTTTAACAATATTGTAGATTTTTTGCAAACATTATAAAATTATATTATTATTTAATAGTGATTAAATCAAATATAATTCTCAAAAATATATCTATTTTATAAGTTTATTATTGATCGTATTGATGTTAATTTATAAATAAATATTTTTAAAATATTGTAAACCTTTATAATATTTTCATTTAAATTAATTAATTATTTTAAAAATTGTTTTGTAAATAAAAATCTTTTTTCTTTAAGTTATGATATTATAATAGATTAGATGTCAGGCATTGAAACTGTAATACAGTATTAATATTAATATTAATAGAGAGTATATTTGAGTGAGAGTTTCACTGTTTGTGAGTCTCTATTGACAACACAAGCGATTAAGTATTAGATAATACATGTTTGCAAACTCAATGTATTACTCTATTTATTCAAATTAATTCTATACTATGTATAATACAATCATATTATACTATCAGTTGATTTGAATAGCAAATGATTGACACAAACAGTGAAAACTCAGTGAAGAAAACATTACAAGACATGTAAATCACAAGAGTTTTTTGTGAAGTAGTGGTTCAGTGACAACAACAACAACAGCTGCTGCTGAAGACACTGACAGTCAATATGGACATCGAAAGCGGGCGACCACTGTTGGGTACAAACCGGATATCACCGGCATATCTCCGACGGGTAAGTTATCGTATGATTATTTGTCACCGATTTTTGTTTCGGTGAATCAAATATATATTAACTGAAAAAAATTGTTTGTTTGTCATCCGATCAGAAGTGGAAGTCAATACCACGGATGGCCAGACTTTATCTACTGATAGTCCTAATTGTGACCGTCTTTTTGATTGTTGTCCTCTATTTGCCAAAAATGAATGAACCGTTAGTTGAAACCTACGATTATAAGAGTCCTTATAATAACAGCCCACTAAAAGTTACCACAAGAGTTGATGACATCAATTATAATAATGATAATAATAATAATAATCAGAAACCAAACAATCAGATAAATAAACCATTTATTAATAATAAACCCAATATTGATGATCAAGATAATGATAATAATGATAATAATGATAAAATTAAAGACAATATCAACAATAATGATAATGATTTCAGAAACGATCAAACATTGGCCACAATTGATGGCTTATCTCTGAATGTATTAAAGAAATCGGCGCAAAGGTATGAGACAATGGAACAGAAGGCCATTGTGGACGCACTGAAGCACTCGTGGGAGGCCTACAGGGAGTACGCGTGGGGGGCCGACCACCTCAAACCTATCACCAAATCCAAGCACAACTGGTTCAGTGTCGGTCTAACCATTTTGGACTCATTGGACACATTAATTATGATGGGTCTCGAGGATGGTTTGTATACTTTTTTGTTGTTTAGTTAATGACAATCATTGACGACATAGTTATTTGATTTATTTCTTTGTTATTTTTGTTGTTATTTTGATAAACAGAGTTTACTGACGCATTGAATTGGATCAAAACTGATCTACGATTTGATATCTATAAAGATGTCAATTGTTTTGAAATGACTATTAGAGCTTTAGGTATAGTATAAGTTATTATAGTTTTAGTTTATTGTTTATCTCAATTAATCCAAAGACTAAAAATTTATTGAAATTATTTTTTTAGGCGGACTTTTGTCAGCTTATCATTTAACTCACGAACCAATTATTCTGATCAGAGCCGCTGATTTGGGCGATCGTTTGATCCATTGTTTCGATACACCACAACATTTGGTACCATTCAGTGACGTGAATTTGCAGACAAAAAGTGCAAAAACACCGAACTGGTCACCCGATTCATCCCTTTCCGAAGTTTCAACTGTTCAGTTAGAGTTCAGGGATTTAACTTATTTGACTGGTATTAAAAAATATGAGGTTTGTGTTAATGTTTATTATTATTATTATGATATTTATTTACAGTATTACTTTAATGATTTTAATTTCCGGTTTATTAATTTGTTTAATCAATTTGATTACAGAAATTATCATTTCGTACGTCAGAACATCTCCATAACCTAACTGTAAAAACTGGCAAATATTTGCTTCCAATGTATATAAATCCATATACAGGTAATAATTAATTAACTTATATTAAAATATTTAAATGGATTTTTTACAACTGTTATGTATTACTGTAATTGATATTGAATTGTGATTGACAACAGGCCAGTTGACGAAAGGTACGATAACATTGGGCGCTCGGGGCGATTCATATTATGAATACCTATTGAAACAATATCTACAAACCGGTATTCAATGGCTTAAAGATGATTACATAAAATCAGTGGACGAGATTGAAAAACGTTTGGTTCGCGAGACTAAAGGACCGCTTAAATTGACATTTATCGGTGAAATACTTCGAGCTTCCTATAGTGATGTCCATCCAAAAATGGATCACTTGGTCTGCTTCCTATCGGGTACTTTAGCTATAGGTTATTATCACGAAGTAATGAAATCGCCACAGTTTCGCGGCCACTCTGTCGACACAGACTCGCCATTTAATGAACATTTAGTATTAGCCGAAAAATTGGCCCGAACCTGCCATTATATGTATAACTTAACAGCTACTGGACTGTCACCAGAAATAGCTTATTTCGATACGACCGGCAATGAGGAAGAACTGCAGATAAGACCGGCTGATGCGCACAATCTGTTGCGTCCAGAGTTTGTCGAGTCTTTGTTTTATTTATATCACATAACTGGCAAACAAATATACAGGACATGGGGTTGGCAGGTATGTCGTTGTTGTTGTTAGATTGAACACAATAGTTGTTTATTGATAATCCTTGTTTTTTTGCTACAGATATTCAAAGCATTTGAAAAGTATACAAAAGTCAGTTCCGGTGGCTTTACCTCAATAGACGACGTAAGAAATCCCGATAATGTCAGACCAAAAGATATGATGGAATCGTTTTGGTTCGCAGAGACTCTTAAATATCTTTATCTATTGTTTTGCGACGACAAACATGTGGTGAACCAACTTCTCGACAAATATGTATTCAATACTGAGGGACATATAGTGCCGATAAGGACTTAAAAAGCATTGTTTTAAGTTATCGTTAATTGTGATGAGATTTTTTTTTAAATGCAATATTTGAAGAAATTTTTTAATTTAAAAATATAAAATTTTAGTATTTGTTTAAACATTAAAACAATAGATTGTATTCAAAACTAAATAATTTAAGAGTATATCATTTGTTTGAATTATTTAATATAATTTTAACTATCGGTATAAACTCAGATACCATTTAAACTTTAAATGAGAAGAATTAAGCAATTAATTTATTATATTTATTTTACCAAAAATTAATTAAATGATATTTGACTTTATACCCAAAAAATGATATATGATTTAATATATTTACATAAATATTTATTTGCAATTAAAAAATATTATGTGATTTATATAATTTAAAAAAAATTGTATGTACCGTAATACATTAATAATTTCAATACATTATTTTTAACTAACAAATTTTATATATGTTTGTAAACGTGTAGAGATTTTTAAAATTAATTTAGAAAAGAAATATTTAAAATTTTTGTAAGACTTAATAAATTTTTGATAAATTTTTTAAATGTTATATTTTTGAAGTATATTATTTCATGTCATTTAGTGATCAATAATATGTTGATGAATCCAATTTAGATATTTACTTACATCAGTGTATACGCCGGGAATGCCTTTAGCACCACATCCTATTGATGAACCAAAACTAGTGATTCCCACAACTATTGATCTGTTATTAACAATTTGTATGAGTGGACCACCAGAATCACCCTTTAAATTAAAAAAACATTAATTTTAAATAATTAAAAAACAAGTTTACTATTAAAAATAGCATACATGACAGGTATCCTTTCCATGTTGAGCACCGGCACAAAATACACTGTCCCTGAAATGTTTAAATCCATATTTATAAGCACATCTATCCTGTTTGTCACTGGACACTATCGGCAAATCTACTGCCAAAAGTATTGGCGAATCGTGACCTACGGTTGATGTTTGACCCCAACCAATGGCTACGGCGTCGGCAATAGTGTGGACATTGTAGTGCTCATCGGGTAAACAGATACTGTTGACCATCCAATGTGACTCTGAATATTTGAATTCTTCATTCACACGAATCAATGCAATGTCATCGAAAGGATAGTTTTTATTGTATTCGTTAATAACCATACTGTGCACTGAATGTATAGACATCCCAGTCTCCCATATGTTGATATCATGAGCACCGGCCACTATTTGTACGGAATCTTCTCTAAATGGTTGTCTAAAAAATCTGTTTAATACAACAACAACAACAATAATTAATATTTATTTATTCCTATCTACTAACTAACTCATCAATTAGACAGTGGGCTGCAGTTAAAACCCAATTTTTGTTGATCACCGATCCTCCACACATATGTTTGTAGCTATTGTGCGATTGTTTGTATTGGACGGATACCATCCACGGGAACTCACCCTTACCGGCCTCACGGCCGCCAACTATCATCCCATTTGTTGTACTGTTTTTATAATGACTGATTCCACACTCATTATCCGTATATATTAATTGCACTATTAGTGCCAATGATATTATTAATGTTATTAAACCTTTCATTACATAAAATATATTTATAAATTACTTTGCATTTGATTCAATATATGTTTAATATTAACAAAAAATACCTACTTTTATATAAAATTATTTAGATGTAAAAAATCATAAACTTTGGGCTTTAAACTGACATATTTTGATATATTTACAACTTAGTTGTAATAAACATTTACATTATTAGGTAATCATTATTATTACTAGTATTAAATAGAGAGAGAGAGAGAGAGAGAGAGAGCTTGTTATCATTTAAATATTTAAGACAACATAATCAGGTGTATTAAACCTGGGTTATACTATATTTCATAATAAAATTATTTTAAAAATTATAATAATTATTTGACTGATATATCATATAATATGTTTGTAACACTTGTTATAAAGAAATTTATCGAAAAAAATTGTAATTATAATGAAATATTTCAATGAAATTTTTATCAATAAATGATTAATAATGAACTCTCATAACAATTGTTAAGAAAATTACAATTCTTTATAATATTTTTAGATTTTATGTTTATTTTTTCTACAGAATAATTAAATTTACTGTTAAATACATAATAAATTACAATTTTAAAATAATTTAATATTAATAAGAATAGTATTGTAATTAATAATAAAAAATCAGAGAATTATTAACTGAATTATAATTTATACATAATTTTCTTAATAAATATTTTTGCCTTTTTATTAATTACTTTAAAAATGTATTTATGACATATATTGATAGAATCGTTTTGAAATAATTATTATTAATAATAAAGATAAACAAGATAATTTAATTTATAATATAATATTATTTTCAAATTTATTAATGTTAAATATTTTTATTTATTTGTTATCTAAATTATAAAACATTTGTAAGCAATTTACTAATACATTGTTAGATATTAAAAGTAAATAAACACATAATTAATATGTTTATAATCCATCAAATGACTTGTAGTTTTTTTATTTGTAAAATAAAATTTAATATTAAGTGTAATAAATTTAAAGAGATAAAAATGAGACCGGAATCTTATAATATATTTTATTTATTTATTTATTTTTTTAATAAATAAATTAACTATTTTTACGAGTAATGCCATAATTTTTAATTAGAAATAGAAATTTGTGAAATATTACATAACATTGAATGATATATTAAAAAAACATAAAAACAAAGTGTAAATATTATACTGACAATTGTCAGTTGTGTAAATGATTTGAAATAAATTAACCTAAAAAATAGTATATTGATATATATATATTGTAGCTTTAAACTCTTCCCGGTTAATTTATATATATACTAATTGTCCATAAACTACATGAATATGCTGTTTAAATATTTAGAAAAATGTTTTATTAATATATTTGTTTTATTTTTGTATCATTAAATAAATACAGTGTACTCGCGTTGATTTGAGTGATTATATAAAAATTAAAGAGAGAGAGAGAGAGAGAGAGAGAGTAACTGTAAAACAATGTTATATAATACAGACTTTATTACATCTTTATATCGGATTTGAAAAGTTTTCAAAAGTATCAATTCATTAAAGAATTTTTTAATATTATTATAATAATATTGTTTATTAATGATGTGTTTTTTATATAACTTGCAATTTATAATAACTATATTAATAAAGTCGATCGTGCATTAAATTGATGGTTTTTTTCAACACTTATGAAATTTAGCTATTTTTTATATATGAGATATCAGTTTTTGTAAAGTAAATTCTTGACAATTAATAAAGAATTTTATTTATTTTTAGTATTAATAATAAATTTGTTACTATTATAAAAGTTTAGTATCGTAAATAAACTTATGAAATAATTATATATATTTTTAACTATATTTGGAAAATAAACAATACGATAAATACAGGTAAGGTTTTATATATTTATTAATACTTACTTCCCGTATTACAATAGTAAATAATGTAATGATAAAAACTGTTTATTCAAAAAGAGTTCATTCAATAGAAATTTCTATTTATATCAGATATAAATATAATAATAGTACGCAAAACTTACTAACATTAATCTATTAATAATATTTACTGTATATTTCAATGATTACCTTAAAACTAATTAAGAAAAATATGTAAATTTTAATATAAATATAATTTACACAAATTTCTTTCATAAAATGTAATAAAATTTATGCTATTTTTTAGAGATATTTTTTTATATGTTTACCAAAAAATAAAAATTATTATTCAAACAAAACAATGTTAACAAGTTATTTATGACATATCAAACTGCAATTTGTGTGCTTTTTAAAAGACAAACAAACAAAATAATAATAATAATTTAGCAATTATCTTGATTATCCCATAACTGCTTACTAATTACAGTTATTATTATATTATATATAAATATATATACATTAGTCCATCCCATTGTTACTATTGATACCAATTTTGACACCATATAAATCATTTTTCTAAAAAAATTTCTATTATTTTATTTTAGGTGATAATCAAAATCAGTTAATACTATAATATTATAACCTCCTTATAATTGGATATTAAATAAAAATTATTTTACTATTTAAGTGACTAATCTAATGTATAAAACTTTTTTGTTGTTGTTTTAGTTTTTAAAAAAAAAGTTTTTTTAATGTAATACAAGTAATTAATTATAAAAAGTTTATTACTAACACAATAATCAAAGTAAGTCACCTGAAACTGAGATATTTAGCGGACAATACTGTTTGGGTACTATACGAGTGCCTTAATTTATCGCTTAGTTAACTGTTTTTTTTGTCTACTTTTTTAGGCAATCATGGGATGACTGAGTCATATTTACATGTATTTGATTGCATTCATAAACAATCAATTAATTTTTTAAAAATTATATAACTAAAAATTTTTAAAAATATATAATATGATATCCATTAATATATATTCTGTTAAAAAATAATGCAATACATCTCAAACAGTATAAAAAAAATCAAATCAAATTAATAATAAATTATTTCAATTATTAATTAATTATTAATTTGAATATATTTTTATATTGTTTGAAATGTATTGCATTATTTTTTAACAAAATATATACAACTTTTTATCATAATATTTTTTAATTTTTTTTATTAAGTATAATTTTTATTTATATAATTTTTTTTAAATAATTGATTGTTTATGAATGCAATCAAATACAAGTAAATATGACTCTGTCATCCCATGATTGCCTAAAAAGTAGACAATGTTATTAAGCGATGAATTAAGCCATTCGTAAATACAAATAATTAAGTTTTATTAAAATTTTTAGTTTATAAGCTATTTTTGAAATTAATAATAACCAGAGATGTCTGCCGTTTGGGTTATTGTAACGATTCCTACAAAAGAATATGAACTTAAAATCAAAGAAAAAGAGAAACAAATGGATTCATTGAAGAGAAACAAAATTCAAAACAATTTAAGTAAGTCTTATGAAAATTGATTTATTTATATTTATATCAAAAATTTTATTATTAAGATTAATGATTCTTAAATTGTTTTGTATAATCTAAAAATTTATGGAAATATTCATTTTATTTATAAAATTTGTTCAATTATTTAAAATATTGAATTAAATATGAAATTGTTATAAATTAAGTTAATTGTACCAATTTGATATTTATATTGTTACCCTTTTTTTAATGTGCTTATTTCATTATATTATTTACAAATAGCATATTCTGTAAACAAAAAAGTTATATTAATAAATAAATACTAAAACATATGTTATATTCTCACATAAAATTGAATGATATTTTTATATAGCATATAATTATTAACACTATCTTTCATTATTTAGTTATTTAATTAGTTACTATAATTGACATATTAAAATTTTGTTATAAATAAATAAATAAATTTAAAAACTTTTCTATAAATTGCTAACTAAATAACAATTGATTTTAATAATAAATAAATCAAATTTAATTGCTTAACAATATTATAATTAACAGTTAGTCAATTATTGTAATTAATTACTAGGTTACATTTTTTGATATCTTAAAAATTATATTCAATACACAAGATATGCTAAATATTTATATTTTTATTACAAATTATTATAAAAATTAATCATTCAAACAATGCAAGTTTATCCAGTATAAACTAGATTAATCTATTTAATAATTTTGTGATTGTTTTTTTTATGATCCCTATAATTATATAAATAATAATTTATAATTAATTACTCAATCATATAATTTTTGTTGTATGATTGTATAAGTAAAAAATTATATTATACTTTATAAATGTTTTATATAAATTATACTGTATTTTATTTACTACATATAATTTCATTCATAATTATCTAGATATCTAATATTAAATAAAATACAGATATAATATTTAATAATCAAAATTAGTCATTTCGTTAAATTGAATTATTAAGAGAAAGAAATTTATCCGACAAACACATGTAATATAAGTTTTATTATATAACACAACCAAATGGATAGGAAAGACAATAAAAAAATAAACAATATTTTATTGTATAAATAAATATAGACTTTTAATCTATAATCTAACTATTTTAAGTGCATTCAATCATTTCTAAGAAATATAGTAAATATAAAGTAAATTTATTTATTTACCTTAAATATTACAGTAATACTGCAACGGTATTATAACAATAATTCAATTATAAGTTTATATTATTTAAGTGTATTATTTTTCCTAATATTGTATTTTTTGTGTAAGTTTTTATTAGATTTACTATATATTATATTCTATATCCTATATATGTATCTATGTGTATGTGTCAATGTTATTTGACATTATCTATAATATTGTAAATTTTCTTTTAATCATATGAAATAGTTTTTAAAGATTATATAAAATCACAAAAATTAAACAAAAGTTAATAAATTTAATTTTTGTTATTATAAAAAATGGTTTTTTATAAACATAAAAAATAATAGTGTTTTATTATTTTGTGTCCATCAAATCATAGTTAATAGTTTTGTATTATATCTTAATCTTTCAAAAAATATGATGATTTCACAAAAAGAAAAATAATTTCATACCGTATATATTTATAACTACTTATCATTAAAATAATATATATATATATATTTAAAAATTTGAGATCAAGGATGTGTGAATATAATAACTGTAAAGATTGCAACTATTGTATTGTATATATTATTTATTTATTACTTAAAATATGGTATATTTAACTGATTGATTTTTTATTACATTCTTATATTATTATTATTAGTAATTATATTTTTTCTGTGAAAAATAGTAGATAATATTTGACAAATACAGAGCATAAATAAATAACAATTAAAATTGACTTATAATATCATATTAATTGTTTAATCAGATGAATTGGATACCATAAGAGAGGCCAATGAAAACTTTAACAATGAGTACAGAAACAAAATCGATAATTTTGATAAAGAAATGTTGTTTGAAACGGTTGGTATCATTAGGTGTTATACTATTACTACTACTACTACTACTACTACTAATACTGCTATATAATCTTATCATTTTAATAATGACCTATATTTTAAACTTAATAAATTTATCATCAAATAGATTGTTGAGGAATCGCTGGCATACCTGGGCATCACTGATGCCATTTGGCAAAAGTCCAAAAACGGTAATTATTCAAACATTTCATTTTATGTGGATCTCGAAGAAAGTGATGCCGTCATCCAGTACTTTAAAACCAAAGAAGTGGGCAATAAGTTTGGATCAAGTATTGGGTATTTATATATTTTTAAAAATTTAATTTTTATATTTAACATTAAATTGTATATTAATTATATATATTTTTTTTAAAGTATAATTCCTTTCTCATTGTTTTGCTATGAAGACGACGATCTATTGGATGAGATTGAACTCAAGTATATTTTTTTAAATAAATTAATTTATTAAATAAATAATTAAATTAATTTTTTTATACAAATTAGTGAAAATGGCGACAAAAATGAAATGCGAAAACTCAGTCACTTTAAAGCTCTTCAAAATACATTTCTCAAGTCAGTGACAGCCCGGTTGACAGTTGCACAGGTATTGAACAACTAATATATAATATATATATATATGATATTATACAGTATATACAACAAATAAATACAATAGTATACCATATAATCTATAACTGTGTAATTAAATGGGATCAGGTGGTCGACAATGTAAGAAGTGGTGCTTCATTAACCTTTGACTTTGTATGTTATGTCATATTTGCCTCATGGATTGCCGCAATGGGATTACTTGATAATAGTGTAGTCAGTCTAGTGGCCAGTATGTTGGTCTCACCTATGATGGTAAGTATTTAAGAGATTTTTAAAAAGTAATTATTTTTCAGAAAAATATATTTATGAAATGATCTTTTTATATGACTAACAATAGGGACCAGTAATGGCACTGACATTCGGTACAATCATTAAAGACGGATCTCTTAGAAGACTTGGATTCAAGAATTTAGGCTTTTGTTTCTTAATAACAATTTTGTTTGGTTTGTTGATTAGAAAAAATTGAAATTATTTGTTGAAATTATTTTTGTTTTTAAATAATTCATTTATATAACAACAGGTTATTTCTTTGGCTTAATTGCATTAAACTTTACGGAACACTGGAATGGAGATCAGGAATGGCCTACAAATATGATGCGCGAGAGAGGTCTGCCACGTGTTGTATGGGTGGGTACTTTGGTAGCCTTTCCGTCGGGCTGTGCGGTTGCCATATCGTTACTATCTGGAAATGAGGCCTCACTGGTTGGAGTGGCCATTTCGGTTTCATTATTACCGCCAGCTGTTAACGCTGTAAATAATTATATATTTATATACTATTATAGTTTATGGAAATTACATATATCATATTATAAAACACAAAGTATAACTTTTATTAATAATTAATAATAATATTATATAAAATAATTTTTTAGCAACTATTATATTAAAATATATAATTGATATGAAATATAATAATGAATTATATAAATTTTTATTTATACATTTTAGGGTCTTTTATGGGCTTTTTCGACATTAAAAACTTTGTATTCATTAAGAGAGACACCGATAGCCGATTTTATGCACCCGTTGTCTAATGAAAGATATACTGATTACCCGCCATCACTGATACCGGACAACAAATACCAGTTTTATTTTAATAAAAACATAGCGATCGAAACGGCAATTCTGGGCGTATTTAGTCTAATATTATCATTGATTAACATAACCAACATATTTATTGGTGCACTTATTTTGCTTAAGGTTTGCAAAATATATTATAAAAACAATTTGTTAATGAAAACTAAATATGCAAATTATTAATTACTAAACTTTATGTTTATATATATATATATATATATAAATAATGTTAATTCAGATCAAAGAAATCGCACCGTTATCTACAATGTCGCCAACAACCAGACGCTTCTTTCAGGAAGACATCAAAGTAAGTGATTATAAGTTGTTTTTTTTAATGAATAATCAAATTTTAAATGTAAAAAGTGTTGAAATCAAAATATTTATATCAAAAATTAATTTTATTATATAACTGTTTTATTTTAATTAATAGATTGTACGCGAATATAATGCAGAACATGGAGGTAATAGTGATAATATGGGAGAACAGGTACTTAAGGAATGGGCGGTAAGTGAATACACAAAAAAAAATTATTTAGATTTGAATTATATTTTGGTTTATCTAAATATATAAATTATATAAAAACTTATAAGTATTTATATAGTTTATTTATAAATTATATGGAATAATACTTAATGTATATTACTTTATATTATTATAAGGATATAATATCAAAATTTTGATGACTTTTTCCAGGACATGAATGGCATCAATGCCAATGAGCTGTTAGCCAATACACCAGAAGCTCGAGTAACACAATTTCAGACACTAACTGATATTATCAGAGATGTAGAGGAAGATCAAGTCTATAAATCTATACAACGAACCAGAATATCAGTTCATAATGTATAATATATATATATATATATTAATAAACATTAATATTAATAATAATACTGTAGAAAAGGATATAATAATTTCTATCAATTTTATATGTCATCTAATATTTTTATTTTAGGGCGATTTAATGCGGCGAATGAGTCAAAGTCTATTTCAACCGCCACCACTGTCTTCCGGTCTTATAGTTGAGGGAAGGGATGGTCGACGTAGAAGTAGTGCCATATCTATTAATATGCCAAACATCAGAATTTCTGACGTAGAAATGGGAGCTATTCATCACCGAAGAAACGGTAGACAAGCGTCGAGATTGTCACAAATAAATCCCGCTTTTATTGTAAGTTTAAAAATAAATATCATATTAAATAATAATATTATTATTATTACTTTACAATATTAGTACTAATAAAATAATTGTTTTTTATAGGGAATGGATGAAAACTATGACCGATTCTCGATGCGGGAACCACTGTCATCTCGTCCAACAACACCGACCATCAAAATGCCACTGTCGGCCGGTTTGCAGCCATTGAATGCCAATGTTTTTACATTTGGTGACAATTTTCACATAAATGACATAAATCGACGGTCAAGAAGAGGTCGTCCAAACAGTAGTTCACTATTGAGACGATCACTCAATCAGTCCGAGCGCTCGCCATATAGTCTGTGGCCATCAGCCAATCGTATGTCACCGGCAACTGTACCGCGATTTATGGTCACTCCAGTGACTGACTCACGAATTCAGGAGATAATCATTGATTCGCAAAAGTCTTAATTGTTATTATTTAAAATTTTGTATAGAATTAATAGAAAATGCATTTAACATATATTTTTTAAGATTTGGAAATTTAAGTTTATATTTTATTTTATTTATTTTATAAATTGTATTTATCAAAGTATATTTTATTCATTAATTCATATTATAATTATTATTAATATAAAGTTATGTATAATACAGTACAAAAATAAAATATAATTAAAATATATTGTTAATTTTAAAATTTATATTTATTAAATCTAATTGTCTAATAATAATTAATAAGATTATATAATAATTTATATATAATTTTTAAAATGTTATAACTGGACTGTTTTAAATTAAATAAAGTGTTGTAAATATACTAGTATTAAGTACTGATTAAATGATGAGTAAAATCAAATGTATAATTATTTATTATAATATTTATCAATACCTGAATAAGGACTTTATACTATTTTCTATTAATTTCATTTATAATTTCTAATAGAGACTGAAAACTGACCTGATTTTTCAGGTCAGGTCAGGTCAGGTAAAAGTTAGGGCTCAGGTCAGGTCAGGTACGGGTCCGAACACCAAAATTTTTTGGTCAGGTCAGGTCAGGTCCGAAATTTTTTTATTCATTATTTAAACGACAATTATTACAAAATATGACAATCAAACACAAAATTTATTAAATTATTATTTATAAAATAGTTGTATAAATTAAACATAAAATATTACAAAAGATGATGGTTTTGATCTAATAAATAATAACATATTAACTTTATTAGAATCTAAGTTAGATCTACAATCAGTTATCGTTAATCCCGAGTAATTAAAGTTAATTTAGAGAAATTTGTTGTGTGTATAGAATAAATAAAATTGTTTTTTGATAAAATTATTTTCGAACCTACATAGTCAGGTCAGGTCAGGTCAGGTCAGGTCAGGTAAATTTGTACCCTATGTTAGGTCAGGTCCGAGTCCGAGATTTTAGGTATCAGATCAGGTACGGGTCCGAAACTTTTCGCTCTCTAATTTGTAATTCAATATCATATTATTGAAAATAATCAGTTATTCAATGTTTATTCACTGACAATCAAAGAAACATAATATTGTTTTTAAAAATAATAATATATATATATATTTATATATTTAATCGTAAAACATATTATTTCTCAATAAAAAAAAATATTAATTTACAAAACAACCTTATTTTGCATAGTATATAAATTTAATTAAAAGAGATCATGGTTATTTCATAATTATCACATTAAAGATTAAATTACAACTTATAAAACAAAATTAAGTATAAAAAATTAGTTAATAACAATATAAAATTTAATATTTTATAAATTGCAATAAATGTAAATACAAATTAATAAACTTAATATTATTTCTTTAATCATTTAAACATAATATACTTTACTAAACATATTTTAAACATTATATAATTAAGTTGAGCAACAAATGTGAAATCAAAAATGTGATAATAATTAGATGATTTATTAAACAATTGTTCCGGCTCTAATCAATAAACTATTTTAAAGTTATTATTATTATTATTATCGCAATTAGTTATTTAATGTACTGAACTCTAACATTAATTATAGATTAGTAAAAAAAATAATATTTACAGCAATATTTAATGTTAACTAACAAATAATTAGTGATTTTTAACACACAAAAAACTAATGATGAAGTTTAGCTATGAAATTGTTTTGTTACTCATTTTATTTAGCTATCAAATGGTAGTTAATGTCTCTCAAAAATTGGTTATTAATAATAAGAGAAATCAAAATATTAATTTGCATATAATTAATCAAAATTACAGCACAAATACACCACAAAGTAAGTCTAAAAACAAATATATATAAAGTATATATATATATAATTGTTACCAAAAATAAAATTGTAATTATTATTATTGATTTATTAGTAACTGATATCATACCCAAAGAGAAACGTATCCAACTATGTATTCATTACCATCCAGAGTATAATTATGATAAACTTGATGAACGTGACCAGGATGTATTATCTATTATATTATTATTATTATTATTGTAATTGTCAATATAATATTATATCAATTACAGGATATATGGACTCCAGTAAATCCTTGTCGTGTTAATTGTATAATTTTGGTACCCATGAGAGTAGTCTATACCAACTATTTTAACGATAGTCTAACTGTTTGCGATACAGAAAAAGTTAGCATTTATTTCCTAATACTAGTATTATGTAATATAATAATAATAATAATAATAATAATAATAATTACACATTTTTTAGGTATGCGTCCCATTGAATCCTAACTCAACACTAGGAGTATGTCGATCAATATCAACACCACCGCCAACAACAACTACAACAACACATACAATACCTACAATTGTTTCAACAAAGTTGACTACTGAATCCCATACACCTCATCCTACAACAACAACAAGTGTCCCAATTACCAGAATAGTACCGCAAACAACAACAGACAAACCTTTGCCGACAACAATCAAACTTTCAACACAAACTACATTAACTACTTTACCGCCAATTACTTCATCACCAACACAACCCTCCACAAGACAAACCCTTTCCACACAAACTACTACTACTACTACTACTACTACTACTACTACTACTACTACTACTATACGTTCTTACACTACCCAAACCCCAACTACCAAATTGACAACTAGTCCATCAACTTTCACAACAATACAGACAACTCATCCGCACAATGTATGCAAACAAGAGGGATATTTTAGGAGTCCCTACGATCCCGAGTGCAGACAATTTTATAGATGTATTAAAGCTGGCGATCATTATTGGGAAGTCGACTATACTAATGAATGTCAAAAAGGCACTATATTTGTAGATAAATATGAAACCTGTATGGAAATAGACGATCCCAGAATTGAACAGTCCTGTCCTTAAGTTTAATAAATGTCACACAAAGTTAGTTACAATATTTGGTATACATTATTGAACAAACAAATTATTTATTAAACATAACGTAATTAAAAGTTATATTTATATTATAAATATTTTTTTTGCAAATATTCTTAATAAAATATATATTATGTTACAAATTGTTAGAATAGTAATATTTAAAAATAAATAAATATTATTTGAGTGTAAAAGATATTTAATTCATATTGTTTATAGTTTTTAGATTTTTATTTGTATAACTATATATATTTTTTAATGAGTCTGAGTATATTTAATTAATTATTAGTCACTTAATAGTAAAATACTAGATTTTAGTTGCGGATAATGATATAATTGCTAAAACTATATAATAATACACTATTATACTATACTTTTGAGAGCAAAATTAATAAAATGAAATACATATTATTTAATATATAATAATAATAAATGTTTTAAGTTATATATAAAAATCATAAGTGACTGACAATATAGTGATAGTAACCTTGTCTTTGAATTTCAATTTTTTGATGGATTTGTCACGTATTAGTATTGCTTCTTAAGTCACTCAAAATACTCATATGACTAAAACCGATGGAAATCTCTATTAATTGATAATATTTTTTTGGCTAAAATACTGTCAACTAATCAAAATAATTAGTTTTTATCTCTAAAACATAATATGTAATAATTATAAGATATGTCACCATTTAAACAGTATGTGATTATGTTATTCACTATACAATATTTACTTATATTCAATATAATGTATTATGTAATATAATTTATTTGATGTAATAAAACACAGTACTTATAATTGTGGCACTTATTGAATGATAGTAATCATGTGAATGTTAGCTAATATACACACAATTAACTATATTGTGTAATATTATTGTTATCAATAAATATCGATAAAATTAATTTTCAAAAAATTAAAATTAATACTTTATTTAAAAAAGATTTAATAATAACAATAATATATTTATATTTAAACAAAAAATTAATTTAAGTGTATTACTTTTAATTAATTAATAAAAAAATTAATATAAATTCTATCATTTCGTATTATAATATATTTTATTAAATTACTATAAAAAACATAAACATAAATTTATTGTATAAATAATAAGTTTTTTATTTGGGGAAAACTATAACACATTTATACACTAATATGGATCACGTTTTGAAAGACTAATTGCGATCAAAGGTAACTGAGCGCACACTTGCCAGACGCCTGTCCAACACATTTGATCACATTTTTTGGGTCTAATATATCAAATGATTTCTATTTATAGCATTTGTAACATTAAATATTTCAGACCTTTAATTAAATACTCAAAAGTTCATCAAATATCTGGAATTTATAAGTACTATATATATATTATATATATATTAAATAATTATAAATAAAGTTAACATTAATCAGTATTTATAATCTCCTTTGTATATGTAATGCGTTTTACAATAATGCTTATGAGTAAAGTAATGTTTAATTATTAAAATAAGTTTTATCATTAATCTCATAAAGTACATTTTACATTAAGTTTATAGTTTTGTATACACTAATGTACAATTGTACCTATCTACTATATAATTTATATACAGTATATACGGTATATATTATAATATTTTGCTAATTAATAATTATAACTTGTAATTACATATAAAAAAATATATCGTATTTTTATGATAATATAAAAAATCTTTATTAATAAAATAATAATAATTTTTCAGCAATTTTATAATTATTTTACAGTAAATATAAGTAATCTTTAAGCAAATTTACAAATCAACATAAATATAAATATTTAATTGTCTATATCACCGGTTTACCGTATTAAAACGACTTGAATTATTATAATTAATCTTATTATTTATAATTTTTTAATACCAAGTTTTACTGTATTATATATTATACGTAAAAATAGTGGATTTTGTATAAATAAATGTTAAAATTAATTTTTAAAATGTTTTTTACTATACTAACATATAGTCATACATGTGTTACAATAATATAAAGATTAATACATTATTTGTATAAATAGCATATTATTGGGCATAAAAATATTCTATTAATGTATACTAAAAAATATTAATAATCAATTTTTAAAATATTATATAATAAATTTATACTATAATTGTCAATAACCTATTAATACTTTTGATATAGTACTTAAATCTAAAGTTCAATTAATAATTGTAATAATAAATTTTAGTTAATGAATTTTAATGTATAACATAACATAGTAAAGTTAAAAAAATATATGATAATTATAATATTTATCAAATTAGATCAATGATGTTGATTAACATTTCTATTAAGTTAAGTTATAAAGTTTTATTATACAGTAAAATATTTGGTATTTTATATTAACTCTAGTATAAAACTTATGCAAATAGTAAAATATGAGAAATAATTTACAGTATAAACAGTATATAATTTACGGTATATAAGACATAATTTGATAAAATGTTTATTTTTTGTTAAGATTTTTCCAGACTAAATGTTTATAAATCAATCAAAAAGAAATAAACAATTATTGGTATAAATGTAAAGATTTATTTTTGGTTATTTTTGTACAGTAGACACCATATATCATACTTTAGTAACTTTAAGCCAATGTAATAAAAATAATATATACATATGTCTTACTATTTCTAGATTTCGTATCTGATTTTATACTCTTTTTATCATTTTATCATATAATTTATATATACAGTATATTTATTGTATACACATTGTATCGTATTATACAGTACTAGCATATACTGTACTATACTAAACCAATACATAGTTCATATGTAAATTATATAAAAATATATTTATTTATATTTATTGATAGTACTGTATAATATATGTTAGAATTTTATTAAGTTAATGTGATAAACAAAAATATATATCAATTTGAGTACAGTATTACCATTGGTTTGTTTTAACCACACACCCACTTAATATTTTTTTCAATTAAAGCATTAAATTTCTATATAATTTGAAACTAATTTGAATCAATTAATAATAAAATTTTAATTTATATTTTTTACTATTCAGAAAAGATATTTTTGTTTATTATGTAATATATATTTTTAATATTATTGTTGAAACTATAACTAAATTAAATATAAATAAAAAAAAGTCATATTCTAATAATTATATCAAACAAATTTTAGGACTTAAAAACTGTTTAATTATTAGAATCTAGACATTAACCAAAAAAATTGCAACTTTTTTCTAATTTTAATAATTTTAAATATACCCCGGAGTGAAAAATAAATTAATTTTGATCAATGTTTATTTAATAAAAAACTTTTTAACGTAAGTTAATATATTGAGATATTTCCCAAATTTTATTATCTTTATCTATGATATTATATATATTTGTGTATTGTAATGATATTAAATGTTAAATGATTGATTTTTTTAATCAAATAAATTAATTATGGGAGTTTAGCAATCAGCAACTATTGTATCATATATGGTCATTTAATTATTGTATTAAATATATTAATCTAATTATGTTAATTGAGTTGACAATATTATGTTATTTTTTAAGTGAATATCATATTTACCTAATTTAGTTAAAATTTTCCAATTAATATTGAATCTATTATAAGAACTATTTAAAAATTTATTATTTTTTATAAACTTTTGATTTGATAAATAATTTAATAAAATAACTTTCTTTATATTCTTACAATAATTTTGTCTAATAATATATAAATATAAATGATTGATTACAAAAAAAACTCTCTGATCAACCATTTAAGTACAATTATTATTATACTGTATATATATATATTTCACACATTTTATACTATTAAAATAAACAACACAAAAAATTGATTTTATTTTAATATAAATTATTGTAAAAAAAATATTTTTATTAAATATAATATAATATTAATTTAATAATTATCATTAGATATGACAAAATATTACATCAATTTGATTTTCTTAATCCCGGTTCTAACGGTATAACTTGTATCCATTGACTCAGTACAGGTGGCAATTGAAGGGCCGGATTGACTGGTATTACTGGCCATTGTTGAAACGGGAATAGACTTAGAGTCCCCTCTTCTATCGGTGCGTGTATTGAGGGTATCGGGTAATCAAATGTACTGATTATTACTATTATTGTGTAAAAATAATTTAAATGTAAAAACATTTTTTACAATAACACATCAATAAAATAAATGTTAATAATTGATTTGTTTTAATTAAATATATATATATTGTACATTACAATTAATATACTCGTATAGTGCTTTATATAATTTTTAGTGCAGATATTACCCGGATGTATTGTGAAGTTATAATACAGTACACAATGTAATGTTAAAACTCCTACAATGTAATTTATATCAATAATTGATAATAGTTGTAAAGCATTAATTTGCTATTAGCCTATATATTGTATTTAAATATTAATATAAATAAGTTTGTAAATAAATACTGCTAATAGTTTTAATAACTAATAAGGAAATTCTATAAATAAATAACTATATTATATATATATATATATCAGGGTTAAGCAAGGTTTTGGATTTTAGGGGGGGGGGGGGGGGGGGGGGGGGGTAGACCGGGGTAAAATTTACAAAATTCTCAAAAAATCTTGGGGGGGGTATTGGGTGGGGTAAGATTTTTATTGCATTTTTAAACGGCAATTTTTTCAAAAATCCAAAATCAAGGGGGGGTCTAGAGAAAATTCCCTAAAAATTCCTTAAGTTCCCGAATATTCCCATGTAAATTCAATAAAATTCCCACAAGTTCCCGTATAAATTCCCGGGAAAATAGGTAAAATTTCCAAAAATATAAAAAAAAACTTAAAAAACTTAAAAATTAACAAAAATTTAAATTTTAACAAAAAATAAATATTTTTAAAAAAAATTTTTTAAAATTAATAAAAACTTAAATTTTAACAAAAAAAATAAAATAATGTATTTAAGATTTAAAAATAGTTGATAAAAGCATTAATGATACACTATGAGTTATTTTTAGTATTTTA